TTTTTGTATTTTTTTATAAATTATTTTATATTTTTGTTTTTTACAAACCAAAATTCAGAATATTGTTATAATATGGATTATTTTACTTTACAAGTTTTTAAATATACTTCTTAATCATTTTTTTAAAAGTAACTATAATTGTAGATCTTGATAAATATTTTTTAATGTTTTTTAAAATTAAAATAAGTTTTAGTATAAGCAAAATTAGAAGTAAAATTTGTAATAATAATTATTTAACATTCAAGTTTTAGGATACCTCATTATTCCGATTTTTATTAAAAATGTATTATTATTTTTTTTCTTTGAGTTAATATGAAGTAAACATAAAAGTGAGTTGATAATAAATTGATCAATAAAAAGATATAAAAGATATCCCAGACGACGAATATGAGTTAATTAAATAAAAAATATATATTTATTGTGTAAAAGTGCACTGTATATTAATATAAATAATGTCATTACTCTGTTTAGCTTTTATAATTCTATTTATTTATTTTAAATATGTACGACCTTTTTTAGAAACTAGTTATTTCATATATATAGCATTTATTAAGCTTTGCTTATTTTAAACTATAGTTGAAATAATGATGATTATCAATATTCTTTTGATCATAGTCCATCTATTTTTTTTCAATTCTTCGCTTGGCCATATCTATCCTGCATCTTCATCTCTCATTGTGCATTTTACAAGATTGCATTGTCATGTTGATGTAAATATTACTGTTGATGTGATTATAGATGTTTGTATGGATATAGTTATATTTGTTAATGTATGCGTAATCCATGTATTCATTGTGCAAATTAATGCATATTCTTCTTTCTTTATTACTATTTTTCTATTTTTTCTACTTTTTCTGTTTTTGTCGTTATAATCGTTATGTTCTGAATTATTGTTATTACTTTTTCTGGTTTTAGTGACACCAGTTTTGAGCATACTCTTTTTATCTTTCTGTATAGATCCTTAAATTTACATTCTTTTTCAAACTCACATTCTTTTATTAGATGTTAGCATATTTTCTTTAACTCTAAAGATTAAATGTTTTTGCTATTAATTTAAATATTGCTAGTTCTTTTTCTATCATATTTATTTCTAGAGTTTTTTTTATAAGTTTAAATTGTAATACTTTTTTTGCTTTGTTAAGTGTACCAGGTGCGATTTCATTTAGTGATTTATTTCTTGATATTTTTGTTCTTAATAGAATAAGATATATTTCATTTATTGCTTTCATCGCTTTTTTTTTAATATCTCATACTCTTTCTTTTTTCTTTAGTTCCTTGATGGTTTTTGTGAGTTCGTTTTTCAATTCTAAGCATTTTTCTTGGGCTCGGTTAAATAGTTTTCTGAAAAATTCTTTTTTGATTTTAATATTATTCTTACCATTAATAATATTGATGTATAGATTCCCAAATTCATTGATTTCATGAATTAATTGTACACAATGTTTATTAAGCATCATTATACAATTATTATTGTTTAATAAAATTTCCTTTAGTTTATCAACTAATTTATCTTCTAATTTTTTACAAATTTCATTTCTTTTATTATTTGCATTATTTCCATTACACTGGTCCTTTAAATTTAGATGGTTATTAAAATCCTTATATTTCTATTTTAGAACATAATCGTATCTGTCTTTGATATTGCTATTAGAGTAATTTATAAATAAATGATATTAAAAGAATAATTATATCTCTTATGGAAGGCTTCTTAATATAAATACCATTTGTTATTAGTTTTTTATAAAGCTTTTCAAATCTATTTTCTCCATCAATGTAATTTCCAAGTTCATAGGGTTAAAATTCGAAACCGGAGGTCTATAAATGATTCCTTTTTTTCACATTTAGTTTTTAATTCATTGTAATTAAGTTTTTCTTGAGTTTCACAGTTCTTCCAGTAAAAATGGTATCGCTTAAGTAATGAAGCGCTTGTTTCAGTAGTATTTTTTAGAATGCAATTTTTATTCCAGTTTTCAGGGAGTTGCATATCTTCTTTGTTCTTTTTTCCAATATTGTGCATGTATAGATTGGATAAAAACATTTATACATTAGTTCGTTACTTTCTTGATTTGACTTTATACATATTTTTTGAAGTTTTCTATACATGTATTTTCAAGAGCACCTTCAAGTGCTCTCAAAAGAATTTCTTTGTTGTTTTATCACGCTTTTTTTGATAACATTCGTTTTTTAGTATACTGCGTTCTATTAAAAGAATAGAATATGTTCCTTCCAGAAATAGATATTGTTGGTCTTTTTTTTTTGCAATCTTCATCTGATGGGTTGTATAACACTTCTAGCTTTGATTTAAAACTAGTATGGTTTCGTTTAATTTTTTTTCAGATCTTTACATTTTTCTTCTATTTGTGTTATTCTTGAATATTTCTTTTATCTTTGAATGTATTTTATTAAGATCTGGTTCAATCTCTTATAAATTTTCGCAATATTTTCAGTCTCGTTTTACATTTTCTGTTTTTATTTTTATATTTTCTTTTAGAATTATAGCTAAAATATTTTCTTTAGTATACAAAAAATATATTAATTTTGAAAGTTTTTGTACTATTCAACGATTTTATACCTTATTAAATCTGATGAATTTAATAATAAATTTGATAAAGTAAATCTTTTATAAATATACTTTAAAAAAATTAAGTAAAAAAAAAAAAAAACATAAAATAGTAATGTTTTTTGAAAAACTGTATTTTATACCAAGAAAACAAGCTAATATAAATGCTTTCATTTATTCATTTATATTTATATATATTATAACAACAATAAATAAAGAACTATAAAAAATATTCTATTTTTAAATGAAAAATACGAGATTATTCTAAAATGATAAAATATCAAAATAATGATAGTTAATGCATATATAACAAATAGACAAATAAGTTTTGTTTTCTATTATAGTTAGATATTCTAATTTTATTAATAATACTTTTTTGCTGTATCCTCTTATTTTTTATTATATTTTTATAGATAAAAATAGGATTATTCTGATTTTCTGTTTTGATTTCATTTTTTAAATCTATTTTCATTTAATTTCTCTTTTTAGACAGTTTTTTTCATAAGTATGATTTAAAAATTTTAACAAATTATGTTTTATTTAAATTTATTTTATGCATTTATTCAATTTTTATCTAACTTTTGCATTTAGTTTTATTGGATTAATATATAATTTTAGAATTATATAAATGATATATTTTATATTTCTTTTTAAATTTTTACTTTTTTCATTCTAGTATAATTTAAATAATAAACATATTTTTTAAACAATGATAATTATTTCTTTTGAAATTTAATATTTTGAAGTGTTAATTTTTAATTTTAAAATTTTTACTTAAATTTTTTAGCTTTTTTTTAATTTTTTATAATATATTAAATACACTTTTTTAAAAATTAATTTTCTTTTATTTCTATAATTTTTAGTTAAAAGTTTAATATTCTTTATTGCTTTATTTCTAAAATTAGTATATTTTTGATCTATTTTGTTTTGGAAATTTAAATATTTTAATCATTAAATTTTTAAATTAAATTTTTTTACAGTTCTTATAAATTATTTTATATTACTTATTTTTAATTTTTTATAAAATCAAAATTTAAAATACTTCTATAAAATAATATTTTATTTTATAAATCATTATTTTAAATATTTTTATTAGACATTTTGAATGATTATCACTATAGTTAATCTTAATATAATTCAATTTTTTTCCAAGAATTTATATATATTGATATAAATTAGTAATAAAATATATAATAATAATTGTTTCAGATTAGTTTTAAGTTTCCTGTATTTTCTCTAATTTTTCCGTGCCTGACTATTTTCTGGGGCAAATGAGGGGCAAATGTAAAAGTGAATTAATGATAAATGAATTATAAAAAAGTTTAAGTAATAAGAAAAAAAATCTGGGTAAAAAATATAGATTAATTATGTAAAAATATATATTCTTTTAGTTAAAATATATGATAAATTAATACAAAAGAAACCATTGTTCTTAGTCTCTACTTTTTACTCTTTCTTATTTCATTCGGTTTGTTTACGTATTAAATATACATGCTATACCCTATATCCTATTTATTTGCTTTTTAAATTACAAATGAAATAATTATCACTATTAAAGATCTTTTCATAAAACTTAATCCAGTTATTTTTGCCGCTTTATTTGGCTCTACGACTCTTATATCATCTTTCTCTGCTGTAGATTTTGTAAGCTTAAATTTTTTTGTAGACATTAATGTAACTGTTGATGTTATTGTTGACGTTTTTGTTGTTGTATGTATTGACGTTTTTATAGATGTGCTTATATATGTCGAAATATGCGTAACCCATATATCTATCGTGTTAATTGTTGTACAAATTTCATCTTCCGTAATTGTCTTTTCCCTGTTTTCAGTCTCTTCAATCTTTTTTGTAGTTGTAGTTTTCTCTATAATTGTCTCTGTTTCCATTGTTGTTACTTCCTCGGTCATTGTCTTTGTTAGATATGGTATTACTTGGAATGGTTCCAACTTTTTACATATGTCTTCTATCTTTTCACACTCATCTTCATAATTACATTCTTTTTTGAACCTGCAATCTTTCAATAAAAGATGGCATTTTTTTTTTAAAACTAAATATAACCCATAAACTCGTGATGCCTTTTCAAATACCAGTAATTCTTTTTCTGTAATTTCAGCTTTTAGATTTTCTCTTTTCATCAATCGAAATCCTGAAACAATGTTTATCATTTTATTCGATACTCCGGATACATCTTTTTCTGTTAAGTTATTAATTCTTGTTTCTGCCTCTGACAAAACAACTTTAAGTTTTTTCATCTCATCATTTACTTCTTTTTTAACAGCCTCATATTCTTCTTGCTTTTTTTGCAATTCAGGTAGCACTTTTATGATTTCTTTTAATAACTTAGAACATTGTTTAGCTATTCGGCTAACGAGTCTTTCACAAAGCTCTTCCTTGACTTTTTCATGATCATTATTAGTAATACTTTTACACATATTGACAAATCTAAGATTGTTTGTATTTTCCCAGTGTGTACAATATTTTTTAAGCACCAACATGCAATCCTCTTTTGTAGACAAATTACCTTTCAACTCATAAGCTATTTCATCTTCTAAATTTTTTTTCTGAAGGAAAATTTTGCATTCATCTATTAATTTTTTACAAAGTTCACCATTTTCCCAATCAGTTTTTTCTGTAAGCTTATTACAAAGTGGTGAAAGCTGTTCACAATAAGGTACCCAAATAGTACAAATTTCTTCTTTTCTAACATCATCTTTTACTTCTTGAATTACTTTTAGGTTCTTCATATTTTTTACCAGTGTATTACAATGGCTTATAAGTTCTAAATAGATTAAATCGCATGTCTCTTCTTGCCAAACACATGAATAATTAAATGGATTCTCTCTCCTTTTAAATAATCTACGGCATTCATTTCCTAAATCTTCTATGCAATGACTCTTATTTGAAAAAAAACTTTCATTTTTTTTTAATAAATAATCTTTTAGTTGTTTTACACTACTTAAATAACTGCAGCGTCTTCTTAATGTAGTACACGGTTTATGTATTAAATCTGAATAATTTTTGTGTTGTTCGCATAATTTTTGAAATTTAAAACATTCGTGTTCCTCAGGCATATCTCTTATCTTATTTAAAACCTGAAACAGATATTCATGCCTTAATTTTATATCATTCAAAAGCATTATACATGCATTTCTTGGATCAATACATAAAATAAAAAGTTCTTGAGTTTTATCTACAAGAGCTTTGCACTTTTTTACTAATATTTCTTGGCATTTTTTAAGGTTATTATTGTCTTTCTTTAATCCATCGAAAACGTTATGCATTTCTTTCTCTAATATTTCACTTGCTTCAGCACTGAGTCCTTTTTTATAACATGCTGCTTTGAGATTTCTACATGCCACATTAAGATTTCTTGGGCAGTGTAATTTTAAGTAAAAACATTTTGACAACAATTCTGCGCAATCTTCTTCCGTAAGTGACACTGTTAAATATCTCCATGTATAAAGATTTGATGGACTTTTGTTATTATTACTAGAAAGACCCTTTTTATAGAGTTCTTTTTTTAGGTTTGAACATTTTTCTTGTGAAATTACTAACGTTTTACATACATTTTCCCTATCACCGTTATTATCACAAAGGCTTTTTAAATCATTTCTTAAATTTTTTAGAAAATCACATTTCGTCTTTAGCTCACTTATGCATTTATTTTCATCTATATCGGATATATTCGAATTTTGAATTAACAACAATAAAAAATCAACGATATCTTTTTTCCCAGGTTTTGTAATATAAACTCCATAAAACTTAGCTCTTTTATAAAGCTCTTTTAAACCTGTCTTTTTCTGTATTGTAATATCTTGTGTTACAGGATCAAAAGGATAATCAGGAGGTGTGTATGCAACCTTTTGATCTCTGCATTTCTTTGTAATTTCATTACATTTTACCTTTACTTGTCCGTTACAGTTTGGTTGATAAAAATAACATTTCTCAAGTAGCGAATAACATGTTGTACTATCAATGTTTTTTAATACTAATCCATTTATACTTTCAAGAGTTTTGCAATTATTTTCAGCTGCTTTCCTAAGTTCCTCTGTGGTTTCCTTTTGATTAAGACATAATTTCATCAGTTCGTCATTTTCTTTGCTTAGGAATGGACAATATTCCATAAGCATTTTTCGAGATTCGTCAATATTTTGGAGGTTTTCCTTAAGCGCTCTTAAAAGAACTTCTTTTGCTAAATCATCCCGTCTATTTTGATAGCATTTGTTTCTTAGAGTATTGCATGGGATAGTAATTTCATTTGAACATACCGTTTCTAAAAATAGACATTGTGGCTGATACATTTCACATCTATCATATGGCATTGAGTTATTTAATAGATTTTTAAGCGCTAATTTAAGTGTTTGACATTTTTCTTTAATTTTACTTTCCAAGCCTTTGCACTTTGTACCTTCTGTATCACGACATATTTCATTTAACTTTGAATCCAGATCATTTAAATTTAAATATGCATCTTGTAAATATTTGCAATATTTTCGTATATTTTCTTTGCATTTTGATTCATTTTTATAATCCATTCTTAAAATAAAAGCTAAAAGATGGTCTTCATCAAAATTGTTTTCCTGCTTTCCTGTTATTAATGCCTGTCTCTTAACTCGCGTTATTTTGAGTATTAAATTCTGGGTATCATTTGGTATCTTTTGTAAAATGTTTTGGTAATCAACGGTTTTACTCTTTTTATTACACATACTAGCCATTTTTGTATCTAAATTATTCGAATTATCGCATATATCATTCAATTCTTAACGCAATGTCACGAACAATAATTGGTATCCATTATAAATTTTACCTTTTGTGAATAAAGAATAAAAATCAACCTCACTATAATAAAAACTTTATCAATTCTGCGTTTTTAAGGACAATTGAGAATCTTTATACCTTACTTTTTCTAATGAACCTTCCCTTTTCTCATTAACAAAGTCTAAAAAATAAGAATTAAACTATGTTAAATAAGAAAAGAAATACCTTGAGCATTAATATGTCTTGAAAGGATATGCATTAAACCAAAGACGCGAAATGCAAAGGTTTTCATGGATCAAATGAAAACAAAAAAACTTTTATTATTGGCAAATAAAATGAATTTTTTGACATGAAAAATACGTGGGTAACGTTCTCTAAAAAAAAGATTAACAATTGATAATAAGTAAATAAGTAAATAATGTTTGCACTTTAACACTGTTAGCTATTTTAAGATTGTTGATATATCTATTACCTTTTCTTGGTACATTAATCTAAATTTTTATAAAATGGACCTTTTAAAAGTTTACTTAATTCTAAATTGTCTAATCTTAATGGTATTTTATAATCCATATACCTTAGTATAGAATTATATTAATTGATGTATTGGTAATTTTATTTTTTTATATATTTAAATATTATATCAGAAGAAATTGTTAGGATCAAAATTAGGCCTATATATAATAAAGGTTAATTTTAAAACCCAATTTTTAGTCAATATTAAATTTATAACTATGTTTCTTAATTGAGAAATATATTATGTATTTTACTTACGTAATTTACATTTTAGTGTATACTATAATATAATATTAATATATTAGTATATATTATATTTACTGTATTTTATCTTTATAAAAGCGCGTAAATATAATAAATGTTTAACTTTTATTGCTACTTTATATACATTCTTGCATTATCTTATTACGCATTTGAAATAGGTAAATGTTACCTCTAGTAACACGTGATTGATTACGTTATCGCTCTTGATATTTAGCTACATTCTTTTTTCTTTTTTAGTCTTTTAATAATGTTTAGGAATTTAAAGAACATCTTTATATTGCTTTTTAATACCTTATATGCTCTTTAATGATCTTTTAGCAATTTCTCATTTTTATAATCTCTTCCTATGTTCGATTTCTTTTAATTGTATTTATTTATTTTTTGAGTTTTAATTTTAATTTTAAATATCTCTAACGTTATCAAATCTCAGTTTTTTATAAAATTATAATTTTTCAAATATTTAAAAATCAAATGTTTTTTATAAAACAGTAATTATTTTATTATATATCACCAGATATTTGTTCCCTAAGCCCTTTTTATTTCACAAAGCATATATTAGGTATATTATGAATTTTTTAAATTTTTATTTTCTTAAAACTTTGAATCTTTTTCAACTTTTCAAAATGAGATATCTATTTCTAGTTTTACAATATCATCTATATCTTTTTATTAGTTTTTTAGTAGAGATGAATTGTAACATTTTGGAATAATGTTCTATTTTTTAGTCTAGTATTAGTTATAATATTTCTATGGTATATTAGTTTAGAAATTAAAAAAAATTTAAATAATATTCCTAGAACATTTTTTTTGTATAGTAAGTATATATTGTTGAAATTCATATAGTTGTGATCTAAAATTTATATATGCTTAATTTGAATATCTAAGTCTTTTAATATATAAGTTAATTTATTATTTAGAATTATTATTTTAGAAAATAAATGTATTTCTTTTTAGTTTTGAAGAATTCATTTTGATCGTCGTTTTCTATAAATTTTATACAATTCACCAGAAATTTATAATAATATAAATCTAGAAAGAAAATATAATATTCTTAATTTCACCTTTTTAGTAAAAAAATTTTAAAAAGGCCGATCATTCGTAAAATTTTTATTTTATAAATATTTTGTACCGGTTTTCTATATTTATAGTTATTTTGTAAATGGTATTGTATGTAATATAAAAAAAAAGCGTTATTGTTTTTAGATCATTAAAAACGTTTTTTTATTTAAATGTATAGTATAATTTTCATAAAGATTAAATTATTTTTATGGCTTGAATAAAATGCATTAATTTATTTACAAGATAATTCATTTTTCGACATGTTAGGTAATTTTAAAAATTTATTTTTTTAAATTTTTTATATTTTGCTTTTAAGAATTTTTTAAAAAATTATATATATTTCCCAAGATATGCTGTAAAAGTTATCCAAGTTATCTATTTGAATATTATTTCTGAATAAATTATATTATATATTTTCTTTCGATAAACGTAGAGAATAATTGATTGTATTCATTTTTTAATTTTTAGGATTTTTTATTAATTTTCAGAATTTTCAGAATTTTCAGAATATTTAATAGAATTAGGTTCTAAAATAACTACAATTTACTTAATTATTTAATATATTAAAATTTATTAACACAGCAATATGTCAGATTTTTTAACACTTTAAGAATCTTCGTGAAGTTTTTTTCTAAAATAAAATTAATTTTATTTTAAATAAATTGTTTATCATTTATTTTTTTAGTAATCAAAATGAATAGTGTTTTTTGTTATACTTTTTTTTAATCAAAATGCCATTTTTAATGAAATATTTTCTTAAAAATTGTAATTTTTAATATTTGAATTTTCAAGTTGTTAGGTTTTTTTTTTATTATTTAATACATTAGAATCCCATATATTCTCAAAATTCTTCAATTTTTAGAATATTTACATGTACTGAGTACTCTTAATCTTGGTGTTAAAAATTCTTTAAATCTTTAATGCTAATATTTCAATTATATTTTAAATATATCTTAACAAGAAAATTATTTATCTATTTTTTTTTTAAAAAAGCTCATTTAAATTTATTCTTTTTGCAATTTCAGGAAGGTACTTTATTTAATTAAAAATAGTTCTCTCAACACATATAGTTTATGTTAATTGGTATCCTTTTTAATACTTTTTATAGACAAAAATCTATTTTTTATATTTGTTATTTTTTTTACATTACATTATTTTACATATTAAATTTTTTATTGAATTTATTTGGGTTTGAAAAGATATTTTCTAAGTCTTTAATATATTTTTATATTATCTTTTTATTTTCTGAACAATTCTTCAAAATCAAAATATGTTTTTAGATTTTTTATATTTTTATCATTTTTCTTTTAATTGTTTATATAACTGATTATTTCAAATTTCAACTAATTCTTCTTTCAACTGAGCATAATATAGAGAAATAAGATATTATATTAAAATAATTATATTTTTTAAGGTATAACTTTCATTGTATTTATAAGTATATCAAGCGTATTTTTTTTTGTAAATTTTAAAGACCAAAATAATAAATTCATTTTTAAATTGTAATTAACTATTAAACAACATTTTAAAAACAGAAATTTATTGGGCATATTAGTTTCTATAAGATATAAATTTGAATGTCTTCGAAAATCTTTAGAGTTTATTATTTTTACAAGTATCTATATTAAAATATATTATAGCAAAATACGAAAAAACAAATATTCTTCATATTTTAAAGGAGTATTTACATTGTTGCAATCACTCTTATAATTAAAAGAAATACCAATACTTTTTGAAATTCTATTCGAACCCCACGACTCTTTTCTATTTGAGCGTTATCTGTGGTTTTTGGTATTTTTGATACTGTTACAGTCATTGTAATAGTTTCACTAAATTTATTTTTTATTATCATTGTAGTTGTTATTTCACATTCTTTATCATTTGTAACTGATATATTTTTATCAGGTGTTTTTGTAAGACTTGGTTTTAATTTGTCTTTAGATTCTGTTGTTTCTAAGCTAGACGTTGGACTTGGTTTTGGGTTGTTTTTGGATTCAGTTGGTTTTAAGCTAGTTGTTGAAGTCGGCTTTGATTTGCTCCTGGATTTTGTTGGTTCTAAAGTAAATGTCGGTATTGGACAAATAGCCATATTCAGTGTACAAGTACAATCTTCAGTATCTTTTGAATTGCAATCAACTGTTTTTAATACTACGTTTGTGTGAGTAGAATAAACTGTTTCTGTTATGTAAATTGTTTCATCAAGAATTATAGTATGAGTATTTTCAAAACTAATATATTCACTCTGTGTTGTAGAAATTGTCTTATGTCCTGTTTCATTTGGTTTTTCACAATGAGTTCCCAGTCTTTCACAAATAGTTGTAAGCTTATTTCCGCATGTTTTCCCTAAGTATTTACATACCAGATTTTCTTTTTGACATACATAATTTGTAAATTCGCTTGTTTTTTCTAAGAATTCTTCAAGTTCTCTACACATTTCATCAAAAAAATGTATCGTTTTTTTACATGTTTCTGTTGGATTATTACATGCAAAAGATAAACTCGTTAAGCGATTATCATTTTTTGGTATAGAATTTATATGTTGACAAAATTGAGTCAAAATATTTACACATTCAATTACAGTATATTTACGATTAAAATATGTTGCAATTATTACTGCCAGCAATCCGTAATCTTCTGAAGTAAGATAATTTCCTTGAGATAAATCATGATTTTCGAGATTAATTTTATGTAAGAAATTTTGAATTTCATTTAATTGTTTATTAATATACTCATCAAAACTCATAAAATTACTCCGTTTCTCAAATGACTTATATGGATATACATGGTTAAATATTAATTTTTCTTCATTATCTAAAATATTTAAATTTTGACTTGCAGAATCTTAAAGAGTTAAAAATTCATAAAAGAAAAAATAAAATAACCTGAAATTCTACTATTTTCTGACAAAGCATTTGTAAATGCAATAAAAATCCCATATATAAAGACTCTCATTGCTCCAACAATAAGTAATTAACGTGTACATTTTTATAGTGTCTTTTTTAAATATTATTAAACGTTACTGTAAGGATTTTATCCCTGTATCCTTGTAATTTAAAATAAAATAAGAAATCATTTGCAAATAAATATTCAGTATAAAACATGAAATCAAAAATAAATACATTGTTTTGACTTTTATATTACTACCTTTTATTCCTTCTTTAACAAACATAATTTTTTTTATATGTTTATTTGTCTATATATTTATAAATATAATAATATGATGGAAAACTTTAATATTACAACTTTATTTAATATTATCTTGCATGCAGTTTATCTAAAATATATATAGAAATCCATTCTTGTATTTGCATATTTTTTTTGTTATATTTATTTTTCTCCTTTTTTAAATTTTATCGGCTTGTTTCTTTAATCTTCTTACACGTTTTTTTAAATTTTTTATGAAGATTATTGTTTTTTGATTTTTTAGATTATTTTTTATTAATATGTAAATTTTATATTTCCTAAATCTTAACTTTTAAAGTTTTTTCTAAACATTAAATTTTTTTCATCTTTTCATATTTTTTATATTTATTTTTTTATTAATTTTTTGTATTTTAAGTTTAAAAACATTTTTTAATTTATTTATAAAGAATAAAATCCATAAATTTTTTTGGAATTCTTAAAAAAAAGTATATTCATAATATTTATAAATTTTTTAGTCTTATTTTGATGCTACAGAATTAATTATTTTAAGTTATTATTCTTAGAAGTAATTAAATCATAAAGATATTTATAATCAATGTATAATTGTTTATTTAAATCTTGAAAATAATTATTGAAATTTTTTAATTTAATTATTCGATATGAATCAATTAATTATTTTTCTTTTAATAATTTTAATTTGTTCTTAAAATTTTAATATATTATTTTAGTTTGGATTTAACAACTAAATTTACTTTCATGGTTTATTATTTTGAAAAAAATAGTTATTATTTTGGAAAATCTAGGATTTCAATTTTTAAGATTTTAGAATTTTTTATTTTTAAATATAACAAACTTGTTATTTAAATAATCTAGAAATTTCCGTATACAATAATATGAATTCTTTTAATGGGTCAGAATCTTCTTTAGAAGATGTTGAACCATCTTTTCTTGAAAATTTAGATTCTGTTGAACTTGAACAGCTCGAAAGTGAAGCGATCAATTCATATTCACAATATCAAATTGAGAATCAGGGTCAATTTCATATAGAGCATCAGGTATATATGCAATGTCCATATTATATAAAGAGATATTTTTCTATAAAATTTTGGACTTATGTACTACATTAGGTTAATACTCGGGAAAATACTTGTGCAAAACATAAGCTCCATGAACATCAAGATGTATGTTTACAAAATCCATTTCATATGGAGATTGTAAAGAAAAACATCTCGTTTTCAAATACAGAAAATGATATTTATAGTAATTTTTGCATTGATTCTAACAAAATTAATCAACAAAATATTTCAAACCAACGGAATACTATTCTTCAATGGAATAACACAAATTTATCTTCTGACTTAAACTTATCTAGTGAACATGGTATTATTACCTAATTAATTGATATTTAGGATTTATGTTTTATTAGCAAAAACAGAATATCATAATAAACAAATAATTAAAGCTGATTGTTCAAAAATGATAGAAACAAAAGTAGATCTTCCGCATGAGATGATAATAGAGGTTTTTAACATAAAATATTAAATAGTTCTGAAATATGTAGCTGCAATCACATTTCAAGTGTCTTCAGTTAGAACGAGATAAGTTTAAAGAAATAGCAGAATCTAAGTCTAGAGAATTAGCAATGACTCAAACTTTACTTGATAAAGTATTTATTTATTTTTATGTTCTTAAATATTTAATTAGTTGGTAGAAGCAACAATTCTATATAACTTCTATTGAAAAACTTAAAAAACAATACGACTTTTCACTGGAAAAACTTACTTTTCTTCAAAAGAAAACAGAAGCTCATTTAAACCGTGTCTTAACTGAAAATCAATTCCAGAAAAAGGAACTTGAAAATGTATCTGAATTAATTAAGCAATTTGAGCATTCAAAGAAACATACATGTATTTTGTTTAATACATCTTCTGAGTTCCCAACAAGAAAAGAATTTGAATCTGAAGAAAAAGTTATAGATCCCCCAATAAAGCGAAAACGAGAATCAAAAGAATACACTTCATCAAATAGTATGGTTCATATGTATCAGCATAATATAGAAAATTCTTGTTTAAAAAACAACAAAGATTCGGTGATACAAAGCACATTAAAACGAATACTGTTCCAACAAATGGACAGTGATAAAAAACTTCAAGTAAAGATTAAGCGAGTAGAAAGAATATTACTTATTAAAGCATAGTTTATTGAAGAATTATTCGATTATCGTGTGAATTATATTTTTGACCATAATAATAGTACAATTCTTGATATCCTAACTTCTTATAAATTGGATGGATTTTCAATGTCAATTTCATCGATGATTATAAAATCCATCTCTGATTCTCTTTCTATTTTAGATTCTATTCTAAAATTTTTACTTTACTTAATGGATTGTATAATGACTATTTGGAAAAGCTGTTTAGAACAAAATTATGTTTGTTTACTATATTCTTATTATGTAATAATTATTGATATTTTTAGAATGAACCCATCATATATATAATATCACTTGTACATTTTATGATTGTTTTTCATCCAAATATTCTCAATGAACTACTTGATATTGACAAAAATGAGTTTTTGTTAATACTAGTACAAAATACAATATCTCTACATACAACTAAGATAATAAAAAAAAGGTCTATTTTTGGATGTATGGATAAATATGTTATTCAAAAATGTTTGGAAATATTGAATATAATTATAAGTTTATTTGAAAAAAATGAACAAATTATGTACAGGTACATTTTTTTATATTCAAGGTACATTTTAATAAATTAGAATATCTTCTATTTTAGAAATTGATTTTATTCTGATCATGTTAAATCCTCGGCATGATTTATTATTTATTAAAAAAACATTAAGTTTTGTGAGTAAATGTATTTTTTTCAAATGTATTAAATATGATACTAAAAAAGATAATTTATCATATGATTCAGATAGTTTTTCTGGAATTTTAGACATAGTAAGTAAATATTTAACTGAAAAATATGAAAATTATGAAATATATGAGGTTTGCTATCTTATTAAAAGAAATAAATTAAATTATAAATAGATTGTGGATTTAAAATTAGAAGCTGTTATATTCTTGAATGCTGTTATGAAAGGTCATGTAAATGGAAAAAATCTTCTTGGTTCTAACGTTCTTGTTGTATCACGCCTATGTCGTTGTTTATCAGAATTAGTAAGTCTACATGGTATATCAGAAATTTCTACCCAAAGGTCCGTATATAATTTATAATTTCAGTTATTTATGACATAAGGATAAACATTATTCAGTCTATTGTATTAATTTTGCATGAAATTATCTCACCTGTTAATTTGTCTATACATTTTGCACAACCATGGACTCATTATGCTTATATTGTTTCAATGGCGCGTTTAAGTTTTGTTGAAGATGAAGATTGTCATGGAAAAGATGTATTTAATGATAAAACTGTAGAGTTAGCAAGAGATCTTCTTGAAATGATTGTAGGTCCAGAAGAAGGGGATGAATTGTATGATCTTTTCCATATTTCTAATTAATATATATTTAAAATGTATTGGAAGTTTATTATATGGATTATAATGAACGTTGAAATATAAATTTTAAAATGAAAATATAAATGTTTTAATATTTAAATATTTGCGTAAAAATGAGCATTTTGAAAAAATATTATTCTCAAAAGTAATGAAAGAATATTATTGGTATCCTTCAGAATTTTTTTCAAAAGATCTATCATTAGTTTCTAAGAAGTATGCTATTATTATTTTGAATCAACCATTGTCTTTGGAATATAACAAATTTTTACCATTGTGGAAAAAAGGTCTATTTATTAATATTGTTTTCAAAAATATGTATAATTAAAACAGCTGCTATAAGAATATGTGCAGATGGCGGCGCAAATCAGCTTTATATGTTATATAAGGACAATCCTGATATTGTAATTTCAAGTTTATTTTTTTTATGCTAAGAAATTAATTTTTTAGCTTCCTGACTATATCATTGGAGATATGGACTCTTTAGCTGAATCTACTTTAGAAGCATATAATTCAAGAGTATATAAATGGTTCATATAATTCAATTATTGATATTAAAGGGTGTAAAAATTATAAAAATAAATGATCAAAGTTCTACTGATTTCGGAAAATCTATGGATTTTATTAGATCAATTGACATATTAGTAATTAATATATACATATATATATATAATTTCTAAATAGTTTAAGGTTACAGATGTAATTGCTCTTAATACATTTTCTGGTAGAGTGGACCAAACTTTAGAATCAATAAATCAAATATATTTAGCATCATCTTTAAGTCCTCCAATTAACCTTTATTTACTTTCTGTGTGTAATATTACATTTCTTCTCTTTAAAGGGTTAAATAAAGTATATTTAAACCAATTAATTTTAGGACCTCATTGTGGACTTATTCCAATTGGAAGGAGATGTACTGTGACAACAGAAGGAATGAAGTGGGATTTAAAAGATAACGTTATGGAATATGGTGGAACTATAAGTACAAGTAACATGGTTTTGAAAGATATAATTATGGTAGAAACAAATGAAAAGATTTTGTTTACAGTAGAAATACGTTCATCTAATTAAATATTTTTAATTAGATATATAAATTATTAATATATGTATTTTTATTGAGAATCTAAAGTATATTTATTTTAAATAGTTTTATTTTATTGTAAATATAATTAACATTTTATTTTAATTATTTTGTAATTATTTATTTAATTAGAAATTTTATACATATATCTTGAAATTATTAAATAATTTTAATTTTTTTATTAAATTTTAAATTTTATCGAGATCTATTTTTAAAATCTAAGTGTTTTCATTTTTAAATTTAATTTCTGTAATGTTTTAAATAGTTATCTTTAAATTATCTTGTTGATTTCAGACATTTATTATGTATCTATATTTAATTGAATACAATTTGAAAATATTAGTAAAACTCTTTAAATTATGATAAATTACTTCCAATCATTTCTTTATATTTTCGTTATATAAAAAAATTAATTTTTTAATTCTAAAACTCAAAAATAATCTAAAGTACAAAAATAGAAATATGTTTAAAAGCTTGAGATATTTTAAGTGCATTATCATTTTTTCTTTAAACTATTATATAATAAAAATAACTAAAATTTAAAAATAGAATTTTTTTAAATCTATTAATGTTCTTATAAGTAGATAATTCAAAACATGTTTTGATATAGAAAAATAAATGTTAAATTAAAAAATAAATATTTTAAGATTTAACCGAGTTTTGTAAATTACTAAATTTTATAGTCTCAATATTATTTTAATTATTACTTCCTACCCCATATTATTTTTTATATTATTCTAATTACCAATTCCTGTAACATTTTCATTATTTTTATAATGCCTTTGTTATTTCTTGTATTATTCCGATTATTAGTTTTTATTCTAAATTATTATGTGTATTGTTGTTAGTATTTGTGTTATTTTGAGTATCATTTTTTATATTGTCGTGATTATTATTAACTTCATTATCTTCGTTATCTTTGTTATTTTGATTACTGATTTTTATATTATCACTATCATCAATTTCTTCTATACAATAAGAAAAAAGTTAATATATGAACAAATTACCATTATTATAAATTTCTGGATATTTTTTAAAACAATTTTGCATTACTTGAAATTTTTCTATACATTCTATGCCTTTAGGTTCTTCTTTTGAATAAACAAAACATGAGAACGCAGATTTAAATTCTTCTCCACATGGCCCATGAGCCACTATGTGTTTAGTTTACTTCTATAATTTAAAAGTTCCTTACTTCCTCCAAGACATGGACAATCCCTAATTCTATTAATATCTATAAATCGACAATAAATATGATTTACCAATTTATTTCTCCTGTTTTAGGATTAAAGGCTGAGTCTTCATTATCTTCCAAATCAGATGACGTTAAAATTTCTTCATTATTATCATTATTTGTATTTTCTGACTAGATTTATATTAATGATTATATATCATAACAATATAAAAGAAATAACCAATATGTTATTTGTATCCGTTTTAATAAAAGAAGCCATTGAGTATGCTACAGTGGATATGCATAACAAAATTGCAAAATTTGTAAAATGTCTAGTTTGATGAGTTGTTTAAAAAAGATAAATGATTAATGTATTATAAAGAATATAATGATATCTATTGACTGAGTTCTAAAAAGTACCCTAAGAAAAGATCTAATATTATATTTTATTTTTTTAATTAGTTTATTAATGAAAAATAAACTTTTTTTGATTTTCAATCGATCTAAAAATGTTTTCAAAAATATCACTCTATTTTAAAACTGGAAGTTTTTTAATGATTTTTATAAATGCATAAGTTGATTATTGTTATTATTAATTTATAACTTTAATTTTAATCTTAAATATACTATTTATTGATAGATTTTTTTATATTTAGAGCGATTTTCTAAAATGTACTTTCCTCTAAAAAATTAATAGTTTGTAAATTACTATTAAACTAATATATTGTTTCAAAAGTATTACTTTTAAATTATTTTTTTTGAATTCCAATCTAACATTTTTATTAATTTTGTTAAATCAAAATAACCTTAAATTAATTTTTAAATTTAAATAACTTTAATTATAATTATGATTAAAAATTTCAAAATTAAAACTATGTAGTAAATTAATCAAAATATTTTTTATTAAAATTATAAAAATTTTTAAATACTTTTTTAAAATAATATATATTCAGTTGTTTTAAGAATTAATTTTAAAGAATCAACTATATTAAACTAGAAAAAAGATATTTTATAAAAACATATATAACATTCAACAATTATTATAAAATTTTAATCTTAATGAATTTTTTTTCTTTTTTTATTCTTTTTTTTTAGAGATGCAAATGTTGTTAAATTATTTGAGGTTAATAATTTGGGTTTTTTCCAATAATACTATTTTGTTAATTTTAATTTAAAAAAGTTTTACAGACTACCTGTTTATGTATTTTTCTTGATTGCCTAATTGGTTTGATAAATGGTTGCAGTCTTGCTCTTCTTCCTTCATTATCATCTTCTAAATTAAATAAGATAAAAGTATAACTAAAATTATATATTATACTTTCAGGAATATAGTACCATTCACTTTCAAGTGGTTTTCCAGCAGCGTCTTTCCCTTCTCGTTTTATTTCTGCAACAAACTGCCCTACACTTCTTAACCATTTCTCAATATCTTCTTTTGAAAAAGCACTAGGAAATAAATGTGTAAATGTAGACGAAGGTATAGCACTTAATGGTGAAAATGCAAGAATCGCTAAAACACAATCAAGTAAATCAGAATCAATAAAACTTTTCTTAGAATCAAAATTATTTAAAGTCAAAGAAAGAGACTGTGTATCATTTGGAAATATTTTAATTTTATCTAAAAATAATTATCAAAAATAAGATCAATAGGAGTATTACTGTTATTTAAGGAAATTAGTTGTAAAGAATCAGAATCCGTAAATCTTGGTGAATTATAGATTTGAATATTTTTAAGATCATCTTGAGCTAACTCTTTTAAAGGAATTCTTTCTAATTTATTGTCAAATTCTAAATGATGGTGTACTTCTTGAGGAAATGGAGGAATATTTTCATTATTAGTACAAGACGAATAAATCTTATTAGTATACTTTTCATTATTAACTGATGTCTCTAAAAAGATAGGCCATAAAATTTGAGAAAATGACCCTGCAATTTCAATAATAATAGGACCAATGCCAGGTGTCCATTCAACAACACTAGTTTGATTTTTTTTTATTTTTCTTGGTTCATGTTCCTTATGGATATGAAGTAACATGCCATTCCACCCTAAACACGTAATATAAATTGCTTTATTTTCCAAATGATATTCAATTCTAGCATGAATACGACTAATAAATTTATTGTTCCTTGATATTGAAAGAGTACATGATTGGCTAGAACGTCCAATATAAACAGCCTTTAATTCGTTTAAACGCAAAGTAGGTAAATCATCAAAAGAATCATATTTATATTGTGGAGACGATGCGCAACAAAAAGTAGTAGATGATGATAGATCCGGAGTAAAATATGCATTTTCTTATGTTATTAATATTTTCTGTAATTTAAATATTTTCATAATAACACTTACTTTCATTTGAATTTTGGTGAATGTAATACAAAGGTGAAGATAATGAATCTAATGGATGATTCTTTTTTGAAAATTCTTCATATAATGATTCACTAAAAAAGTCTTGACTCATAATCTAAAACACAATTTAATTTTATCTTAAACACAATGAAATAAATCTTAAAAATAAGAACGAGCTGTAACACGCAGAAACTTGCGCGAAACACGTAAATTATAAATATACGCATTATGAAAATCAGTTAAATAATTTAAAAAAATAAAATAAAATATATTGAAAGAAATATATATTTTGATTAAAATTATTATATTGATATTTTCAGAATTTTTAATTCTAAAAAGTGAAACCTTTCAATATATATAAATTCCTATAATTTCTGTGTAAATATTTTTTGTTAATCTTACCATAAATATGAAGTGAAATTTGTAAATATTATTTTAAATATGAAAATAATAGTCTTCATTTTTATTTATGGAGATTTATTTTAAATTTATAAAATATTCAAATATGAATACTTGATATACGAAAAATTGATATAGAATCTGCGTTTTAAAAATATTATTAAATAAAAAATATATTCGTTATAATATATTTAAGATTTTTAGAATGATATATAATGGCAAAACTTTAATAATTATAATAAAAATAAATGCGCGTTTTAATTGTATTATATTAGCAAATAATATATATTTTTGTTTTAAAAATCAAAAGATTTAAAAGTTATATTTTGTTTAGTGCTTATCCATTACACAATTTTATTTAATAATTAATAAATTATTTTTTAATTTCAATATCTATAAATTGTTTCAAGAAAATTAAATTATATAAAATTAATTTATAATATTATACACTTCTTTTTTCATCATCATCCATCTGTTCATACTTAAGAACAAGAGATTTGATATGCTGTTGTTCTTGTTTTTCTGCCTCTTTCTTTGTTCTTGTTGATATAGCTAATGCTGAATCTGATGGTATATCAACCATATAAGTCTAAAAATATAAAATTGACATTAAAAAACGTAGAAAGTATACCATTGGACGATTTCCTCGCTTAACAAGTAACGTAAAAGAAATATTGTTATTTAAAACATCAGATGATTCTATTTTATTGCAATTCAATTGAATACTTTGCCGTTTAATTGGTAATGGGGGATCAAATATTCCTTTACGATCAAATTTACGAGTTTCAAGACTTTCAGCAATTATTTTCGAAAATTCATGGTCAAATTCTTCCTCTTCTTTTTTATTTCGCTGTTCTCTCCTAAAAACAATTATTTCATCATCTTCATTAATATGTATAGAGTCATTTTTAACATTATCCTTTTTTTATAAGTTTTTAATTTTAATAAAATATAAATTACCCCCATATCATCTTTTTCTTGAATTTCCGTCTCATGTTCATCAATTATAAGCACATCATCATCATTGAAAGACTCTGTATCAGTACTATCCTCTATATTATGAGAATTTGTTTGAATATCTATGAAAATTAATAGAAAATAAAAAATATTTAAATTGCACCATAAGGCTTAATATATTTAGTAATTATTTCGTCCATTCCTTTTGCAGCTTCCTCAAGAGACGATGCTAGCTTTAAATTTGAGCGAATCAAATGCATAGTATCTTGTAAAACAAATTCTACATCCATAGTAAGAGGATGTTTAGTATATATATAATACTAATTTTTGTAAAAAGAAACATTACTATAAATAATTCTTATAACCTGAAAAAATGCTAAAAAAATGTCTAATTTTTTTCTTGATGAACCTCTATCAAAACATAATCCACATGTATCTAATAATGTGCAAACTAAATGAATACGAAAAAAATCATCTGGAGGATCAATTGGTGTATATTTATCAGGATGAGGTCTTCCTTCAGCTATTTAAGATTAGTAAATATAAAAGAATAAATATTTATATTTTTACCATGTCCAAATATAACTAATGTATATAAAGTATCAAATATAACTGGAGTATCTATAATTTTATAATTATATAGCTCACCTAAATATCTAATTAATGCAATTTGTCTTTGATTGTATTTATAATTATTTTCTTCTAAACCAACTCGAATTAATTCGAGAATGCTATCGACCAATTTTATAGTGAATTCATGATGATAAAAAGATAACCCTTTAATCAAAATTGCTAATAAATGTATATTGTTAAAACGGACATCCCATACTTTTAAAAAAAGTTTAAAAAGCAAATTTTCCATCTTGATATGTTATTCAAGAAAAATTAGTTTAATTAAATTACTTCTGGATTTTCCCAATGTAGTTTTCTTAATTGTTTAAGTATTCGCGGGTAATTTTTTTTGTTTAAATCGTAATATATTAACTTTCTAATATAAAGTTCTTCAACTGATTGAATTTTATGATGAATTACTGGTTGTTCGGGTGGATTAACCTGTATTTTTAAGAAAAAAATTTAAAATAAAAAACTTTACATAATAAAAAGCATTTTCAATCATAAGACGTTCCTGTTGCCCTAAATTTTGCGCATTCTTTTTCCTCATAATTGTCTCTAACTATAAAAACTTTAATTATATTCATAATAAAATAAATATCATACCAAAGCAACCATTCTTGGATTTGTTTCAGGATGTCGAAACAAAAATCTGCCACATTCTTCTAATAAAATACATAAAGTTTCTATAGTTTGTTTGGAAAATTTATCAATTGTTAATTTAAAACAATGAAATACTAAATGATGTGGAACTGCATTAAATTTTATAAGTTCCGACAAATATCGAGAATTCTTGAATAATGAGAAAGTTTTACAAACTTAATAATTTTTACCCTTGTACGTAATTCTAAATCCTTAGTTCCTAAAGCAATTATTTTTTTAAACTGTTTAATAAGCTAAAATATGATTATTTTTATTATAAACAATAAATAATAACTAACATATTCAACAACAGAATCTCTAATAGTAGGCATATATTTGCTTAGTGTTACAATTAAACGTGAATAATAAGGAAATATGTCTTGACGATTTCGAGGGGGCTCGCATAAAACCTTTAAAATTAGATGTTTTTTCATAAATTTTATTTTAAAACCTTTATTAACCTATTCCTAGAAGCCTTAGAATTCAAAAAACAAAAATCTATTGCTGCTTGATCAATCATATCTCGATTATTAAGTTCAGGTAAACGTGTAATGTAAGCATCGATTTGTATACCGACTCCTTTAGACATATTTAAATCTTCTTGAGAAAAATCACTAAGAATTATTTTAATTGAAGTTATATTAATGAAATCAATACTTTTCATTTATTTCATTTTCAATTGCTTCAATATTATCATCTGTAATATCTAAATCCATTTCATCAAGTTTATCAATAGGAGGTGGTTTATTTTCATTAGACATTTCACTTTCTTTATTCTGCTTTTTATCATTAGTTAAAAAACTAGAAGGAACTGTATCCTTTAAGTCAATGATATCTTCATAAAACTTTTTTTGATCATCATCTTCCCATAAACTGTTAATAGTAATTTCTTCTCTCTCTTGTAAAAAGGAATTACTAATACGTATACAAGAATCCATATTATTGAGTGTATCTTCGTCTTGATCTTTTAAATCTGGCATTAATAAACCTAAAATATCTGCTAATCTATAATATTTAGAATAATTCCTAAAAAATAACTAGTACATTTTTGCATTATTGATTAGTTTTTCTAAATGCTTTTCCAGGCGGTCAAGATTATTTTGACGATCTTCGTTAATTTCTCCTCGGCTAACAGATGCATCAGATACGCTTTTTTCTTGAATTTTGAGATTCTATATAGATATTAAATAAAATATTACAATAAAAAGTACAAACCCTGTGCTCTTTTACTATATATTCTTTTAAATTATCAAAATATTTTTGCAATAAAAGCTTAATATTTTCCCTAATATCGAAAGGACAAATAGATATGTTTTCATCAATAGTATACTGTTGTGAAAACTCTACTGAATTTTCAGAAGTATTTCCATCAAAAATTTTCCGCAAACGCTTCTGGCTGATACAAAAAATATCAGTTGCAAAATTTCTCACAAAAGTTACAATAAGAGGTAAATTAACATAATCTCGATCTTGTTGAATAATATCTTTAATAATAGAATATACAAAAGGTTCATTTGTGTGATTTTCAGAACGTTTCTGGTATTTTGAAGACTTTAGTTGAGAATTAGTATTTGTAACGACACCTAATGGGATTGCATCATTCAAAGTTCGTAAAACTCCAACAAGCCAAAGCTCAACAGAAACACGAAGAAGAATACGTTGTTTCAATAAACGTTGAGAGTCTTCTTTTTCGCGTTGTTCTGGAGTTAATGATGCCATATAGCTTTTTAATGGTTGAGTAAGACCACGTGCTATCTGAAAAGTTAAAAAAGGAGTGAATAAAGTTGAAAATCTTTGATGAAGTGCAGAAACAACCTACATGCATAAAGCATAATAGAAATAGAAGTAATCAAAATACCTCAATGGCTGCAAAAATATCCGTTGATGTTTTAGATTTTTGCAAGCCTTCTATAACCGCCCCTACAATCTCTGAGATATATTTTTCGAGTGATAGGGTCTTTAAGTCTCGCATCAATTGATCATGAACATCCCCTGTGATTCCTGCACGCAAGCGTTTAATAAAAGCAGTATTTTTTTTCAAACTGGCATCAAGATTAGATGCTGTTTTAAATATTCCTAGTATAAAATCAGACAAATTCTCTTTATACTAGTTAAAACCTTGAGTGCCATTCCATGTTTCTAGGTTTTTGAGGCGGAGCTCCATTTTTTTTTTCTGTTTTTCTTCATTAAAATGAACATTTATATTTATCAACTATTCTTTCATTATTATATCTAATTTTTTTCAAAAAAAACATACATCTTGTGTTTCTTCTTGAGTATTTGGATTCATTTTGAAATTTTCATTTATTAGAATTTCCTGGATATTGTTTATTTAAAAAATATAGTTTTTAAAAACCATATTATATGTTAGAAAAAACGATTTGTTAAAAAAAACAAAAATAAAAAATGTCTTCAAGAAAGGCACATCGCGGGCTTTCCCGGCATCTTTCTAATAGTTCTTTGCAACAACTAAGGCTGTTAGATACAGAAATTAAAAAAATATCTAATATAGATAAAATAAATGAAAGAATAACTAGAAATCATAAAAATATACGAAAGCAAGTAGGATCGAGTTCTAACGAAGATAAGAATAGTGAGGTACGTTTTTTTCTCTGTATACATTAATTTGGATGAATTATTATTATGTTTTTATGTTAAATTTTTCTATAAAGAAGTATATAATTTTTGAATAAATTCTGATAGAAGAACAGAATGAGCATGTAGATATATGTTTTTTGGAAAATAGATCGAATTTTTATTTAAGGACAATATGGACTTTTGCTATGATTTTTGGATTTCTTGTGATTGTTGCTGCTGGACATATTTGGATTATCATTTTACTTACTATTATTCAAGTAATAGTTTTTAAAGAATTGATGGCTATTGTCAATATTTCAGATAAGGAAAAAAAGATTCCATGGTTTCAGACCTTGAATTGGTATTTATTATGTTTTTACTAATTTTTTAATTAATAACAGGTATTTTCTTTCTACAACTTTATATTTTGCATATGGTGAAAGTCTTATTTATTATTTTAAACATATTATTATTGTAAATGCATTTTTATTTTCTATTGTGACTCATCATCGATTTATTAGTTTTATACTTTATGTTGGGGGTAATTTTATTACAAAACGTATGGTTTATCTCTGATTTGCTCCTTTAGGCTTTATATTTTTTGTTATGAATCTCAAAAAAGGACATTACAAGTACCAGTTTACACAATTCTGTTGGACCCATATGATATTATTATTAATTGTGGGACAAAGTCATTTTATCATTAATAATATATTTGAAGGCATATTTTGGTAATATATATTTTTTCTTAAATTTGTTTTTTAACTAAATCTGCAGGTTTCTATTACCCGCATCACTTGTTATATGTAATGATATTTTTTCATATTTATGTGGAAAACTTTTTGGTCGAACTCAGCTTATTAAACTTTCACCTAAAAAAACTGTTGAAGGATTTATCGGGGGCTGGATTTGCACTGTGATTCTTGGGCTTACTATGGGGAATATTATCCTTCATTGGAATTATATGATATGTCCATTAAGGGTAACTAATATATTTGCCATGTCAATATTGATATATGAATCAGGATCTTGGAGCGACTGCACTAATCGGATTAGAATGTGTTCCAAATCCAACATTTATTTTACAACAATTTTCTGTTCCAGAATTTATAATATCATATTTGGGTTTTCCGTATCATACTATTACTATAAGACCTGTAGAATTTCATCTTATGGTATTTTCTACATTCGCATCTCTTATTGCTCCATTTGGCGGGTTTTTTGCGTCTGGGCTTAAACGTGCATTTAAAATCAAGGATTTTGGGGATTCAATACCAGGACACGGAGGTTTAACTGATCGTTTTGATTGTCAATTCATAAATGGTTTTTTTGTATATCTTTATTATCATAGTTTTATTGCTGTCTTTTTCCAAAGATTATACTAATTTTGCTAATGTTTTTATAGGTAACCCATGTTTCTGTAGGGTCTGTTCTTCAAACTGCTATTACTTCATTAACATATGACCAACAAATGAGACTTTCTAATAGTTTATATAAATATCTTGTTTCCCAGGGTGTTTTGCCAGGTACTGTTCTTGATTGTCTCAAAAATTCTACATTTTGAAAAGTATCTTATTTATCAAACATTTTATCTTTTTTGTTTTAATTATTTATTTTACAATTATGGTTTATTTTTAAAATGCGGTTATTAGTTTAAAGTATATTATATTTATATAACTATAGTTGTTTTGTAATTTTATGTATTTTATTATCATTATATAATATAATTTTTAAAAATTTTGTAATTTTAAACCATTTATAACAATGAAAAATTACATTAATAATAAATGAAAATATTCTTAAGATATTTTTTTGTATATTTGAGTGCAAATATATTATTTTGATCAAAAATATTAATGTTAAGTATTAAAAATTAGTGTTTTTAATAAAATATATTAAATATATAATTTTAATTTGTTTTATAATGATTAAAAACAATTTTTTAAATAAAGGTCCAAAAATACTATACCATCAAACATTAATAATACAATTAAAAAAATCTAAACATCTGGACAAATTATAAAATCGTTCTAATTTTAAACATTTAACCTAACCAATGATAAATTAAATAAAAAAATAATAATGTAAATATGACGCCGCCCCAAAATAATACTTTATCTTGCAAAACCCTTCTTTTAATAAACCTAATTGTACTTTTACTAAGTCCTAGTATATTTACAACATTATACATTTTTCGTTGTACTTCCTATTTTAATAAAATAAAATCTTATTGACAAACTTTCAAAATAATTTACCTTCACTGAAATTCTCTGTTCTATCAAATCATTAAGTATAGCTTGTCCTCGTCCTAGAAATTCATCTAATTTCAAATCTGTTGTCTTTAAAAAATCTCGTGTTGGCCCCGTATAATTTTCGTGTTCATCTAATTTTTTGGATTCTGTGCGTCCATATGGATTTTCTGAAGATACATTTGTGTGAACCCGGCGTTCTAATAACTCATTTTTTTGATTTAAATGTTCCTTTTATAAGATATCAATAAAATAATAAATATAATAATAAAAACATTACTATTTGTTTACATTTTATTTTAAGATCATCAAAGTTTTCCTTTAATTCTGAGTACTGTTTTTTAAAATTTTTAACTCTTGAAATAGCTTTTTCTTGTTTTTCTATATTCATTTCTTTTTTTGACATTGCTTCATATTCATTGATAGTTCTGAAAAGAGAATTCAAACTCACTGTTATTTGACCTAACACAATTATTAAAGGCTTTTAGTTATATAAAATCAATATATTTCTGTAATTTTGAATTCTACCTTGAAGTGGAATTGTTGCTAATGGTGTATTATTTGTGATAAATGATTGAAATAAATTTAAATCTTTTTTCAAGTTTTGAGTCTGCTTAAGTGCTTGATTATAAAATATATTCATTTTATTAAAAGTATTAAGATTTTATTTCAAAAATATCTAAGTTTATCGAAAATTTAATTCTATATTAAAAATACATATTAAGACTAAACTTTTTATTATTGGTAAATAATTTATAGATATTTCTAAGGAAGTTGGAAAAATTAATTATTTTTACATATATTTTTCCTTTTTCCTTTTAGTATTAAACAGAATCTGCCATTTCAGCGTCATGAATAGAAGGCATATGTAAATTATCTTGCATTTGCTTATCTTTTTGTGAAAAAACAGGATTATTGTTTTCTTTAAAATCGTTTCCTGCTTCTGTTTCTGCTTTTTCACGTTCTGCTCTTTCACGTTCTTCTCTTTCTGCTGCCTCTTTTTCTTCCTTTGCAATACGTTCTTTGCGCTTAACTTCATCTGCATCAAATTTACGTTGAACTACAGGAGCCGCTGCTTTTATAAGATCCTCCATTTTACTCATATATACAGCTTTTGTTGTATCTTCACCTTCACTATATAGCCAATTCTAAGAATAAATTAAAAAAATAAAGATACTATTCTTAATAAAATACCTCTGCATCATCTAACATTTTCTCAAGTTTAGTTTTTTCATCATTACTAGCATAATCAGCATATACATCATTAAGTTTACTACGCATTTCATAAATATATTCCTCTAGTGCATTTTTTTGATTTTCAGTACTAGCAACTATTTTATCTTCTAAAATCATTGCCTCTTCTTTTTCTTTGAAAATTTTTAATGTAGCAGCGTTAAGGCAAAAATTTTCTGAGACAATGGGTAGATCTGCTTTTTTTAATAACTTTTTAACTTTCCGTGTTTCGGGCTTTTCTTGCTCTACATCCATTGAGTCTGCTGGTTGATCATTATTAGGATTCTCTTCATTTTTCGTGTTTTTAGCAGCAGTCTCGTCTTTTGGCGCAACTTCTTCAATTTCATGTTCTTCTACAATGTATGCATGCTCGAAACTTAAAAGTCCATGAAGATTAATCCGAACCTTAACTTTAACAATAGAGAAGCTATTGTTTGCATTAGATGTAACATTTTTGATATAATATTTCCCTATATATGGATTAACATATCTTGGCAAATTAGATGGATCCGAATATGAAGCTTCAATAATAAAAGGCTCTTTTCTATAGAAAGTGAGAATTTTAGTACATGGGACAGGACTATTCTTTGGAAAAACAACAGCAGTAGTTTCTTCTTCTGGAATTTCATTAGAACCTTCCCAAGAAAATTGAATAGGATAAGAAAGTAAATCATGAATAGAAAAATCGCGTACTCTAAAAACAGGAGATAGAATAGCACATGCAAATGCACAACCGCGCGCAACAGCTTCATCCTGATTAAGTGTAAATGAGAGCGGTTTTCCAAAGAATGCAGAAATTCTTTCTTTAAGAGATGGTATTCTTGTGGAACCACCAATCATTTCAACAGAATCAATATCAGCTGTAGTCATACCAGCATTGTCTAACGCCTCTTTTAAAGGAATAGTAACACTATTAAGTAAATCTGCAGCTATTTTTTCCATATCTTCTCTAGATAATATACAACTAACATCGACATCGTTCATTAACGATTCAACGCTAATAGGTGCAAGTGCATTAGCAGATAAAACTTTTTTCATCTTCTCAACCGCAAGCATAACTCTATATTTAGTTTTGGGGTTCTTTGTAATATCGATATTATATTTATTTAAAAATTCTACAGCAAAGTGTTGTGTAAGAATTCTATCAAAATCACGACCTCCAAAGTTTCGATTACATGCTGCTCCTTTAACAACAAGCTGGCCCTTTTTAAAAGATACGATTGATACTGTATAATCACTATGACCAATATCAACAATGCACACGTTGCGAGGCCTATCTTCAGGAAGATCTGTTTTAGTAATCCCGTAACTTAGAGCAGCTGCCGTTGTATCATTAATAATCCTGAGCACATTTAGACCCGCAATCTGAGCAGCATCTATAATGCCTCGTCGTTGTACATCAGTAAACCACCGTGGAACTGATATAACAACATCTGGAATTCCTGGATTCTCTTTTTGAAAAGTCTGTTTAATTTTTGTTAAGTACATAGCAGCTAGTTGCACTGACGTAAACTGCTCATTTTTTCCAAGAAAATTAACCTAATATCTAAGTTAATTCTTCTAGCAAAAAAAACACATACAAAATAATGCCTTCACTCCAACATGTCCATTTACATCCACTAAAGTCGCGGGTATATAGTTCTTCTCAATTGAACAAATTTCCGGATCCATGTAACTCCGTCCAACTATACGTTTTATACATGATACCGTATGGTTAAAATTGCCTATTTCCTGTGTTTTTGCTGATTCACCAAGATACCGACTCTTTAAACCAAATGATACCATAGATCTTTATATTTAAAATTAATATATAATATATCCTATTTTCTAGATAAAACTTACGGTGTAGAGCGATTAGAAACTTCATTTACTACAACATGTACATTTCCTCCATATGCATGTGCGATTACTGTCTTAAATGACCCAAAATCAATTCCTACAACTGACATTTTGCGTTTGGGTCTTTATAAATTTTCGTATTTATTTAAATTTCAAAAAATTGAGATTCGACAATTTATATTTAAGTCGTCGAGAAAATTCGATTTTAGAATCTCTCGAGAACATTCGATTGATAGAGGGAAATAACTTTATAAATAACTTTACATAAAATATTGAAAAAAAAAAGAAGTTGTTTAGAAGAATATGTAAAAATAGTAAAAGAAACATAAAAATATAATGATTATTAAAGAGAAAATGTTTTTTTATTATTTAGATAAGAATCATGAAGTTAATTTTAAACCAAATATATTTTTGTATTGAGCTTTTTGAGTAAAAATGTGTTAATATAACACAAATGTTTATAGGTATTTTTATTATATTTTGTAGAAAAAAGTAAATAGATGTATCAAAATATTATCAGAGTGGTGTATGATTTTTAAATATTTAACAGGTATATAGTGGTTATGAATGTATATAAAGCAGTAATTTTTTATTGTTTGAGGTAGATAGTATAAATATATTTTGTTTTGGAGTGACATGTTTGTTGTTATTATTTTAGATGTGCTTTAAGTGAGAAAGCTTGCTGTAAAATGAGATTTTGAAACAAGTTCATTTTTAGAAAGGTTAATGCTTTTAATAAAACCATGTCAATGTGTATATATTTCGGCTACTAATATGTTTATCAATAATAGAAAATATTTAATTAGCCTAATAAATATATTTAACCTATAAACGAAAGTATAAAATATCAAATTATATTTGATATACAAAATCATAGTAATTTAAAATGAATAATAAAAGCAATATCTATTAGAAATGCCATATTTACATGTTTTAGTATTGTAATATTAAATTAAAATATAATATTGAGATACAAGCAAAATAATATTTTTAGTTTATAAAAAAACAACATAAAAATAGAATACAATTCAAATAACACAAGGCATTTAATCTCCAGAAATAACAAAATAGATTTAAAAACAGTATATAATAGATGAAATCTATTTGATTATTTCTAATTATATATAAAAATGATTGAAAAAATTAAATATTTCAAAAATTATTTTAATTTTTATATTAATCTTCATCAATAAATTGCAAATACCCAATAAAAATAATTATTTAAAAATAAATTATTTGAATTTTAATTCAAAACAGTTATCATCAAAAGGTTAATAAATATATATTTTCATATTAAGTATTTTTTAAAATTCTATAATACTCTTAATGATCATTCTAATGTTATATATAAAAAATTCATATTTTAAAAATTATTTTTACCAAATATTTTTCAGATAATATTAATTGCATTTTTAAAACTATTCTAAATATTATATAAAATATCTAAATTTTTAATTTTTCTAAAGTATTATTCCAATAAAATATACATTTCTTGTTTTATAAAAATAATTAAATTTTTATATATAACTCAATATATATAATTTAAGCAAACTTGTTCAAGGCTAACTTTAAATATTTCAATCATTTTATTTAATAAATGATACCATCATTTGAACTTGTGTTTTTTCCATTTAACCAAAAACTCTTTTTACACTCTGACATCTAAACATTTTCATATTTTAATAATTTCTCAAGTAAATCATTGATCCATTGTTCATCAAACTTTGAACTAACATTCTTAAGAAGTGTATCTAAGCTTTCATATGTTTTTTTTTCAAACCCTGTTGATTTGCCAGCTATACTCAATATCGTCCATCCTAGCATTGTCCATTGAATATAAATTTCTTTTTCCTCTAATGTAACAATATTAATTGTGTGATTTTCCACACAAAAATTTATAGATTTAAGTCTTTTTTTATTCTCCTTACAAAAATTATTACATTCTTGGATAAACAAACTTGTTTCCATAAAATATTAAATACTAAGCTTGATCGAAAACAGCTGGTACATGTAACGTAGAAAAAAGTTAAATGAGTATTGCAGTAGAAGAAAAGACACATTTTTTAAATAATGAAAGGTTATTTTAAAAGATATCTTCAAATAAACTCTAATAAAAACCAGAATAATATCTGAATCAAGTATATCTTGCGAAAAAATGCAAGAAAAAGAAACTCAGAATGAAAAAATACCGGCAAAAAATGAAGAAAAAGTCCGTAAAAGAAACCTTTTAGATTTGTCAGATTTTCCAGAAACTGATGATCCAGAAGGTAAGCTTTTTAAACGGCAATATTAAAGATTTATAACTTTGTAGCTATTCTTCAACAGGTAGAGTTTTACTTTTCAGATTCAAATCTTCCTTTTGATAAATTCTTGTGGAATACGTCTCAAAAGAATGATGGATGGGTTTCTATTGAATTGATTTCTAAGTTTAAAAGGATGCGTCGTTTTCGTCCTATAGAAGCTATTGTTAAAGCGTTACGTACAAGTAAAGATCTTTTAGAAATAAGTGAAGATGGTGAATATGTAAGACGAAAAACACCTTTAGTAAAACCTGGAGAAAATGAGAAAACTGCTTATATTAGACGAAGTGTGTATGTTAAAGGATTTGGTGAAGAAACAAAAACCAGTCAAATAGACATTGAAAATTTTTTTAAAAAATATGGGAAAATCAATGTTGTAAGGCTTCGTAGAGAAGATGACGGGACATTTAAGGTATATAAAAGCAAGTAAAAAATAATATATTCTAACCAAAAATCCCAAGGGATCAGCGTTTTGTGAATTTGCAGAATTAGAGTTTAAAGAAAATTTTCTTAAAATAGAACCAAAGCCTCAATACAATGGAAAAGATCTTCTAATTATGTCAAAACAAGAATACATAGATATGAAGTCAGCAAACTCTGGAGATAAATCTAAGAAGAAAAAAAGATTTAACGCTTTCAAAGAAATGGAGTTTAATAATAGACTTTGTGGAAATGAGAATAATAAAAGAAAAAGAGACAATAGCCACACAAAGTCTCGAAATAAAAAAGAGAACAAACATTGTAAACTCGATAACCAAGAAAACTCATTAAAAGAAAACAATGAAGAAAATATTGTTTTGGAAACTCAAAAATTAGTTGAATCATAGTCAAAACCCTCGACAAACTATATATTAATGTAATAGATGTCATTTATTTCGGCTGCATTTACATAAAAATGGAAAGATAAAACAAATGTTAGATAAAATCTATATAATTAGTTAAATAATTATTAGTGTGCCTTTTAATAATTTTAGATGCAAAATTCTGTTAAGTCTTTATAGCCAGTACTATTTAGCATGGCCATGATTTATAAACAATTTAAAATTATCATCCACCAATGCGACCACGGCCTCTATCACTAGTTCTTCCTCCACGTCCTTGTATGTTTTGCATTCCACGACCTCTTCCAAGATTAATACCACGTCCTCCTATCTAATTTAGAAAGAAATATTTAAAATTGTATTTTGCTACCTCTTGAAATTCCTCTCTGAGTTCTATTATCACGGTTCTGTTCATTTTGTAATTTAACAATATTAATGATCTAACTTAATTATAGAACATAAAAGCAAAAGAAAAGAAATAACCTCATCAGGTATTCTTAAATATTTAATAGTAGAACCCCTAATATAACATTCTGAAAGTCGAAAAAAGCGATCACCGTCCTAATTGGAATAAATAATCAAATTTTCATACAAGATTACAAACAGCATTTGTTTGTATAACTTCTTTTAAAATTAAATTCATCCATGTGTCACAGCTCACCATATGTCTTAGATATAAATATCAAATATTGAAAAAAAAATGTGTTTAAATTTATACCCATTATATGTTTCACCATTTTTCAATTCAACCAACTATAAAAAATTATAAAAAAGATTTATAGAAATACGAAAAAACCATAGGATATCCTTGAGCTGCAGTTAACAAAGATAAAGGCAACTATTATAAAAATATTAATAAAAAAACCTTAGTTAAAAACTTACCATTTTAAAATATTTTAAGTATCAAAATAGATAATTTTAATTTAAATATAAGAAACTTTTTAATATATTTTTATGATTTTTCTAAAACTCAGAATAATTTAATGTATAATATTTTTATTTTTAAAATAAATCGTTGAAAAGTTTATATTTTTTATATTAAATATTGAAAACCAATACATAAAAATAGTATGTTTTTATTTACGATTAGTAACAACTAACATTACAAATTTCTATCTTTTAATATTCTAAAACATGATGCTAAAAATATGGATGATTTAAAGAACAGTCTTATGGCAAAAACATTATTAAAGTTTAAAATTTTTTCAATATTTTAAATTTGTGCTATTTAAACATTCAAAGTTTAAAATATTTTGTAGTCTGAATTTTCAGTTAATTAAAAAGCAATGTAGATAATATTTAAATTAAATATTTAAAGTTTCATAAAATTTTGAAAGACTTTTGCTTATCATAATTTTCCAGAAAATACAGAAATATTTAGTATGTTTCTTCGACAAATTTAATGCCTTTTTCAATATTTTTCTGAAGTTCGACATAACAAACTTCAAGAAGTTCTTTTTCATAAGCAGAAGTATTCTCAAAAGGATATACTTTTTCAATTCCTTCGAGCTAACCCCAATTAAAAACTAAAAAGCAAAAAATAAAATAACATACCCCTAATCCAACATTCATACTAAAGAAACGACATCCTTTATTCAAATAAAGCGTTGTTTCTATATATGCTGATTCAATAACATCTCTTTCGCCTTGAATACCGCGCAAAAGTGAATTAGTAAAACGAGCAGCACTTGTACTTTCAGAAAATTGACATCCAAATATAATTAAAACTCACGCATATGCCATCGACAATGTAGCACTACCCGTACCATTTTTTGCTTTAACAACTTCATCTCCTGCAAACTGTATACGAGTCGTTAAAGTTTCAGTCTCTTCATCCGTAAAATTGTGCGAGACTTTTGATAATAATGGGACAATTGTAACCCCAGAATGCCCACCAACAATATCAACATTTTCATCCCTTGGATCTGTATTTTTCATTTCTGAGACAAACCAAGAAGCACGAACTGCATCTAACGTAGTTATACCAAAAAGCCTTTTATAATTTAGACATTCATATTTATATATACAAATCAATACTTTTTGGGGTTATATACACCCTTTCTTTTATATACTTCTGCACATATAGGCACTGTAGAATTAACTGGATTAGAAATAATAAGAAGATGTGCATTTGGTGCAACATCTGCTGTAAATTTTGCCAAATCACGAACGATTGATGCATTTGTAACAAAAAGATCTCCATTGACTCAATCAAAAAAGTCACACAAAAATAAAATTACCATCTCTTGTCATGCCTGGTTTCCGAGGAACGCCTGCTGGAACAAGAACAACATCAGCATCTCTTAAAGCCTTAAATAATCCATTTTCCTCCGGTCCATATCCTGAAACCTATACCATAAAATATTCCTTCAGAAACACAAAAAATAAAATCCAACCTTGCATGGAGTATTAATATGGCTACAATCTGCTGCTACACCTGGTGCACCACGGATATCATAAAGTGCCAATTCTGATACCCGAGAATTCATTTTCAACAACAGTGATAATGGTTGACCAATACCTCCTCCTGCACCAAGAATAGAGACTTTAATCGCCTAGATTTAAAATAGATTAATATATAAAAGCTAAAAAAGCCCTTTTATCTTACATTGTGCGCTGTTGATGAAAATCCGCGCGAAGAAAAGACTGAACTGATGATAGAATGTGTTTTAAACATTTATATATTACTGTACGATAAAATAAAAAAATATATTATATAAAGCAAGGAAAAAGAGTTTATTTAAAAAATACATGGTTAAATGAAAAAATGAAGGTGCTAAACACTTATGTGTGTATACAAGAGAAGGAGTTTTTGCAAAATCTTTTTAAGTACATCAACGAGATTTTGATTAACAATACCAAGAGATCTAATATTTAAAGAAAATCCTTTAATCCATTCAAGCGTTTTGTGCTTATTAATAGCCCGGAGAATGTTTCTGTATAATTTATGAGTATTATTTGTGTAAAGCCAATGGAGAATAACAGAAAAAGAAGGAGGATGAGGCAAATATTTAATAATAAAAAAGATAGAACGAGCTGAAGAACGAAGAAATAGCTTTTGCGGCATAAAAACACATTGGCTAGAGATTATAATATCATGAATAGGATAAAAGCGTCTTGAATAAGGTGATATACGAAGATAATGTGTGCAAGTGCGTGTATTTAACCAGTGTTCAGGAGCAAACTGAGAAATCCTTTCTCGAATATAAAACACAGGAATCACAGTCGAATCGGCCAATTTGAAAGACTTGCAATTGTAAAATTTCCGAATCACTGATGGCAGTGGTAAAAGATAATGCAAAATTTTCTGAATATCTATAGATAAAGATATAACTGGCAGTATACATCCATACGTATTAACAGTATCTGAAAATACTATAGATGCAGGACCTCTTTTCATTGATGTCATAGTAAAACTATTCGTTTCTGTATCATGTTTATCTTTATATAGATCGTTGTTCTTAGAGTCAACCATAGACCTATGAATAAACAAATGTAAAACGAATAATGCTTCTGTGCTTTAGAGGATTATTATATTAGTTTAATTATCTAAATGCCAAAAGTTATTTTCAAAGAATTATTATCAATTCAATAGATATACCTGTAATTTTAAGATGATTGATTAATGGCATATTATTAAATATATTTAATTGTAGTATAGGAAATGACAGAAAGATCTGAAAAATAATGAATCTATAAGAATATTGTAAAAAAACTCAAGATTTTTATATTAAAAGTACGCTTCCCATCCTTATAGAAGATTACTCAACCATCGCTCTAATAACGAAGAAAATATTAATCAAACAAAGAAATCTTAAACAAGAAAGTGCTTTTTGTGTGAATACTTTTTTATTAAACACCAATTAAAGAATATGATTAGCACTTTTTTTTTTTCTCATTTAGTGTAGTCTGTGCACAGTTTAAAAAATTAGATAAGCAAAGATAAAACAACTAACCTAAAAAAAAAAACAAAAACAACACTATTCCATATATCTTGTATAAAGCTTTGATATATAGATGATTAAAGACATATACTAATTCTTTATTAAGAGTGTATTACATATCAAAGGAATATCAAAAATTTAGATAAAATTTAGATATAAGAATAAAGAGTCTATTTAAAAATCAGCTAAATGATTATATGAATAACAATGAGGTAAGCTAAGTGAATTATTAATAAAGAAATCGATAATATTCAAATAAACATACGAACTAAAATGATTTCCAAATAAATGTATATTTTAAAAACTTATTTTTGAATAGCTTTTATTCTACTATTATTATTATTTATTTTTTAATATTAAAAAATTTGTAAATAATGCCCAAAATATTTAATCAAAAAGATATGTTAGATTCATATCAATATCATTTTTTTCATATTTAATGTACTTCATTTGTTAAAAAAAAAAATAAAAAAGAAAGAAAATTACCTTTCCTTGATGTTTTGAGAATTCGCTATTATAATATCTTCAAATAAATTAACGATAAATAAATTTTAAAAAAAAAAAAAATACTTATTATAAAATCGTGTATAAAGTGGAACAATAATACGTTTTACCTCTCCAACTAAACTAGATTTAAGTTCTGAATCATAAATAACAAATGTTTTGCATAGACTCAAAAGTTCATCAAACTCGTTATTAAAACTCTGAAAAAATAAGATATTTTTTTATTATTTTAAAAAAAAACCTTAAATTTTTCTTTTATAATGTCACGCTCTTTAGGCGCAAGTGATAGTTTTGTAGAGCTTGTAATTCCGCCTTTAACATAGGTAACGTCTAATAACTGTTCAGCACATCCTTTCCATCTAAACGAGTTACAAATTATATAAAAACTTAAAACAAACTTACGAGTCCAAAAATTCATTCACAATCCTTTTTTTTATTTTTACAAATCTATCAGTGACATCTGATGTTACAGCAATTGATAAAGCTGTATTTTTAATATTTTTTTCTATATAAGCTAGATTATTTAAAAGAAAAATAGGCAAGAGATTGGTTTTCTTTGTAAGAGTTCGTGCTTTTTGCTCTAATTGAGAATATAAAATTTCAATTGTTTCTGAACAAAATTTTTTGAAAACAACCTTTTCATCAGTTCCCGGAGGAAACGCATTTTGATTTGTTGCAAATAGAAAACTGTTCCATCCTTCATTTTTCATAGTCATAATTAAATAAGAAACTGTTTCTGGATAATTATTCATATGTACCAAACGAGTAACAGACTATATTTATGAATATAATATAAAAAGTTAAAAATTACCTCAGTTATTATTTCAGAGACATTTCCGTCCGAAGATATTGAAGTCATCGCTGAACATCTTTTGCGAATCCTTTCATGCATATCGCTCAAAGCAAATGTTCCAGTTTTCCCCATTATTTCCATACTTTTATGTAACTCATTCACTGTAGGCCCCTCGCTACCATGCAAATCAATAACTGTTATTATTTTTGAAAGCTCTTCAATAATTTCATATGAAAGTGTGAAATCAGTAACCATATTTTGATGAATATGATGATCAAGTTTCTGTATTGTATCACAATATGTAACAATAGTGGAATAAATCAATGTTAGTAAAATATTACCATAATTCTCGGGAAAAATATTCTGAGCAATCGTTGATTCAGCCTTATAAAGTAAAAAAATTTATCCTAAAATGAACATATATACCTTAAGCATCCCGAGTAATGCTTGAGTATATACAACAAATCCGTTACTATTTTTTTCATACATTTTCATCTCTCTTTTAACAGCAGTGCTTAAAGATGCTTTTGATAGTAATTTTAAGGATTCTGAAGTATACCCAGATCTAGTATCACAATAATTTTTTTCAATTTCCTTCAAAGAGTCTAAACAAGTAGAATAAAAAAACGATGATATAGACATAAGAATTGAACATGGGAGTTCAGGAAGAAGAGGAAAGTCCAAGTCTATTACTAATTAAAAAGAATTAACTTTGTATTCAAAATACTTTTAGTTGTATAATACAGTGGCTCTACAGGAATTGAAAAATCCAATAAAGAATTTTTGAATAACTCATATAATTGTAAGCATCCACCTTTCCAGAGTTGTGTCTAATTATTTGTTAGGAAAACGTAGATATAGTAAACATACTAGTCTAAGTATAGACTTTTCAGAACTTCGAAAATTCGATGAACGGAGAATATTAAGACTATTATTAGTTTTTTTCAATGTATCAAGAAACAATGTTAAATCTCCTTCTGGCCTACCAAAGTTTAAAAAAGTACACACTAAAAACATGAAATCAAACCCTTTTTTAATAACATCTTCTGCTTCTGGAACAATATTAAAATATTGTCTTGTTCTTTCTACTGCAATAATAGTGCCTCGAATATCTACCAAAAAAGTTATTTTTCACCATTCAAAAACAAAAGAAACTTATTATTACTTTCTGACTCTTTTTTTAATAATAAAGTAGTCTTATAAATAGGCTTAATTGTATTTTCAACTTTTTCTAGACGATGATTCAATTGTGTAAGAATTGACGAAATCTTGTTTGTTAATTCACTTGTTTTTCTCAAAGTTTCATCTAAAACGCCAAGATCTGCTTTATCTTCATCTATATCCGCAGATACAGGCATTAAATTTAACATAACAACCCTTTAATTTACTTCTTAGTTTTACTTTTTTACTGTCGTCATTTAGATTGTCCGATAATCGTTGTATTCACAAGAAATTTAAAAATATAAGGAATGATTAAAGATATCAAAGAACTTTTACTATTTGAATTATTGAAATAATTGGTTAATTTTATTAGAAATAAAATTAAAGAGCGAGAAATTTTAACATTATTTATAAATGAAGCAATTACAAATATCTATTATGTCGAATAGCCAGAAATAAAAATATTATTTTAGTATAAAAATAAAACATAATCACTCATCCAAAGGACATGCTTCAATATTCCAAATCCCTTCAGCATATTCTTGAATAGCACGATCACTAAAAAATTAAATAATCAAATAATAAAACAAATTAGTCTTACGAAGAAAAAAAGCCCATGTTTGCAACAGAAATAATAGTTTTGTAAACCCATAAGTCACTATCTTTATATGTTTCATCTATAATTTTGTGTGTATTAAGATCTAAAATATATAAGATATTATAAAATTAAAAAAAGCTTTACATGATTGAAAATCATCCTATAAAAATATTAGTTATATTATTTTGAGAAAAAGATTTAATTACACTTATAAGATAATAATCATGTCCATTAGTTAATGCGCTCATAAGCGGTGCGAATAGATTTGGATCACCAAAAATTCCACTACAATAATATTAAATATTGGTATAATAATAATAAAAATACAAACCTTTCAATAGCATCACAAACTTTTTTTAGTTCAGGATCCATAGGAACATTTCCATATATATGTCTGTGACGTAATTCTTCAACGTTTTCACTTAAATTTCCAAATAAAAAGATATTTTCTTCACCAATTTCACGGGTAATTTCGATATCTAAATCTTAGAAATATACAAAAAAAGGGAAAGTATATACTAGATCCATCAACAGTTCCAATAATAAGACCACCATTTAGCACAAACTTCATATTACTAAAATATTAAATGTATCATTAAGTAAAACATAAACTTACCTTGTACCACTACCTTCAGTTCCAGCTGTAGATATATGTTCTGAAATGTCACTTGCAGGAATAATAATTTCTGCTTTACTAACATTCTAAATGGATGTAAGCCTTGAATTTTAAATAAAATATTTACATAATCCTCAATAAAATGAACTTTAAAAACATCACCAATGCTTTTATCATTATTAACAACATCTGCTACACAATTTATTAATTTAATAACACATTTCGCCATATAATAGCCAGGAGCAGCTTTTCCTATATGATATTAATTTAAAACAAAAAATTGGTAATTTAAACCCCCAAAAATAGAAACTCTTGGTACTTGTTTTTCGATTTCTCCTTTAGACATAGATTTTAATGTTAAATACCGATGAATTACGCCATAAATATTTAAAGTTTGTCTTTTATACTAAATTATGTTAATTTTAAGATTAATCAAAAAACATCATTAACCTCATGAATACGCCTTAAAAATTAGTATATGAAAAAAATAAAGAAACATACTTCACTTGGATATCAAACAATGCATTTATATTTAATTTTAAGCCTTTAGTCCTTTGAATGTAACTAGCTAATCTGGCTTTATTATAAAATTTTACTTGTTTCCACTAAAGATAATGAATAACTAAATAAAAACTATTGACAATGTACTTCTTTTTGAAATTCTTTATCATTAGCAAAGTTCTCTAATTCTTTAAGCTTGGATAAATTAGTTAAAAATTCATAGCCTCCAAGTTTTCTTGAAATTAGTTCAGACAATTTAGGGTTAGCTTGAAGTAACCATCGTCGTGGAGTAACCCCATTCGTTACATTAACAAATTTATCGGGTCCATATATTTTAACAAAATCTTTAAAAATTGCTTAATTATAATTAATTTAATTTTATTTCTTATTTTTATTATTACTTGTTTTTAGAAGATTACTGTGCAATTCTGCTACACCATTGACCTTGGATGACCCAATAATAGCGAGATATGCCATACGAACATATTTAGGAGATGATTCTTCAACAATAGATACACGTGATAAAAGTTCACGATCCTAATTTTATGTGAAATAAGTTGTTATGATTTAAAATAAATACTTTTGGAAATTTCTTTTCAACTGATTGTAAGAAGAAGAGATTTATATCATAAATAATTTGCATATGACGTGGAAGTAATTCTTGAAACATTGGAATTGGCCATTTTTCCAAGGCTTCCTATACAATATAAATGTTAACCTTAAAAAACTAAATTATATTACTGGAAGAACAGTGTGATTCGTATAACTAAAAAAAATTAGAATATTAATAAAATTAAGAAAAAAAACGCAATTAACCCAAATGTTTTTACAACAATATTCCATGCTTGATCCCATTCAAGACCTTCTAAATCCACAAAAATTCGCTGAAGCTCAACAACGGCTAACGCAGGATGTGTATCATTTAACTGAATAGATACTTGTTCTGGAAACTTAGACCATGGTTTTCCAGATTTTTTAAAACGTCTAACAATATCATGTAAACTTGCACAAACCCAAAAATATTGCTGTTTAAGACGAAGTTCTTTTCCTTGATAAACATTTTCATTGGGATAAAGCACAGCCGATAATGTTTCAGCACGCTAAACAATTTTAAATAGATATAGATAATTTATGCACTATAAACCTGTTGTTCTCTAACAGAATTTTCATAATCACCCGCATTAAATTTACTAAAGTCAAATTCACGCATTGGTCGACTAGACCATAATCTAAGATTATTTGTATTATTTGTTCCATAGCCTTTAGAATTAGTTTAGTATATAAAATGCTTTAAATTGTACCAGGAATAGGAACATCAGAAGCAACTGCTAAAACTTGTTCACCTCCTTGCCATGAATAGCGTGTTTTCCCATCATTATCACTATAATTCGTAACAAAAAAACGTAATGAAAAAAACTTACGCATATTTCCGAACATGACCATAAAATCTAACAGGAATTCTAACATCCTGTCTAAGCATTTCCCATGGATTTTCAAATTGTAACCAATAATCAGGCTGTTCAACTTGATGTCCATCAACAATTTGCTGTTTAAAAATTCCTACTTTAATTAAAAAAACTGTAATATAAAAATTAATTCAAACCATATTGATATCTAAGACCTAAAGAATTCATGTTATAAATAGTTTAAACAAAAGAAATAAAATTACCATAACCCCATGCTGGCATATTTAATGAACTTAGAGAATCTAAAAAGCATGCAGCTAATCTTCCTAATCATAAAAATCAATATATAATAATATCAGTATATATACGTTTTCTATACCAAGTCCCCCATTTCCAAGAGCAGCGTCTGTTTCTGCATCAATAATATCTTCAATATTAAAACCAAGTTCATCAATTCCAACTTTTAAGAATTAGATTAAATTTAAAATCAGATGCTACAAAAACTTTTTATTATATCTTTTATTCCAAGATTAAGCATGGAGTTATCCAAAGTCCTCCCCATAAGAAATTCTATGCTTAAATCTGAAACAATTTAATAATGGTAATGTTGAAATTGTTTTAAATACAATAAACTCGTTTAGGGTCTATTTAAATTAAAAATACACCTTAAATATAAACAAAAACAGTACCCTCAAGTGTCAATGTCTGCTGTGTCTTGTTCCACCGTGTAATAAGTCTATCACGAACTGAATGCGCTGTCGCTTGATAAGCAGCTCTAAAGAATTAAGTATACTATTTTTAATATTTATAGAGAAATTACGAGTCATCACAATTATACATAGATCTATAAAATTTTAATTAAGATACAAACAATATATCTCATAAAATTACCGAGCAAGGGTCGTTTCTACATAACGAACAAAATCTCTCTCAAATGCATCCTTTGTGTTCAAATCTCTCTCTGTATGTGATTCCCATGTATGTCTCTGGGCTTCTGGTATCTGTTCCTGAAGAAATTTAATTTGTTCTTTACCAAGTCCTGAAATGATTTATTCTTCAAATTCCATTCATTCAAAAAGTAAAAAACCTGTATGTGTTCGTTTATGATGAACAATTTTACTTTTTTTATTACTTTCACAGTGCAATTGTGTTTCTATAGATGACATTTGACAATCTTTAATATTTTTAAAATGCTTATGTTAATTTTGTCTCCGATTAATAAGGATTAGTAACAGGAGTTAAGATTACATAAGATAAGATGAATATTATTTATACAAAAATTTAAGTTTTTAGAAAAGTTATTTCAAAAAAAAATACGTTGGAATTAAGAATTTTAGGTATATTTTTTAAAAAGAATAAATTTATAATATAGAAGCATAAATAAAATCAGATACAATTGTTATATGAAATAGGATATATCAATTAATATTTTTATAGTTTTTTGCTCTATCTAAGAGTTTATAAATAAAATGATGCTAGAAAGTATAAAATTAATTTATATTGCTTTTTTAAATATAAAATTAAAATATAAGAATTAAAAATAAAGTCTAAATTTTTATTCAGTGATTAAGAGTTTTTGAAAAAAATATAATTATTTTTAGAGTTTTCATATGTAATATAAAATTGTAATCTATAAATTTATAAAAATTTGACATTTTAGTTTTTAGTAAATGTGAAAATATATAATAGACGCATCGAAGATAATTTAACAATCAATTAAAAATCGTACCATTATAAATTAAAAAGAAAATTAATAATTAATTTCTAACTAAATATCAATAAAAATTTTTTTTGTAAATATTTTTAAAAACAAGTATTAATCTTTTCATATATTTTTATTATTCTAAATAGAAAATTCATATAATATTATGTTTAAATATATTTTCGAATTATAAAAAATAATTTTAATTTCAAAAAAGACATTTATAAAGTTTCTGGCAAATGTAAGTTATTAAAGAATATCAATTTTTGAATAATTCATCAAAATTATAAACAAAACAAAATACAGAACGGAATATAATAGATAGCATAATATTTCAAATATTTATTTAAAAAACTTGAAAATTTCGATAATTAAAAATAAATCACATTTTAACAAAAAAATATGTTTTTCAAAATATAATAAAAATCAAAAAATCATCTTTATACACAATAATCCCTTCATTCAAAACGCATAAGTAAATATTTTTTACAAACACTCTACATTGTTATGAATATGCAAAAAAAGAACATCTTCATACACAAATATCCTTTTTATACATAAGTTTACTATAGAATATCATTATGTTTTTATATAAAACTGTTTTTTGAAAAAATATAAACATTTTTTAACTTATTTTTCATTTCAAATTTTTTATTATATTTATTATATATTTTTTTCCTAATCTAATAAAAAATACTTTTTTGACCCTAAAAACACTATAAATTTGTTTTTAATTACATAAAAAATAGATATTTCCTCTTTCATATTCATTCAATTTATTATATACTTTTTATCTACTTAATCTCTTTTTTAAGCATTTTCTTCTCATTTAGATTTTTATCTCGAAGATGTTCATTATCACACATTTATTATAGAAAAAAATATGAAAAGTGATGAAATAACAACACATCTTTCCTTGAAAAAGGATCCTATTGTTCTATACGTTATATGTGTTGGATTGTAAATGGTTCCTTTTTTTTAGACTTTACTCATTTAATATAGTCATCATTCACGAGGACCAGAGATCGAATATTGTTATCCTGAATTAACTGAAATCCCTGTAGGATGGTCGTTATTGCCATTTATGGCACTTCCAGATGGCGTTCATTTGGTATAAATGCTAGATTACTATGTTGATCTGGTTAAATAGGCTAATAAATTAAGAATGAAGAAGACTTTTCGTATTTTTGTATTAACAATAACGGTAATGAAAAACTAAGGACAATATACGGAATATCATGTACAAGACAGCTACTTTCATCTGAATTAGTGGACAAACCAGTTGATGTAACTCGATCAACGATTCAAAAATCAATCGTTGTGCTTATATCGAAACCCGTTTTTGGTCATATTAAAGAAAAACTCAGAGCAGTAACTCAAGCATATTTCTCACAGCGTAATTTTGAAGATAGAAGCATTCTTATGCATTTTTATAATAGTTTTGTGCAAATATTTCATGACGGAATCAATAATCATGAATTTTATCTTGGTATACCCCTTCGTGAACTTTTATATCAATTTCGGTGGAAAACTCTTGTAGTATTGAAAGCTATGCTTTTGGAACAAAAAATACTTTTTTATGGCACACGTTCAGAAACTCTTTGTATAATACAATACTCATTTTTGTCACTTATTCCTGAGCTATTAGAGAATCTTCAAGATGCAAGTGACCCATTATTGAATACGATTGAAGATCGTCTGGGAAAACCCGCATCTATATCTACAGATAATCATAAATCTCTACTTTTATATATGGGTATGCCATTCCATATTTTCTCTAAAGGTTCTTTCTTTGGTCCTTATACGCCTCTTCAGCAAATAAAAATACTTGAAAACGAAAGCACAAAATCTTATATTATTGGAAGCACTAATAGTTTATTTCTACAAATGAAAAAAAAATATGCAGATCTTGTTGTTAATGTCGATACTGGTGAAGTAGATATCCTTCAACCACTATTAAAAGATACATTATCATTAAGTTTTTCGGATAAAAAATGGATCAATGATATTATAATGTTAGTAATAAATTCATGGGATGAAACAGATACTAGTAGACCTAAATCAATGGGGTTTTTAGGTAGCGATGAAAACTTACGGGCTCAGTTTGAAGAATATTTTTTAGCTCTTGCAGCGTCTGTAAAATATGATAATTATTTAAACAAAATTAGAAATTTACCAGGTTTTAATACAGCCTTATTAGATACACGTAAGTCTGTATAATTAATTAAGACGTATTAATTTTTCAAGATGAAAATACAATTCGAGGGTTTGGTCGAAGTTGGATTGAGCAGTGGAAATTTTCAGAAAACTACCGATTATGGAACGAATACACAGATGACAAACTTTTTGATATAATCGAGCCCAAACATCCTGTTGTTAATCATGGCATTTCATTAGAAAATATGCAATATAAAATTGCTAAGTATTTATTAATATTTATATAAAAGTATTAATGATTTCTCAGACATGTTCAAGAATTAAAATTAAATGAACGAGCTGCTGTTGCAAAAAAAACTATAAATAAAGGCTGGAACACTAGCAGTCAAAAGATATCACAAGTGATGGGATCTCTGTTTGATCATATGGAATCATATCGAACAGAACGGCGAAAACGATATCAGGATGTTCATAATCAATGCGCTACAGCTGTTTCAAAGATCGATCCTGAGTTGTGTAAATTAATAAATATTAAAATACATATCTAATTTTTTTAGCTTCACCCTTAGGCGATATACAAAATAAAGCCGGCTACTATATGTCTGCATTTACTGATTGGGCTTATAACAGAAAGGGGGCTGTCAGACATAACTAATCAAACATACAAATAAAAATACTTCAAAACATCTATTCATACATTTTTAAAAATTTACACTTTAACTAAATTTTACACATATTTATCTCTGCTTATACATATTTTATTCGTAATATACATTCTAGATCCATTTTTGTATAATTATATATGTCTATAATATATTCTTATATACTTAACCCATCTCTTAATTTTATCGACATGAACCATCTTTAAAAATCATAAAATGATAAAATCATCATCTTAAAGATTAACAGGAAAATTTAAAAAATAGATTTACAATGGGTCATCAAACAGAAGGATTTGATGAAAAAGAAGAATATAAAAAACTTTTTAAAATCCGAGATGAAATATTTATGAACATGCAAGCAGCCATGCAATCTTCTGGAACGGGATTTTTTAACACAAATATGCCTTATGGGTCTTTTTTAATAAAAGAGCAGCCGTATGATCCATCTAAGAACTCACGTACTTCATCAGAGGAGGCAGTTAACTATAAATCTCCGGCTACTTCAGCGTCAATCGGAATTTTATCCAAAGATGAAAAAAATAAACTTGAACGTAGCCTCCGGGCAAGGATCGAAAAAAGAAAAGCAGATGTTAGGTTAATGAATGAACAGGGTTCATCCAAAAAACATATTGAGCAAAGAACATTTTCAAATCAGATTCATTACAGAAAAACTAAGGAATCGTGGGATGGAACAAGAGCAAATACAAAAGGGCCAAATTATGATACAGCATCTCACTTTCATATTCAAAGAGGGACACCGCCAGCCCCCAAGCATCAGCAAGAACCACACGTATCAGAATCACCGTCTTACCATACCGAAAAACCAAAAAACAAACAAATATATTGCGAAAATAAAGATGAAATAGCAATCAATTTTTTGTCTAAATCCATGGCTATTCCTGGATTAAGAGTCCCTACTAACATGTACGAGGAAAATACTGAAAAACTGACTACAACACCTGCTACCACACAAAATGCACATGACACATATAACGAAGGTAATGGGATTATTATTGCACATTTCATATTGATGGTTTAAAGGCGTACAAAGCAATTCACCTGCTAAATCACCCAATCTGTCTTTAGAATCCAAATTACTATCAAACGATTCTCAGACGTATCAATCAAACGTGCAAAATAGATCAAGATCATCTTCTTTTGAGTATAAACCGCGGTCACCCAATTCTCCTCTGCGTCTCTCCCCCTTACTATCGCCAAAAATATCCGAAACTCTCGCTGCGCCTCAGAAACTAGCATCAAACTCTGCTTCTGAACCAAGATCCTATTCTTCTCAACTAACAAGCGAAAACCCACAAACCATCCCCCATCCAAAGGACACAAAGGATACTCTAGACTGCTACTCACGGCCAGACATCCCTTCTTGCCTCCCCGAACAGCACAACCACCGCTTTTACAGAGAAATCATGTCCTCAAAATCTCTCTACTGGAAACACGGCTTGCACGGCTTCTCTCCATACTACCACCGCTCCTTTACCCCCCCGTGGTATGGTCTCCGCGACTGCTCCAGGCCCTTTCCTCCCGACGACGACCCATACTTCCACTATCGAGACAGAACATGCTTTTCTCATGATCCATACTATCTAGATCTTCCTTCTGCTCCCCCGCCTTCCTGTCCACGACCTCCCCTCCCTTATCCACGGTTCTCACTCCCACGGCTCCCTCCTCACTCCCCACCACTCCCCTATCCACCCCCCCCTCCCCTCCATTCCGGCCTTTCTCCATATCCCTCCGATCCTTCCTGCTTCTACCCCCTACACTCCCTCGACTGCGACTTTCTCCACACCTCTATCCCTCCTCCCCCCCCTCCTCCTCCTCACTACGCCTATCTTCCTCCCAACAACACCTCATCTACCAAACTCCCCACCGATCACCCCAATCACACTCACCCTCACTGGACTCATGACCGCTGAAACTCTATTATTTTACACCTCTTCTTTTCTTCCTCGTAACTTTGGCAATTATATTACTATCTACTTATTCTTTTCTGTATTTATCTCACATATCCTCTCTCCTCTATATATATCCTCTATATATATCTATATACCCCCTACCTCCTTCCACCCAATATCCACCTGAAATCCCTCTATTTCCCCCAAATCTCTCTTTAAATATCAATGTACTTGTGCCCTCTCTCTTTCTCCTTCATCTTTACATCTTTTCCACTCACTCTCTTTTCCCTACTAACGTATCGTCTCTCTATCGCCCACACTAATTTTCTCGAACCCATCAAAAGTGTGTGCGGATCTCAAATCCTATCGCTGACAATTTTTTGCCGGCCAAGAAACGTCAGCACAAAACCATCCCGGAAATCCAGAGTATTGGAGAGGATTTGAATGGCAGAAACAACAAGACACAGTGTGCAGAAGATCTATATGGGGTTTGCAGCGCCGCACTCATTTCCAGCGACGCCGGATCTTAGGAAATGCTATTATTCGTTTTCTCGAGAATCTCTTCATCAATATCATAGCAAAGAAGGAGGTATAAAGAGTGAATATGAGCATGATCCATATGTTCTTCGAGCAGCAGAACACTGCCGGCAAGCATCGGCACTAGGAGGGGTGGAAACAGGAAGTGCAGTGCAGCAGCTGCCACCGGTGTCGGTGTTGGATGTGAAGGGAGGGGCGTTTGTGCAGGTGTTTCTTGCGGGGGAGGGGAGCCAGGTATCGGAGACGCGGGAGAAGATATTTTCCGAGTGCCTGCCTCAGCGGCAGGCGTGTATTGCGGCGTCGAGGTATCTTTTGCTGAATAAAGAGGGAGTGGTGAGTCCGCAGATGTCGACGAGGCTGGATGAGATTGCACTTGACACGGGAACGAGTATATACATCCTCAAATCGGATATGCCACTGCCGACGATGCAGACATTGACGCCGCAGGGTCAGTCGGGAGGGTCGGAGGGGATAGGAGAGACGGTTCCTATATACAAGAAAGTGATGTCACCGGAGGATGTGACGCTGTTTGTGCTGGTATCGGGAGACATAGCTTCGCTGGAGTATGCGTTGGTGAAGATATCGGTGTATTTGGATATATTGGTATGTGTGTAGAGCAGTAGAGAGAGATATTGATGGGGATGAAGATGGGAATGCAGATCAAGAAGCTTGAGATAGATCCTCGGTACCATCCGCTGATCTGTGGGAGGAAGCGGTCGAATCTTCAGGATATCATGCAGGAAACGTGTACAAATATCTATATACCTATGCCGTTTGCAAATGTTTTGAGTATCAGGCGTCATCTTCCGCCGCTTGTATCGGATGAGATTTATATTACGGGGCGGAGGGAGGATATCGTTAACGCTGAAAAAAGGATTATTTCAGCGGTATTTGTTTTTTCCCCTTTGAAGGATTCATTCCTCATTCCATGTCTAGTATCAATCGGTTACTCTTATGTCGAAGACGATCACCATAACAGCGCCTAAAAAGGACTGGTTGCTTATAGAAAGGCTTAATGATATAAAGAATATCATGAGCAATAATGGTAATATTCTCTTTTCGGGTTACGACAAGCTTATCGTGATAGCTTCTTATATTAATTTTCCGATTCTTGGTTCGCAAAATATAGAAATCAATATTTTTTCCAGTCATGATCACCTTATTGATAATACGATTGATTCGTTTATAAGTTTGGTTATTTTTCCCCCTCCCTTTGAAGTTTATTCAATTTCTAACTGAATCGTAGTTATCGGATTACTATAATACTACATATTGGATATTCCCTCTTTCAAATCATGCACAAAACTCAGAAGTCTTGTTTACCGATTCAGAAATTAAAAAAATACTCATGGATATTACTGAAAAACATCGTGTAGAAATAACATATAAACATAGCTGTTTCGAAATTGCTGGTATGAAAGATGAAATTAAAAAAGCCGTTAGGATTATTTCAGAAATCCCTATTATACAAGTACTTTTCGTAGCGTTATATACATACGCATCTGCGGCTAATACATGATTTTAGAATCGACCACAACAAATACGTTTTACGATCGAGCTTTCCAACAAATACCATGAATTCATTCAAGGGAAAAAGGAAGGAAAAATTAACGCGATTCGAAAAAATGTAGGCGTTATTGTAGAATTACATACGTTTTCCAGTAGAAGTTTCTGCATCGATATTATCGCGGAAAATTTAGAACAAGCGATGCAGTGTCTTAGTATGCTTGAAGATGAATTCCCTACAGAAATCACATTTTATATCCCTGAAGAATATCATAGACGAATGATTGGTATTCGCGGTAATACTATTCAGTCTGTTATGCGACAATACGGTGTTTTCGTTAAATTTTCCAATACCACTAGTCTTGCGACTCCTGGTCATCATAATTATTTAGATGATAATGTTCTGGTTAGATGTCCCGCGAAAAATGCAGCAAACCTTATTGAACTCAAAGAAACTTTAATGAATATGGTTAATTACAAGGTACTTTATGCCCTATTTTCCCTCTCTAATAGTGCTAATGTAAAATAGGATAAAGATTCCATTTCAGAAAATGTTTATGTCCCTCAAATTTATCATAGAATGTTAAGAAATAAGAGCAATAAAATTATCCGTAATATTGAAAAAAATACAAATTGTATAGTACGTTTTCCAAACAATGATCTTAATAAAGATTATATTACTGTTATTGGGTCAGAAGCGCAAGTTCCTCGTGCAATTGATATGATTATGGTAAAGATTATATTTACGGATTTCAATGGATTGATTATTATTAGAGAAGCATTCTTGATGAATATAAATTTCGTGTAGTGTCCACTAAGGCTTTAGATAGCATTATCGAATCTAAGGAATATAAATTTTGGGTTGTAGAGTATATTCGCACGAAATATTGCATTGAAGTTACATCCTTTCCTAATAACATAAATATGAATGCATACCCGAATATCAGTTATCACGTATTTCGACTGTTATTTCCTAAAAGTCAGTTGTCGTATCTTGATTTAGCTATTAATGTGATATTTGAATATTTCATTCAACATCAGGTTCCGTTGTATATGAGTTTTAAAGAAGGCACATGGCAAACCCCGCATTTAAAAGGATGTGATTCATTTTCGCATTTTAATTCTATGCTTTTTCCACCCATTTCTGCTTTAAAAAGGAATCCTCAAGAATTTTAATGCACATTATGCATCATTTTCCTCATTTTTTGTTAACTGGTTTTTAAAACAATTGTTTAATTTTCTAATATTCAGGTATTTATAATATTAATATTTATTTTGAAAAGACGTGTACTTATTTTTAGAATCATTACAAAATAAAAAAGTAACACAAAACAATTTTTCATCTATCTAAAAAGCTTCAATATATTTCATTCTCCTATAATTAAAACAATCACACAATGGTGTATTTTCTTTTATCTTTTGTTTTTATATATTTCTTAAAGAAAAATGTTTCGCAAAATATTAATATTGAATTTTTTATTTAACGTTTAAAATCGACCCTACTTACAAGTTTTTTAATAATAAAATGTTTTTTTAAATACAATTTAAAAGACAAACAAGACAATTAAGAATATGAATTTGCAATAATTAGGTTTTTATTTTCATCAATTGAACGTGTTTTTGCATATAAAGTAAAAATATCAAGAAAAAAGTCGTCTATAAATGTATTAAAATAAACACGAAAAAATTGAGTTTTTTTTTTTAATAAAATACATTAAAAAACATGGCAACATCGGATTCAGATGTTTTAAGTGTTTCTAGCTATCTTTCATTGGATAGAGATGCAGAAATTCCAGATCCTTGTTGTAATGGATGTAATTTGGTTTGAAAATAAATGAGCTTTATAGAACAGATGTTAATGGCCATAGACGATTGAAGAAGGGTCAGTTGTAGCCTTTGGAGGGCATATTTGGCATGTCGGATGGTAAAATTTTAGATATTTATTTACAACAGCGTTAATACAACTAGTTTCCGTTGTGCTAAATGTAATAGACAAGTAAGTCATAATTCAGATGTTCTTCTTCTCTTTGATGGGAGTCCTGTCTGTGATAAATGTTCTTGTAATTGTAAAGTATGTAATAAACATATTGATGGGTTTGCAATTATGACAGGTTGAGGATAAAAATATAAAATTTTTGTGTTTATATGAATATAGGGAATGAAACTTATCACTCTGAATGCTTTCGATGTGATGCATGCAAAAGAAAAATTGAAGATCTTGTGTTTGCCAAAACCAATCAGGGAATTTACTGTATGTCTTGTCATAATAATAAAATGGAGCAAAATAAAAGTTTCGAAAAAGAGTCACAATTTCCTGTTACTTTTGGAGCTTTGAATAAATCGCTTCCATCTATTCCGAAATCCTCCACTACAAACAGGCTTAATTTGCAGACATCTGTAATATTCTTTACTAATCGATTTGTATTTAATAGTTTAATAGAGTACTGCATCTGCTGTTCATGATGAGGTTACAGGAAGACCGTATATACGTTTTTCTCCAAAAATATGTAATTGTTCTAAATTTATTATTTTTAAATTATATCTAATTTTTTTAGCACAAACAGAATTATTAAATGTTAATCAACTTTTTCCTGAATTTGAGAATGAAGACAACTTGAATTCTAAAAACGATTTAATGGGTTTACCACCTATTTTGTCATGTCATGAACCTTCGGATTTTTTTGATTTCCCTAAAACTACTATAAATTCAGAAACAGAATATACTTCTAAGACTAGGAATCTTGCAAGTGATAACACTATTGTTAATATTGCTAATTCTAACGTTACTAATATTAATACTACTAATGTTAATACATTTTCTACAGAGACCTCTGTGTTAACATCAAATCCCGAAAATTCTTTATTATTACCAAATTATGAAAATTCATTGAGTACGGAAGGTGTTTCAGAAACTGAAAAACATACAGAAGAAAAGCCCATTGAGGAGTTTTTGTCTGAAGAGTTTTTTAACTCTAAAAAATTCAATGACTTAACTAATTTTTTAAAAATTAAAGATTTACAGAAATCAGGGCACATTCCGCCTTTAAAAGCAAATACTCGTAATACTTCTTTAATAGGCAATAATGGAAATAGGTATTCTATTTCTCTAGAAAATAATTCAAAAAATGTAAAACCAGATTTTGAAGAAAATATATATTCACATAATTTTTCTTCTAAATATAGTTATCCATTTCATCTTAGTATAAGCGCTTTGGCACAAAAGATTAGTAATGATTCATCATACATTGTAAACAATATACCAAAAAAACATGAATTTTTCGATTTCAAGTCACATAATAAAGATTATAATTCTAAGGATTTAGACTTTGATATTTCATTTAAAAAAAATCAAGGATATAACTATCATTCTAAGATTCCACCAATTCATTCTGATTCAAAATCAGCCTCTCCATCTAGTACCAGATTAGAAATATCTAATTCACCTAAAGATCTTACGTCAAATGAAACTAATATTAACCTTTTAGAATCCAAAGTTTCTAACGCATCTTTAGAAGTTCCATGTATGGAATATTCTTCATTACAACAATTTGAGAAAGATATTTGTGATTATGATGGTAATTATATTAGAAATCAAACTTTAGAAAGAAATAATTCTAATCAATCATATTCAAAAATACTAAGTGTTATACGTCACAGAAAAAGTGCTAGCGAATCTAAACGAAAGACTTCAAAAAACAGTGCTTTTTTAAAGCATTCTAGGATTCATAAATCTCAATTACAACCATCATATTTAGATCTAAATGAATCAAGCGAAATTATAGAAGATAATGAAAAAAAAGATCAGCAAAAGACAGAAAATTCATATTTCTTAAAGAAACCAGAAATAAAAACCGTATGTATTTTTTTAATATTTTGGTATTAAATTTATGTCTTTTAGACTGATAATGAGTCTACATCTTTAGATAAAGATATATTGAAAAAGAAAACATTGCTTGTAGAGCTTGATGCTAAACGTGAAATTGCGCTTCAAGAATTAAAGGTTCTTGAAAATGAGCAATTAGTTAGTCAAGATTGGTATAGAAATATATTTAAAAACATTAAAACTAATTATAACAAGTATTATATCTAACGAAATTTTTATTAATACCATTATTTCGAAATTATCAACATCCTTAAAAAATCTTAAAAACAATTTTCAATCAGAAATAGAAACACTTATTTTACAAAGAAACGCTTTATATGAAGAAAATACACAGCTTCAAAATTTACGAAGTAAAATAACACAAGATGTTCATCAGTTAAATTTTAAAAAATTAGAATTAAGAGATTTAAATGATAAACTTGTACAAAAAATTCAAGACCAATTTCGTACATATAAAGGTTCAGGTGGTGCATCTCCTGTAGGAGCAAACAACTTATTTAGGAATGAAAATACGAAACCATTACCACCAATTATCACTCCTGTATCAAAATCAAGTAATAATGACAATTTTGATTCAATTTCATATACTGAAAGTGTTTCTACACCTGCTAGTGAAAAAGCTAAATTGGAATATACTGAATCCAGTGATGATAATTCATTATCAAAAATACCTAATAAAGATGAAAATCGCTCATTGGATAATAAAATTTCAGCGTGGAAAAAAAGCACAGCATTAACCAAAAATCTTGTTAAGGGATTTAATAAAACTCGAATGTCAGAAAATAACGATATACATAATGAATGTGGGAATACCAGTTTATTGTCAAGTCTAAATAATCTTACGTTTAATAATTCTTTATCTAGTAATAATTTAAAACATACATTTTCTACATATACATTTCTTCGTATTACTAAATGTGATTACTGTGGAGGTAAGCTTTGGGGTAATGAAATGCGATGCTTAGGTATAGAATTGAAACAATAATATTGTATTGTTAATAAATTAGGATGCGGAATACCTTGTCATATTAAGTGTATTGGTGATATTGTTACTAATTGCAACAAAAGTAGTGAATATTTGCCATATCATGAAGACACTTCATATACATCAAATCCAGTGAATTTATATGGTATGTTTTTTATTAAAATATTAATATTTGTATTTTAAAACATCGCAGTCTCAACTCTTTTTGGTAATGATTTAACAAAACAAATTCAGGTCGAAAATAGAAACATTCCATTTATTGTAACTAAATGTATAGATGAAGTAGAGAAAAGAGGTGCATTTCTTTTTTTTTTTTAGCATTATTTATATTTAATAGGGATGTTTTTCGAAGGTATTTATCGTAAATCAGGGAGTGCATCACAAATGCGTTCACTTGTTGATGCATTTAATCGAAATGACGTTAATAGTTTGTCACAATCTAAATTTGAAGATATTAGTGTTATAACTAGTGTATTAAAACAGTATTTTCGGAAACTTCCTAATCCCCTTATTACTTATGATGCATACAAACCATTTTTAGAGATAGCTGGTAAAATTATAGAATTATTTTCGAAAAAATATTTATCTAATATTTTTAGTTTCTAATAAAACTTGGATGGAAAAATTGGAATTAATAAAAGATGTTTTAAGTATTCTTCCAAAGGCACATTATGATTGTCTAGAATTTTTGATATTACATCTTTTTAGGTAAATAACTATGTCTATAATCGAAATTCTTAATTTTAGCAGAGTAACGAAACATTCAGAAAAAAATTTGGTTAGTTTTTAATATTAAAAAAATTGTTTAATTGCTTATTAGATGTCTTCAAAAAATCTTGCAGTAGTTTTTTCACCTACTTTATTAAGAGATGAAAGTGGTATGCGAGATATTATAGACATTCAAGCTAAAAATATTGGTATGCAATATTTGCTTGATAATGCAGAAAGCATATTTGGGGATTCTTCAAAAGAAGAGCATGAAAATAATGGATTTATATAGTATTTAGTCTATACAATGTATGAAAATTATTTTATTGAAAGATCAATGATATTTTCTTCAAAATAAATGATATCCTAATCAAAAAATACAACTGAATTATGTAATTATATAGTTTTCAAAAAGAAAGCTTTTAATATTTTTTTTGGTATATAAGTTTTATATTGTATAATAGGTAATATGTCTTTAAAAGAAAATACAGTTACACTCACAGTTTTATTCTAAAAGTCTATCCAGAAATTCTTCTAATTCTTTGTTTTCTATCGTTTTCAAATGTATACATTTTTGTTGAGAAATTGTATTATCTATTGTTTGTTCTTCAATAGTTAGATTTGAAAAAAACAAAGACATGTTATCTGACCTATAATGTTTGTTTTTTCTAAAAGTTCATCAATATCATCAATATTGTATTCTGGTTTTTCTATATCTAGATTAAGTCCTTTAATTGCGCGTGCTTTAACCCTAGAATTATATTTCCTTTTTATTTCCCTTAAAGTTGCTTCATTTTCTGCTTGATGACGTAAATAAGCTATGCTTTCTGGGTTTTGATAAAAAATTTTTCCTTTTTCAGGACGATCCTTCAATAATTCATTTTGAGGTAATATAATATCAGGTTCAGCCAGTGCAAATGCTTTTGCTGGCATCTTTACATAATCAAGTAAAGATTCTTCATTTACTAGAGCCGGTGCTTTATGTTTTAATTATTTTATAGAAAAAAAGAAAAAACTAACCTTCTTCATACCTCCATGTATTAGATGGTAATTCATCGAAATTATCGTCTTCTACTTCAGAAGAAGCAGCTGTTTCTTTAGTAACCGGAATTTGCTGAGAATTAGTATTTAAAGATAGATTATGCTTTTCATAATACTTTTTACTGGCTTTGTTTTTCCATTTATTATTATGAAGAACCATAAATCGTTAAATTATTCGAAATGCTATAAATTTAAAAACAAGATCCATTTTATCCATCATAAAAGACCTATACATGTTTTCACTTGCTCCATAGTATGTGATGCGAGTTTTTGTGCATTACATGTTCCTTTTTTATTTTGTTCAATATATGAAGAAATATTTTGAGACATGATACATTGATATCGTTCACGTATTGGTGTAAAAAATGTATAAATAGATTTTGTTACTAAAGATTTAAATGCTTTATGACTAAGATTTGAATTATCTTTTGCAATTTTAATAGGATCTGAGCTTGGATAATCTAAAGAAGCTAATATTTGAAGAAGATTTGCAATCCCTGGGCGTTTATCTGGGTCATATGTAATACCATCATAGGAATCTGTTATAGCATGTAAGATTTTAGATTCAATAATGTCAAAAGAATCCGTTATTAGAATTCGAGAATTTGGATTGGGATCAGATTTAGACATTTTCTGTTTGGGGTTTCTTAATGACATAATTCTTTTTGAAGGCGCTAAAATAAATTTAAATAATTAAAAAGAAAAATATTGATACATACTTAATAAAATATTTGGCGATGTAAATATATTTTTTGAAAAAGTCCTATTAAAAAAGCGACTTATTGTAGAAGTAAGTTCTAGGTGTTGAATTTGATCTTCACCAACTGGTACATCTGTTGCCCTAAAAAATAAGACTACATAATTAATTAAACAAACTTACTTGTATAAAAGAATGTCAGCTGCCTGAAGAACAGGATAGGCGAAAAGTCCTAAATTTGGTGTTGAGGTTGTATTTTTAAATTGAGAAGACTTTGTCTATTTGTAATCAATAAGATATAGACTCAAAATGTATAAGCTATAGTACCTTCCATTGAGTCATACGCTGAAGATGAGAAACAGGAATTACACAATTAAGTATCCATGCCAATTCAGAATGATAAGGAACCTTCTATATGTTAATTCAATTCAAATAAAAAAAAATTTACAGTAGATTGTTCATATACAATAGATCTTTTTGTGTCAATTCCAATTGCTTCTAAAGCAACAAACATTTCTCTTTTATGTTTCTTTAATTCTATAGGATTTTTCGGTATAGTGATTGCATGTAAATCAGCAATACAAAATAGTAAAATAGTAGATAATTCAGCAGTATTTTGAAGTTCAACCCATTTTTTTAATGTTCCTAAGTAATTCCCTATATGAGGAATACCTGTAGGCTGAATTCCAGAAAAAATTCTTCGTTCTAAAGCATTTTTTGTAAATGATCGCAGAATATTAAAACGATATTGTTGTACAGAGAAAAAATCACTGAAACAAGTCTTTAACCCTCTTCGTATAAAATAGGTTCTGTCCATTTTTGAAATTTTTATAAATTTTTATAAATTTTTATAGATCTTTAATTATACATTTTAAACTTATCGATGCTTTTGATTTAAATTTAACATTTTGTATTTTCTTTTTAGAAAACTATGCATCCACCTATCTCAGCTCATAAACATCCAGGTATTCTATATATTTTGAGACATCAAGATTTGATCTAAATGAGTTTAGATTGCTATGAGATTATGCAAGAGTTGGAAAAATGTCATAAATCCGGATTTTTCAACTATTTTCTTGGAAAATGTAACAATTTGAAAAAAGATGTTGTACAATGTTTAAGTAAAGAAGTGAGTATATCTATAATAAAAACATCTTTTATATTTTATTCATAATACCTGGGAGATTAGAGATTAAAACAACAACGAGCTAACCAAAAAAAAAAAAAAGAAAAAAGACAAAATGCAGAAATATCTAAAGAAGATCAATAAGAAAATATATTCCTATGTATGAAATAATTCACAGATAGTGAAAGTATAGGTGTTTATTGAATTCGTTGAAAATTTCAATAATTTGATTGCTTTTAATGGGATTTATCATTCTAATTTTTCCTAAAGAATGTTATAATAAACTGATGAACTAATAAAAAGGAATATTACAGCCAATAAATATGTTCAGAAATAAGCATAGTCTATATTAAGCACACAAATTTAAACATAATTGTATAAATTGTACGAATATGTTTAAATAATGTACCTATTGATATCTTTAAAAGCATAGCTTATTAGCATCACAAAAACCAAGAAATTTTTAGACCGTAGTTAAATACTCGGTCATGAGTGCTGTAATGTTTTATTTGAACATTTCAAAATTAACATTTAAGTATACTAAAATAATGATAATAATTATTGTACTGGCTTTGGTCGTTTTATTTCTTCATTCCAAGTAAGACCTTCAAAAAGCTCAACAAGTCTGCTGACAGTTCCTAGATTTCCTTTATTTAATTTTGTATTAGTTAAAGAAGGCATTTTATTTATATTTTTTGAAACAGGAAGCTTAGGAGGAATAAGAGCATTTCTTCCTTTTGCAATTTTTGAGAAAATTTGTCTTTTTATAGAGACAGTTGTTGAAGAAACAACAGTAGAATCAGTAGAAGTTCTTAAAGGCAGTGAAGTATCGCTTTCTTTATCAAATGTTGTAGAGGATTTAGGAGAATCTAGAATATGATTTTGAGAGTGAACTGATTCCATAACAAAAGCAGAACGATTTTTCATTTTTATATTATGTGGTGTTAAGAACTAGTACTTATTAGTAACTTAAATATTATATAAAAATATACAAATTCAGTCTGGTTAAGAAAATGTTTTTCTGGTGATGAGAATATTTTACCATATCTTTTGGATTTTGATGTAGAGGTTTCATAAGAAATGTTTGGATAAGTATTTACAGTTTTCGTAATATTCAGAGCAGGATCATTATAACTTTCTAAGCTGTTATTAGCTGCAACCAAATCTCTAAGTTCATGTGATATAGCTTGTTGAAGACGCATATATCTCATTTCTTTATCAAGGTTACAAAATTCTTGAACAGAAGAAAGCCTAGTATTAGATTTTGCTGTAACATTAGCAATATATTCAAAATTATTTTTAATTTTTACTGGATTCATACATTTTAAAACACTGTTTGAAGATACATTTTTTATGGGGCATGGTGTAGGTGTATTTATATCTGTTTGATTATTTGATAAAGATGATGATTGTGATAATTGTGCTTTTGTAGAAAAAATTTGAGAAGTCGCTGTTTCTGATGCATCATAAGAAGAATTATTGAATTCATTTTCATTGTAATTATTATCGCATGATTCAGTGTCTCTACTAGAAACATTTACACGAGTAGAATCTATAGATTGAATAGATAATATAGGCGAAGTAATATTGAATCTAAGTCTTTGTGGTGCATGTGGTCTTCTACAGCCATTCGTATGATAGGGTAGATTATGGGATATTTTTTGTTGATAGCTATGTTGGTCTGGTGAAAGAATATTAGGTAATGAATTAAAAAGATTTGTTCCAAGAAAAGAATCTCTAGGGATCCTTTGTGTGTTCCCATTTGAATCAATACGTAGAAATGAACAACGTGAACGGCTGTTTGTTCGATCTACCATTACAAAAACTATATTTGATATATCATCTCGTCTAAATGCATTGATTCGTGCAAACCCCGTAGCTGCAAACTTTTTGATCCTGCGTACACATAACTTTAAATACTCTTTAAATGACTTCTTTGTAATATCAAGAATGGGTTCAGTGTTTTCCTCTTGAATTATATGAGTTCGTGATCGACTAGCACGGCATTTTTCTCGAACTTGTGCAATTTTTACACATGATTCACAATTTATTGCTCCTTTCTTAGTTCTATGTTTTCCATCACAACCAGTGTGTTTATAGTTCCCGTCATATAACTCATCATAAATATCCATTTATCTTTAAATGATGTTTGATCTATTGTTAATTCTTGCTTTTTCTTTTTCCAAAAACAATCAATCTCTCTATACTATTAAAAAAATTAAAAAATTTATTATTTTATTTTATCCTAATTGCTGAAATATGAATATATTAACTTATTAATGTAAATTCTTTTTGCTATATTGAAAATAGGTGTTGATCGTTATCATTTACGTATCGATAAGATTTAGAATTATAAAAAGATTAAACATATATCAATATAAATAGATAGAATAAGAAATCTTTAAAATAAAAACACTATATTTTATTGAAAAAGATTTTATTATTTCTTTAATAAAAATAATATTTTGTTGAAAATATTTTCAAAATAAAAATCCAAATTGTAGAAAAATAATCTAATTGCAAATTTTATTAATATTAGCTTTTTGAGTTGAACTTTGTATATATAATTTAGATGGTAATATGGAAACAAAAAGAAATATATAATAGAGCCAAATTTAGTAATATCAGATATATATTGTTTAAATAAGAAAATGAATTTATCCGCATTGGAATTGTTTTAATATAAACTTTTGTAAATATCTAATATTATATTTAATCTAGAAAAAAGGTTCGTAGGGTTTGTATATATTTATGAATATCAATTACAAACCGATTAGTAAAAATATCTCTAACTTTTACCATTAATTTATTTTCTACAAAATAATAAAATGTTAATGAAAATTCATATATTTCTTAATTACAATATCGTCAATTTAGTAATAAAAATGTATAAAAATAATATTATAAATAATGATTTTATTTAATATTTTTTATAAATAAATTTTTAAAAAATTTAAAATTATATCAACTATTATTTTTATTTTTTATATTTAAAACTTAAAATAACTTGATTTTTGTAAATTATAAAATTTTATTTAGTATAATAATTTTAAAAATTAATTTTAATTTACACCTCAAAAAATATTTAAAAAGTATAAAAAATAATCATTTTAACATATTAATAAAAATAATTTTTCTTTCTATTAATATAATATCTAATAGTGAATATATTATAATGCAATATATAAAAAACTAAAACATTTAGATTGATAATTCAGTTTTAAAAACAAAAAAAATAAATCTGATAAAAAATATAATTTTTTGAATAAAATTAATAATTAATTGAAATTTAGTTAATAGATACAAATATATTTAAAACAAAATAATACAATATCATTAAATCCTATAAAAAATTTTTTAATTCATTAAAATATTAAACATCAAAGTTTAAATACACAATAGATTTTCCAAATATTTAAAACATTAACAATATAGAAAAATCCCTATATGAAAAATATATATAATAAATAAAACTAATAGCCATTTTTAATATTATTTTATAATTTCAAGTATTTCTTTTATTGAAGTGAACTTTTTTCTTACTTTTCCTAATTCTTTTCCTATTTTGTTTTCCAAATCATTAAGTTTTTGCCAGTCTTTCCATTGAATATATTGAATATTTTTGCTTTTAAAATAAGACAAAAGAGCATTGAATCCAGGCTTAAGTTCAATACCAGTAGGGTTTAAAAACAATTTTCCATTTTTCCAATCTTCGATAATACAATCGGATGTTTCATAAGCATCATACATAGTATTTGCTATTACACCGATAGGACCCGTTTTTATCCAACCACTAGTATATATTCCAGGAAGCTCAGAAGTTTCAGAGGTATTTGCATTATAACCTGATATTACTCTTCCAGAAACATTAGGAATAATACCTTTATTAGTATCAAAAGGTATACCAATATCCTCACTATTTTCAATCGCTACACCCTTATATCCAATACTACGAATTAAACAACCTGTATTTATATTAATTATCTCACCAGTACCAACAGCTTTTAATATATTTTCATCAGGACATTTTCTTAGTATATTTTTTTCAAATAATACACTTAATAATGTATCTGGTTTTGATTCATATTTCAGAAATTGATGCGGAGAAAGCAAAAATTCAAGAGACCATAACTTATTATTTGTATTAGGATTTAAAACATTCTCTTTTAACAAAAGATCAAAAAGTCGCTTTTTAGATCGAACAAGATCGCTAGATAATAATGATTGATTAATATACAAATCCAAATTGGGTGTACAAAAAGATATTGTTGAAAATTCAGTAAGTTTACGTAACTCCTTTGTTGAAAAAGACATCTATAAAATAAAATTAGAATTAATATTTAAAATTTTATTCATTTTTCAACCTGCATTGGGCCTCTACGTCCAATAATTTTCACATGCTTGATTTTACTTTTCCTAAGAGATTCCATTGCTTTTTCAGTAATATCCGTTTTTTCGAGAATGCTTGGATCAACAAGTAATATTCTAGCAATATCCAATGCCACGTTTCCGTGTCCAACAATAACAGCAAGGTCAGTAGATTCCAGATCTGGATTTAATTCTTGAAATTCATAATGACCATTATACCATCCTACAAATGATCGAGCAGAATAAATCCCTCGAATACTTCCCTCCCCAGGCAATCCCAATTCTCTGTCTTTTGATGCTCCATATGCCATTACCATACAATCATAGTGAGGTTTAAGTTGTTGCAAAGAAATATCCCTTCCAATGCGAATATTACCAATAAAATGAAATTTCTTAGATTCTGCAATCTTTGAAAATTGATTCTGAACATTCTACATTTCCATTACAACAGAAATGTCTTTTTTACAAAAATCTCACTTTTATTTCATAATGATCCGGTGCTACACCAAAACGTACCAATCCAAAAGGCATAGGAAGGGCCTCATACATGTCTATTTCACATTTAGGAATACTTTTTAGCAGTCTATCTGCAGTATAAAATCCTGCTGGGCCAGATCCAATAATACATACTCTAAACGCACGAAAATCATTTTGTACTGCTGATTGACATATTTTTCTTATTTTTCCAAGAAAATCTAAAGAAATATTTCTATGTAAACTCTGAAAAATATGAAAAAAACTTACAAAAATAGTCATTTTATATTTAAAATTCTAATAACATTTTTTTGACGTTATCATTAATGTTAGCGATACGTATATATCAACGTCAAAAAATATATCTAATTAAATGAAGATATAGAATGAAGATATAGAATGTTTTAAAGCTCTTAAAACTTATATAAATGGCAACTCTTCCTCCTCCTCAGCTAGAAAAGTTAAAAAATGCAGCAAAAAATAATGCACCGACTGAAATTCCAGAACATTTTCCAAATATACTTTGTCGTTTTAAAGCACTGGATGGAACATGCCTTCCTTCTACATTAATTCCAAGTAATATTTCATGCACTGATATGGGAATGCTTTTGAATAAGCTTTTGGAAAATGTAGGATATTTTATTGGAAAGATCATAGATGGTTAATGTTTGAAAAGAACGAGCGAATACCATATGTGTTCTCAGCAGAAATTGAAGGAGAAATCGTTGAAATTAAAGAAAACATATATTTTTCTATATATCATCATAATTTAAAATCGACAGAAGATGAATTAACTCTGATTTATATTCCTCAAGCGATATTTCGTGTTCGACCAATTAATAGATGTACAGCAACGATTAGTGGCCATGGAAAGCCAATTCTTTGTTTGCAATTTTCCCCAAAAAGTGGGTCATATCTTTCAACAGGAAGCGGAGATGGAAATGTCAGAATATGGGATTGTGATACAGGAACACCATTACATATTCTGAAAGGTCTTTTTGATAGTATTTTTAGAAAAAAATAATGATGCTTTAATAGGTCATTCAAATTGGGTTTTATGTGTTTCATGGTCTCCTGATGCAAAACTTCTTGCTTCTGGAAGCATGGATAATACTGTATTATTTATTATAAAATATTTATAAATTCTAAAGAAAAAATAGATTCGACTTTGGGATCCTAAAACAGGAAAAAATCTTGGAGAACCACTTAAAGGACATACGAAGTGGATAACATCGTTGTCTTGGGAGCCTATTCATTTGTAAATATTTTTCTTTTTTAAAAATATTTTTTATAATTTTAGAGCCAAAAATTCATTACGCTTTGCATCTTCATCTAAAGATACTACCATTAGAATCTGGGATGCAAATTTAAAACGTGTAGTTTTAACGCTGTCCGGTCATACATCTTGTGTATCATGTGTTAAATGGGGAGGAAATGGTTGGATTTATTCTGCATCTCATGATAAATCAGTGAAAATTTGGGATGGAGAAAATGTAAGTATAGGATTCTTATTTTATCATATTTTACAAGTATTAAGGGAAAACTTTTGTATACTTTATCGGCTCATGCACATTGGGTTAATACAATGGCATTGTCTACTGATTTTGTTTTAAGAACAGGCGCTTATGATTATACTGGAATAGAACCATCATCTTTTGAAGAAATGAAACTAATGGCAAAAAAAAAATATGACAAAATCATTGCATCTACTGGAAATAAAGGAGAAAGATTAATTACGGGTAGTGATGACTTCACTATGTATTATTGGAATCCAGAAGAATCTACTAAACCAGTTAAAAGATTAACAGGTATTTTTTAATTTTTTGTTTTACAATATCTAAAAAATTAATGTATTTATGATTACAGGTCATCAAAATTTAGTTAATCATGTTTCATTTTCACCAGATGGACAATGGATTGCATCTGCATCATTTGATAATTCCGTAAAAATTTGGAATGGCTTAACTGGAGAGTATATTTCTATTTATCTTGCATTTCTCTAAAACATTTAGATTCATTACAAGTTTTAGAGGGCATGTTGCATCTGTTTATCAGTGTTCATGGTCAAGTGATTCTAGAATGCTTGTTAGTTCATCAAAAGATACGACTTTAAAAGTATGGGATATTCGTGAGAAAAAGTTAAAGTGTGATTTACCGGGCCATTCTGATGAAGTATTTGCATGCGATTGGAGCCCAGATGGTACTCGAGTAGGATCAGGAGGGAAAGATAGAAGTAAAAGGAACTCTAGACAAACAAATAAATAATAACCTTTTTAGATACCAAAATATGGTCATTTTAAATTGAATATAAAATAATTAAAAATATTATTTAATAGATTCCCTTTTATCCCTAAAATACATTTTAAAATGGATAATAAAAATACTAAAAACTATTTATTTTTTTTAATAACATCCTTTTTTAATTCAAATGCGCCATAAGATATTTTTATTGAAGAGATTGCCATTAAAGCAATTACAAGAATAGGAAAAAGAATAAGCAAAACCATCCAACTAGATATATAAGCAAAAATATATAATATGAATTATTAATACATCATATAAACTCCTTCAGAAAAAAACTCGTATTTAGAAAATAATCCTTTAGATTGCTTAGGGTTATATTTAAGGGGAACTACTGGAGGCATATCAGTTGAAATATCTCGATGCTGAGCCATTGTTAATCCAGGTGTAGATACATAAATCATAGTATATTCTGATCCATATGGGAAAGAAGATAAAAGATAATGAAGAAAAACATCTTTTCGTCATTAACAATTAAACAAATTAAATGAATATACCATGGTGTTTCAATAAATCCCATCGCTCCATTATAGGCCCTTTAAGAGGCGGGAATTGAACATATAATACTTTCTTACCACTTCCATCTAACAATGGATAAGAACCACCTAAATGAATTGGTGTATAAGTATACAACAATAAATACACTATCAGTATGAAAATTCTTACTTTGTGCATCAATTAAAATACGATCAGCATTACATTTTTCGACAATATATTCCATAACATCATCCAAATCCATACCACCATATCCATATGGAATAACCAGCTTTTCTTCTGCTTTATTTAAAGACATCTTCATTGATGGCATTGCATCATGTTTCAAATCTTCTGCATGCAAACCCGGCTGCAATGCAATAATATAAAACGTAGATTTACAGTCAATAGATGATCTAACAAATGACTGAAAAGCATGTCCAGAAAGTGTTGTTGATACATAATCAGGATATATAGGTTCTGGCTGTGTTCTAGAGGAAATTGTTAAAAAAAACTGAAAAAAAAGACTTCTACTATTTAAACTAACTTGTAAGTTGTAAAAAATATAAGAGGAGATGTATCTTCGAAGCAAATAGTGCTTCTAAGACTTATTAATAATACTAACATGTTCCACCACATGGTGTAAGTTGATGTGCACGATGGCTTATCGAACATTAGTTAATAAATAATAAAAAGGATTAGACTTATATAAGATTTTGTTAAAAAGATGTATTTAGAAATTGTAAGATAAAAGTAGAATTTTATACAAAAAGTAAAATAAGAATAAAATAAAACAAAAGAAAAATGTTATCAAAATGATGACAAAAGACATGTAAAGCATTAGCAAAAATATTCTGAAATTAAAAATATATATCCAGAATACTATTTAAAAAGAATTAAAATTCAAATGAGAAAAGCCCATCTTGAAAAAAACATTCGTCAGTCAAATTAATTTCATTGAAAGTTAGTCCGAAATCATCCAGAGAAGAAACTATACGTTTAGGATGACTACGGATATTCTCTTTTTTCTTGGAATTTAATGAAGTTGTATTACACTTACGTTGAAAAGACTCAGTTGGTTTTTGATAACCAAATGATTTCGTTGTTGATGATTGTACTTTTGTAGAAAATGATTTAGAGGAAGTAGAGATTTCAACAGGCTCCCATGTTGGATTCCCAAAAATAGCTTCGTTGTGCCGTTCTAATTCACTCTGTCCTTGATCATCCAAGCGATTAAAATATGAGCGATAATGTGGCCATGCTTGTAATATGGACCAGTCAATAGGAGAAAAACCAGGAACATCATGTTCTAGTTCTAAAAATGATTTTTAATGACGAGTATCTACAAGCAAGAAAAAACTTCCATACCTTTTGGCCTAGGTGGCATGTATTCTGGATCGGCAATTTTTTCTGTATTTTCTGCAATAGCTGATCCATTAAGTTTTGATGTAGTACAGACAGGTGTTTTTTCATGAAAAAACCTAGATGAAGGCTTTATTCCCTGCTTTTTTGCTGATACTGCGTGTAATTCTGATGGTATTGTATATAAATAACTATCTAGCGCTGATAATTTAGGATTCAACATCGATGATTTGACGTCCAATACAGAAACAGGTACATTCTTTACATTTGTATCTTTCCCACCAAGAATTTGTCGCTGTCCTACCACAAATGATTTATTTTACGCTTGAAAACATCGGCAACCTACGAAGAGGAGTAATCAATGGCCCTGTTGGAAAGCCACCTAAGCCCTTGCTTTCTGGACCATCAATGCATTCTAGCTTTGAAGAAAAGCCTATTCCAAGCGCCGGCGTCTGCGGAATTCCCCTAATAATGATGTTTTCTTTGTCTTCATACATATTATATATATATATTTTCACCCTTTAATGCCTAAAAGATAACCATGAAAAATATCATATAAAAACTCCTAAAATTAACAAATACACACACTATCCAGCCGCATACCAATAGATAGAATTGCTTCCAATTAACAATAAACACAAACACACTTCAAAAAGTACTCAAAAATTTACGTAAAAACTCGCAGAAAAAAGGAAATACCTTTAAAAATAGATGTAATTTTAGAAATATTATATAAAATGTATTCTCCTCTTTCTTTGATCTCAATAATTCTGTTTCTTCTGTTATCGTTTTCTACAACGTTAATCGTTAGCAGATAGAAACGTAGGGTTATTTAGGACTATAAATTAGGGTTATAAATTACTATTAATTAGGGTTATAAAATAGGTTAGGTAAGGGTTAGGACTAAGTGACTGTAAAAAGGTCTGCTTGCAAGATCGACATCACAAAATGTCACATAGAAAATACGAAGGTTTGTAGGAAAAAAAGCAGATTAAAGCAGCTGAAAATATATTTAGCACCACGTCATGGATCACTGGGGTTTCTTCCTCGGAAGGTGTGTTTTTTTTGCGTTTAAATTGGCCATGTGACAAGGCAATTAACATTTTATAGCGGGCATCACGACACCGTGGAAAAGTAAAGTCTTTTCCTAAAGATGATCCGAAAAAACCAATTCATTTAACGGCTTTTATGGGCTACAAGGCAGGAATGACACATGTTGTTCGGGATCTGGATCGTCCTGGGACTATTCTGTGAGTTTTTTTCAGTTTTAAATATGTCGTTTATATTGTTGTTTAGACACAAAAAAGAGATTGTAGAAGCTGTCACAGTTATTGAGACACCGCCTCTTGTAGTAGTTGGTGTAGTTGGATATGTTGAAGTATGATTTTTTTGGCGTTTTTATTGCATTTTTTTGAAAATTTGATCTAACCTAAGTGTATAGACACCTCGTGGTCTCCGGTCGTTAACAACTGTATGGGCAGAGCATCTGAGTGATGAAATGAAGCGCCGTTTCTATAAGAATTGGTATAAGTCAAAAAAGAAAGCGTTTACAAGGTATTCCAAGAAATATTCGGAAACCAGTAAACCGATTGCCCGTGAACTTGAGCGTATCAAGAAGTATTGCACTGTTGTTCGTATAATTGTGCACACACAGATTCGGAAAATACCTTTTGGCCAGAAGAAAGCACATGTTATGGAGATACAGCTAAATGGTGAAACAGTTGACAAAAAAGTTGATTGGGCACGAGATCATTTTGAAAAGACAGTAGACGTTAAGTCTGTTTTTGAGCAAGATGAAATGATTGACGTGATTGGTGTTACAAAGGGTAAAGGGTATGAAGGTGTTACGACTCGTTGGGGAACTAGGGTTTGTTGTGATTATTTTTAATATATAGATCTGATATATTACAGAGACTTCCCCGTAAAACACATCGGGGTCTTCGTAAAGTAGCATGTATTGGCGCTTGGCATCCTGCCCATGTCATGTGGACAGTTGCTCGTGCTGGTCAAAATGGTTATCATCATCGTACTTCTATTAATCATAAAATTTACCGTATTGGCTCTGGAGATGATCCCAGAAATGCTTCTACGGATTTTGATATTACAGAGAAACAAATTACACCTATGGGCGGTTTTGTTCGTTACGGACAAGTTAAGAATGATTTTATTATTTTAGCCGGCAGTACTCCAGGTCCTGTTAAACGTATATTAACGCTTCGGAAATCTCTTTTGGTTCACACTTCTCGCAAAGCTACGGAAAAGGTTTCCCTTAAGTGGATTGACACAAGTAGTAAATTTGGACACGGTTTGTATTTTTTTTTTCATACTATTATATTAATTATTTTTTCTAGGGCGATTCCAAACACCTGCTGAAAAGAAACAATTTATGGGCATTACTAAAAAAGATGTGTTACATACATCTAAGAGCTTATAATTATTTCTATAATTAGTTCATTTATTACGACTTATCATTTTCGGCAAATGGATGCAAATATATGAATTAATGTAGATATATAGGTTAATATAGAGAAATAATATATTTATAAATGGTTGTAGAAATCCAATAATCAAGATTCCTTTTTGAGCAAATTAATTCCTGCTATCGTTGCCAGCATTCGTTGTCGTATTTCCCCTATTGACTATTGGTTTTTAATATAAACTTAAAAATGTGAAAAATTATACTGTATTTGACGATATGGCATGCATTGCTTGCTTATCCCTATTTTGTTTATTCATGGATATACCTTTATTGTTACCATTTACCATGATTCTAATACATTTAAAGCAGATTGACGACGATTAAGCTCCTCAAAATCCATAGTTTCACCCATAATATCTTGATATTTATTATTTAAGTCTATCCGATGTTTTTTAGAATGATCCATAATCTAAAACATATTTAAAAAAATATAAAACAATGGATTTTATATTTACTATTAAAAAAGCGTTTTCATAAGTCAAATTGTATTTATCTGATGTTTGTTCAGAATAAAAATAGAAATTAAAAAATTAAAGAATAAATTGAATTAAATAGAAAAATTGTTTTAAAGGTTTTTTATTATTTTTAATTTTTATTATAAAAAATATTTTTAAAAAGTTTAACAATATTTGTAAATAAATTTTATATTTTTAAACATTATAAACTAAGATTTCCTTATGCTATTTTTTAAAATATATACAAATAATATATGATTTTATAAAATTATCAAATACTTAAGTTTAAATGTGTTTTTTATTTAATATTAATTTTCTCGTTACTGTAGTAACTTGATTGTTTACTAAGATTTTTAAAATCAACATCAAATATAAAGACATAAAATAAAAATTTAAAGGCCTAAATAAACGTATTTATAAGATTCTTCAAGTGTTTTAAAACACATTTCAGAGTATAATGTCTAATATTTTACGAATTAATTTACAAACAAAAGAAATCTAAAATAAATTAACTTTTAAAAAACTTTTAAAAAAATAAATCTTTATTAAAAAAGGAAAATTTGGATTTTTTGTTTAAAAAGTTTAAGGAATTTGATTATATTTAATGAAAAAAAGTCATTGGTCTAATGACACTCCGGTGGATTATTCTCCACAAAATAGTGGAAATAATTGGAATGTTCGAAGTTCAGGAACAGTACATAGACCATTACCACCAACACCCTGTCATTTTGAAACTCAATATCAAGAGTCATATGGAGATGCTGTATGGAATAGTCAGCAGTCTCCATATAATCAAAGTTATTATTTATTTCAAGATGAAAATGTATCATTTCCAAGAAGAAGAATTGTATCTCATGGAGATTATTCGGAAGATGAACCAGCATATCAAACAAAACAAGAAAATGTGGAGTATTATGATAATTCTTTTAGCTCTCAGTCTCCTCGAAATGTATATACAGATGGGTATAAAGCTTATAACGATATACAGGATTATGCATCTCTTGATTACAAAAGGAAATCTTATATGAATTATCCTGAAGAACCAGATAATAATTATTGGCATGAACCGCAAGAAAGTGTATATACAGAAGAATATATAGAACCCGAATCAAGAAAAACAAATAAAGGATCTTTTAATACATACAAAAATACCGCTAAATCTGATGTTGGAAATAACCTTGATACATTATGGGATCCTACTGTAACAGAACCCGATGATTATCTTCACAACCCAACCTTTAAGGATAGAAAAAAAGATTATTATTTTTTTACAAAACGTGGTATATTTAATATAGGATCTCTTGTGTTTTTAATACTTGGTGTAATGTTTGTTTTTATTGGTTACCCTATTATGTTATATATTCGCAGGGCATATGATGATGCTCATAGTTGTCCTAATTGTATACGAACACTGCCTATAGATTTATTGGATGCAACAAGAAGCCTTATTGATCCGGATACACCGTTAGAATTTTATGAACGGAAGAGTAAAGATGGAAAAATTTATAAAATTGTATTTTCAGATGAATTTAATAAAAATGGAAGAACATTCTATCCAGGTGATGATCAGTTTTGGTATATATTAAATATGTCTTTGAATTTTAATAAATTTGAATAGGGAAGCAGTCGATTTACATTACTGGTCAACTATGAGTATAGAATGGTATGATCCTGATGCTATAACTACAAATGGAGGTTTTTTGGAGATACGACTTGATGCTTTTCGAAATCATGATCTTAATTATAGATCAGGTATTTTTTGCAATTAAATTTTAATTTTGACATGTATAGGTATGCTTCAAAGTTGGAATAAACTATGTTTTAAAGGAGGTATTATTGAAGCATCTATTTCACTTCCAGGTAGAGGAGACATTTCTGGATTGTAGGATAATATATGTATATATATATTATATTATTTATTACTATTAGTTGGCCAGCATTTTGGGCAATGGGAAATCTTGGTCGTCCTGGCTTTGGTGCTTCTACTGATGGAGTATGGCCATATAGTTATGATACATGTGATGTAAGATTATATATTTGTTTTTTAAAATCTTATAATTTAGGTTGGAATTACACCTAATCAATCAGATTCTAACGGCATATCATCTCTTCCTGGAATGAGATTTCCTAACTGTGTATGTCCTAATTCAGATCATCCAAGCCCAGGAAAAGGACGAGGTGCACCAGAAATAGATATAATTGAAGCATCTGTTGATCTTAGTTTTCGTCTTGGAGAAGCATCACAATCAGTACAGTTTGCACCTTTTGACGACCTTTATACACCAAATTATGAACATATGAAAATATATAATAAAGAAAAAACTCATATAAATAATTATCGTGGCAATTCTTTTCAACAAAGTAAAAATATAATATTTCTATTTTTAATTTACTTATTATTTAGCATTTTCATGTATCACGTACTTAAATAATGAATGGTATGATGGACGTAAATTTCAAACATATTCTCTTGAGTATGAACCTGGTAAAAATGGTTTTATTCAATGGTATATTGGTGATAATCCAACGTGGATGATGAAAGCTGAATCAGTAGGACCAAATGGGAAAATTGGACAAAGGCTCATATCTGAAGAACCCATGGTGAGATTAACTTATATCTTTGTTTTTTTTTTGACCTGATACAGGCATTCGTAATTAACCTTGCGATGTCAGAGTCTTTTGCTAAAATAGAATGGGGAAGATTACAATTTCCTGCTATTATGCGAGTAGATTGGGTCCGCATTTACCAAGAAACGCCTATGATTACATGTGATCCTCCTGGATATCCAACTACAAAGTATATTAAAGAGTATGTTGTTTTTATTATATAATTTGCAAATTTAACAGATATCAGACATCCTATAGCTTATTATAACAATAATATTACTACTTGGGAGAATACCGGCTATCAATGGCCTAAAAATCGACTTATGAACGAATGTTAATATTTTATCCGGCATATAATTTATAATGATTTTTAATATTGGTGATATGAAATATTTATTCAATACAAGCATAATATTTAAAATTTTTTCTTCATAAACCACATATACTAGTTCTATTTATCCTCTATAATTTATATAACATTTAGTTTAACAGATATACTTTTATGAATAAACCCCCATTGTATGAACACCTATTAGACCTTCTTTGTTTCTCCACCCTAAGATCCATAGATATTCTTTTGTTTCTATTAAGACTTTATACACTGAAATTTTGTTTGTATTAGATAATTCTTCAACAATTTTAATAATATCTATATAATCTCCTAAAGAATCCCATATTTCACATGTTTCTTCTATAATATCACTTTCAGGTACTTTAATTTTTCTAGAAAAAAATGTTTTATAACATTTTTCTTGTTTTTTTGACTCATAAAAAACTATAATAAATGGTTCATCACTTTCGGTTGTATAATAATATGATTTAACTTTTTCAATTATAGATAAAGGAAGCCAATTTGGAAGAGAATCACTTGGAAATTTTACTAATAAACGTTGATTTGGTTCTATATAATTGCTTGTTTTATCTAAAAAAGTTAAATATGTATCTTCCATAAATAAAAATAAGCAGCCTTATCGATCTGAGTCATCTTTACAACGATAAAAAGATAAAATTTAAATATGACTTTAGAGACAAATCCACATCTTTTTATTACATATACATTGCTTCATAGCTGTCTTGATAGTATATACTTTTTTACTTTGAAAATGTTTTTTATGAAAAATTTATAGAAAAATTAATGGTTATTTTACGTGATGGAAAAAAGTTAATTGGAATTCTTAGATCATTTGATCAATATGCAAATTTAGTTCTTCAAGGAACAGTTGAACGTATTTATGTTGATCAAGTATATGGAGATATTCCAAGAGGAGTTTTTATTATTAGAGGAGAAAATGTAGTTCTTGTCGGAGAAATTGTAATTTTATATGAACTATAAAGACTTTATTCTTATATATTGTGTAGGACTTGGATAAAAAGGATGATTTAAGTTTGCAGAAAGTTTCACCAGTGGAAGCGTTTAATAAACAAAAAATTCAGAATGATTTACGAAAAATTAAAGAAAAAGCGCAATGCAAAGCCCTTCATCGCCTAGGTAGATCTTAAAATCAATCTGTGTGATTTTTGGCTAAAGTTTTATTTAGGTTTTAGTGTAAATTATATTCATGATGACATGTATTAAAAAATATATTAAATATGATAATACGATTTGCATAATTAAAGAGGAAATAGCCTCTTTAACATGTTCACATATGTATATTAATATATGAGTTATCTTCAATGCACTAATTATCAATTAATAAGACTTTAGTTTTTGTAAAACAAATTTCATGAATGAAAACTGTTTTTACTCAAATTTCGTATAATTATAAACTATTTTTTGCGATAAAAAGTGTTTTAAAAAATATTCATTGCTTATTTTTATGTTTTTATTTAAAAATTTTCACAGTTTAACAATTATAATTAATCTTTTAGACAAAAAAATATTTTTTAAATACAAATATAATCGAAACATATAATATTTCCTTCATTTATGTTTATTTGCATTATTTTTATTAATAGAAACACTATTATATCATATTTTTAAGAAATAAAGGGTCTTTTATCTTTAAAACCAAGATTTTTTTTAAATTTCAAACTATCGTTGTTTAACGTCAAAGTATTTTATACTCAAATTAAAAAAAAACCACAAACCAAATAACATTTGAATGAATTATCACTTATGGACATAATTTTTATATTTCATTATTTCTGGTAATTTACTAGTTCTTTTGAATTATATTTAATGCTTAAATACAAAAATAGTTTTTGAATGATAAATATCGGTATTAAAATAGAATTAATTTATTAACAGATCTTTTAAAAAGAGTATAACGGAAATAAAAAGTATATTTTTTATCTTAAAAATTGCTTGTTTAATTTTTTTTAGATTTTAGGGATTTTTAAATATCAAAAAAAGTTATATACTTACTAAAAACAAGCATATGAAAGTTGATTTTTTTAATTGATTTAAAACAAGTTATTTATGACATTAACAAGAAAAAGGAAAAAGTATTCTTCAAATGATGACAATGATAACAGAAGATCAAAAAATACTAATGGTCTTTCTATACGCCCAAGACGTAATGTAATTAATTATGCAGAAAGTGAAGATTCATTGTCGTTTGAAAAAGAAAATAATAATGATGAAAAATATGACTATGATGAAGATGTTGAAAAGCGTTATTCAAATATTGTTAAATTGAAATTGCCATTTCATCGAATAATGGATCAAGATATTCTTAAAAATAATACTCAAGAGCATGATAAAGAGGAAAAAAATACAAATTTGAACAATTTAGACAGAAATGAGTCCAACGATTTTGTTTCTAAAAGAAAATCTGGTAAATCAAATCAAAATTCATTTAAGACATGTTCAGTTCGTCAAATATTACTTCAAGAAAAAAACAATCCTTCAAAATCTTCAAAAAATAAATCATTTGATTCTTCAAGTGAATATGAATATGGAAGTGATGACAGCTTTTCAGAAGAAGACCCTGAATCTTTATCATCAGCAGATGATATGTCTAATTTTATTACTGACGATAGTGATGATTATTGCAGAACTAAAAGAAAAAAAAGTAAGAACTTTCGAAGAGGCACAGAAAAATCATCTAGGAAGTCTAAACGAAATGATAGTGATGATGAAGAAGGATTAGAATATGATGAAGATATTGAAGATGAAATTATCAAAGAATTACGAGACCTTAGATCGCCTCCTCATAGAGTGAATTTGCGTCAGAGGGTTTCAAGACCTGATTATACTATACCTCCTCCTTTACCAATAAATCCTCCGACTTTAAAGAAACAAAATTTAAATGGACGAGTAGCATCACAAAAGTTATTTTCACGATTATCTCAGCCTTTATCTACATTTACCAATAATCTTCCACGTATTTCAGGGGATTCTAATGGGCTAATAGATATTTCAGAATCCTCAAATTCAGTATATTATCTATTTTATATTATCTATTTACTTATTTTATTTAGGAAGACGATTTAAACAGAATAAGGAAGTTCGAGCTTTCTGCAAGCAAAACTTTCTTGCCTACAACGCATGGCCTAGACTTTGTAGGAAGTTCTGGTGATATTGGTAGAATGGAACAAAGTAATATATATTAATGATATTAAAATATTAAATTATTTTAGATTTAGCTGACACTGATCCTTTGAGTGTTAGTCAGACTACCAACTTTGAATCTATCGGAGGATTAAATGATTGTAAACCTTAACATTTTAAATGTATATTTCTAATTTTATATTAGTCATTATTCAACTTAAAGAAATGGTTAGTTTACCATTATTATATCCTGAAATTTTTCAACGTTTTAATATTACTCCACCTAAAGGTGTTTTATTTCATGGTCCTCCTGGTACTGGAAAAACATTAATGGCAAGAGCACTTGCTACTAGTTGCTCAAACAAAGAAAGAAAAATATCATTTTTTATGAGAAAAGGTGCTGATTGTTTAAGTAAATGGGTAGGTGAAGCAGAAAGACAGTTGCGTTTGTTATTTGAAGAAGCAAAAAATAGTCAACCTAGTATAATTTTTTTTGATGAAATTGATGGTTTAAATTCTTTTGTTACATGATATATATTAAAAAAAATAGGACTTGCGCCTGTACGATCAAGTAAACAAGAACAAATTCATGCATCTATAGTTTCAACACTTTTGGCTTTAATGGATGGTATAGATTCTCGAGGACAAATTATTGTAATTGGTGCAACAAATAGACCGGATGCAGTTGATCCTGCTCTTCGTCGTCCTGGAAGATTTGATCGAGAATTCTATTTTCCCCTTCCAGACTTTGAGGCTCGTTTAAGTATTATAAAAATTCATACAAAAGGATGGGATCCTCCACTCTCTGAACTACTCCAGAAACAGTTGGCTGAACAAACAAAAGGATATGGGGGTGCTGATTTAAAGGTATAATGAAAATACCAGTATGTTGTACCAACTATTTATAGGCTCTTTGTACTGAAGCAGCATTAAATGCAGTTCAACGCCAATATCCACAGATTTATAAAAATTCAGATAAATTATTGATAGATTCTAAAAGTATAAAGGTTGAACCTAGAGATTTCATACTTTCGATTAAAAGTAAAAAATTATAAAAATTAATTATGATTTAACTTCATTTAGAAATTATACCATCGTCTCAAAGATCTATATATTCTGAAGCATCTCCTTTACCTGAATTACTTATTCCATTGTTGAATTCAAAGTTAACCGAAATTAAAGAGAAACTTTCTTATATTATGCCTCAAAATGAAAAAAAAAATTTATTAGAAAAAGCTATTTATGAACCTTTGGAAGAAAGTTCATTTGAATATGAGAAATTTATAGAAAGTAAAATTTTATTTAGTATATTGTCTAGTAATTTAATATAATTTAGGGTTTCAAATGTCTAGAATCTTTAGACCTAGATTACTTGTACATGGTAAACCTGGAATGGGACAGCAATATATTGGAGCAGCAGTTCTTTATCATTTTGAAGGAATTTATATTCAATCATTTGATCTTGCTTCACTTATGGGAGATCCTACAAAAGTATATATTAATATTCTATGATTTTATATTTAATATATTTTAGACACCAGAATCCATTGTTGTACAATATTTTATTGAAGCAAAAAGACATAAACCAAGTGTAATCTATATACCTGATTTTCAGATATGGTATTGTACTGTATCTGATTCAGTTAAAACGACTTTAAAAATGTTATTAGCAAGTTTAAAATCGACTGAGCAAATACTCTTTTTTATTGTTATTAATGATGTGATTGAGAAACTTGATAAAGATGCGTTATTGTGGCTTAGTATTTCTAAAGAGAATATAGTAGAATTGTCTGCACCTACTAAGGTATTAATTTTTAGTCTCTTATCTTTCTTATGATAAAAGGATTCTCGCTTTAATTTTTTCAAAGAGCTAATTAATTTAATAAAAATACCTCCTTCTAAAATGCCTGATGATTCTCAACGGAAAAAAAGAGTGCTAAAGGAACTTCCAAAAGCTCCAACACCACCTCCAAGAATACTTACCAAGAGTGAATTAAAGGAATTAGAATATAGGGATCGTAAATTGAAAAATATAGTTAAAATCAAACTAAGTCCGCTTATGGAGATGTTAAAAACGCGTTATAAGCGTTTTAGAAAACCCGTTATTGTAAAATTATTTTCATTACATATTTTATCTAAATTTTATAGGACCCTAATGAAATATGGTATTTAATGAATTTTCCAAAAGATATGTCAATAGATACTAGCAATCAGCCTTATGAGCTTGTTGAAAATAATTTAATTCACGAAAAAGCTACTGGAAAAAAATTTGTTAACATGGATTTAGAACTAATTGAAGAAAAACTATGGAATAGCATGTACTTAAGTCCTAGACAGTTTTTACATGATATAAAGGCAATAATATATGATGCGAGTATAAGTGGTGATCGTGAAAGATTATTAAAAGTATTATTTATTTTTTAACATACATAAATTGACGTCAATAGGCACAAGAAATGTACACTAATGCACAAATGAATGTAGAAGATATTTCTGATTCACATTTTATACTTGAATGCCGTCGAATGATAGAAAGAGAAAAAGAAAGACAAAAACATAAAGAAATTTTAGAATTGAATAAAAATAATAATTTAGAAATTGAAAATGCGACAGATTTAAAAGAACCAAATAAAATTAATTTGGTCTCAAATATTCAGCCTATAACTCAATTACCTTTAAATAGTACAGAAATTAATGATACCATTATTAAGGATGATTTAGCACATGATAATGATATTGAAGATGTGATGATTGACTTTACGCAGATTGACACTATTAATTATAAAAATAAAGGAACTACTAATATGGGTATAAATTTAGTAGAAAAAACTAGTTCAAAAAAAGTTGATTTCCAATTAGTAAAAAAATTTATTTCAAATAATTCTAAGCATGAACTTGATGATTTAATTCATAATAATACGTTTAATACTAAAGATAGCTTTGCTTCATTTGTTAACAATGCTGATGAAAAAATATTAAATTCGTCTCAATCATTACAGATCCATGATAGTTGTGATTCTAATAGTGAATCATCTAATATCGAAAATACAAATGATTCATCTACTTTTTCTCTTATATTAAATATATCTAAACTTGATTTATTATTGGATAAAATGGTTGAAACAACAGATAATGCTAGTGTTGATGATCTAGAAAAACTTTATTCTGCGTGTGTAAATATTCTTTGGCAATGGAAAAATAATTGGAATAAAAATGATCTGGTTGATTTAGTTGAGCAAGTTTTTGAAAATACATGGAAAAATATTAAAGAATTAAATGTTTAACGTTATAGTTAGGATATATTGGAGTTTTTGGTCTATTAAAACCTATATTTTATCTTTTTTAAATAATATTAATTGTATAATATATATATGTTATTACATATTATATATATTATTATATATTACATATAACATTTTATACCATGAATTGTTTACTCTTCAGTAGTAATTTAAAATATAAATATTAATTTTATTACAATATATTTAAAATATAGTAAATTTATAAAATAATGAAATTTTTTATAATATAATATTTTTGTCATACTCCTATTATCTAGTTTATAAATAAACTTGACCTTTTTTATTTCATAATTTTTTATTAATAATTTTGTATATTTTGAATTTAAACGTACAACCAACTAATTATATAAATTTATATTTGTTAATTAAATGAAATTCCAGTTCCTAATATTATTATATCAATATAAAATTTAAATAATATCATATTTTTTAAATATTATAAATAGATAATACTTGAATATAATTGTTAGTCATTATACAATTAAAATCAATATGTTATAATGTATTGGAATTATGAAATATTATATTTTTTAAACTCATTTTATTTTTTATTTTCATCATTTATAATTAGAGGTTTATTAGATAATTCTGACATTAATACAGTTGATTCTGTTGTAGATGATTGTATATTAAGTTTCGTATTTGTTGATGTGTTTAATCGTTCTTCCAACTCTTTCAAAGCGAGTGCTCTATAAAGTTTTAATGAAATAGTATAAATTTAAAATTAATATACCTTCTTCTTTCTGCTTCAGAACGAGACGTACCTAAATGTGAAAGAAAATCAGGAGACTTCTGAAAACTATTTAAAGTTTCCGTTTGCTGATTTTTTATAGGAATAGATACATATATATGAAAAAATGCTAGGAAATGAGAAATTTTTTTTGAAATCATGCTAATTAGAGAATGTATAGGTTGAGGGAAAAAATAAGCAACTATATTTTTTAGTATGAAATAAAAATTAAACATTTTACTAACATCCAAACGTTTCTGAGGTATCTCCTCTAAGATCTAATGTTAAATGCGAAAATAGATTTGGTGTATTCCATTTAAAAAATCTCAAATAAACCCAAGAACTTAAAAACCCTGTCCATGCTAGTATTCCAAGCGAACCATTTTCAATTAAGATTCCTATAATTGAAATAACACAAATGTATAAAATTGGAACGTACTTGAAAAAATAAATATAATAAATTTGTATATAAAACTTACTTTTATACGTATTCGTAAAATACCTTTAAAAAGAGTTATTGTATGTTCTGGAATCAATTGCTTTAATGCAACTAAAAAACCTGAGTAAAGAGCGTATCCTCCATGAATTGATCTTGTTCTATTCATTTTATCAATCATATATTTTTTTACGGGATTTACACACAAAAACAACATATTATGTTCAATTATATATCGAATATAGTACCAAGTCCAAGCAAAGATATTTGGAACAATCACTATAACAAGTATAAATTTCATAAGACCTTTCGACCCCCATGACTTTTCCAAATATTTTCCACCATAATATAATGAACTTAATAAAACAATAAACTAAAAAATAAATTTCAATCAACATTACACTTATTTTCATGCTGCATACTGCAAAAAAATTACTTTCAACAAATGTTGCAATAAAAAACGTCCAAATATAAAAATAAGATATACCAGGAACAATTACAAAAAAAGACAGTATAGAATAGGTCTGCATTGACATCATGCGAGGATTAAACACATAAATAAGAAATTTCAAGCCTATACAAAGAAGAAAAAAAAAAGTCGACATACACAACAATAATCTATTGTTTTTAGCCAAAATATCTTCTTTTTTTTGGAAAAAAAAAACAAATCACAAACCTTGTAACAAAAGATAAGTTTTTAAAGACCATTTTGATCAATAAATCTAAAATTTAAGCAGTTTTTTTTCTTTGATATCATATACGTTATATCTGACGTTAACGTATTTATATTAGATATCCTGTATCGTTATAACAACTGTTGTTATGGCGATTTTCTCAACGTCATCATTTTCAACAATCATAGACAAGCAAACAAAAAGCAAGTTGTAGCAAGAAAAAGCCTCTTCTTTGAAGAGAAATCGTGCTCTTAAATGAATAGCAAAGAGGTTAATTATCTTATATGGAGATATCTTCAGGAATCAGGCAAAACAAGCACTATTTTATTTTTTATAATAAAAAAAATAGGTTTTGAACATACAACATTTACATTTCAACATGAATCAAGTGCACATTTAGCAGATACCAGCTGGGCACGTGAAGTTTCAGCAGGTGCTTTGATTAATGTTCTGCAAAAAGGACTTCAATATATGGAAGTTGAAGCACATGTTGATAAAGTAAATAATTTATTATTTTTGAAAAAAATTTGAATTTAAATGAGTGTAGAATGGGAGTATGAGGCGTTGTGTGCTTCCTTTTTCATTGATTGGGAGACATTTCTGTGAAAATAATGAAACAGTGCTACCAGAAACTTTAGGAGACTCGGATTTACATGGACGTGAAAAACAAGCTCTTTCTAATAGTTTGGATGAAGGTGTTCATAGGATGGAACAGAAGGATTTGAATATTTCTATAGAAGTAAATGAAGTTGATGGATCAAAGGAGATTAAGGAACTTAATGAATCTTCAGAGACAAAAGAACAAACAAGAACAATGGGGGAAACAAAATCATTTGGATTACCAGAATTGGCGGGGGAAATGGGCCATGTAGATCTACTAAAGTCAGGAGTGTCTTTGCCAGATAGTTCGTGGCCGATAAGGAAAATAGAAAAAGTGACTCTATTACGTGGTCATAAAAAGAATATTTTTATTGGTGCATGGAATCCAGTTCATTTAAATGTTGTTGCTACAGCGTATGTCTTTTTTTTAAAAATTAGTGAAAAGATTGTTTACATTTGGTCTTTTTAGATCGGCTGATGCTACAGTAAGAATCTGGGATTTATCAGAAAAAAATCATATGTATGATCTTTTAGCTAGTGTTGTATTAAATGCAGTTCCTTGTCTTAGTGAAAGTAAAGATATTACATCTATATCATGGGATGTAAGTATAATGATTTTAAGTTGCAAAATATTTTTGAACTTTTTTATAGAATTCTGGTAATTATATAGCAGCAGGATCATACGATGGTCAAGTTCGTATATGGAACTTAGATGGGACTTTGAAATATTTACTAACAGCACATCACGGTCCTATTATGGCAATAAAGTGGAATAGTAAAGATAGTTTGTTACTTACTGCAAGTTGTGATAGTTTTGTTATTGCATGGAATATGTTTGATGGTACTTTAAAGCATGTTTATGATAAAAGACCTTGTGCTGTAATGGATGTTGAATGGATTAGTGATGAAGCATTTGCATCGAGTGGAAAAGATGGGTCCTTGGATTACTGGTCTATAGAAAAAGTAGAATTATTAAGAAGGTGGGAAGGTCATTCTAAAGAAATTAATAGTATTAAATTTAATTCATGCAATAATTTACTTCTTTCGTGTTCGGATGATTTCACTGTAAAGGTTAAGAGATTATTTTTCATTTTGATTAATTATACATTAATATTATCTAGATTTGGTCTTTAGATATATCATCCCCACAAAAAATATTTTTAGGGCATTCTAAAAGTGTAATTTCAGTTCAATGGAAACCTCAACAAAAAAATGATAAAACGATTATATTTGCATCTTGTTCATTAGATGGTACAATAAAAATTTGGAATACTACACAATCATCACCTTTACATTCTTTGTCACATAATTGGGCTTTTTTTACAATTTCATTTAATCCTAGTGGAGATATATTAGCAGCGGGTACTAAAGATGGTTCTGTAATTTTGTATGATGTAAAAGAAGGTTATTTATTCGCTGAGTATAACAAAACGTCAGATAAAGATTCAAATAAAAATTCAGTTATTGAGCAAGTTTTTGATATTTCATGGTCAAAAAAAGGAGACCAGATAATTGTATGTAGAGCTAATTGTAACGTATGTTTCTTTATTTGTTTTAAAAATCATATTAATATTTATTAAAGGCTGAAGTTATTTGTTGGGATCAAGTGGTTAACTCTTTGTTATAAGTTTTGTTTTAATGCATGTACATATCGGTTAATAGTTTTGAGTAATGAATTCTAAATTTAATAAGATTAAAATTCCACATAATATTATAACATTTGGTTCATATCATTAACTTAATTCTTCATGTAAATTTATAAACTTACGGCTTATTAATTTTCTGAAATCTAGTTTTAATTTATTTGTATTATGTTTATAATTTAAAAACTATTATATATTTAATATTTTAAAAAAATAGATAATAAATTAATAATTCGTAGCAAATGATGAATGTAAAATTCTGCTTAAAATTTACTTTTTCTTTTAAAAATATTAATACTATAATTAAATATGCTTAAATATAAATAACAAAAGCGAAAGAATCCTATGTCAATATATATACTTATAAGATGAGCTATTATTTTTAAAAGAAATTAAATATCACTTATCTTGAAAATGCTATAATTTTTATAATTCTTGTATTGTTGGAAATATATTTTTAATATAAATTTATATATAAAAAAAAGAGCCTAATTCAATAAAAATGTTAACATTTATGACAATAAATATAAATATTAAAATTGAAAAATGATTTAAAATTGATGATCCAGAACAATGATTATTGGTATCTTCGCAATGATTTTTGTTAATAGATTTTCCAGAAGTTTTACTATTTTTCTCAGTATAATCATAATTTGCATATATATTTTCGCGGTCCTCTATAAGCGAAGAAATACATGAAGTAGAAAGAGATGAATATTTAGAGCAAATGATGTTTGAAAATTCATAAGAATCAAGAAGATCAAAAGGCATTTTTTGATAAATGCATGTGCCTACAGCGCTTTTATAAGTAGTAGATATACAAAGACATGGAATGTCAAAAATACTTTGACATCCTGAATAAACCATTGAATTTTTATAACAATTTTTTGTTTTTAAATTTAAATTAGATTCGTGTAATTTTTGTAAAAAATTGACGCATTCTGGTGCTTCAACATCTCGTTTATGCATATTTAAAAATAAAAGTTTATTGTTAACCATAGCTCGTTTTTTAAATCTACCTGATATTTTTTTTGATAAAACAGAAAAATCATTTCTGGAAGATCCAGTAAAATATATAAAATTTTTTATTTTCTCTATTAGATAGATTGCTGAAAAATAGATATCAGGATATTGAGCATAAGCATTAATGGCTCTTCTAACATATGGAGGAACATAAAATTTCTCCAATGATTCATATTGCTGGGTATCATCTTTTACTTCTTTGTGTGTATTTATAAAGTATCTTTCAGAAACTAGTAAATGCATTAATATGTAAAATATGTTTTTTTTGAAAAAAGATTTGTTATACATGGTTCTTCTAAAACTCCGTATATATATATATCTTTTTCTTCAGAAAGATAGTTATTTAAACTATTCTCATATGCAAAATGATAAATTGTATCTTTTTTGAGATAAATATTGTCTATATCTATAGATGTTTGTTATTTTTAAATAATACATAAATGGAAAAACCTATTGTTGGAAAACTGTTAATATTATGTTTTTGTTGATTTATACTAATAATTAACTCGTTAAGAACAATCTAAAAACATATTCTATAAGGAAATAAACTATACCTTTCATTAGCTGATGTTTTTGAAAAAGAAAAAAATGTCAAAGTCAAAAACCAAGTATAAAATACAAAGAAATATTGAAATTTAAGAATCAAAAGGGAATCCATAGGGCGTTTGAATACTATTCTTCAGCATTAATGCTATTATGTTCAGAGATATCTTGTAATTTAAAAAATAATTTTTTGATAAAACTTTCAGAAACGCGATTATAGATGAAAATTATATGTAAATGAAATATAAATTAAAGAAAAAATACAAAGAGCAGATAAAAAATACTTTAAATATATCAAAAAGAACTAATGTAACTGATATTATGCAAAATATCAGGATTTTTAATTAAAAGACAAAATTAGTAGATAAAAAATATCTATTGCAATAATTTAAGAATAAGAGCTATGTATGTATAAAGATGGATGCACCTCAGTAGTGTTAATCGAAATAAATCTTTTTAGAAGAGTATCAATGAAACACAGCATTTTTTCTTTTCATTTTTCTTTGATTCTGGGTTCAAAAGACAAATATTCATAAAAATGAAGCTATCAATAAAAAGTCACATTTGAGATGGTTGTTCATCGACTTCAAGAATACGATTGCCTAAAAATTCTAACCAATGCCGAGACCAATTCTGAACTTTTTTATATAAATTCCAGGCGATTTTTAGCATTCCAATTATATAGAAAATCATAAAACCACTGTGAAACTGTCGAATACGTCGTCGTCGTTGGTCTCCAAGTAATATTCGATAGTTACGAATAGGCCCTAATAATTGAATTGTGCCTATAGCACCTAAAGAGATAAATCCGACAAGAAAATGAGTAGTATCGACGACTGAAAAGATTTGCCATAGACTACGTGGACGAACAAAAGACTCTGGAATAGGAATGGGCTCGTAAAATAGAAAATCTGCAACATATTCAAAACCAAAGTAGAAAATGAGCTTAACAACGAATCCTGTAATAAAAGAAGCGCCTAAAAAAGCAAGTGCAGTGCATATTAGCAACGATGCTATAAATATTCAGTACTGTATATTTTTCCGCCATTTTTATGGTGGTTAACATACGATAAGATACAAGAATAGCAGAAAGTTGCGGCCGAAGAAACAAATATTCGTAATGACATTGTTCACAACGGTAATAACTAAAAGATTTTTATTAGTATGAAATCTAGGAATATTTTGTGTTTATTGCGTTTATGTTAAATGTTAGAAATAATATACCTTTTTGAAGATTTGCTTTTTATTCTCCATTCTAAAAGACAATTTACATGCACCCACTTCATATATTAGCTTTATAGAATGCTTTTAGAGCCATTTTACTTTGATTGTTCCTTGACAACGGCATGGAGAGATAAGTTTCCCTAGTGTAGGCTGATCATCGGCTCCGCCAAAACAGATTCTACACATAGGTTTATCATTTCCACTAACCCCTCCTTCTGCAGTCTCCATTAATGTTTCATTGTTTTCTATCTAAAAGCATAATAAATTCTATTCCATGACTTAGTCTATCCACAGTAATTGTGAGCTTTTATAAATCGATAAATCATCTCAACGGGACAACCATGTGTAAGATGTTTTAAGAATTAAATTAGATGCTATATATATTTTTAAACTTGGGGTTTTAATGTTTTTAAAAATAATTTTGTTTGAAAATGACTTTTTGCATTAAAAAGAAAAAAATAGTTCGATCTTCAGTATTAACGAGTGCAACCATCTAACCATTAGCTTAAAATTCGAATTGTTACGCAGGCAAGGATCTTGACATCTAAAAAAGGTTAATTGTTTTCTTCTACAAAAAGAAATACCTCAAGTAGTCGCTTAACGCCTACCATCCAATGACCGCATTCCTCTGTTTTTGTCGTAACAAGATTAATGTGTACATTCAAAGCAACTTGATAATCTTTAGCCAACATGGCTAAAATAAAGTTAGATTTTGTATTATAAAGAAGGGAGAAATAGACCGTCTACAAGAATTCTCATTTCATCTAATAAATCATTGGATAAATCAGTACCATTGTTAAGATGATCAAAAAGAATGTTCAATCGTCGTTCTGTGTCTTGTATTTGCCGAGTAAATCCTGACTACAAAATAAATGAATTGAAAAAAAAGAAAAAATATATACCGGAGCATATTTTTTAACTTTTTCCATTTCAGATGAAAGACCTTCAAAAATTGGTTTTAAAGATAATGGTATATGTGATCGATCACCTGGTGCTATAACGTATTAAAACAATAATTTTAATAAAGAAAATGTTTACGATATTTTGAATTTTGTAATGTTGTGGATTTTGAAACAAATCCTAATGCAGGAGTATTATTTTGTGGAGGCCTTTGATGCTCGGTTTTCAAAAGCGTTTGATATGATTGTTGGGCAGGATAAATATTTTGCTCTTGAGGTGAATTTGCATCTGATTCCTGTCGAGAGTATAATTCTTTTGTCTGACTGGTATATGATCCAAATGATTGGTTAGATTTCGTAAGAGACTCGGATTGTTCAGTATTTGATGGAGAAACCATTGGTTTTGGTGATGACTTTGAATAGTTAGGATTTACATAAGGCTGAACATTATATGTTGAATTATAAGGTATATTTGCTCCATAGATATTTAGCCCTGCTGTGTTTATTTCAGGAACATTTGGACTATTTTTCGTATACGAATTATTTGATTGAACATTACAAGGTAAACTGTATGGCCCTTGGGTGTTAGTTTGCATAGTTTGAGAATATCCTTGATACTTCTGTCCAACCATTGGAGGTGGTGGAATATAAGCTTGTTTCTGTGTTTTTAAAGAATATTGATCAATTTTTTTATTTATAAAGTTGTTTTGATCACTTTGGACAATGTTTTGTCCAAATGGTGAAGATATATGGCTTAAAGGTCGAATAGGTTTTTTAAGTGGTTGGAGAATAGGAGCATCATTCCATGCTGGAGAACTTTTTTGTTGTGATGAAATAGTGGTATATGTAGGCTGTATTGAAGCAGTTGCATATGAAGGTTTTTGCTCTGGTGGTTGAATACTATTTGTTAAATATGGGTTAACTTGTTGATTAATTGTGTTTGAGCCTTGAGTGTATGGTCTATAACCCTGAGGAGTATATAAATTAGTTGAATATGAATTTGATGTTGACTCTGATAACAGTGGAGTATAAGGAAGCTGTTGAAGATTGTTCGAATTTTTAAGTATTGTGTTTGGACAAAGATTTAAGGATTTAGCAATACGTTCTTTTGCCATCATAGAATCATTGTAATTATCTGGCAATAAGCTAAGATATTTTTGAGCCAGAACAAAATTCCCTTGAGATGCCATTATGTTTGCATAATCATTGTATTTTTTAAATAACAAAGATAAAGTACCTGGATTGATTGATTTTTCTATATCATTCGAATTTATAATTTTTTTTAAAATAGTTATTTTTTCAATAAAATCTTGAAGAAGTTTTGCGTACATAGAATAAGGTGAAGTATTTGAATTATCAGTTGTTTCAATATGTTTAAATATAGATACTTCTTTTTCTTGAAATTCTTCAACCCAAATGTTAATTAATTTGTCTAATTTTGTACCCATAAGATAGCATAAAACTGCTTGATTTCTTATCTGAAAATCTGCACTTTTAGAACGAAATTCAGTATTTATTCGATCACCTAATGTATCACATAATTCTGAAAATTTTTCAGATTTTGAAAATGTACATATAATAACAAGAGCTTCTTTCCAATCTTTTAAATCTGTATTTAATGCTACGTCCTGCAAATCACCTTCAATTATAGATGACAATAATCTAATATAAGACACATTATTATATTTCCTAACATATGCCTTTTGTGCACGTTTCTGACATTCTTTCCCCCCACAAAAAGAAAACATTAAAGCGTCTGAAAGTCGATTTTCTTGTAAACATAAATCAACTGCTCTATCAAATTGTCCTAAAAAAATTGATTTAGTAATAATTTTATTTAATTCTGAATCATCATCATTAAATATTGAAAACTGTTCATTTGACAAAGATAAATGGGAAAATATATTTTCGGGATTAGATAATTTAAGATTCAAAAAATCATTATTTGTTTTATGCTTTTTAAATAAATCACCTAGATCTTCTTCGGTTGATTTAGTTGCTTCTTGATCATCCTGAATCTCTTGAGACTCCTTGTTTAAAGAAATATTTTTAATTTTTTCTAATAAATCATTTTCAATATTATCTTTTTTAAAACCAAGAAAAGTTGCAAATCTATCCCTAAAGTCTTCATGTAAAAGAATAAAAAGAATTTCCCAAATCTGTTTTTGCAAAAGATCATCTACTTCTTGAACTTTTTTCTGACAATACGTTTTGATTTCATTATTTTTTAAAATTTCTTCAAAATTATTTGCATTATCAATAATACTTGATTCTTCTGTAACATTTAAAATTTTGATAGTATTTGATCCAGGAATTTCATTAGTTCCAAAAGTTACTAATTTTCCACCAAATCCAAAACTTGCGCCACATTTCTTAATATGCCATTTAGGAGGGTTTTTTAATAGTAATAAGGATTCACTTGATTCCGTATATGACGGAATATTATCAAAGAAATCTGCGTTACAAATGTTCGATGTAGTATCAACCTTGTTTTCAAGAGTTTGAGTTGTTTGGATTGTTTGAATGACTATTTTTCCATCATAAGAAGCGTTTGCAATTACATCTGGATTTTTTAGAGACCATGATACTTTGAATACCCAATTATTGGATCTCGGAAATTCACCAATCAATTCTCCAGAAAAAGGATCCCAACATAATGTTCTATTATCTTTTCCGCATGACAAAAGAAGTCCTGAATCATGTTTACACCACGATACTGACAATATACCTGCTTCATGACCAGACAGTACCTTTTATTAAAATGATTAATAATATAGATATTTAATAACTTAATGAATACCTTTTCTGGTGCATGTGAATTTCTTAAATCCCACATCAATACGACAGGCGTTGTATCGTCCTCTGATGCGGTAACAATCTTTGTTGCCTATTGGTATAAATTTCTAATATTAAACAAGTGTAATTTTATTTACAAATTCTGAGTGCCATATCACTGAACTCATGCCCTTTTTCCCTCCACCTACTCCAGGAAATTGAAGATTTACAACTGCTTTTTTTGCACGAAGGTCCCAAACTGACGTAATCCCAGTGTTTCCTGCTGTAGCCAAGATATATGGGACTTTTGGGTCTTTATTAAATGCTATAGATTGAATTTCACCTAATTGATTCGATTTTTGTCCTGAAGAATACGGTTTCATGGGACATTCCATATCCCAAATCCAAATCTATAGAAATAGATTAATTCTTATGTATTTTGTTCCTATACTAGACAGACCTCTCCATTTTCACCTGCTGATGCTAATAACTTCGTCTGCGTCGTATTAAAATCTAAACTTTTAATAACACCACTATGTGTTGTATTTTGTGCAATCAAGCATTCACTTTCACTGCATATCGTTTGATTAACATCATGCTTAGTCTCTTTTTCTCTTATACCTTGCACCAGAATATATTAAATCTGCATCCCACAAATTTAATGCCCCATTTTCCATTGCACCTGCAATGATCCCTTTTTTACGTCCTTCAAATCCACATCCCCATGCAATATCATTGAATCTAAACCAAAGATTCTAGTTAGCCTGTTATTCCCTAACAAAATTTTCTTACCTCGTTGTGCATGAAATTACATTATTTGGCTGTGCCAATTCAAATGATTCTGGTGACCAATCCATTAAATCAACCTCCCAAAGCTCCAAATCCATTCTATTTGAAAATCCAGAGTCAATTACGCCTGGAATCGTCCCTGTTGCTAGCCATGTTCCTTCATCACATGGACTCCACGCAAATGCTGCTGTGCGCGGGATTTCTCTCAGTTTTACCATATTTTAAATATAATTTATATTTATTCCTTAAAATACTATAAAAAAGATCTATTTTGGCCCCAAAAAGACCTATTTTTGGCTCTTAAAACTGTACCGTTTTTTCTGAGGTTGATAGTGATAATGTAAATGTTGTGACAATAGATATATTTTACAGTCGATCGATGAATGTTAAAAAAATAAAAAAAATAGAAATGGGGATAGAAAAAAGGCTTTTTAGATAAATAATGTTTATATTTAAATATATATGATATAATTGATTGATTTTCCGTTTTTTTCGGGTTGAAAATAGGCTTTTTTTGGAGGAAAATAGACTTTTTTTCTTTTAGGTGGTTATCCGCGTACCGATATTTTATACTTTGGACCACAAAAAAAGATTAAAAACTATAAAAGCAGCGTATTTGCAGATTAAACATGATTCATACGTTTGTAATGAATGGAATTCGATGGTCACGGGCAAGTGCAGTCGTTGGTGCTCGAAAATCCTGTTTTAAACGAACATTTTGGGGGCAAAACGTCTTAAAACGAGAAGAACCAAATTCAGAGGCTCTGGGTGCAAAAGATGCGGAATCTTCTGTGTCAGAGGATATAAATAAGTCTTCTGGGGGGCCTTCAGCTGATTGGGAGCCATTGGCTTCTTCAGAACCTACAATTTCTGTTATAAATCCAGAGAAAGAAATAGCAGAATTAAAAGTAAGAAAAAACTAAATATACGGCTTGTAAAACATCTTTGATGACAAATAATAGGATAAATACTTGAGATCTGTTGCAGATTTTAGAAATCTTCAAGCAAGAACACAGAGAGAAGTGGCTGATGCGAAATTATTTGCGATTCAGCAATTTGCAAAAGATTTGATCAATTCAGTAGATAATTTGGAAAGAGCATTAGCAACAGTGCCTGAAGATAGTCGTACAAATGTTGAAAAGAGTAAGGAGTTGGTTGATCTTTATGCTGGTCTTAAAATGACTGAAACAATTTTGAACAAAACATTGGAAAAACATGGGCTAATAAAATATGATGGTCTTGGAGAAAAATTTAATCCAAATCTTCATGAAGCGGTTTATCAAGCATCAATTCCTGGAAAAGAGGCTGGAACGATTTTTCATAATGAACAAACAGGGTTTATTTTAAATGGACGTGTAATTCGTCCTGCAAAAGTGGGTGTCGTTAAAGAACATTGAAATTATTTAAAAAAATGTTTTGTATTTACTTATTTTTTACCAGAATGGTATTAGCTTATTGTTAATGTGTGATGAATATATTGTTAGAAAGTTAATGTAGTGTAATAACTTTAAATTCAAAAAGTAGTCTACACTATCGAAGTTCTATATCGAATTCTTTTATAATAAGTTCCCTAATCTTTCCTTGAAGTATGTTCACTTCTTGATTGGAAAGTGACCTGTCAATTTGTTAGAATCATGATTTGCGTAATATGTTAATTTTTACCTATCCATAGATCGGTAATTAATTCGATAACATAAACTTTTTTTTTTCGTTTTTGGATGTATGAATTGATCAATCTATTAAAACAATGAACTGAAGTTTAACATTATAGATTTGTATACCAATTTAACTTCTTCAATTAGATTGCCTCCTATATTTCTTATAATTTCCATGAAATCATTCTCATGAAATTTATTTTTTTTTATTAACGATGTACAAGTATTATCTTCTTCGCTAACCCAAAATGCAATGTCTTTATAACATGGTGGATATTTTGAATAAGGCTGAAATACAGTTATTTTTCCTGGAGAAAATTGCTCATAAAATCTCTGATCTTGAGACCAAAAAAGTCTAATGTCTGGTATCCTAAAAAATATCATAGCAATCCTCTCTAAGCCAAGTCCAAATGCCCAACCAATTTGATTGGACATACCTATTACAGTTAATTTGTTAATATGGTATTAAGTCAATACCCGCAATTTCAAGTAGCTTATGTTTTATAATACCACAGCCACATATTTCTAACCACTTTCCTTCCCAAAATATTTCTAGTTCCCATGAAGGACTTGTAAATGGAAAATATGATTCAACCCAACGGATTTTCAAAGGAAAATGAATACTTTTGTCTGATAAATTACGAAATTGACATGATAACTCATGTATATAAATAATTATTCTCTCTAGTGTTTTTTTTAAATGTTTCCCTATTATTTTAATATCGTCTTCCCGATGATTTTTTTGTAGTGGATTCCGTTCTGTATGAAATGGAAGAGTAGTATCTTCAATAATAATCTCTGAACATGAAACGTTAATATTTGGCACTTTTACAATTTCTTTCATTGATCTTTGATCGCTTTTCGTCCAGAGTCTTACTCCTTCCATTTGATGAAAAATAGGATAATGATTTTTATCAATTTCGTCTTTTCTATAAACATCTGCGCTTATCAAAAATCCTTCTTTTTTCATCTTTTTAAATGCATCTATCTGATGCGCTGATGTATGTGTACGTAAAACATGATTTCTGTTGATATAATATGTATCTGTGCGATCACGACCAGGATGATTGGTCGGAAAATCAAGAAGATCAAAATTTTTCTCTATACTAACAACAGGGGAAAAATCATTAAATATTTCATAATGAGATGTATCAAATTGAGATTCTATCACTTGTCGTAAAATTGATAAAGGGTGATATGGTTGAAGATGAAGTTTTCGCTCAATCGCTTGAAGAATTCTAGGTCCAATGTTTGTATAATCATCTGAAAAATAAATATCCCCAAGAATAGATATATATGGCTTAGTATTCTGTCTATCTGTGTTTTCAATCACTGATATTTTTGTCAAAAAAGGATTACCTGAAAATCCCGTTATTTTTGCTATTTTTTGAAAAGAATTAGGATAAATAAAATCCAAAGTATTCAACGTAAAAAAAATACATCTTTTAAATTGTTTTATACGTAAATGGTGCGTATTTAAGACCGCTATAGATAGTGATTTCATTTATTTAATCTCATTTATTTTGATGTAAGATCAATTGGTTAGATCGATGTCAACGTTATAAATTATTAAAAAAATGATTTTTTATAAAATACCTTGTTTTTTGAGACAAAGATATAAAATAAAAGGCTTTTTTAACATTCGTTTATATTCAAGAAATCTATATTTTCCTCCTCGACTTGCAAAATTCGATGTTTTATACTTCTTTCAACACTGGTCCATACCTACCGTTTTTCATGGATATTTATATAGTCGTTATGTTTTAATGAAATCAAGATATGGCCATCAATATGGTACTATATGTTTATTCTTTTTTGATATTTTATTCCTCATATTTTTAAGCACCCAGAAATATAAAATATAAAAAAGCACACAAGGGAAGGGTTTCTGTGCCTACAGGAATGTCAATTAAAGGTTTTTATAAAATGAATATGTAAGACATACTAATATAACCTTCTATGAAGGAAGCACAATTGTTTATGGTGATTTTGGTATGCGTTTGAAAGGCTCAGGAATTCGATTTACCGCAAAACAACTTCAAGCAGCTGAAATGGTGATTAAACGAGTAATAAAGTCTACAAAAGGTGCTAGAGTGTATACACGTGTAGCAGCGAATATTCCTGTTTGTGTCAAAGGAAATGAGGTTTGCTTTTTTTTTTTGTTTTTTGATTTATTAATTATTTTAGACACGTATGGGAAAAGGTAAAGGTGGTTTTCATCATTGGGCTGCAAGAGTTCCAATTGGTCGTGTTGTTTTTGAAATTGGAGGAGGAGGTATTGCTAGTGAAGTTGCGTTAGAAGCTTTACGACAAGCAGAATATAAATTACCAGGAAAATGGGAGATTATCACACGAGGCACGCCTGCTCGAATTGGATTACATCAAACTTATCAAGAAATGCCATCTGAAAAGGCTGATGCATAGTTTTGAAGAGATGATTTATTTATGTTATGAATAATGTTATTTTTTGGCCTTATTTTATATATCCGAATTTAGTGTTTATTTAAATGGGTTGTCACAAATCAACTAAATCCTGTATAATGAGAAGAATATATTCTCATAAATTTCGCGACAAATGCTTCTAAGTGAAATATTGCTTTGTTTCCAAGTTGAAGACGATGTTCCTTTTTTGATTAACTTAAATTATATAGAAAGAAATCTTACATAAAAAGTTGCCCATTTTATGGTTTCAGGCTTCAAAATATCGTCGATTTTTGAAATCAAGTTAAATGTTAAAACCTTTTTATTAGAAAAATGTAATTGTAATCATAAATAATTCATACTTTAAGGATTAATGGTGGAGGAATACAGTGTGTAATAAGTTCATAAAGCATGCCTCGTACTTGGAGAATCCTTAGTACTATTAGTATCTTTTTTGTTACGTTATTAGTATGCAAACTTTGCAGGTGTTTGTTCCTGTATAATAGATTCTGCAATTTGATTAATATATGTCTCCCAATCAGGCAAAGGCACTATCGTGTTTTCATGCAAATTAGAACTATATAAAAATATTAGGAATGCAACTTTATCTAAAAAATATATATTACTCTTTTGCATAAATAGTTTCTAGCATCAATAATGCTCTTCTTAGATTTCTTTTACTATCCAATGCGATTTTGTTGCATAATTGATCAGGAAGTGAAAAATGTTCTTCAGAAGCAACATATTTTAAAATGGTAGCTATTTCCTCCAATTTAGGCGCGGATACACGCACCAAAAAACATCTTGACTGAATAGGTGCCATAATTTTAGATGTTGAACTTGCAAGAAGAATAAGACGCAAATTGGGGTAATATTTTTCCATGGTTCGGCGCAATGCTGCTTGTGCTTCCCCACTAAGATGATCAGACTCATTAATAATTACCACTTAACCCATTTTAGTACAACTTTGTCGTTATTTTAAAATAAATGTATATACCTTTAAACCGCTGTTTTGCCGATGTGTCAACCTGCTGAGTCTGTGCAATTTCTTTTAAAAGATCCTGAATTACCATTCGGTCATAGTTTCCTGAATCACTGTATTATTGATATATAGATTAAAAAATAAATCACTTATATTCCACTATACCTTGGTGTAAATTCTAAATGATAATTACTAGATATAATATTGATTTTTATTTTCTTATTTGAAGAAGAAATAAAAGTCTTTTGATCTATTTTCAGCTGTTGTATTTATCAATTGAGTTTGTCTTTATTTAAACTAAAAATACTTTTTCAACTCCTGATCCATAAAGTTCACGTAGTGTCGCCAAAACTCGAGTTTTTTTACCAGATCCAGGTATTCCATAGACTAAAAGATGCGGAAAATCGCTGCTTTTTGCCTTTTTCTTGTTATTTTGCCCATTCTACCTTAAAAATTTGACTTACTAGTGCTTTCAATTTTCGTGATAGTTCTTCATGGAAATGCATATGATCTAGTGATTTGGGTCTATATTTGTCTATAAATAGAGACATTTATCTTGAAAATATTAATATTCTCTTGCTTCTTTGTATTTTTGAAGGCTTGAAAAGCTTTTGATAGTATCAGACTTTTTGTATCACTTGTTCTCGTCACGTCAGCTCAAGCAGGGTAGGAAAGGAGTAATAGATGGGTCAATAAAAATGTATCAATCTATAGTAAAATACGATAGAAAGATGGTAAGGCTTGAGTTGTAGAGATAAATGTGTTTTTCGAGCAGAAAGAACCAATTATTCACACTCCTAGAACAAAAATACGTTGACATGAGCGAATTCAATTACTCAATAAAAGATATATATACAAAACATTAAAAGATCTAAACGAAAGTATGTATAAACATAGGCAAAAACCTTAATCAGAAAAGGTCCAACACTTCTTTGCCAATGGACTTGATACTATTGGTTTATGAAATTCGATTTTCTTTTTTGCTGCAATAAGACTGCATCGCTCGAGCTCAGTAACTAGAGGTAGATTAGTGAACTTCTTAATGTTGGTTAACCTTACATGACTTTGGAGAGGCTGTTTTTGTGTTTGTAAGAGGTGCATTTTTTATTGACGATATATCGTTAGACACAGGTGTTTTTGGCGGTACAGCCGTTAGTTCTTTTATTAGTCCTGTCATAGATACTTCCACAGATGCTGCCATTGACGTTTTCAGAGTCGACTCGTTTTGTTCATTGTTTTTTAAATTACTTGACAATTCACTCCCTGTTTTTCCCTCGATTACCCTTTTTTTTTCTCCATTCGATACTACCCAGGAATAGTTATCTGTTCTTGAGCGCTGGAAAGCACTGCTTCCCTCGTTAATTGTGTATTTTGCTTCGTCCACGTGCCGGTCCTCTTCTTCACATCTGTACACAGTTATCTTTGCTTCTTCAGTCCCTTTTGCACTTACTTCATGATCCAATGGATTCCTACACAGTATATCCTTCGTGTCTCTTCCATCTGTTCAAGATATTTATTTGCCGTCTTGACTTTCTCCAGAATTTCTGGAGATCCCAACCGCCACACTACATGTGTGATACTGATATCTTCAAAGACAGATCCTTTCTTCTCGTTCTTATTGCATTTCCCAATTCTTGCTTTTCCAGCCCCTGTAAACCCCTCTGGTACTGACCAGTCCCATTCCTCTTTCACTGATGCTCCTAATTCCTTCAAAATAGATTTGAAACTTTCACTTGCGTCTTTTTTATCTCCTGTCTTGATATCTAAATACGCTACAACACACGACAATGGTTTTTCTCGCACAAAACCCATTTGCAATCCCTGCAGTGATTGCGGAATCTCTGATCCATCTAATGTTTCTGATACATCCCATGCATCGTAAAAAATATCCTTCCCCGTTTCCCCTAGACCCCCGTCTTGGTTTCCTAGACCTTCTTCACTTCTCTCTTCAGTCCCTGCACAGATTTCCGAGCTGATTTTGCTTCCAGAGCTTCCAAAGTTTATACATCCACCTGGTCCTTCTGACCTTCCTTGGTCTGAATATACAAAATATACACCTTCTTGTTCATTTTGCTGTTCTATAGCACCAGTACACATAGAATTCCTTCTTCCCAGCCCTCTGTTTCCTGTAGGGCTTTCTAAGCTTGGTGAGCTTCCAGAGCTTTCTGGAGAACTGCCTGTAATTGGTACCCAGACATCTCTACTGTGACATGGCGTGGTAATTTGCATATTTCCAAGCTTTGCAGTCAGATACATTCCAGAATACTCATTTTCATCTGTTTTTACTGTATTTTTTGCTACTTCTCGTGTTCTGCTGCTTACTGTGCATTTTTTTTGTTCCTGTATATTTCTTGACCTTGTTAAAACGGCTGTTGACCCTGATCCATGCATTGAACCTGTTCTTACGCCTCCTGGCGCTTTTGATACTGCTACAAATGCTCCTGATGCTCTTGCAATGCTTTTTGAGCCTGCAGATCTCGTTGAAACGGGTGCCGGCGCTTCCAAACCCGCTGATAGGGTTGTAGATATTTTAGATCCCGTCAATAATGCTCCTGATGGGCCTGATAGACCTGTTGATGCAGCTGCTGCGGTCCTGCACAGCTTTTCTGCCTGTATTCTCCCTGTGCTGCGTCCTGCGCCCCGACTGCGCCCATCAAGCCCAGAAGATCCTGTCTGCCGCCCAGCGGCTTCTCCACCTGATGTATGCGTGGTATATGCGCGTTGTATGCGTGTTGTATGTGTCTCTTGACATGTCTGTACGCCTGTATGCTGTGCTGTGTTTATCTTCCTGCCTGTGCCCGGTGACGCGCAAGCAGTGCCCTGTTTCGGGCGCCCGCGTGCAATGCGTTGTGCCGGTGTTGATAGAAGCCGTTTCTGTGTGTCACTGTTCAGAGAAACATTTTGGAATGGCGTACGTGCAGCTCTCCGTGTGTTTGGTGTTGCTGCTTCTCGTGTAGTTGATGCTGCCATATGTCGCTCCGAACACTGCGATGCAGTTTGAGCATCGCAGAGCAGAATACAACACAATGCATAGAACACGCATATAACATGCATATAAGCTGTATATAATATGTATACATATCAAATAATGCATTAGATAGTGTATATAGTGTGTGCAGTGTATATTATGTGTATATATTCAGTGTAAAGTCAAGTCTGTGGCAATAGTGTATATAACATGCATATATGCGGCTATGTGGTTTAAAAGGTGTATATTGTGTATAGAATGTATATAATGTGTATACACCTATAGATATATTATATACATTAAGCATATATTATATATATGTGTATATAATATGTATAGTGTGTATACGACTTGTGACGCATAGAGAATAGATAGAATGCATAGATATGTGTAATGTGTGTATGGTGTGTGTGTAGTTTATATAATATATAGCGCACAGTGTGTAGAAAGGGTGTACACTGTGTATAGAAGATGTATGCAGTGCAATGTGTGATAGCAGATGCAATGTATAGTGTATATCCAATGCATGTTCCGTGGATGCATAGCGCTGCGTGTACATACGCATACACGCGTGTGCATGTGTGCATATATGTATCTATATGAGTGTATATATGTGTATATGAGTGTATATGAGTATATATATATATATATGTATATGTATATGTATGTGTATGAGTGTATGAGTGTATGTGTATGTGCGTGTACACTGTATACAGATAAAGCGGCATGGATGTTTGTGTGCAATGTATACAACATAAACTGTGTATACAGTGCATACAGTGTATATATCGTGTATACCGTGTAAACTGTGTATACAGCAAATATAATGCATATACAGTGCATATTGTGCATACTGAGATACTGTGCATACATGTATATGACATAGTTCATACAGTACAGCTTAGTGCAAAACATATGCGCGTATTTTGGGGAATTGAAAGTGTATTCTGCAAAATATGCGTATATATTTTGTAAACTATATATATACTTTGTGAAATACATGTATATTTTGCAAAATATGTGTATATTCGATTTTACGTGTACATGTTTTTCATGATCAGTATTGAAAATACGTGGAAGAAGGTTTGATAAAGCACAGTAATGCATACGTGTATATATATTTATACATTCTATATTCGAATGTATATACTCGGCATTTTGGGCTTAAGAGAAGATAAAGGTATATGTGAGATATACAAGATTTTGGAAAACAGACTGAAGAATTAAATATTATTTTTTTATGTGAAGAAAACGCGTCAACAACCATATATTTTGTATGTATATTTTTACGTGTTTAAGCGGCTTTAAATTTATATATAGAATTAAGTCTCGAGACAGCTTTGGAGTACGTTCATGGGACACATAATGTGTCCTCTACACCGAGTGTGCTCGAGAGGTGTTTCAAGAGTCGATAAGGTGAAATCTATGGATAAAGTTTACAAGGAAATAATTAATATATAGAAAGTCAAGATGATTTTTGAAGAAATGCTTTATAGATGTATTCTGACGGAAGGAGATGGCATTTGATGTAATTTTTGAAAAAAAGAATATATATGTCTGTCATATCAATATAAGGTTACAAGAGTATAAAATGAATGTCAAAAAGAGATACAAAAGAATAAACGCTAAGAAAACTAAAAATGCAAATATATGTTTTTTATCCTTTTTGTTTAGCAAGTTCCAACTCTGGAATGATTTTTTCCCAACTCTCGAGAATCTGGAATAGATGAATACTGTTTGTTGGGAGAAAAGATATACCTGTTTGTAAAAGTTAAGATTTTCATTTGAAAAAGTGCCAAAATTTTCTTCTATTTCTTTTGCCTTAATTTTGTCAAAAATTTCGCTTTCACGTATTGTTTCTTCATCAAAAGCTTGACTAGCTTGCTTGGATATTTCTATTTCCTTCTTAATTTCTTCGTTTTTGGCTTCTAGTTTTTTAAGTCGCTCCTGTTTTGCATGTTCATGATCAATGCCTGTTAAGCTTTCAACTTTTTCCCGGAAATACAAAAGCCCCGAGCCTTGAATAACATGCTCTTTCTCTGCGTTGATTTTCAAAAGATACCCTGAAAGGCCTTCGATATCCATTTGTTTTTGATCACGCTGTTTCAAAAGCTGTTTTTGCATATTAGCATAACAGATTAGATCATGTAAAAAGGTCAAATAAGTATAATCAGTATATTCTCTCTAAAATAAAATATCAGTTAATAATAGATGCTCCTGTATACACCTTACCAAATTTTTGATGCTGGCTTCTGTATTTTCAATAGCTTCGCTGAACAATGTTAATTCCCAACTGAGGGATGGCTCCAATATAGCAAGCTGTTTGAATAAAAACCCCATTTCTTTATAGTCTGACTCTAATTCTACTTCGTTCCGTACCATTTTTGATACCATTTTTTCTACATGTACCAAACTATTCTCTAATTTGTCTATTTTTTCCTTCATATCAATAAATATCTGGTTTGGTTTGTCAAGTTTTGTAAAAGCATTGAGAAATGCATCACTCAATCCTTCAAAAACTCCTCTCACATAAATATGATTTGTTTTATGATGCAATACAACGCTACGAACATACGCATGCCAGTCTTGAGATTCAAGAAATTGACATAAATGTGGAGACCGACGTAACTGAGGATGCATGGCCACTCTTTGTAAGAATATTTCCAAAGACTTTGTTCTTTTCATAATAAATTCACTGTTAAATCGGTCTCCTTTGATATATTCTGCCATGTTTATCAATGATTTTGTGTTAACACTCAGTAAACACACTTAGTTTGTGCTTATCAGGCAATGGAGGTATACAACACATTGGAAATTCAGCAGAAAGTGTTTCGTAAAGGAAAATAAAGTCGGTAAATCGTCTACGTACTGATGATTTGGTTTTCTGAAACATCGGCATATTTGTCTGTAAAAAAGTCAGAAAAAAAGCAGAAAAGCACATCATCTGCATCCATGTGTAATAATCAAATAAGATATGTGTATATCTTTTGCTTCTGTGGTTTCTTTTTGTGGATTTCGGCAAAAACATAATAATTGAGTTGGTTCTTTGCTTGGAGAGTGGAAAGGTGATGCTGGAGCATCTGTACTTAGTGGAGTGCTAAAAATAGGTGGTTTTTCATGTGGTGAAATAGGTGTTTCATAAGAAGATGTCTCCCAATGAGAAGATAAGAAATTTTCATCTTGATACATGTTTTTTTTAATTTTTTTAAGTGTGGAATGTATTACGTTGTTTTTTATATAAAAAAGGCGATGGTTAGGAAAAAAATAAGAATGAATATGTAATAAAAGAGAAATAAATATGATGTATTATTTATGTTTTTTTTTTTGAGTCGAAGTGTTGAAAAAGGTAGGGTCTTTAAGTAATTCGTTTTCGGCGATACGTTTTTGTTCTTCTTTGGCTTTTTCTGATATTGTTTTTAATTTCTCATACGTTCTTGCCTCTTTTTCAGCAATATCTCTAACCTGTGTGATAGTTTGTCGTAATTGTTCGTTTAAGACCATTTCGTTTGCGGTCTGAAAAATAGTTTGTCCCCATTCTTTTTTAAAAGATTGGGCTTCTTTAGATACATCCATAACCTCTATCTCAAGTTCTTTCTCCAGCAGGCGGAATTGTCTCCATAAATCACTTGAAAGTAAACCTCGTTGGATAGCTTGATTAAGAACGGATTTTTTCACCCGGAGATCATGAATACGTTTTATATTCTCCTTTGCTCTCTACAATAAAAACAGCTTAGAAAATCTATCTATAGAAATATTCATGATATAGAAAGGAATTTACCTCGAGCAACGCTGCCTTAAGAATATTTTGTGGAACTGATTCTGAGAGATGCAATAATGAAAAATATAAGTTTCTAGACGTACTTGATGAAAACCATTGCTCCAATGGTGATATTTTTACTTTTTTTCATAAGTTTTTTTCTTAAAAAAATCTTTTTGCTTACAGCGTTTATGTCTCGAATAAAAAAAAGAAAAAACACAAAAAGAACCAACAAGAAGCGTTATATAGATAATTGGGAGATAAAGCTGGATATTTGACATAAATTTTTTGTTTTTACTCCCACAAAATCGTCTCCAAATACCCGTTTATTTTTTTGTGGTCGTGGTTGGCTTGACAACTATTTTCCAATCATCTCCTGGGCAACTCGTTTGATAACGCTCACCGTTACTGCTAACGATTAATGACAATGATATTGAGAATTCGAACAAAAGATGGAATGCAGAGGATTTCTATTGATGATACATTGGATATTAAGTTTCTTTTAAATAAGGAATGTTTTTTATTGTTTTTAGAATTGATTATACTTATTTTTTTCTTTAGATTATTGAGATATGTCAAGAACAAGATTTAGGAAAAATTGAAATTTCAAAAAACCCACATGGAGGCTATTTTTTGGCATCCTTTTTAATTGGAAGAAGTATAAATGAGCTTGGATTTGTGTGAGACTTTTTTTCGGGGTGAAAATAGTTTATTGATAGAGTTTTAGGCACGGAGATATTATATACGTCAATGTAAAGAATAATGACAAGAATTCTGTTTCTTCAGGAGAAAAAGTAGCACATAATCCAGTTAAAAAGCCCCACGATGTACGCCAGAAGGTGATCCAGGACTCTGTTGATGATTTTCTTGACACACAGGATGGAAAAATACCAAACACTCAAAATATGCTATGTAAACATGGTCTAAAAGGGATGTGTGAATATTGTATGCCCTTAGATGTATGCTTTTGGCCTTTTTTAAAAAAGTATTAAAATCAGAATAGCCTTATGATTCGAATTATCTTAAACAAAATAAAATTAAACATCAATCATTTCACTCGTATTTAAGGAAAATATCTAAGAGCAATTCTGGTTCTGATAATGTACCTCTTTTGGTTGAGCCTTTTTATGGGGTAAAAAAGGATTGTCAAACTGGACACAAGCCATGGCCTCTTGGGATTTGTACGAAGTGCCAGCCTTCCGCTGTAACTCTTCAAACACAAGAATTTAGAATGGTGGACCATGTAGAGTTTTCCGATTCTTCTTTGATCGATACTTTTTTGAATTATTGGAGATTATCAGGACATCAAAGATTTGGTTACCTTTATGGTCGATATGAGCCTTATGATGCTGTTCCTTTGGGAATTAAAGCAGTTGTGGAGGCTATATATGAGCCTCCACAGGAAAATGAGCCAAATGGGATTTCTTTAATTTTGCCTTGGAATGAGGAGAGTACAGTCAATGAAGTAGCTCACTTATTTGGATTAAAGAAAGTGAGAAACACATGATATTGAATATATGTATATCTAATGAATTAATAAAAATACAGGTGGGAATGATATTTACTGATTTAACGGATGATGATTCAGGAAAAGGGACTGTTATCTGTAAAAGACATGTTGATTCTTTTTTTTTATCTTCTTTAGAGGTTGTTTTTGCCGCGACAATGCAATTAAAGCATAAAAATGTTACTAAGTGGAGCAAAACAGGTGAATTTGGTTCGAAATTTGTGACATGTGTTGTTTCTGCTAATAAAGAGGGTGGTATTGATATTTTTGCTTATCAAGTATCAAATACAGCAATGGCTCTAGTAGATGCAAAAATTATAGAACCTAGCGTTGATCCCAATACTATGTTGATTCGAAAAGAACATGATGTTTATATACCAGAAGTGTTTTTTCAAAAAATTAATCAATATAAAACACAAGTTCAGGAAAACGCTAAATCTTCATTCCCTATAGAGTATCTTTTAGTTACACTAACTCATGGTTTTCCTATAAAATCTGAATCCATTTTTTCTTCGGCTTCTGGTACTTTTTTAATTGAAAATAGAGCATCCATTGGACAAGTACAAAATATAAATGCTTTAGCAGAACGAATTAAGCCTATTCTTGAACAACCTTACGGGGATGCAATCAAAGCGCTTTGCGATTTTCATTTTTTAACTTATCTATGGAGTTTAGACATTCTAGATAAAGTAAATATTTTTATTTTTTGTTTAAAAAAGCTCATAAGAAAATGAAGGAGGATGGCACTTTACTTATTAAATGTATTAAAGAATGGCAAATAAATGATTTATACAATTTATTAGAAACTCCAGGTTGGCAAACACTTATAGCAATTCTTCGCGAAAGCGGTTTACTTTAAAGAAAAAAACATAAATGTTTTTTTTCTTATTTATCATATATTTTCTTGTTTTTTTCAAACTATTTCTGGAGATAATAAATCTTATCTAATCACGGTATCTGATAAACGACTGTAAACAGTTCGTCGGTCGTACGATAATTAAGTTATGACTAATAGTGAACAAGATAAGCAAAATGTACAGGATTCTCAAGATGATGATTACATGACTATGGCTCTTCCTGATGTTTCTTCTTCATTACTTTCTACGAGACAGAGGAAAATACATGCTCAGAAAGAAAAAGGAATAAATAAATCATATCGAGAAAGAGAACGTGAAAGGAGAGAAGAAGGGCTTCGTTTCTCTTTGATGGATACGGAAAAGCCAAGCAAAGCAATGAATATGATGTTTAAAATGGGTTATACGTTTGTTTGTTGGTATTTTTTATGTTTTTTTGATAAAATTAGAAAAGGCACTGCTTTAGGCCAAGGATGTACTCAAAGTAGAATAGAGCCTCTTGAAATAAATATAAAGACGGGTATCTTTGTTTTTTAGTACTTTTTTTGTTCTAAAAAACGCAAGATCGTGCAGGTATTGGTCATGAAACAGCACAAAAACAAAAAATTGTTCGAGAAACGTTAAAAATACAAGATGAAATGGAATATAAGACACGAGTCCGTCTAGAGAATGAGACAAAGTATCTTGAAGCAAAGATTTATCAAGCACAGAAAGTTTGTGAAAATTTGAACAAAAAAAGTATAGATGAACCACGTAAGGTTAATGTTTTGTGGAGAGGTTTAGTTATAGAAAGGATTGAGAAAGAAAAAGAACGTATGAGAAAACATGAAATCTTAAGCAGAGTCCAAAGTCTAGATGATTTGCAGAATGAAGTAAAGCCAGATCGTCATACTCAGGTTGAATGGAGTCAAGAAGATGATCAGGATTTAGAGTTAGATGCGTTTAATCAACTAGATGTGAGAGATATAGCTTTTGTTTAAATTATGGCTAATTTGAATAGCCTAAGATTCGATTAGAAATGATTATTGATTATCTTCGTGAAAATTATTATTATTGTTTTTGGTGTGGATGTGCTTATGAGAATGTTCAAGATCTTTCTGACAGTTGCCCTGGTAAAAGAGAAGAGGATCATTAAACTATAGAAAATGCATATTTTATTGAGTAAAGTTTTATTCTATGTAATTTATTAAATAAATGTCAAGTTTTTAAAGGAAAAAATTCATATTTTAGAGATTTAAAATGCATATACTTAAAAAATAGATGGTGTTTTGGATCTTTATAAATATTTGTTGAAAAATGCTTTGATATATATATATATATTGAGTTATTTTAATAGTATTTTCTGGAAATTCAAATAGATGTGTTTATAACTTTTTTCATGATTTTATTATTGGATCTTTATTATTTTATATTAGGGAATTATTTATTTTTTATTAGAATTATACAAGTTGTTAATTTGTGTTTCATGTTTGAAATTTATATAAATATATAGTTTTTTGAATATTTGTTTTAATGTAATTTTGAAGATAATTAATTTAATATTTAATCATTAAAAGAAAAATATAAATACAAACTTTGTTATTTTATAGTTTTCAATTTTTAAAACATTTAAATTTCTTATTATCATGATTAAGAATTTTTATAAACACTATGTTTTGCTTTGATGAAATTAATGGTAAAAAGTTTACTATCTTTTTTATTATATATTTTATCTCTAATATAAAAGTTTATGTGAATATTCAATCTGGATTAATTACAAAACATTGTAAATATTAATATAAACATATTATAAATTATGTTGAAGTAATAGATAAATATGAATTTTTATATTCTTATTTATTTATATAAAAATCATTATATTTTTTTAATCCTACAATTATATAAATGTATTAATAATATTTAGTTAAAAATAGATAATATTTAAGAAACATAATTAGGTTTAAAATAAGATTCTTTACTTGAAGGACTAGTTCCTGAAGAGGAATCTCTTCGGAATAATCCCTTAAAACGCTCATTTAATCGAGAACCAGACGATGGTAATGTTTCAGAATTCGATAATGTAGAGTTTCGAGGTAATCGTTCAAAATTTTCCCGTGTTATAGAAAAAATAGAGCTAATATTAGAAGCATCAAAACGAGAAGAAAGGCCTGTATTTGGCCCTGTTTGTGAAGAAAGAACTAGAGATTCCAAAAGTGGGGATGAGTCTATCAAATCTGAATGCTCTGATACTTGAATATTAAATATATCTAATAATTGATTTTGTTCTTGTTTACGAATACCCTTCAGATAATTAGTAATATAAAAACTACAGAATATTATAAATACTTTAAGTTCTAAAATTTTCAAAAAATTAGATGCATTTTTATCACCAATCCATATAAAATAATTATTTACAAATTCTTCAGAAGAATTAATCTGTGTTAATAATACTTTTAAAATAGTTTCTATTCTTGATATCCCTTTATTAACAAATTTAGTGTATCTTTTATTATTAAAACAAAAAATAAACATATTTATACTCACGATATATGTGCTTGTGCATTCTTTTTATTTGTAATTACAGGAAGCTTTAAAAGAGTCATTTTAATTGAATATAAATCTGAAATCATCTATTATAAATTATAAATATTCTTCATTTGTTATAATAAATCCTACTTGTTCTGCACCAATTTCTGAAATAGGTCGACTTCGGGTAATATAAAATATAAAATTATCTAAAAATGATTCAACTATTTTATCACAAAAAGTTCTAACGAATTTTTCTATAGGAATTTTTTCTATAATTTTTTTGGACATATCTTTTAATACTGACGTTATACCAATGACATATGCACTTTGATCTACTATATTTTCCAATTGGCTCCAATCTATTTTTACCATATCTTTAAATGGACCAGACAAATTTGCTTCTACTATTTTTACAAGACTTTTAATTGAAACTCCAGCAATATTTAAAAACATTTCTTCTTCTTTGGTAAAATTTACTTTTTCTCGAAAATCATCTATTATTTTACTTTTTATAAGTGTTTCCAACTGTACAGTCGTTTTATAACAATAATCTGATGTGTTTAAAACTAAACAACAAGTATTTATATTTAATGTTTGTCTTCCATCTATAACGGGTAATAAAATTGTTTCAGCATATATGATAAGCCATTTCCCAAAAAGATAAGATAACTCAAGCAAAAGCCGTCCATCCAACAGTTTTTCATATTGTGTTAAAGTTTCGCGGTAAGATAAAAACAATTCTGTTGAAGAAGATGTTACTATTAATTGAGCATTATTTTTTATTTCGTTTTCTAAATCTATTTTTTTAAAAGATTGAATCATGGAAGATAATATACTAAAACATTAGATTTTTTCTTTAAATTTATAATTTATACTTTTCTTGAGATTCAATGAAAATATTCAAATATGGATCAAATGTATTTCTTATAATTTTATGAAATGTCAATGTTTTACCATTTTGTTTTGGAACAACGCTATCTGTCAAACTGCAATGCTATTAAATCTTAGCACTTTTAATGAGTTTTTTTTAATAATGTTTACATCAAAAATAAATCTCTTTTCTAAAAATTGTTCGAATTCCAATGTTTTCTCTAATGCTTCTATAAATATAGTAATTTTACAATTCCTTCCAGATTTAGAAAGTACATCTCGAATATCTTCACTAGTATACTTTAATAATGTTTATATAAATATATATTATAAATACCTTGTATTTATGCAGAAATTGTGACATAATCTTTCATCTGTATTCCATGACTCAGGAAACATTTTTGAATGTTTTTCATCATAAAGTTTCAACATTCTTTTTATCCATGCATATCTTCGAGAAATATTGTCCAATGAAGCAGCCTATAAGTTAGAACTATTCGATTCATAATTATACTAGAAACCTCATCATTTCCTCGAAATACTGCACGATATTCTCTAAGTTGAGTATTACAGTACCACAGCAAAATACGTTCTCTACAATAAATATGAATAATTCAAATTTGAAATGTTTGAATACCTTGCTTTGTTTTCAAGAGTATCTATCATAATACATATTTCCTGCAACTGAGATGCTTTTTTATTTAAATCTAAAGAACTAGAAAATATGTTCTCAAAATCTAAAGATGCTTGCTCAAGTAAATCTTTTTTTAACTCATAAATATTGTTGCAAAGTATAGCAATTTGATCAACACTTCTAAATGATTTAAAGTAAGAAGTTAACTCTAAAACTGCCTAAAAGATTATGAATATTTCAAAAAATAGAATAAATATTCTACTTCTAATAAATGTGTAATCTCTCCATACTGTTTTGCCTTGACCAGAGCTTTTAACTGTTCATATGCAATCGCTACAACCAATTGGTTTTAGAACATAAAACAACCTACAAAAAACTTACTTAACATTTGAAGACGCTTTAAAACAATCATTGATGAAATTATATTACGTCTTGCATAGTCTAATTGCCTAATATCGGTTGTAATCTCTGTAACCAAATTTTCCATCTCAAGTGCTCGTGATTGCATAGATTCTATATCCTGAACTAAACTATGGAATATTTCTTTCATAGACATGCAGAATGATGAATCAACTACATTCTTGTTCAATCCAATTTGCAGCATTTCAAGTTCATCGTCTAATGCATTTGTATATTTCTCTAAATGCATTATACATGATCCAACAACTTCATGAGACAATATTGGCTCAGAAAGAATTGTATTAACATCATTTAAAACGTTATAAACATTAGTTTGTGCTGTTGCATCTATCATAACAATTTTTTAAATTTTCTTAATTTTCGTCTGTTAAAATATCATAGATTAACGTAAAAAAAAGGTGTTAAAGATAATTTTAATAATTTATAATCTTTTTATCAAGAAAACAACAATAACAAGTTATATGTATACTTTATAGTTTTTTCTGTGATGAGAATTGTACATTTTTTGAAAAATGAGGCAAAAAAACTAGGGACAGGATTAACAGTAAGTTTTTGTTTTTTATTTAGAATCCAGATATAAATAATATTTCTAAGGGAATTGAAACACATCCTGATCCACGTCCTGTGCTGTTAGAAACGTATCATCAGCTACTTGAGGTCCTATCACACATGCCGAATCATTCAGTATATCGTCAGGCTACAGAGACATTAACAAAACAGAGACAAGCAACTGTTGAAAAAAATACACTAAGAGAGGATATTGAAAACGGTATTGCAAGTGGTTTGATTGAAGAAGTAATTCTTCAAGCAAAAGATGAACTAAGATTGGCAAAAAAAATGTTAGAATGGAAACCGTAGGCTCTTTTGCAAATATACTGTTTTAAATGTGCTGATTAGCATGCAGTTGGGAAGATTTAGAAGTCCCACCGCCTCCCGGACAGTATAAGTTTATATAGTTTTATCTTACAATTAACAATATATAGATGGGAGTATTTTCGAAAAAAATAGCTATTTTCAATTCTAGATCTTTATTTATATTTTAAAAAGTTTTCATTGAAAAAATAATCTTTACATCTATACCTAAATATATATTTACATGTTTATATTTGTGTCCATACCCATGTTTATATTCATGTTTATATAGATAATTTACCATATTTCAGTATTTATTTACATGTCTATGTAAATAAATAGATACAAATATTCATATAGAGATATATTTGTAGATATCTACAGATATGGATATACAGACATGTGCACTGACATATCGATTAATCACCAGAAAAATCATGAAATCCATTATTGATAAAGCACTTAAGCCGGACTACAGCGACTCATTTTTTTCATTTGATTATTTTCTAAAGACAGAACTTCGATTTAACCTTGATCCAAGTTTGTTCTTGTATTTTTTTACATAAAAACTGATATAATTTCATAAAGATCGACCAGTATGTCGTTTTTATATACAAGGTAGACAAATAAATATGATTATATTTATTATATTCGTTTATTAAGTGGTAAAAGGTCATTGTCCTCTTGGAAATGCATGTCCTGATAAGCATTTTTTTTCAAAAGATGGAACTAGTGGACGATCAAATAGTATTGTCTGTAAAGTATTATATATTTAAAAAGACTTGGAAATAGTATTTCTTAAACTCTATAGCACTGGCTTCGAGGGCTTTGTAAAAAAGGTGACCAATGTGAGTTTTTGCACGAGTATAATCTTAAAAAAATGCCGGAGTGTAATTATACAAACATAAAAGAAAGTAAATTAATATAAACAGGTCGTTTCTTTGCAAAACATGGATTTTGTAGTAATGGAGAGGAGTGTTTGTATCTTCATATTGATCCAGATTCAAAAGTTGGTTCTTGTCCTTGGTATATAATGGGATTTTGTCCATTAGGTTGTTTTTCTATTCGTTTGAAAATACTTATTTCTTATAAACTTTAAGGGCCAAAATGTTCACAAAAACATATTAGGAAAACTCTTTGTAAATTGTATTTAACTGGATTTTGTCCAAAAGGACCTGAATGCTCAAATACTCAGTACGTCAAACCATGTTATATATATTATAATTAATAATCTAGTCCTAAATATGCATTTCCTCCTCAACCACTCAATTCTAAAGGATCATCTGATTCTGTTACTAAAGAGGACACTGAAGATGTATGTAAAGTATTATTATTTTTTGTTCTAATATTCATAAGCGTCCTTATCAAAATGAAAATTCAAAAGAGCGTGGAGAAAGAACTTATCGGGATTTATCACAAGTTGAATGTTTTAAATGTGGACAAATGGGTCATTATGCGAATCATTGCCATCAACCAAAAACATATAATAATACAGTTGCTTAACATACTTTTTAACTATACAATTAAAAAATGCACTGATTTTTAATATTGACGATTCTATATATTTCTATAAAATTATAAATTTTGAATCAATATTGTTGATATATATATATTGATTTTTCTATTCAAAACAAAATGTAATCTACATGTACTAATTTAATATCAGGTTTTGTTCTTACTTCTTATCTAGAAATCATTCCACATTATTTATTAAAAAATCAATAAAGTCAATAAATATTAAAATTATAAAAATGTTTAAGATTTATTTTTTCAATTTAATATATATAATTTTAATGTATATAATTTTTCAACATATAAATACTATAATTTTTCATTATAATAATTATAATAAAAAAAAAACAAGATCTTTACTATTATACACTTTTATTTACATTTTTTATCGATATCAATAGGTTTATAAGATATTTATTCATAAAACATAAAAGTTGTTAACGTCAACATTTAAAAGTTTAAATAAAATCATAACTTATGACACTTATTGAAACATTTTCTTCAATATCGCCTATTAATAAGTGTATTTGCCTTAAGTCTAAAGAAAGGTAGGTTTTTTTATTTTTAAAAGTAAGAAATTTAATAATCTAGAAACCAAGATGCATTTAAGTTATTGAAAGTAAGTTAAGAAAAAGTTAATTATTAAATAATAAAGTTTTAGGAAATAGAGTTATTCACCAAACCCATTATGAGTTCCAGAGGATGGAAAGTGGGTGTATTAGCTGAATTTTTTCCAAAAAACAAAACCTTATTAGGTTGTATATATATATTTAGATTAACTTGTTATATTAAATTATTTCTAGGATTAAACATAAACAAAGGATCTAAAATATGTATAAGACTAAGAACGTGTAATGATGAGAATACATTTTATCCTTTAGATTATTTAATTGAAATAATGTTACATGAGTACTCTATATGTTTTATATGACCTTTTTTAACATTTCTAGATTAGTACATAATGGTTAATAATATAAAAAGTCTTTTTATTTTCTAATGAATTATAGTTTATAGTTCTCATAATGAAAAGTTTTATGGAAAGTTTATCTTTACATATCTTTAATTAGGACTAAATTATATAGATTTATTAAATAAATTAAATTCGGAATTTAATCAATTATTATCTTCTAAATATTATGAAAAGGATGCGTATTCTAAAAGCTCTAAACTTGGTGATTGTGTTTCTGATAATATTACGCTTTAAAAATTTAATGTTTTAGATAAAGGATTAAATATTTTTACAAATTGTAATGGATTGCGATTAGGAGGCAATGGAAATACTGAAAATAAAAGTTTACGAGATTTAATACGAGATGTTGTCTTTATTTGTTTCAAATACGTTAATTTAATGATCTTGTAGGCAACAGAAAAACGCATAAAAAATTTAAAATGGTGTGAATCAAATTCATGTATTGTAATTAAAGGTAAGAAAACTTTTAGTAATTTTGAAGGAAAAGAATTGTTTTTAAAATCAATAGAACCAAATTCTAGTTTACATAATTCTTTAAAGAAACAAAAAAAAATATTTGAATCTGAATCTTTTCAAAGTAATATGGTCTCAGAAAATCAATGGTCTTGTTCATTATGCACATTTAAAAACAATGAAAGTTATTTACAGTGTGAAATGTGTTTATTAGAGCGTTCTAACGTTTCAGAATTTTTAAATGAAAAATGGAAATGCTCTGCATGTTTATGTGTTAATCAAAAAAATCAATATTCTTGTGAATTTTGCAATACAATACGAGCTTAAATTTACAAAAATATTTAAGTTTAAAAATACTTTTTTGGAAACTTATAAATGAATTGCACATTTCAGTAATAACAAAGTAAAATTATAAATTATATATACTAAAAAGACATTATATTAACAATATTTAAAACAAACATTATAATTATATGATTTCAATATTATTTTTATTACATAATGCAATCAAAAATTATACAGAAATGATTAATATTATTGATTTTATATATTTGTATTGAGGATACCAATTTTAAGAAAATAAAAAATCTGCATTTTTTAGTAAAATAAATATTTTTTAAAATTCTAATTAGATGATAATATTTTGGATATTTTGATTTTTTTTAAATATTTTAAATAATAAAGAAAAACTTAGAGTATAATTATATACAAGAAATCACACTGTTAACGATGAAACAACCCAATCTAATCCCTTATATAATCCATCTCCAGTCAATGCACAACAACCCTATTTACAAATTTAGACAACAAAACTCCTCAAAAGCTAATATAACCTGAATATGCCATGCTCTGTCTTTAAAATTAACAAGTCCTAGTGCATCAGATATCTCATTAGGTTTTAAAGAATTTTCAACGTCTTGTTTGTTTGCAAAAACTAAAAGTATTGACTCTTTTAAATCCTAGAAAACGTCAGCATACAAAAAAAAAGAAAAAATACAGTTTCCAATTGCCTCATTACTCATAATTTTTGATAGTTCACTTTTAGAGATGTCTAATCGTTCTTTATCCGTTGAATCAATAACCAATATAACAGCAGATGTAGATTTATAATAAGCATGCCAGGATTGGCGTAAAGACGTTTGTCCCCCTAAATCCTGGAACACATCTTAAACAATATGATCCAATTATAGTGAAAAAAACCGTACCCACATAAGAAATTTAATATTCTAAACAAATATTTAGCTGAAAAATAAAAAAAAAATAAAAAAACCTTATATGTAATTTCCTATTCATGATATTAAAACACAATCTATATAGTACAGCAACTTACTTCTACATTGCTTCCTATTGTAGGCTGAATCTGAATAGCCTGACCTAAAAGACTAAGCAAATTAGCAAAAAAACACCTTTTTCCACATAACAAACAATTGATACAATATAGTAGACTTTCCCTGGTACATATTATTAAATAAATCCACTCATTGATGCCTATTTACCGCGTTATCTAAGCCAACAATAACTATTTTCTTTTCCTAGCCAGAATCACTCCTTTTCCACGCTTTAAATCCCGAAAAAAAACACACCTGAGACATAAGAAGCCTTGACCATATCTTTGAGAGCAAAACTCCCATCAAAATAGCTCTTTTCTTCCCAAAATTCGATTTTTTTTACACTTTTCGTCGTTTTCGTATCTTTATCTAATTTTTGAATTTCTGCTCAAACAAAAAAATAAATCTTCTAAAACACAATGTTACAAAATCTTTTTCAATCATTTAAATAGTCGTTTTCACTTGTTTTCTCCTCTTTTTTTTGCATTTTTTTCTTCTTCTGTGACTGTTATTTCTCTACTGTTTATCTTCGCCAAAATTTCTGTCGTTCAACGTCAGATTTTCAACAATTGTCTTTACATTGGTAAAATGGGCTGTAGTAAAGAACATAAAGCAAGTATAAGAAGAATTGAACCTTTTATTCTAATTGTCACATTCAGGCGGATTATTTTCGTAAATTATACTCGCTATTTAGTGAATATAAATCAATTTTTGTGGTGAATATTGATAATGTTGGATCTCAACAGTAAGCGTTTTTGGGGGGGAAAAAAGAGGATTTTAATGTCTTTTAAGGATGCATAAAGTACGTCAGGAGCTCCGTGGATCTGGTGAGCTGCTTTGTGGAAAAAATACGCTTATCCGGCGTGCTATGACGACTTTTTTTAGTAGTCTTCCATATCTTGAAACACTGATGCCGGTTGTGCGTGGAAATGTTGCATTTGTATTTACAAATGATGATTTGAAAGAAGTCCGGAATAAAATTGTGTCTAATGTAGTTTCGGCCCCAGCTCGAGCTGGTGCAATTGCACCCTGTGACGTCATTGTTTATGCCTGTAATACGGGTATGGAGCCGGGAAAGGTGTGCAGAAGAACATGTATATGTCTTATTCAAACAATGTCTGATTGGTGTTAGACTTCTTTTTTTCAGGCACTTGGCATACCGACAAAGATTTCACGCGGTACAATTGAAATTGTATCTGATGTTCATCTTATCAAAACGCAATCGAAAGTTGGTGCTTCAGAGGCTACTCTTTTGAATATGTTGAATATTTCTCCTTTTACATATGGAATTACTGTTCTTCATGTATACGACCAGGGAGCTTTATTTTCTCCATCTATTCTTGATATTACAGAAGAAGCGTTTATTAAACATTTTATGACAGCCATTGAAAATGTATCAAGTATATCATTGGCCTTAAACTATCCGACAATTGTTTCAGTTACACATAGCTTAATTAATGCTTACAAAGATGTTATGGCAATTTCTATTGCTTCGGATTATTTATTTGGTGCAACAGAAAAGGTTAGTTTTTTTGAAAAAAGATATATTCAGTAGAGATTAATGGAGTTTTAACTTATTTTTTAGATTAAAGATATGCTTGAGAATCCAGATGCGTATATTACAAACGTGCCTGTTTCTACTGTTGCTGAGACAGTTGTTCCTCAAAAAGAAGAGTCTGAGGAAGAGGACGAAGATGAAGATATGGGGCTTAGTCTTTTTGATTAAGAGAATAGAATTATGTACGAGTTCACATTTTAGAAATTAATCATTGAATTATTTTTATATAATTGGATATTAACAAATTAAATGTTAACATTGTATTATGATTATATTATAGATTAAGAGATTCTCTCGTATCAAAAATATTTTTAAAATATATTTATTATATATTTATTTCTGTTTCATTTAGCTTTTTTAGAGTTTCTTTTGCTACTTCTATTGCTTTTTGCGGCAATCCTAATCATTAGGGAAAAGTATAAAACATAATCTGGTTATTTACCTGCCATTACTGCAACTTTGAGTCCATGAGAATTTTTATTAACGCCTTCAACTATTTTATAAAGAAAACGAAATGATCCATCCTACGCTTTTTAAGATTTATCTTTTTATAAAAACATAGTTACATTTTCTTCCAAAATTTTCGTACAATACATTGATACACTATTAAATAAAGAAATCATATTTGCTAGCTCATGGAAATGAGAAGCAAATAATACTCTGGATTTATTAATATGGTGAAGATGATATAGACATGCATAAGCTATTGCAAGACCATCTTTATATGTAGTTCCACGGCCTATTTCATCCATAATAACCTATATTTTTGTAAGAATAAAAAAGAACAGATATATTTACAAGAGATTTTGATGTTGCTCTTTTTAAAATTTTAGCTGTTTCTAACATCTCTACCATAAAAGTCGATTGATTTTTATAAAGATTGTCGCTAGACCCAATCTTAATTAATTAATTGACTGTAAGCAATAATATAATATTATAACTTACTCTACTAAATATTTGATCGACTACACCAATTTCAGCATGTGTTGCCGGTACAAATGAGCCTATTTGTGCTAAAATTGAAATAATAGCATTTTGACGTAAATATGTACTCTTTCCTCCCATATTTGGCCTATAATAACTTTAATAAAAATCATACAAAATATTTTCTATAAAATATACCCTGTAATAAACCATATACGGTTCTCTTCTTCCAAAAAACAATCATTTGGCACAAAAACAAGTCCACGATTATATAAACCAGCTTCTACAATAGGATGACGTCCTGATATTACCTTATGCGTAACTCTAAAAAATTCAATATTAATTTTTTTTTTATAAATTATACCCTGTGTTTAATATAGGCCTTACAAGCTTCTGTTCTTGAGCCAAAGTTGCAAATGAAGATATAATATCTAATTCATCAAGAACTTTTGCATTTTTTCGCAACACAGAAAGATTTTTAAGTACCTATAATTTAGATCTTTATTAGAAAAAATATTAAACAATATACTAAAACATACTTCAACTCGAAGGTAATCAATAGAATTAAACTCTTCGAGCCTAATTTTCATTTTTGTCTGCTCTATCATGTTTCCAAGATGAGTCCATTCCTAAATTAATTAAAGAAATAATATTAAATTTAAAGAAATTATACCGGAATTTCAATTGATCTAGTACTTTTGTTAGTACTAACAGTTTTTGCTCCATAAGTTTCTAATATATTTTCTTTAAAATTTTTATTTCGAAAATGAACAATATGATTCAATGTAGGGGTTGTTTTTAATGTCAAGCTATTTAAGCCTTTATTTTATTTAAAAAACATATCAATGAAAAGAGTAATCACCTAGAGATACTCTCAAAGATTCTTCAAGTTTGTCTTTTTGATCATAAAAAACATTTAATTCCTCGTGGAGTTTTTTTAAGGGTAATGAGGCACTAATAAATTAGTATAATATTTGTAATAGAAAAATATATACTCTTTTTTTATCACCCATGTATCATTATTCTTTAAATCTTTTCGATTATTTTTAAATTTTAATTCAGCTGAGTCATGGTTGAAAAGATCTTCAGATTCAGATACTCTTTTAAATTCTTCTGCATTCTTTATAGCTTCTGCTGCCATTTCTTCATTTTCTTTTTGCTTTTTCAAAAGACCTTCTTCATCTATTGTTTCTTGAATTTTTTTAAATAAGTCTAAAGGAATAGTAATTCTTTTTAAAAGAGAACTAATGCATTCTTTTTCAGATACTTTTTTTAAACAAGAATATATTTGATTTGTATTGTCTATTGCTTTGGACAATATTAATAAATCATCAGCATTTCTACGTCCTAAAGAAATTCTTTGTATGACACGTTGAGAGTCATAATTTTTTTTTAATAGATATATAATTTCAGCTCTAAGATGCGAATCATGATAGAATATTTCGACCAAATTTAACCTTTTATTTATTAGGGGAACAGATGTAATAGGAGAACCTTAAATATTAAGGTTAAATCAAAAAACTAATTTGTTCTTACAAATCCATTCTGTAAGTAATCTTAATCCAGAGTCTGTAACAGTCCGTTTAATAGTTGATAATAAACTACCTTTTTTTCCTCCATCCATAAGTGATTGTTTTAATTCTAATGCTCTTATAGAATTTACGTCTATAAAAATATTTTCTTCTATATTTCTTCTTATAGGTGTTTGTAGACTAAATTCATTTCCTTGTAATTTATCATTTACATAAGATAAAATTTTAAGAGCAGCACTTTCTTCTAAGGCTGAGAATTCTAGTATCTTTTCATTACTTGTTTTAATATTTTGCCATTTTTGTATTATATGATCTGATATTTCAACTGTTTCATATGTCACAAAACAACCTCGTTCTTTTACATATGATGAAATATGTTCCATTGAAAAATCCTGAAACATTCTGTCAATAATAATTTCTCTTGGATTGATTCTCTCTAATTCATCTAAAAGATATTCAAATTTAGATGTTTGAATAAAAAAATCACCCGTTGATAAATCAAGCCAAGCAAGACTAATTTCTCGAGATAGACTTTCTTTATTGTTTTCTGGACCCTCTAAACTCATATGTATAGCCAAAAGATAGTTATTAATATAAAGATCCATAAATTTCTCATCAATTAATGTACCAGGAGTAATGATACGTGAAATACGACGCTCATAAATATTTTTATTTACAGGACTATCATCTAACCGTCTATATTCTTCGCTAATTGCAACATATTCTCCCATTTCCTCAACTAAACATTTAAGATATCTATCAAGCTGGTAAAATGGAAATCCCGCCATAGGAACAGGACCTGATTTTGTTTCTTTATGTGTAAGCTTTATATGAAGCAACGATGCATATTTTTCAGCTTGAGAAAAGTAAAGCTAATATAAATTTGGTACAATATAATAAAATTATCAAAAAACCTCATAAAAACCTCCTACGCGTGTCAAAACAACACAATTTGAATATTTTTTCTGATTATAAAGTACTTGATCAAGTAACTGAGTATATATATGCCCTGATGCATTTGTTAATGTTAATGGTGGAAGTTTCTCCTGGATAGAAGAGCCCAAATCATCTTTTTGTTTGGATAAAGTTTTAAAATTGTTTTGATCTAAAAGTACAGGTCGTATTTGATATTTTGATGATATTATTGAATGTTTATTACGCTTCAATTCTACTTAATTTTTAATCATTTCATTTATTCATTTAGAAATTACTTTGTATTGTATGAGTTACTTGCTGAAGAATACGATACATAAGTCGTAACGCAAGAACAAATTAAAAAATACATATATATATATATATATATACATTAAATTAAAAATAAAAAACAAGAAATAACAATAATACATAGATATAAGCATCTAAATGAAATATATAACTGTAATTTTAATTTTTTTATAAGTAGACAAATGAAAGCTACATGATAAACCAACGATGTTCTATAATTTGATATTTTTATTGATGAGCGCAACTAACGCCGGCATGTGTGCCTTCATCTTCATACTCCTCAGACATGCCATTGGTACCTCGCCCACCTTTAGCAGCACCTTCTGCACGTGCTTCCTGCATTGGATCGAGATCGGAAATAGCAGCTTCCTCTATTACTGCATTCTCAGGAATCATAACTTCATTTCGAGGAGGAAGGATTTTTTCTAGAAGAGAAAAGCTAGCAGGATCTGTAATAGAGTAAGGTCTTGGAAATTCAATTTCGAATCGAACATATAAATCTCCGTAATCATGATGTCTATAAGAAGGCATACCATATCCTTGTAAAACCTTAACATCTCCTAATTATTGTAAGTATCTAGTTAAATCATTTATTAAGGCCACATTACCTGGTTTAATACATTGTCCTGGGAGAATACAAATTTCAAGAAATCGATCATCCAAATGTTGTATAAAAACTTTTCCTCCAGCAAGAGACGTTAAAAGATCAATTTTATGAACAGTATAAAGATCATCATCCCGTCGTTTATAAAGAGGATGTTCTTTTTGTTCCAATACAAAAATAACATCTCCAGGGATAATATTTGGGCCTTGAAACATAAAAAAAGAGAAAAAAATAAAAAATAAATACTACCTTGATCTCCTTCTCCATTAAACACAATCTTCTGTCCCTCTTTCATGCCTTTATCAACATGAACAGAAAGAAGCTTACGTTCGTTAATAGTTTTTTTACCCTTACACTAAAATGAAATCAGAAAAAAAAACAATGAAGCAGTATTTTAAACTCATACCTCTTTACACCTATCTTTTTCCCTAATATGCTCACCCTCCCCGTTACAATCCGGACAAACCGTTTGAAAGCGCTGAATCATAGGACCCAAAGCACGTGTAACTGTTTTGTGACCCGTACCATTACAAGTACTACATTGCCTAACTGCACCCTCTCTCCCACCACGGCCATCACATTTTGAACACATAACATGCTTTTGCAATGCAAGTTTAGAGACCTTGCCTTTATATAAATCTTCAAGAGATACTTTCAAAGGATGAACAAGATCTTTGCCTTTTCGAGGCCCTGTAGGACCACGATTTGTACCACCTCCAAACATGCTACCACCAAAGAACTGTGAAAAGATGTCCTCTGCATTCATACCACCCATTCCACCTGATCCATCTCCTAAAAGACCTTCTTCTCCATACCGATCATAAATTTCTCGTTTTTGTGGGTCTGAAAGTACTTCATATGCATGACTGATCTCTATATATCACCACATATTAGAAATATGTACTATTTTTTGTGTTAACTATATCATACCTTTAAATTTATCACCTGCCGCTGGATTCTTGTCCGGGTGATATTTTAAGGCTAATTTTCTATATGCTTTTTTCAAATCATTCTATTTATTAATGTGTAAGCTTTAAAGAATTAAAATGTTTTAAATATTACTTCTCCTGCATCTGGACGGACTTCCAGAACATCATAATACTTGGTATCCTTGACCATTGGATTATTTAAAAACGCGTTAAATGTTTAATTAATAAAGTGAAAATATGCAATACGTTTAAATCTTGTTTTAAACTTTTGAAAATAGTTAAAGCACTCTTCTCAAAGCTTTTTATTAACTTAAATTTTTTATTAAATTATAAGACATAGAATATCGAATGAAATTTCTAGACAATTGTATTTTAACCCTATAAAAAAACGCTTCAAAAATGAAAAAAAAAATATATAAATATAAGATAAATAAAAAAATATTAAATAATAAACAATCATGTTATCTACTGAACTCTTTTTTGTTAAAAAAAAGGGAAGCATCTGTATTTATAAATTTTTAAATCAAATCTGAATTAGTATGAGATGATGTATTGAGTATATTAGTAGTTTCTAGATTAGATATTTTAGGAATTGAGTTATGAAGCTTTTTTCCAGATTTTCCTCTTGATTTTCGCCTTGTTTTCTTAATTTTTTCTACATCATTGTCAAAAAGAATGTTTATTTTAGGTGCAATTTGTATTTTTGGTTCGTGGTCAACAAATCTGACTTTTTTTTTTTTAACACTTAGCGGATTAGGTTCTCGTGGGCCCTTTCTTCGTTTCTTTTTAGGCAGAGATATCTCCTCCTGTTTTCTTTTAGATCCAAGAATTTTTTTACTTTCTTCTTCTTTAAGACCAAGTTTTTCTTGTTCTTGCAATTCTCTAGCTTTAAGAGTAGAAAAAGAAGAAGGTTCAAGAATTAAAACAGATCGATTGATATAAGAAAGTGGAACTCCGGGAATGCTTCGTAATTTGGTTCTAATATCCAGAGATTGAGTTGCAACGACGTAACGATGTTTATTTTTCCCATTAATATTAACAATACTATAAATACAGTCTTCAGGTGAAAGGTAATTATCTCTGTGGTTGCATCTTCGTCTTTCATAAGTCTTTGCAAGTGAAATGATATCTTGTTGTTTGGTTTCATATAATTTTTGAATACAGCATTGAGTAATCACTATTTCAGCTCAACTTTTGTACTTTAAGAGAAAAATACAATTAACTTGGCTTTATTTTTCCCTGAAGTGCACGCTCAAGTTGTTTTATTATATCAATTTTATATTTCATAGAATCCTGTAAGTAGTCGGCGTCAACTAAAATCAAGAAAATAAATTAAAAAAAATGATAAATAGAAATATACTTAATATCTGATAAGGCTCCCGAAATCCAAAATGTATTTTATAAATTTGCATTAACTTTTTATATGATTTCATACGTTTTTGCCTCATTTTATGGCTTATGCTCGAAGTTGAAATTTACGATTTTAAATATCTGAAAATAAATAATATACATTCATATCTTTATATAAAATATTTTAAATGATTTTAAATATATATTTGATGATATTTTTAATCTTTTCTTTGTTTCCGAATTTGTGCAAAATTATATAATGGATAAAATTTATGATTAACTGTAAACTTTAAGCATAATCTTTTTAAAAAGAACATGTATTACCTTCTATAGTCAATGTTCTATTTAATTCCATTTCTATTTTTTCAATTTCTTCATTCTAATACTATATTAAAAGAAGAATTCAAATCAAGTTATTTTTTTACTTTTGGAAACAAATATATAACAGGGACATTGCCATCATCAGAATTATCTAAAGACACCCAAAGTATATTGTTTTTATCCAAAGTAATACTTAAAGGATTTCCCGGAAGCAATTCAATAACTTTCAATGTAGGTTTTTTCGATATTAAATCTCCAAATATTAATAACAGTGGTACTCTTTTATTATAAGCGTTAGAGATAAATAATCTTAAAGAATAAAAAGTAATTACTTTTCAATGATAATTGCAATTTCTTTTTTTTGTGGTATTTCTTGAATACCAATAATTGCAATTTTTTTTTTTTCCAAAACATATATATCCTTATTAATTCTATCCATAGACTGTAATTTTTCATAAAAGAGATCTATTAAATCTATTTTGCACAACAATTCTTGAGTTCTCCAGTTCCAAATGAATAAATATGGGTCTCCTCCTCCTGATATTAAAATATCCTGTTCCCATGATAAAATACAGAGTTTTGAAACAAATCTAGACTAGTTTAATACAAATATATCACAAACAATCTATATAACTCATGATGTCCTAGACAATAACCTTTAATAACAATACAATTTGGTAAATGACTTATTTTAATGTGTTCATCTCTGTCAGACGTAATTAAATACTTAGAATCATGTGTAACAACCATATCTGTAATCATAGAAATATGACCTAACACAAGATTTGATGGAATAGGACTTGTGTCTATATCTATTTGCGAATCTTGATTTAATGAAAAAGAGTAAACATCCCCAAATTTATCACTAACAAAAACTTTTGATAATGAATCAATAGGCACTATTGTACACGGTCGTTTTCTGCATTGTCTATTATTAAATATCAATACTTTTTTGTCTTTTAACATTATCTATTATACTTTTCATCTTGAAGATTCAATCCTTCTGAAATATCAAAAATTCTTAATAATTTATCATTGCTAGACACAAAAAGAAGATTATAAGTAGTGCTAATACTAAAACACTGCACAACTGATATATTATTTACTGTTTCCTTTTGTTGAATAATAATTGGTTTTGGAAGACTCCAGCTTGCTATTTTTTCTCCAGTTTTCGAGTTTATAACATAAATATCCTGTCCAATTCCTAAATATATATTATCTTTTTGATGATGTGCTAGTAAAACTTGGATAGGATGTTTCATTAAGTATTTAATTTTTTGTAGTGAAGACTTCGAGACATATGAAATTTATAAAATTTTAGAACTTAAGAATTTTAATAAAAATAAATCTAAATGAACTCTGAATTTCAAAATATAAAAAATGATTTGATTTTAAGAGCGGCAAAAGGTTTTTTTTGAAAAAAAATACTTTAAAAACAAGTTTAATACTATTAATTTTGTATAGGCGAAAAGGTGGAGCGTCCACCTGTTTGGGTGATGGCAATTGACCTTTTTTCAAAATTTTTAAGTGATTCTTATGTTTCTAGCGTCAAGCAGGCCGTTACTTACCAGGTATTTCTTTTTTTAATAAAGAAAAACAGTTATCTGATTGTCAATTTAGAATATCATGAAATAGGGAAAAATTTAGATTTTTTTGCTAAATGTCGCTCTCCAGAGATTGCATCTGCAATTACTATGCTTCCTATTGATAGGTATACTGGTTTAATTGATGCTGCTATTATATTTTGTGATATTCTTGTAATTCCACAAGCGTTAGGTATGGCTATTGAAATGCTTGATAAAAAAGGTCCTCGTTTTTTGAATCCTCTTAAAACATCTGAAGATATTTCCAAACTTAATTTTAATATTGATGTAAAAAAAGAGTTAGGATATGTAATGGAAGCAATTAAGTTAACAAGAAAAAAATTGAATGGACGAGTTCCACTTTTTGGATTTGCAGGAGCTCCATGGACACTAATGGCTTTTATGACACGAGGTGATTCTAAGGGATTTGAGAACTCAAAAGCATGGATTTATAAATATCCAGAAGATAGTAAAAGATTACTTGAATATTTAACAAAGGTTGTGATTGAATTTCTTGCACAACAGATTGTGTCTGGTGCACAAGTAATTCTGTTTTGCATATGTAACTATTTTGATTCTTTTAGATTATTCAAGTATTTGATTCATGTGCTGGAGAGCTATCTCCACATGATTTTAAAGACTTTTCTTTACCTTATCTTAAGGATATTGCGAAAAAATTACCTGAGCGCCTTATAGAGCTTAAACATCCATTAGTACCAATGATTGTATTTGCAAAAGGTGCTTGGTATGCACTAGATTGGCTGTGCGATCTTGGATATCAATGCGTTAGCATAGATTGGACATTTGATCCTGAAGAAGCACAAAAAATAAACGCTGGACGCTGCACACTTCAAGGCAATTTAGATCCTAGCGTTCTTTTTGGAGACACAGATACGATTACACAAAGAACAAAAAAAATGATTCAAGCTTTTGGTGGTGGAAAACAAGTAAAATATATTTTTTTTAAATTATATGTTTTTTATCTTTTTATAGCATTTAATATGTAATCTCGGCCATGGGATGCTATCATCTCATCATCCAGACTCTTTAGAAACTTTTCTTAAGGCATGTCATTTTGAAAAATAAAATATTTTCATGATTTTTTAAATATGAATTTAATTTTTTTATTCATAAATCAATAATCTATTCAGTTTGTTTGAGTATATATATAATAATTTAAATTTTTTTTACTAAGATATTATTTATGATAATAAAATATGGTATTGTATCTTCTTTATATCTAATAAATAGTCTTAATTCGGATACTGGTTTTCTTAAATTCTTAACTGTTAGTTCTTATATGTGAAATGTTTATTATAATATTTTTAGATAGTTTCAGATGGTTTTAATGTTCTATGATGTTATCGTATTAATAAAATATCTATAATTTTTTTCTAAAATTCTTTTAATATTAAAAAAAATATTTTTATTGATAGTTTTAATGATTTTAAAATGGTAAATATTTAAAAGTTTAAAAATATTTGTATTAGTAAATATGAGATGGCTTTATTTAATATTTTATATTCTTCTTATTTGAAAATATTTAAATATAAAGGTTTTAAAATAAAAATTAAAAATCTAAAGTTAAAAATCTAAAGGAACATAAATTTTATATTCAATTTAAAATATGTAGAATATGTAGAATATGTAATGAAAGCACAATGCAAAAATAATTTTTTTTGTTAAAAAATTTATGAATGATGCATATATATAATAGATAAATAGAAAAGAATTCTTCAGTAACTCAAATTTTTTATCTAATTTAGAGTTTCTTATATAAAAATCATTATAAATTTTATTTATTTTAAATTATAAAAATAAGATAAAAGATAAATATATAAAATATTTTTAATATCTCAAATAAATTTAGATATTATGGTCTAGATATCATTATTAATTATATAATAAATTTTTCTAAAAGTATAAATAACGATAAAATATAAATAGGTTACATTATACTTTTGAAATATATTATTTAGTTTGAAAAATACCATATAATTTGACATATAGGTAGCATATATTAATAATTATATATATTTAATGACTAATGCTTTTGAATTTTTACATTAAATAAAACCATATTATAATTCAAAAAATACATGAAAAAAATATTTAATACCAAAATTTTACCAAAACCATGCCCAATTATTTATTGAATTTATAAATTCCCTACGTTAGACTCATTAGGAATACCTATTGGTGATGCTTCATGTAGTTTTATATCTTTAGGAAAATATGATGTTTGTAGTATTCCTTTTTTTTTTCGATACTTAGAAATAATTACTCTATATAATGTCATTAAAAATATAATAAATAAACTAATTGAGAGAGATATCAAAACAACAAAACCCTTAGCAAGATATTTACGAGATGATGGGTAAATTTCATGTTCAAAAAACAAAGAACTCGCCATTCCAGGCTCGCCAGTTGAAGTAGATGATATTAAATATGGTATCCAATCATTTCCATCATAAAATGCTCCAGTTACATTTCCAAAAGAAAATACTAGGGAACCAAGTGCCAAAATCATTACGTCTTCAGGAATAATATTATTTGGACGATGTTTGTGTTTTAATGGAATAACACGTAAATGAGTTATTATTGAACCCAGTAATAACTCAGAATCTAGACCTTTTCAATTCTATTAAAATAGAATATTTAATTCTTACCTAGATGTAAAAGAGTTGATCCATTCCATTTATTAAAATATATATGACCATCTTCTTTCTTTCCTGTTAAATAAATAGAATTTTGATGATTTTTATCAAGCAAAATCGAAAATGCTGGTCCAGGAAGAGAAATACCTTTAGATAGAACCGTAGACCATGTTGAAGTATCAAAATGGTATTTTACTAAATTTAACAACGTTCCATTTAAATTTATAATTCCACTTAATAACAAAGAATTCTCCTAAATATATTTTTTAATAAAATTTATAACAAAATTAGGACATACATCAAACCATGCTAAAGAGGTTATTTGTCCTGAAAAACCTACTGAAGGAGATTTCCATTTTTGGGATGAAGTTTCAAATATACAAAATCCATTACATGGTAATAACCCTGCCATATCGAATTTACCAGCAACAATGAGTTGATCCGATTTTGGACGCATAGAAAGAGAATTTACTTGAACATCTTTTCCTTTAATTAATTAGTAAACATTAGTAAATCTTAAAAGATATGTACCAGGAAGTTGAAACGTTTGATAAGATTTTTTCTTTTTAAAATCATACATAAATATTCCATTTATGTTATCGCCATTAATTTTGCCCCAAAGATATCCCCCTGCATATAAAATATTTTTATGCACAATAATACTTAATATAATACTAGAAGGATCTAAGTCTATATCAATTCCTGTTACTTCTGAATCGTTTACTATAGCAATGTTTTTTATTAATTTATTTTCATAATTTCTAGTTATGAATTGACCGCCAAGAATTATTAAAGATTGAGAAAGTAGTTTATAAAATATTCCTGTATAAACTGAATTTTTAATTTTAGAAAATTTATTTATATTGCGTTTAGATAGTGAATTAAAAGAAGATTTAAATGATTTTGAAAAAGATAGTGGGTAAAGAGAATGAACGTGTTTTGAAGAATCTAAAAATACTGCACCAAATGCTGTTAAAGAGTGTAATGCTCTAATGTTTCCTGATGTTAGTGATACACTATCTAAAGCCATTATAGAATTTGTTATTTGTCCGTCTACATATAAATCTATATCTATAATCCATTTTTTGTTATCTGGATCCCATAAAGCAAACCCATTTACGTCAGATAATTTTTCATTATTAAACGATAAAATTTGTGTAAAATCACCAGAAAACGCTATGTAGAATTTATAAGTACCATTTATCGAAGCACGATACTTAAAAATGTTATATACAACACCATTTAGACCCCATAAAAGTGATATCCAAGAATTGTCATTGATAGAATATGATACAACATTGTTAATTGCGCTTGAAGATGAACCAACAACTTTATCAAATTTCCCGCCAATATAAAGTATTCTGTTATATAAAAGCATTGAAAAAATTTCTCCATTTACTCCTCCATATGCTAAAGAACTTACATGATGAGTTATTTGTAATATATTAGAGAAAGCAATATCTCCTTTACTAAAAAACCGTCCAGCTATTATAGTTTGAGATGAATCATGAATAATAGATGAAATAACAGCATCATGTGGCAATAAAGACCTAAGAATATCTATAGAAGAGTTCACTGTTCGTTGATCAGGTGTTTGTGCAGAATATTTAGAAGGATTATATTCATAAATACCATTGAGTGTAATAAAAAAAGATATTGGAACAAATCTGATACGTAATGCAACGACATTAAGGTTTCTATGCTGGCCTTTGACAGGAGTTAAAACTACACGAGGTTTAAATGAAGGAGATATTGGATATATATATCCTTCATATATAACATCAATTTTTCCATAATTTTGATTCTGATAAACAACAGTTGTTTTAGGTTCTGTATTCTCTTGATAATAAATTTCTAATATTACCATTCCACGCAATGAACATGTATTATCCGGAATACATCCTGGCGTGTATAATTGAATATAATAATATCCACCTTGTTGTATTCGCGGCTCGAATGTAACTGATGAGTTTTCCAGAGCTAATCCAGAAAGGTTTGTAGAAAGATAACTCTCACCATTAGCTCTAACCATTTTCCAAGGGCCTCCTGTAACGTATGAATTTGAGCGTAAATCCCTACTAACACAATAGGGTTCATTAAACATATTTAGAGCGTGTGTCTCAATATCTATAATATATTTATATACTAGTAAATAAATATATATATATATAATACCATTGAGCAAGACTTCGATTTCTTTCAATCCACCTCCCTTTCCGTACCACTCCATAATTTCAATTCTAAATCCAATCATAGGAATAACATTTACAAAGTCGAATTCCTGATAATCTAAAAAATCTTGCTGAAGTGGACATGATGCTTCACAAAATGCTTGTTTTTTTGTAACAGGATCAATATAGCTAAAATTCATGATTCCATTAATTGGAAGAGAAATTAATCTAAAAGTTTTTGTTCCATAATTCGATACATCTGAATTTTTAAAACGAATTTTCTTGGGTCTAAAAACATATTGAAAGATTGCAATCCATTTTCCAATTTTTGCGTCAGCTAAAATCCAAGAAGATTTATCTTTATAAACATCTGGACATATAATATTCCTTGGGTTAGAATACTTTTCATTAGAACTAGAATGCTCAGATGAAATCTAAAAGAATAAGATAAAATATATAATATTTATGATATTTAGCTACCCATGCCGTTTGAAGATTTAATACCTGTCTTTTGCATTTAGAAAAGGCTGAAAGCGTATCTCCAATGTGTGAGATGGTATTTTCGAAATCGCCGCCAAATAAAATATTCTGATTACTGCCTCTGGATATTGAATTAACAATACCATTGAATCCTTGAAAGGGAAGTTCTATCCAAGTACTTTTATGAAGATCCCAGACAATAGCATTTAATGAATTGTTGTAATGGAATTTTCCACCAACGTAAATATGTTTATTTATTTCATCATAATATAAAGATTTCACAACTCCATTTGGAATTCCTTTCTTAAGTGTAATAAACGTTGATCTATGTAAACTATAAAGAAGAATATTACTAGTTTTTGTATCTCCTATACGAGAAAATTCACCCCCAATAACAATATAGACATCGTTTCCATTTTTTATCGTAATCATGACATTAATAATACCATTAATTATACCAAGTGATGTAAGGATTCCATTTGATCCTTGAATAAAAAGCTCATTATTGTATGTATTCGAAGCACTAAGTAACTTCCCTCTCTTATTATATGCATAAAAACTAATACCAGAAAAATCCCCTGTAATCACTGCTTTTCCATATTCTGAAAGATCTATTTCTGGAACTATTACATCTGTCGTATCTGCGACGCTTTGATATGCCAGAAGAAAATATACAACTATTCTTGAAACAAACCAAAACATTTGCTTGTTTTGTGTTTAGTTTCAGTTGCTAAAAATTGATCCTTTTTCTTCCAGTTTAATGGAATTATTTTTTTCTGATCCAGCTTTTATTTTGGTAAAAAATACGTCCAAAAAAGCAATTCTCTCAGATAAAAAATATTTCTGTTAATCAATTAGATATATTTTAAAAGATCATCTTTTTAAACTTATTTTAAATACCAATTGTCTTTATTCTTGAATATAACTTTTGATGAGGTTATCGCTGATTGTTGTCATTTGCGCAATCGACCCTAATCCATATCTTTTAAAAATTAGAAAAAAATCAAATATATACAAATAATAAAAGAAAGCAGTTTAGTAATTTATATTTGTATATTTTATGTTTTTTTACTATTTACAATTTAATCTATTGTATTTTTTTATGAAATTAAAAAATATAAATAAAACAATTAAAATAACTTTTTCTACCATGTACTATCATGTATTTATTGAAAAATATATTAAATATTGTCTTCTATATAGTTATTTCTTTATATTATTTATTTTTTATTATAATTTTATAGAATTTGAAATCATCGTGCTAACCAGCTTTAAGTGCTGTGAAAATCTGTATTGATCGTGCAAAATCTTTGCAGAAAAAAAATCTCGAAAAAAGAGGAATCAGGATATTAATAAAAGAGTTTTTCGTAAGAAAAACGAAAAATATCACCCAGTTTTATATATAAGTGTTTTTTTTGGGAAAAAAATACGTTAATTCAAGATGGGTCGTATGCACACACCTGGTTTGTATTTATGATTAGTGGATAAAGTATTAAGCATAGCAGGAAAGGGCATTTCAAGCTCAGCATTGCCCTATTGTCGTGCTCCTCCTTCATGGTGTAAAATAGAGTCAGAAGAAGTTTGTGACCTGATATTTAAATATGCAAAAAAAGGGTTTTCTCCGAGTCAAATTGGTGTAGTTTTACGTGATAGTCATGGGATCCCTCAAGTGAGATTTATTACAGGTTACATGATAGCCATGTATACTTGGGATATTCCTAAATGTCTTTAGGTAACAAAATTTTAAGGATTCTTAAATCCAATGGTTAGAATTAATTTTTTATCAAAAAAACAAAAAAACTGATAAAAATAAGGGCTTGCACCAAAAATACCTGAGGATTTATATCACTTAATAAAAAAGGTCTTTGTCTTTTATAAATTATGTTCTTAATTAATATCTAAATAGGCAGTAACAGTTCGAAAGCACCTTGAACGCAACCGGAAGGATAAAGATTCGAAATTCCGTCTTATTCTTATTGAAAGTAGAATTCATCGTTTAGCGCGATACTACAGACGGTTTCTTTCTTCCTTAAATATTATTTATCTAACCTATCTATAGTACAGGTGCTCTTCCTCCTGTTTGGAAATATGAGAGTGCAACTGCATCTACATTAATTGCATAAATATATTTTTGTAACAAATCTCTACGCAGTTGTTATAAGCAAAATATGTACATATTTCTTCATTAAAAGTATTGCTATTTTTTACTTTTATTAATTAAATATTCGCCAAGTACTTGTAATGGATTGGGGGGTCTGCCCTTTCAATTAAAACTACCTTGTTTGTTATAGATACATACCTTTCTTTTGCAATAATTTTCATGCCTTCTAAAAGCACTGGTGTCACATTCTCGTTTAAATAAATTCGTGTAGGAACAGTAGAAATTATTCTATTTTGTGATTGTATATTTGTTGCTGTTGCCATTTCTTTCAATGGAGGTGCCTGTATCTAGATTACTTTTATCTTCCAAAGCATAATTGCATTACATGTGTTTCTGCAATATCATTTAATGAAGTAGTATTAGATGTAGATATCGGATAATAAGGAAGTGGTGCCTGATGAGAAGAAACCACTGTTGTGTGTGGTGAAATGGCTACTGGGGGTATTTCTTGCACTAAAAGCGATGGTTCTGTACGAATTGCATTATTATCAGGTGTTATTTGCTCCATTGTATGTTTATTTTCTGTATTTTGTACTTCTTTTAAAGATAGTTCCATCTTAAAAATAATGCTATTTTAAACCTTTAAAACACGTCTACATACAAAAGATTTAGCTTCATGTTTAATATTTTGCAAAATTTTTAATAAAATTAGAAAAATACTTCTTACCTCATCTACATAAAATTACTTAGTTTCAAGAACTGTTGAATATTTAAAAAATCTTATGTCTGTCTGGAGAAAAATTAAAATTAAGCCAGATGAGTGTAAAGCTTGTTAAAACATGTAAAAAAAAGAATAACAAAGGTTTAGTACGCTTAGAAACTACGTTACAGGCAGGACAAGCGTTTCGTTGGAAATATTTGGGCGATGAATGGTCTTGTGCGTTTAATAATATGATTATTTTATTAAAACAAGATGGTAAAAAATACATGGAAAAGCAAGGAATGGTGTAAATTGAATAGCATCATACGTTTATTATAGAGTAATAAGCAGAGAATTGGCTTTTATGAAAAATGAAAAGGAACATATTGCATTTCTTGAAAATTACTTCAATTTATCAGTTCGTTTGTGTGATTTATATAAAGAATGGGCACATAAGGATAAAAACTTTAAGTTACAAATGAGAAGGTTTAAAGGTGTTCGGATTTTGCGGCAGGATCCTTGGGAAAACTTGATTTGTTTTATTTGTTCGAGTAATAATAATATTCGCCGGATAACAAAGATGGTAAAAGATCAATTGCAGTACTTGGCACCTTTTTAAGTATATAAGGTTGATATTCTTTGTTCCAGATATGGTTCATTGGTAGGAACAGTGAGGAATATTGATTATTTTAACTTTCCTACACCAGCAAAACTTTCAGAGTCATCTGTGGAGTCTGAATTGAGACAATTAGGCTTTGGATACAGAGCAAAATTTATTCAAAAAACAGCATGGATAATTGAGAATGAACGGCCTAAAGAATGGTTTGAAAGTCTTAGAAATAAACCATATAATGAAGCTAAAAAGAATTTATGTGAGTTAATAGGAGTAGGTGATAAAGTAGCAGACTGTGTGGTAAATAAAATTTTGTATTTTAACTGATTTAACTATTTTTAGTGTTTAATGTCTCTTGATAAACCATCTGCTATCCCTATAGATACACATGGTAAGAATTATGTAGTGTAGAACATTCATATTTAAAAATGCTTAGTTTGGCAAATTGCTCGAAGAGATTATAATCTTAGTTCAGGAAAATATAAAACAATTAATAAAGGACTTTATAACATAATTGGTGATTATTTTAGGAATCTATGGGGAAGTTATGCAGGTTGGGCACAATGTGTTTTATTTACATCAGATCTTTCAATGTTTAAAAATAGAACAATTGAAATGGAAAAAAGACTTCCAAAAAAAATATCCTTAGATGAAATAAACTGTAATGATAAAATATCAAATACTAATGAATAAAAACATAATGGTGTATTCACTTTTATCTATGAGAAATTATGCAGAATCTATTATTGTTAAATATTAATAATTCAATTTTTTAAAACAAGTGTATATTTATAAAAAAATAATATATATATTATAATTTATCTATTTCTGGTCCAGCAGAATTATCCCAAGAATGTCTTATTAATAAATCATAAAGTTCAGAAGGAATTTTTTTAATAAGGCTTACTGCAATTCCAATTACTATTTTGGCTGGTAGTTGAGGAAATTTTCTTAAAAGTTTTATTGGACTATATATATATAAATATGTCAAATATGTTTATTTATTACCTAGGATGATGGAGAATATCGTCGCGTATAATTAAAAGTTGTGCAACGACACATAAAACATTTAAATATACGCCATATGCTAATAAAAAATCCCAAAGCACTAATACTTCTGAAAGAGGAGGTGTACATGCGGAAAATGTTAAAATAGCTATATAACTATTAATCATAGAACAATATAACCGTAAATAATACATGGAAAAGCATAAACTTTAGATTGCAGATTTTTTGATTGCAAATATAAATATAATTTAATATCAACAATTTCTAAACATTTATCAAAAAGCTAATTACATTAGATAGAAATAAAATGTGTATAAATATACCTTAATACCACGATGAACACCTTCTAGCGTAGAAGCAACATATAAAGGACATTGGACTGAAATAAATGTTGTGAATAAAGAAAATGCCTCCGTTTCTGATTTAGATGTGTAAAGAAAAGGTGCTGCTATAACATTCATGCCTTGTATATATGATATCGGTGAATTGTGACTCTCCATGTACCAAACAAAAGAGTTCAAAAGCCGTATAAGCGATGCTTCAGATACTTTTCGACGAAAAAGTGGATCTGTTGCTAAAGTACGAAAAGTATCATTCCGAATTTTATTGTATACTAATAATATATATATATAATAATACTTAATATTAATGAATTACCCGATGATGCACCTTTATGTATCAACGATAAATATGAGTTTGCTGGCATTGGCTCCACTCCTAGAAATATACACCAAACATAGGGCCGTACAGATGACTAATATATTATTAATTACGTTAATTAGAAAAAAATCATACTGAGCCTTCTGATGATGAAGGAAGCCCTTCTGAAAGAACCAATCTTCGTAGATGATTATATGATGCCTCCCATTCTGATGTAGATCTGGTCTTTGGACGATATGATTGCATCAAGTTTTCAAATGTTTTTTCTGAAATTTTCTGTTTTGAATCCATAATTTAAGAACAAATGAATCTAAAAACACACAAATAATATATTCAAATAGATAAAAGTATATTTAAATGATTAAATGGCTTAAATTTAACGATATTAATTAAATTTTGGTTGATTTTACAAAAACATTACCATAGCAACCGTTTAACAACATGAAATTTTAAAATAATTAATAATGACAGTATCTCAGCAAATAAAGGAAGAAGAAGAACAGGTTAAAGAGAATTTAAATAACGGATATAACAAAGGAGAATGGGTATTTTTTTTGTTTAAAAAATGGGCTTATTTTGACGCAAATAGCCAACAATGGAGTATTATGAAGATAAAAAGAAAGAATTACGAGAATTGATCAGTAAAAAGAACTCAGTAGATAAAACTCTTGTGAGTGCATTATTAATATATATTGTTTTTATTTATATGTTTTAATTTGCGGATAGGCTGCATTGGAGGAAAAAATATACAAGCTTGAAGGGGCGTATTTAGAAGATACAGCTCAGGGAGGGAATATTATACGGGGATTTGATGGATTTCTTAAAGGCTCAAGTTATAAGAAGCGTGCAGATTATACTGATAACGACCGTCTTTTTTCTTTTTCTTCGGGAACTTTTTTAAAGGTGTTTTGGATATTATTTATTTTATATTATTAAATTTTTATTGTAGTTTCTTCATAAAAACGAGTTCTGTGATGATTCTGATACATCAACAACACAAAAAAAGAAAAAACGTAGGAAAACAGATGGCGATTCTTCTGGTAGTTCTAAAGATTTACCTTATGTAACAAAAAGAGTTAGAATATCTTTTCGAACAGATGATTAATAGTATTACTATTTTTACAAGAATGGTTTTTTTTTATTTTGAATCGGAAATATATTGTAAATATGTTCAAATAATTTCTTTTGAAAAAGGTGGTATTAAAAGATCTAATTTTATAAAACAAAATATAAATATTTGTTCTTGAAAAAAGTTGGTTGATAATAATGATATCTGTGATTAATATATATTCTATAATGAAGTTATTAAAAGTTTTATTTTTTTTTTTTTAAATTATTTTTTTATACATATATTTTGTAATTTTTCATAAATTGAAAAAATTAAATCACATTTACTTAACAGAACTGTATATATTGCACTAAGTTTATTTTTATATATTTTATATATAGTATTTATAAAAAAATAAATTTAACTATTTATGTTTCATCATTTTCGAAACATAGATACAAAGTATGAATCAATATTAAAATTATTTATATAAATACTTATATAATACATATTTCTTTGAAAGTAATTTTATTAAATTATTTTACTGTTTTATTTTTTTATAATTTTAGATAATTTAATATATAAAATGTAAAAAATTATAAAATTCAGATATATTACTAGTTAAATTGTCAAAGATAACAAAAGATCGATATAAGGTAGATAGTGAAAATATAAAAATATTTAGTGATAAACTTTAACTATCTACAATATTTGCTGTATCTACCAAGCTCCTACTTCGTAATTCTCTTCTGGATAAAAACTTGTTAATACAGTACGATCTGAAAATTTCCGACCAGCAAGATCTTTCATTGCTTTTAAACAGGACATTTCTGTTTCAAACCGTACGTAAACCTGAAAATAATTAACAATTAATATTTAAACAATTTAAAATACAACCTTTCCTACACCAAAATTTGAACGGCTACCACCAATACCTCGAGGAATCTTTAAATCTAATACTTTTCCATATTTCGAGCATTCGTCTCTAATATCTTCCGAAATTTCTAGTGCTTTTAAACAAAAATATAAATAGTTTTTTATAACTAACCTTCATATTCATCATCATCCTGCAATTCTTCAGGAGTAACCATATTAAACATTTGCAATACTCGTGTTGGTCGTAATTGACCCTCTTCTTCTGCTAACATAGTAATACTGGCAATTCCACCACCAGATGTTGAAATGGGTTTCTGCTTTGTTCCAATACTTGCACGTTTTACGACTAAAATTTTATCACCAAGCTCCATTCCGTTAAGACCCTCACACGCAATATCCGTCACATCAGGATCCACATATTCACAAAATGCAAAACCCTTTGCACTTTAAGTACAATATAATATTATTTATATAAACTCACTTTTGACTCATTTGTTGCTGCATCTTTAATTAAATTAAAAGCTTTTAGCTCACCAAAGGATTTAAGGAGTTCGATAACTTGCTCATCATCAAGATATGTAGGGAGTCCTCCAATATGAATTTTATTAGGTGTATCTGTAAAGTTTGTTGAAATTACTCCTGGAACATATGAACCATCATCAGTAGGCATTTGAGGAACAATGTAATCCATTGGTCGCCTAATTTTTAATGAATTATTCATGTATGAAATTCCATCAAATCCAATAGCAACGGTTGCATCTTCAGGTTGTCGAAACTAAAAAGTTAAAAAAATAGTAAACAAAAGAGAAAATACTTCAAGAAACGCATATCCTTTTTCATGATTAACTTGGGCACTTATGACAGGATTGTCACCAGATGTTGTGACATTAAGACAACTCATTGTATCATTAAAAAAGTTTACAAGATGTTCTTCATCAATTGGTTGAGGAATATTCCCAACATGTATCCTTCTGGATTGTCTAGATTGCAAAGGCTGCAAGGCCTGCGGATTAGGAATATTCATAGCACCTGGTCCTTTATGTACAGTAGAAAGTTTAGATAAATCCATCATAGATTGTCTTGGTGCTCCTGGTAATGGAAATAGACCTGGAACTCTTAACCATAATAAAAATATATTTAGAATTGTTTTACCAGACATTTTTGCTTGTTCTGCTGTAATTGCTTCATATCCAGTAGGTTTTACATCCCACATACTCATTCTGCGCCGGCGCTCATTAATAGGCACAATATCTGTAAGATCAGGAGTAGGCTCCCGACCACGATAACGTGGGCTTCTACTCCGTCTATACCAATCTTCTCTCCCACTACGCCGATCACGATTAATACGGTCCGGACGTTCATCTCTCTCTCTTTCTGGACGACCTGACCCAAGAGAATGCACCATGTCATGATTCCGCTCATTCTGAGCGTATTCTTCATCTCTACGACGCCTTCGCCGTTCATCTTCTTCTCGACTCCGGCGATGACCATGTTCTCGATCACGATCATTAGCTCTTTCATGTCTTAAAGGTCTTTCAGAATGATAATAATGCCTATCCTCCCTATCAGAAGGCACATCTCTCCGAGGCCTATCACGATCTGATCTTCGTTCATTCCGATCGTTTCTTTCAATACGTTCACGTTCACGTTCACTTCGTTCTCCACGTCTATCTCTACCAACACCGTTGACAATTTCTATACCAGATAAACAAAAGAACCAATTTCTAATAAAAAACAGGTACCACTTCTTCTCATTGAAAAAAAACACCTTTTTTATAATAAATAAATCAACAATATATTTAATGTTTAAAGCAAAAATGGTTAATTTTTCCTCAAAAAAAAATAAAAAACGCAAATGCCTACTAAAAATTAAAGCTTTAATACGTTAGAAACATAAAAAGTATCTCTTACAATTTAATAAATCCTCTTTTTCAGTTTTTTTGCACAATCGTCAATATTTTGAGGTTGAAAAAGAAAATCAATCTTTTTGGTGCTTTCGATCTTTCAAGTATAAAGGACACCCTAAAAATATAAAAAATATTTAAGAATCTAGGAGCCCACCAATCGTCCTTGTTTATTATTGTTAATACGAGCTAATGTCTTATTTATATTTTTTAAATTTTATTCTCTAGAAGCATTAAATTTTTTACATCTTTTTTAGATAACGACATTGATCGTTTTCTTATATTATTTAGCTATTTATTTTACTTTTTATATTCTTTTTATTTCTTAAGACAGTTTTTATAAACGTTTAAATAGCTACGTATTTCTAGGAAAATGGACAAAAAAAATCATGAAATCCATGCTATTGCATCTGATGCAGTGGCTCATAATTTTAAAGTAAATTATATACTTTTTAAAAAATCTGAACTAATAAAAATAGATTATTTCACATATTCGAAGTGTAACATCTATTTTTTTTGGTTTTGTGGCAGGAATTCTAAATTTAACATCGTATTGTGGACTTTTATTTTATGTTTTTGGGATGCTCTTTGTAAATTTCATGATTTTTTTAATACTAACAAAAAGACACCCGTCTTTATACTTCCTTTCTCATAAAGATATATGGACGAAAGATATTTTTTCTGGATTGCTAAGTTTTATATTAAGTTGTACTTTATCTTATGGACTTGTACATAGTAAGTTATTTTTTTGATGAAGAATTACTAACAATATATAGTATACATTTAGTTAAATGTTTTATATTTATACAAACATGCAAACTTATAGTGTTAGTGTCGAAAAGACTCGTTTTTTTCCACTTTCTAATTGCTTTTTATATTCTTCTTCACTAAAAAATTCTTTCGTATGTTGAATTTCCCAATTTTGACGGATATATTTTAAAGCAGCTAAATTATAACCTATCATATCTTTTTGAATTTGTAATTCTTCACGTAGTTTGATTCTAATAGAATCTAACATAGACCGCATATTTTTATTTGCAACAATTTGATGATGATGTATTTTTAAAAGAATAAACAAAATCCTAGATATTAATTGAATATTCCATCCCTAGAATATTTCAATAAAAATATATTATATATATCTCATACCTTTTTTGCCCAAAGATCAATAAATACAAACATATACGTTACACTTTTAAATGGAAGCACAAGCAAAGCATCTTCTAAATGACTTGAATGAATTTTTTCAAGTACATTTAACACATATTCTTCAGCAGAAATATTTCCATTTGCAATAAATATTGGATTTCTAATGGGGTTTTTTAAATTACTATTATTTTTTTTTGCCTATAATAAATATTAATTTTTTTAACATAATAAAAAATATAACCTCTTCATGCTCTTTCATTAATTCTATATCCTTTATTCCGATTTCAAGACTATCGATGATTTTCTCTCCTGCAATTACTGATTCTAAAGTTTGTTTCCCAGCTGAAGCAAGCTCATCTACTTTTTTATTTTCATTCATTTCATATTTATCTAATTTTTCAACTAAATCTTTCTCGTATAACTTTTCTAATTCTTTTTCTTTCTGTTCATCCAAAAAAATTGGTTCATCAGTTTGATACCATATTCTTATGCTACGATCATGACTACCTGTAATTATAAATTGATTATTATTGCTAATTGCCAAAGCCCATATTTCACTGTGATGCCCTTCCAATTTAAGAATATTTTCAAATTTATCACCATCCCAATACTTAATTAATTTATCTTTTCCTGTAGAAAAAAAATTATGACCCTTTTTTTCAAAAGCAACTTGCATAATACTATCTTGATGGGCGAAAATACTTCTATGACAATCCCCAAAATCTAAACCCCAAATTTTTATATTTTTGTCTGCAGAAGATGTAATTAAAAGTTTACTATCTGAAGAAATATCCATAGCTAAAACAGGAAGTTTATGTCCATATAATGATAAGAAAAATTTCAAAGTATCTGTATAAAATACTTTGACCGTAGCATTTAAAAGCGATACTGCAATTAAACGACCATCAGGAGAAAAACAAACAGAAAGAACGTCATCTGTTAATTTTAAAACGCGCGTTTCCTTTATACAAAGTTTTAGTACTCCTTCCTATATTTGTAAATTATATATATATTATCTGTATTTCTTACTTCTAAAGAATTCTTGTCAATCTTTAAATCCCAAAATTTAACTGTTTTATCAGCACTTCCTGTAATGAATCCTTGATTATTTGGTTGAATTTTAAGAGACCAAATAGACCCTTCATGAGCTACAACACGTTCAATCATAGTACTAGAAGGAATATCAAATAATTCTAGATGACCTCCTTTTGTACCTAAAATTACCTAAGCATAATTAGTATTAAATATTACTTTAATCAAAGTTATTACAAATTTATTTTCCAAACAAAAACTACAACATAATGCATAACCACAATCTAAACTTCTTATACATTTTCCTGTTTTTATATTCCAAATTTTTAAACTTCCATTAGAAACAGACGCTAACATCTCATCATTAGAATCTATTGACAAAGAACGAATATCAGAACGGTGACCCTGTATTTCAATAGAAAATGCTTTTAAACATTCTGGTGGATTAGAAGCTTTAAATTTAGGTATAACAGGAATATCGTATACTTCTATAATATTGTTTGAAAGTGAAACAAGTAACTAAATATTAGTTAATATAATATAAAAATATAAATTAACTAAAACCTGAAAAACATGTTTCTTAATTGGATTTTGTCCAAAAAATCCCCAATCAATAGATCTAATTTTAGATGATGTTCTAATACTTGTATATAAAACAATCTCGTCTTCAGGTTTTAATGAAATATTTTCATCATTATTATTATCTTTTTCACGGCTTCTCTTTTTTCTTCGATTTAATAATTTTTTAAGTTCCTTTTCATCTCTTTTTTTATATATTTCAATCATTTTGTCTGCTCCATGACATGCAAACATATCACCTTGTGGATGAAATACAACCGTAGTTACACGTTCTTTGCTTTCTTTTATTAGAGTAGATTTGAGTGTTAATCGATGGTATGTTTCTGCAGTTAATTCTGTTTTAGTGGCAAAAACACTTAGCTGAATATTCCAAATTTTTAATTCGCCATCTAATCCACCTGTTACACATATCTTTTGATCAGGACTGACGCCCAAAGACCAACATTCACCACGATGTGCAACATGTGTTTCTATACAGTGTTGAGTATTTAGATCCCATAACTTAATGAAAGAATCTTTGCTAACACTAATGATCCATGAACTATCTTCATTTGGATCAATAAATCCTGTTTCATCCTCAAGAGGAGTACGAAGAAATAGACATCCTGTAATTTGGTCTTTGTGGCCACGTAAACGATATAAACCCATTTCTGAAACAATATCCCAAACAATAATATCTGTATCATGAGATCCACTAGCAAGCCTTGTTCCAGTAATATCAAAAGCAAGTGCTGTTACACTGGATCGATGAGCGTTTAATTTCATTAAAACTTGGTCTTTATCAAGAGACCAAAGGCGAATTAGTCCATCTCCATATCTAAATCAGCAACTAAACGTTAAATACATGTGTCTTTTATAGAATATTAGATTACCCTACTGCAAACATGAATTTATTTGCCTTATTTTGCTTAATCACTGTTGTCTCTGCTTTTCCGTCTGCATCTCGCCATCTAAAAACTTTTTCTCCCTTCTTAACATCCCATATGATAACGTCTTCAAGTGCAGGAACTACTGCTAAACCACTTTTTGCTTTAAATAATTCATTTATTTCTTTATCATCAATAAATACGCTGTTTGATTGATAAGACACAATGATTCCCCAAGAAAAACCAAATTCATAATTCTCATAGCTTCGTACCATTAAAAAATCTCTTTCTATTTAGAATTTCTTTATATATTAACTTGTTGAGTTGATAAAAACATGTTAGAATTACCTGATGATTTTTTAATGAGGTTATATAATTTAAGAAAAAAATATCGTAACGTTGGACTGTCAGTGAAAAATAAAGAAATAAAAATAAAACAGCTAGAGAGCAGATTTATGAAAGATATAACAAGCCATCATATTATCCTTGAGTCTATTATAGAGAAATGGATTTTCAGGTACAAAAAGGTATTTTTTTGGTGAAAAACTAAATTTTTATAAATAGAAAGATAACATCTTCAATTGATCAAGTAATTTCAGATTTTGATGGAGTAATATATCATATTTCAACACCAGAAACGAAAACAAAGATGCTTATATCTATGCGGATCCGCTGTTATGCTAGTTTAGTTAAATATAATGCTCTAACAGTTCTCGAAAGATATTATGGAAAAATGATTGTTTCACCAGAAAATAAATATGACTTTTCTCTTTGCATTGATCTTGAGACTCTTTCTGATGATGAGAAAGAAAAAAATGATCTTATTCGTTCAATTGGTTTACTTAAAAGGAATATGCTTGCAGCACCTTTTGAGATGGCATTTATGCAGCAAGAGCTTTTGGCAAAAGAACAAGAAAGTGCCAAAGAAACTATAAATAAAGTAGGAGAAGTCATGGAGATACCTTATAGAGAAGAAGAAGCTATTTTTATTATTCCATCCTTTGACAGAGTAACGGTTATTTTTAGTACGATTTTCAGAGAAGAAACAGATAGAATTATTGGTAAAGTGTTTTTGCAAGTAATTCCTTTTTTAGGAGATAAAAATATAAAGCCTAATAAATTAATTAGGAATTTGTGGATGCACGCAGAAGACCTGCTATTCAGAATGCACCTCAAGTTTTATATTCTTATCGCGATCCACCTTTAGAAATTCAAGCACTAAAAAATTCAAATAGATGCGAAAATATAGGCTATGTGACTTTTGGTAAAGGCAGTAGAAATGAATTTAGCTTTGAAATAATTTTTTATAGTTTTATTTCCTCAACATTATACACCTGAAAAAAGAGAAAATTGTATTACAAAAATTCAGTTATTTCGAAATACACTACACTATCATATCAAAGCATCCAAAGCACATATGCATGGGCGTGTAAGTAATAATATTATGTGAATAAGCTCTTATTTTCTTAGATGCGAGCAAGGGTGACAGCGTTTTTGAAGGTTTTAAATAGAGCTAAATTAGAAAACCCAGAAAAAGAGAAAAAAACGGCATCAGGAAGGAGCTTTGTCATATCTAAATGATGGAAATGAAATAAACAGATCTGGTATTTATGATGCATCGAGTTCATTTAAAATATCCCATAAATGATTCGGTAGTCGGTGAGATTGACGTGGATCAATTTTTTTCAAATACTTTAATGCGTCTTTATATCCTTCAGATCGTTCATTTTCATCTTTCAGATTAGCTAGTGATATTTTTGCTTCCACTATCTAAATATCGATAAGTTTAATTCAGAAAAATATAAAATATATTCGACATACCATTATAAGCAAGTTTGTTGGAACACCTTTTTCTTCTTGTATGTTGTATGCTTTCATAAAATAGGAAATAGCATTATTCATATGTGCTTCGGCCTGTATTGCTGCTTCAGTAGTTTCATCTATTTCATCCATCTCTTCCATTGGTTCAAGATAAGCATTGGACATTGAAAGCTCAATAAAACCTAAACCTTCCAATGCTTCTGCATCTGACTCATTTTCTATTGAAATGGTAAAAATATATTTAATTTAATTATGTCCATTACCTTTTAATAAAAGATGCCATTTGGATGCAACCCAGTCATTAATTGCTTTTTTTTCCAAAATATCTTGGCAATCGTCTCCAACTGTTGCTATCCAGTGGAGAAGATACGTAATGTTGCAATACATATTTGTAGAATTCAAAACATCTAGGTCATCCATCGCATTTTTTAAGATATTTTTGATAGAATCATATGGCCGATATGCTTGATGCATAAGCTTAGTAAGTTTTGCTCTTCCACGAAGGTGCTGCAAAGTTAATAAGTCTGCATTATGATTTATTGGCAAGTTAGATCCATTTAAATTTAGAGCAAGACCGGCATTACAGCGATCAATAGCAGCGTCAATTAGCATTAAAGTTGTTGAAATAGAAGAACTACGTGTTTTAATAGAATTTTCTTTTTTTTTGTTTACATCATTTGATATATTGTTATTTTCTATTTCTAAATCTTTATTGATTAATTTTTGACTATTTAACTTTTTATCATGGGACAAACTGTCTGCCAATTTGATGCCATCAGTAAAAACGTCATCCTTTAGATCCTCTATGTTTTTTTTTGTATCTGTATCGCTTTCAATTGCCCCATTTACTTGAACATCCATTCCTTCACTTGTTAATCGCGCCAAATCTAATAATGCCATTGCGTAGATTATATAAACCCGTAAATAACGCTCAGTTATAGTGTTCTTTGGATTGCCTTCTTGATGATGAATTTCATTTTTATTTGAATTTAGTTGTTGGTTTTTGTTTTCTTGTATCAATTGATCACATTCATGTAATGTTCCTCGTAATAATGCTGCTGAGAGACAAATGTCTGTTTGTTCACTAGCTGATTTGTATAGAGCTTCAACTTGTGTTATATCATCATCTTCTGGAGATGCACCAAGCAAAATAGTAGGTGTTACTTGTGAAATAGCTTTCTCTGATGAAATAGAAGTTAATGTAGCATCCGTTTGAGCTATACATATCCTTTTTTTACGAGATGCTGCAATACCCAATGGTCTGCAATTAGTATTATTCATTTTTTATAAAAAAATTTATAAAAATCAATAGAAAAGTTATAAAAAAAGGTTATTAAATTAATATTTTAAGTTCTCGAGATTTATACGGTCCGAAAATACGAAAGATTTTAATAAGAAAATTAAAAGAAAAGTAAATAAGAAAACGCTTAATTTTTCTAAAGAAAAGAACGTTTTTGTAGTATTGATATATATATCTTAGTGGGTTATCTTAGTAGGTATCTTTTTTCTAGAGAAATTATTCATTTTATAAAAAAAGGATTTAAAAAGAAAATAAATTTGTGCACCTATAAAAATTAACAAAATATTCTTTTGTTGACTCTTTTTTTTCTAATTTTTAGTTTTTTGAAAGGAATAAAAGTATTTTGGATTCTAAGAATTAGTTTTTAAGGTTTTTTAATTGTTTAAAAGAATACTTGATAAAGATTCTTTGATTGGTTGATAAAATCTATAATTTTTGTAAGAACAGAGTTGTTTTAGAGTAACAGAAATACAAAGAAAATACGTTATTTGTTTTAAAATATTCTAAAAAAAATACAATAGATAGGATGGAAAGTAACCGAATATTGAATACCACAGGAGATTTGTCTCGTAATAAAGGAATGTCTTCTAGAGGTTTTCGTAGCATTTCAAGTGATATTTCTTCTATAAGTAGTGAGAGTACATATAATCAGTCCCGAAATAAGTTGTTTGAAATAACATCGTCTAAATATGATCAAAATACTTATACTAGTGAATATAAATCTAATTATGATAACAAATTTAAGAATTATGGTCGTGAAGGCTATACACCGTATAATAATGAAGGTTCCAGTGATGAAGATGTAGAAGCTATCAAACAAGAAATGCGATTTGTCAAGCAAGACAGTTTAAATAGTACTCGAAATGCAGTTAGGACAGCTGTTCAAGCCGAAGAAACAGGTAGACAAACTTTAGAAAAGTTAGGGACACAAAGCGGTAAAACAATTAATTTATTTTGGATTCTGTTTATAATATGCTTGTAGAAAGAATAGGAACTACAGAGAAATATTTGGATCTTACAGCTGTCAACGCAAAAATGGCTGAAGAAAAAAATAAAGCTCTTAAACAATTAAATCGGAGTGTATTTATTCCTCATTTTAAGAAACCATGGAAAAAACAAGCACGGCTTTTGGAAAAAGAGCAACGTATTCGTGATCAATATGAATTAGAACAATTGGAAAGAGAAAAAACAAAAAAAAGTGAGTACGAGAGTCTTACACGTATTAAAGATGCTCTTAATAAACAAAAAAATAAAACATATGAAAATCAAGCACCGAATGATCCTTTTCATTGTCGATTTGAGCCTGATGAGGTATGAATCCTTGAATAAGAAACCATAGTATTAATATTTTAAAAAAGGAAGATGATGAGATTGAAAGTGAAATAAACCAAAATTTATTTCAGCTTGGCAATATAGCTTCCCAACTCAAAGCAATTGCTACTGCTACTCAAGAAGAAATTATAAGTCAAAATGCCAGACTTGATAGAATTTCAGAAAAGGTTAATACTTTAAAATTTTAGTATTTTTATTAATTTTTCAAGGGACATAAATTGGACGCTGAAATCCATATTAATGCTGAAAGGCTTAAAAGGATAAACTAAAAAATATTTCAAATCATTATAGTTTAAGATATTTTCTAAATATTTATTTGAAAAATTTCATTTTAGAAACTATTTATACAATACACATGAGTAAAAAAGTAGAATATTTATTACAAAGTATTTAAAATGCATATTTTTATTAATAATTTTTTTAATTTTCATTATTTGAAATTTTTATTCGTCTTTTTTCCAATACATCTTTAAGTTCTGAAACCACTTTTATTCCTAACTCTTTATCTTTTTTCATTTTCGAATGTTTATCTTTTTTTACTTTCCTAATTTTTTCTGTTTTATTTAACTTTTGTAATCGCGGAGCTAATTCAGACTTATCTGAAACTGCTTCAAAAATAACTTCTTTTTCATTAGCATTCAAAAAAGCTCCTTCTGATGATAAATATTGTGGATTTGATGTTGATACATCCCAATCATTTGTAATTTCAGAAAGAGCTTTAACATTTTTAATTTCATCCAATGACTTATTAGAGTCCGATTCATCAGAATCATGAATCCCAAAGTCTGAATCATCCGATACTTGTAAGTCAGAATGTATATTATCTTGCGCTAACATATCAGATTTAATAGGTATTTTTGATAAATAATCTCGTCCAGATTCCCATTTCTCCATTAATATCTTTAAATCATCTTTAAGAGAATCATAATAACGTAAAAGTTCGTTTTTAATATTTATATTAAAGTCATCTTAAACTTAGAATATTGTTTTAATATAAAATGTATATTTACCTTGTATTAAACAATTACTTTCTTCTTTTAAAATATATAATTTTGCTTGAAATCTACGTAAAATTTGAAAAAGCATATTGATATTTCGTGCATGATTATTCCATTCAATGCTTTTTTCGTGTACTTTAGCTTTTGGTATAGATAGTTCTAATATTCCTATTCATATTAACAATAATAAAAAAAAAATAACTATTACGCTCATTATTTTCAAAAGTTTTTTCAATTTCGTCATGAAAATTATCCATCATACAAGATAAGCTTTTTAATTGGCCAATAACAGCTTTCCAAGATGATATATTTTCGAGACTTGAAACAGGCATTGATAAAAGTGATACTAGGCATTGACGCCGTTTTTCATGTATTGTATAAAAAAGAGCCTTCAAATAAGGTAATCCATTAGAATCATCCCCTTGAAAATATGATGGAAGAGAATCGAAATCTTGAGAATGTGGTAAGTTATACATTATTTGTAATGTGTCAAACTCGCGTTTTGAATAAAATGTTCGAAGTAAAGAAAAAGAATAATTATAAGAAGAAAGTATTTGAGATAGAAGTGTAGAAAGCAACAAGCGTAACATCTTGCAACGTCGATCTTGAGAATTCGTTTCAATTTTTGTAATAGGTGGTAAAGGCAATGACCTGAGAAATATTAGTTTAGACTTGATAAAACGAAAACATCTAACAACAAATAGCCGCGGGATACAAGCTCTACTTCTTGAATTAAAGCAAGTGTTTTGTTAACAGTAATATCGAAACGCTGAGACGTATCAACAAAACGTTTCATAAAAAATATAGCTTGTTTTTGAATATTCTTAAAATAAATCCTCGAATAATAGACGTAAAATAGTAATGATCCAACAATACAACTAAAAAATACAGAAAAATATCGAATTTTTTTGCTAATCTGTTGAACATCCTTTTTAAAACTCCATTTTATGCCAAATGCTAATGCAACAATGCAACCACTTGAAACAGCCCAATGCTTAACATGATAAATCATTTTTTTTAACAACAAACTATCTTTTTTTTTACAATTTATAGATGATTGTTGAGAATGATAAAGTGACGGCGATATATTTTCGTTTAAAAGTTGAGAAGTACAAATAATATAACGGAATCGCTCAAGAAACATTGACTTCTCCGTATCTGAAAGACATGTTTTTAAAAAAGCCTGTTTTTCGTCATTTTTTTGTCAGTCAATGCTGTTTTGATTTACTGAAAATAAAGAATACAAATTAAAAAACAATACTTGAGATTTATCTGAAAAAAACTTCATTTCTAACCGCATATTCTCTTTTTTTTTATTACGTTGTTGTTGTTGAAATGTATAATATGAACGAAATATTGTCTTTAGTTTATTTTCTGTTTCATCTCCATGACCAACATCTATACTTTATTATTTTTTACTGGAGAAAAAACTAACTAACTTGCCTTCAAGATAATTTCCAAGAGGTGTATCTTTGAATATGATTGCTTCTGCCATAAAAATATTTCTTTTTTATTATATAATTTTGTATCAGCTTTTTGTCGAAATCATCAAATATAAAAAAATATTCAAATAAAAAAGATATATTGAAATTATTTTAGACATATTTAGACATATTTTTGTATATTTATACCTTTTTTCTTTCTTATTTTTTAAAAAGTGGGTTCTATGACTGATTTACCGCTTAAATACGTTTTGTCTATTCAATCATCTGTTTGTTGGGGTATTTTTTTATAAATGAAGAGTTATTTATTAATATTTATTAAAAGGATATTGCGGGAATAGGTCTGCAACATTTCCACTACAGCTTTTGGGGTATGATGTCTCTGTTATCCATACTGTTCAGTTTTCTAACCACACGGGTTATGGACATTGGCGTGGTCAAACATTTTCGGGCCAGCATTTAGCAGATCTTTACAAGGGATTGAAAGATAATGGCATTTTCAAGGAATATAATTTTTTATTAACAGGATATGTTCCTGGAAAAGAAGGAGTTGAATCGATGGCATGTATTGCAAAAGACATAAAGGAAAATAACCCTACAATTGGATGGCTTTTAGATCCTGTGCTTGGAGATAATGGACGTCTTTATGTTAGTTCAGATGTAATTCCTATTTATAAACAACTTCTCTTTATCTGTGATTTAATTACACCTAATCAATTCGAAGTAGCTTCAATTTTTAAAATTTCATTAATTAATGTATTACTAGGCAGAGTATGTTTGAATTTTATTAAGAGAAATATTTGTTTATTTAATTTAGAACTCTTTCTGATAAAAAAATTTCATCATTTGAAACTCTTTTAACTTGTTTAAAAAGTTTACATAAAAGTTATTGTCTTAAACACATAGTTGTTACATCAATTCGATTTGGTGCAGATGACAAAGAGTTACATATTATTGCATCTTCATGCAAGTCTGACTACACACCTCGTGCAGTCAAAATAACTGTTCCATACTATGATTATACATTAGTAGGTACAGGCGATTTGTTTTCAGCACTTCTTTTGGCTCGATTTAACGAAAATATGAAGTCAATGACACCAGATGATGTATCTGCAATTCATATGCCTCTTACTCGTGCTCTTGAATTAGTAGTTTCATCAGTACAGGATGTTATAAAAAATACAATTAGTTCAATTAAAGAGAACTATGCACATCTGAAGAATCAATTATCAAAAGCTGAGATGTTTAAATTATGTGAATTGCGTGTTATTCAATCTCAAGATTTTTTAAAAAATCCGAGTTCTGAATATAAAGCGATAATTTTAAAATAACTTGTTTAGATTTTGTCGTTAAAAATATTTTTAAAATGTTTAAATTAATAAAATAAAGAATGAGTACTGCGTTTGATACTTTTTTATTAGAAGTTGAATCCTTAAAGGCTCTTTCGTCTTCCATATTACTTCCTTTTATAAATTCGCGGTTAGTTTTGGAAAATGAATTTGAAGATTTAAAAGTAGATGAGGAATCTTGGGTTAAGAAAGTGGAAAAATTAGTCAGTTTGGAACAACAGATATACGAATATCAAATACGTAGAACATTAGAAAATATTGAGGAAACATTAGATACACTTCAGGATCAAATAAATCAAACACTACAAATATATTCTCCAATTCTAAAATACAAAAAATAACAAATCTATCCTATATAAAAATAATAAAATAATGATTCTAGACAAAATGTGAACAAAAAAATAACAAAATTTGTACAAAAGTTGTATATAATCCAATGAACAATATGTTTATATTAAATTGCACTTTTAATATTTAAATATATTCCTTTAGTTTTTACGTTTATTTTGCTGTCTATCTTCTTCATCTAAATTTTCATTGTCTTTAAGTACTTGTTCGTTGCTATCCTTTTCTTTTTGTTTACTTTCAGATGCAATCAATTCCTAAACAATTAATATATAAAATATCCCAGTTATATGACTAACCTCCTGCTCCATAATAACTTCTAGCCTTTGTTTATTTGTTGCTTCTTTATCTTGTACATTTAATTCTGTTTCATGGTATAATTCATCTGGCAAACTTGATAATGTAGCAATTAAAGCGTTATAATGTCTATCTGACTGATCATCTTGATCATACATAAATGCATTTGATAAAAGCAAAAGAGTACTTGGTACACCATGTTTTAAACGTAAATCAAGCCATTGTTCTAATTCGTCTCTTAATTTTGCAGGACTTAGTCCATGAGTACGGATTCCTCTATTTGCACAAGCTACTTGTAATTCTGGGACAGAAAGTGTATCTACACCTTCATACCAAATAGCCTTATCATCTGACTTAATTTTTCGCATTTTGTGTCTAATCTGGTATCGAAGCATAGGATCTGTTCCAAATGTATTTAAGTTCATGTAACGACACATAGCAACAAGCTGTGGACGAGAAAGATTATCTAATGTTATATCATCTCTAAATAGCTTCGATACATTAATGACATCTGTTTGTGAAGGGAGTTCTTTTCCACTACGAATTTTTCGAAAGAATTCAGTAAACTCTTGGCGTTGTTTTGTTGTTGTGCTAAATGGTAAGCCACTTTCCTGCAAAGTTGCTCTTAAAAATTGTGAAACGCTTTTCCGTGTATCACTAAGTTTAGTCTGCCTTTTTTCTTTGTCTTTGTCTGCTTCGTATGTAGATGGAAGCATATTAGGAAATAATTTTAATGCTAGTGGAAGAAGTAATTCTGCGAAAGGAATTAAAATAAAGGCAGAAAATGGCACAAGGCGGACTAAATCCTTGACTGTACGTTGAAGCTAAGTAGAAGTAAGCTTTCTTTAAACAATAAAAAGTGATTTTATATTAAAATACCTGTCGATGTTCTCGTCTAGTTAATTCATGACCAGCTGCCATTTTTAATGCAAGCTTATATGAAATTTTCGTCTCAGCACCCAAAAGTTTTGTTCCATCCCAGTAATGCTGTGCTTCTCCCTTTATTTTTTGCCAAAGTGTTTTTTTTTTATCTTTTTTGCCTTCTTGTTTAGTAAGAGGTGGAGATGTTTCTGTAGAAATATCTTTAGCATTTGATGTAAAAGTTTCTTTTTCAGAGAGAGGAGGATTTTCAATGCCTAACGAAACTGCTTGTGCTGCATGATATGTTTTATCTTTATTAATAGTTTGTTCATAAAGAGATGATCGTTGACTTGATACTGTAGATGAATGCCGATGAGATCGCTTAAATGGAACCATAGATTGCCAACGGACATATTTACATGATGTAATCCATGGTTTATTGTTTAATATTGTCCTTGTATACAAAGAAGCTAATTTACTTTAATTCATTAACGTTAACTGAGTTATCTTTACCTGTGAAAGATGGTACATTTGAAGAAACCCATAAAAAGTCCGTGGCAGAGAAAAATGATGATGAATTTATCTTCATATACGCCATGGTTTATGCAATTCCTTGATCATTTATTGAGTTTTTAAGAAATTTTCAAAAATCTAAGATTGGTTTGCAAATCCGGACGATCTTGGTTAAATTGTACCAAATCAAATATTATACGAATGAGGAAAATAAGAGAACAATAAAAAGAGAAAATAAATACATGAAGTTTATAGAAAATAGCTGAATTAAAGTGTATGAAATATGAAGAAAATAAATTGAAAGTATTTTGACGATAAGACTATTCTTCACTTATCTTAGGTGCTAAGTAGAATCTAAATGAAGTCAGAAGTATAAAAAAAACACAAATAAGAAAACCGAAGATGCCCTGTCTCCATTTTATATTCTACCATAAGTGGTAATTCATTGCTCATAGAAAGAATGACGATTTCTGCAAGGGGTGTAGCTTTTGTGAAATTAACTAAATATTTAAGACTAAAAGTGAGTGAAACAGGCTCATTTAGCTCAATATTTGTGTCTTGATTTTGTATTAATGTTATACTTCCATTTCCTATGTCTCCTGAACAGCTGAATTTGATGCCTTCTTTATTTGCTTCAACATGTACACTTTCACTTAAAGCGAGAAGATCTCGGCAGATACGTTGGAATTCAATTGATTGCATTCTTACTACAACACTGTACTCTGTATCCGGAATTCCAAGGTGTTCCTGATCAATATCCATTAGTTTGATATCATACTCACTAATGCGATCGTTCGTTGGACTTTCGAACACCATGTTTAAAGTATCCGGTGTATCCTCTGCTTTAAGTGTAATAATGTCTTCATTTTGAGCACACTTGAGCACTTTTGAAAAGGAATTCAAGTTAACTCCGAGAGAAATATTGCGATCACAACGGTATGGTTCAAATCCATCCATTCTTAAAAGCATGACTACCAATGCTACATGAGAATTGTCCATTGCTTGAAGAGCAATTCCTGATTCATTGCATTCTATATTTACATCGCTTATTAACTCTATTAAAAATTATTATCAAAAAACGCGTATTTTGTATATTTAATACCTTTGACTGCATCTAAAATCTATTCAAATAAATTGTTATTATTTCTCTTAAAGAAGAATTTAAAAATACCTTTTTTAAGACTGATGCTTGTTGAAGACGTGCTTCAAGCATTGTATATCTAAAATAAATATTAAGTAATAAAACGAATAAATTCTGGAATTATAAGTATTTGTTAAAATTATTCTATAAATAGGCTTTTTTGCCATTTAAACAGAAAAAAATAGAAAATCTATTTAAAAACATTCATATACAAATATTGTGTATTTTTCATCAAGAATCTATGACTTACCTACTTTTTAGATAATTTTTTTTAACAGATTACTTAACGGTTTTGATCGTAACATTTAAAAAAATGAAAAATTGAAAAAAGAGAATAATATTTAAGACAAAAGAAAGGATATTAATACAATTCTTTCAGGAAGATTAAATTAGAAATTTCTATTGTATAGAGTGTTTTTTTTAATAGAAAAAGGCATTAGAAGAATTTGTTTTTGTCCGTTTTTAAAAAAAGCATTTATTGAATTTAGAGTAATTCTTGACTATTTAGCCTTTGTAAGTATTTTCGTGTTTTTATTACTTGAATAGATATGTTTTAGTGACAAACGCGAGTTTGAAATATTATAGAACGTTTTAAAACTACTATTAATACATAAAATGTCAGCTGGCTTTTATAAAGTATAAAATTGTTATTTAAAACTATTTTTTGATAATTGAGTCAAGGGAATATCTTCAGAACAGGATACTCGTTTTACAAATGCAGAGAAAAAACTTTTAAGGAATACAAAATTTCCTGATGAATTCTCTGTTAAGGTTGAAAAATTGAGTTTTTTTTTTTTTTAATATATTTGAACAGGTAGATATGGATAAGGTCAATTTGTCTGTTATGAAGCCTTGGATTACTCAGAAGGTTATTGATTTGTTAGGGTTTGAAGATGACGTAGTCATTAATTTTGCATTTCAAATGATTGAATCTACACGTTTTGTAAGTTTTTTATTTAATTGAAAATGAGTAATAAATGAAGCCTGATCCAAAACGAATCCAAATAAATTTAACTGGTTTTTTAGAAAAAAAAGCATCTCTTTTTACTAAAGAATTATGGGCTCTTTTGCAATCAGCTCAACAAAGTACTGGCGGCATACCAGCTAAATTTGTTGAAGAAAAGAAAGCAGAGCTTCAAGCTAAAAAGGTCTTATACTTTGTTAAATAATTATTTTGTCTTATTTCTATTAGTTGGAAGAGAAGCGCATATCTGAAGAAATGAAAAAACAAAAGGAAAATGATCAAGAAAATGATGAGAGAATAAATGCTATTAGGGAAAGAGAAAAACAATCTAGAGAACATGCTCATAGTAGAAACGAATATCGTTCTCATCGTAAAGATATAAATGAACGACGTAGTCAGAAAAATTACCGTTCTAGATCACGAGATAGCAGAACATATAATCATCGTAGACACAGTTATAGGGTCAGTAGGTCTTCTTCTCGAGATAGACACTTATACGATGATCGGTATTATAAAGAAAACAGATCACGTTCGCGGAATAGAGGCTCATATGACAGAAAACATAGAAAGGACAGAGATATTTCTCGAAATAGAGAGTCTATTGATAGTCGGGGACGTAGTCGTAAAAGAGATAGGTCACATTCTCATGATAGATATCAACGTAGTCAAAAACATCAAAAAGATCATTTATCTCATAGCTCGCAAGTCCGATGTAAGCGTAAAAGCTACAGCAATTATTCTTTTAAAGCATCTGCATCAAGGTCCAGTGAAGATAGTTGTTATAGAAGTACTTCATCTTCTAATCATAATCATCGAAAATACTCTTCGCCTGAAACATATTCATCAAAACGGTCTTCGTCATATGATGAAGAATCTTCTAAAAAACAAACACTGGATTATAAAGAAGAGCGTTTACATCATCGGCGTTCACATTCATATAAAAATGATTATCTTTCAAATTCAAAATCAGATAAACCTTCAAATAATGTTAAAGATGATCATAATGAAAAAGATCGTTCAGATTTAACTGAAAAATCTGTTGAATCGAATTCCAAATGAATTGATTTTTTTATAAAAAGCTTTACGTTTTTCTTGATCGAAAAATAAAAATCTTATATGTACTTGATATAATTTATTAGCATTAATTTTTATAATAGGAGGCTCATTTTTGTTCTATCTAAATGTATATTAATTTTAAAAATATAATTTCTTTTGTATTTTTTATAATAATAATATATATTTAAAGCTTAAAAATAATTTTAATAAGTTGCATTAAGAGTAACTATTGTTTATTTAAAAAGGATTTCAAGATCAATATTTTCTTGTTCAAGAATATCTTTTTTATATGTATCTAAGGGATTTATTTTAGTGTTAATACGTTTCATTACTTCATAAGTACTGATATTGATCTCACTGGGTTTTTTCTGAGAACTCTTTCCATTATTTTTTAAATTTATTCCAAAAGTAGATAAAAAATCTACCATAATTATTTTTTTTGATTTGGAATTCTTGACATTAAACAATTTTGTTTCGAATTCATATATTTTTTCTAAACTTAGCCCTGGTATAGATAAAAGAACATCTTTACATTGTTGAAATTTTCGTTCATGTGCTAAAGTATAAATTTGAATTAGAATTGTGACAATTTCATGATGAATAGAAACTAAATAAGCATCATTTATAGCCATAAGACATGCTTTAAATAAATCACTAGTAACAAAAATACTGATCTGGTTATTTGGATGATCCATTAATGTAGGTACAATATTTTGAAGAATGCGAATTGCATTATGAGAAGTGCGAGTATCATGAAGCATAATCAAGTGCGATAATAAAGGGAGTAATGATCCAAGTATTTCCTTAATAATTAGTTAGAATATAATAAATATTATTTAATAGAGAAAAAACATAATTTTGTAAAACATAAAACATATTTGTTTTTAAATCTTCCGATGTATTTATAGATTGTGCTATTAATTTATCAGTAAAGGTGTATGAAATATTAAATTAAATACATTTGTTTGGTGGTATTAATAGTTCCCTTAATAATTTAACTGTAATAAAAGATAAATGCCTAAGTAATAATTCTTGGATTATTTCATCAGATAAATCTTCGTTTTGGCAAAAGGCGAGATTACTAATAATATTAGGATAATAATAATGAGTAATGAATTATACTTAAAATCATCATTAGATATAAGTTCTTTTTCTTTGATTTTTGACCATTCAGATATGAGTTTTTTATCGATTTCTGTAAATAAATATGGTAATAATACTTTTAAAAAGCTATCTTGATAATCATAAGGGCATTTAATTATCAAAGGAGAAATAGAGAAATCCAGAATGCTTGACCAAGTATATAAAGAAAGACTTTTAATGTCACTAAATAATGATTCAATTATATTTTGAATTAAATTTGGATTTTTATAAAAACAACTTCCAAAATTAGAGAATGATCCAATACTCATATAACTAGAATTATTAGACCAAAGTTTTTTAAATCTAAAAAAATGACCAATATTCTTTATTTTTTCGTAAAAAATGATTAAAGCCATAAGTTAGTTCTATGATTTTATTTTCAGATTTTGAAATTTCTTCATAAAATTCATCTTTAGATATTAAACTAATACCATGAAACCAAAAATTTTCCGAAATACTTTGAGCAATAACAAACTGTAGTTCTGGAGAAAAGAGAGTCCAATTATCAGGATTGTATAATGCATGAATATGTCTGTTTTATTAAATATTATTGTTATTATAGTATAAACAATACCTTATTATATTAAAAATATCCGGAAGAATAAAATTAATAACAGATTCCCATAATTTTAATAGACAATTATTGTTATTATTTTCAAATGATATAATTTTCAAGTGATAATCTGCAAATTTTCGAAATCCTCGAATAGGCCAGAACTTTAAAAATTTAGTAATAAAATACTATGAATTTATTCTATTACCATTTTTCTTATTTCTTTTAGTTCATCTACTAATTGTTTTCCTTGAATATCCAGATATTTAGTATTTAAATCTTGAACAGAATGAATATTTTTTGATTCTATAATTACTTTAACTAGTAAATTTGAAAAAATATACTCACGAATATATTGTGTTATTTTTTGTAACCCCAAAAAGTCAAAAAATCCATCAAATGTTGCTAAATTAAACATTGATTTAGTTTTGTTCCATGTATCTACCAATTTAGTAATAATATATTGAAAATAGTACACTTTCTCGTCTTGAGTATTAGTTGATTTTTGACTATATAACATTTTAATGTATTTAAGCAAATATCTCTATATAAGAACCTGATAATTAGTAAAAAGGTATTAAAAACTATATTTTCATTTTCACTAGATTTTTTATTTATAATTTCACAAATTATTTTTTCAAGTTGAGGATATATATTCTTGTTTTATTAGCATAAAAAAAAAAATTATAATAATACCCATAATAAATCAGATAATTCCATTGCAAGTCTAAGGAGTTCTTGACCTGATCTTCTACGTAACTCGCGAATTGTTTGTACTACATCATCAAGAGAATTATCGGGATAACGGTATACAGTAGCTGATATCGTCTACTATATAAATATATATGATGCAAAACAATTAAAATATACTTTTTCCAAAACTGGTATAAGAAATTCTTTTTCTTCAAAAGAACATAGAAACGTTACTAATATTTGAACCTGGAGACTTAGTATTAAAGGTGCCTGAATTATTAACTATGAAATTAATGTTTTATCCAATAACCTTAATATCCATATCGATTATTTTTTTGAACCAATATTTCAAAAGAGACGAAAAGTTTTTTTTTAAATCATTCTATAACTATTAAAGAATATTCAGTATTAGATTGTACAAACATTTGGATGTTCGTTTTTTCTATCTAGTGTTTTATACCCTTTTAGTACAGCTTCTATAAAAGTAAAATTACTATCATAAAAAAGATAATCCGGTGTTTTTTTTTTAGAAGTTGTTTGATTATTATTTATAAAACTAGAATATGTTTTAAAAAATTTTTCAACATGTTGCTGGGCATAAGATAAACAATCTTTTGTCTATATTATTAGTAATTTATCTTTTAAAAAATAACTCTTACTGGAATAGAAAATATTATCCGTATAAGATCTACCATAAATCTTCGATAATTTCCACAAAACACATGTATTTCTGAAACATTTTCAATATCGTGATTTAAAAATTTCATTTCTATAGAATTTTTTAAGAATGTTTGTTGAGCATTTTCATACTAGAAATGATTAATAAAAAAACCTAAAAATTTTATTTTTATACTCTTATTAACCTATTTGATGCAGTATCAAGTAGACAGGGTAATATTGATACAACTGCTTCTTCTTTATTTAAAGATGATTTCAATAATGCTATCCAAAAAGGTTGAGATATAGATGATACGACAAGTGATGGGTGCTTAGTAGTAGATATAATAAGATCTAAGTATACATTTAAATGATGAAAAGTATTTTGTTTGTAATTATTCAAAATATGAGAAGTTCCAAGAGCAATAATAGTCTATAAAATAATTAAAAATTATGAATAAAATTGTTTTATACTTCAACTATTTTTTTGAGAAATGAATATTTTTTTTCGTCAAAATGAGTATGTTTTTCTGATTGAATTTGAGAAAATATATCTTCAATTACAATACGTAAATGGTTTAAGTTACTAGGTTCAAAGAAAGAATAAATTATTTCTAAGAGTTTATTTTCAGAAGATAATGGACGAACAAAAAGAGTATAAAGACAATCTGAAGAAGCCTTTTGAGTGTTACATTCGAATTTCAAAATAAATCAATATACCATTTTTATTTCTATGTTTCCGTGTAATAAAGCAAAACATAATTGGTTCAATATTTCAGATTCTAAAACTGATCTAGAAGAATTAGATTATATGTTATAAGAATAATTGTTCTTGCTCTGTTGGGATCCAAAATAGGCAGCTTTTTAAGCAATTTAAAATATGTATTATATCGGTTTCACTTATTTTTGGAAAAGACGACGCATTAATGATGTTAAAATAACTTTCTATACTTTTTTTGAAAATGTTAAGCCATCCTAAATTGTTTTCACGGATTTTAAGTGGATTGGGTAGATCGTTTGGATATATGGTTTTTAAAACGTTCGAAGAGCAAAGAATAGAGATTATACCGACCGATAAAGTAGGCATTTTTGATAAATGAGAATTGTCATTGGATTGAAACACGTCTTCGATCAAATCCAATATTGTATTTAGTGATATATTTCGAGCTGTAGGCTATTGTTTGTAAGTTTTTTTAAAAAAATTAGAAAACACACAGAAGCTAAAAACATATTTTGTAATGTTAAATCTATATCGTACAAAATAAAAATCCAATCCTTTTTTACTATTTTGCTAAGTATTTGAGATATTTTTTGTTTAATATAATGTGCCTCTTGCTGTTCATGAGATGTACCATCACGAACGCCCTAAAAATATTAAAAAATTATATTTATTTTGGAAAGCACAACATCATAACACATTTTTACTATGTAGTTTCGTATATATATCTTATCCTCATTTGTATATGTATCCCAATTATATCGTATATTATGCTCAATCAAATTTAATCCGAAATGTCGGAGCGTATCCATTTGCTGATCTTTGAACTGTGTAAGTTCAATTCCATATTTCCATGAATTTTCATTATTTTTTATTTCATCTAGAAACTGTTATGTATATTAGAAGAGTTCTACGTTTTACTAGGGCTGTTTTAGTGTTTCATTTTTGTAGAGTTTTTGCAACCCTTTGAGAAATGTCTAATATGATTTTCATCTTCAAGTTTGTTTCCTGATTTCTTAAAATGATTTTTATTCTTTTTTCCGAGTATTTACTTTTAATTCTTTTTTATCTTACCTTTTGTGCTTCATCTCTTGTTGTTTTATTTGCGTCTACTGTATAAATTATTGACAACGCTGATACCAATCGATCCAATTCTGAGAATTCTAAGTTTATATATATCAAGTTTTTTGAAAACATACCTTCTTTGCTCATTTAATCAAGATAAAGTCTATAATACTTATGAGTCTATCAACTCTTTTATACAAATATTTTCTTGAATATGAAGATTGAAAAGTTAACTTCAGTGTATCTTTAAAATTCCATTTCTTTAAATAATCTATTTCTAAATTGTTTTATTATTGTTTAATTCTATTTTACATGTTTGTAGTTTTTTTTCGAAATTTTATCTTATCGAAAAATTGAGTACAGAAATAAAGTTTATATATTATAATAACTATATTTATCTGTTTAGACAATATTATTAAGGGATATACTGGAGTTTTTTATATATAATTTTAATATATTTGCACTCTAACTTTGTACTTAAGACTCAATTTTTAGTATAATATTTAGCTTTCATGCTATATGTTTAGATGTAACTTGAATTAAACTTTATTCAGTGTTTATCTGAAATTTATTTATTATTTAGTTATTTCTATCATGTTTCTATAAAGTTTTTGATTAGTTATTAGGCGATTGAATATATCTGGACACTATATGTGCGTGTTATCGGTTCACGTTGCATTAGTGCTCTATATTCTCTTTTTATCAGTTTTTGATTTTCATTTTTTGTTTGATGGATAAGGCTTTTTATGCTCAAAATGCAGTATCAGAAGTGTTAGAAGGAGTAGATGGAACTTCTACTTCTTCCAATTTATGGCTAAATCTTTTGAATTCTGTTTCTTCTGTAAAAAAAACACCTTTAAAGCATATTGTTTTGCTTGGTTGGTATTTTGATGATTAAAAGGCGTACGGATTTAATTGTATTACAGGAGGGGAGAATAAGGGTGCAACTGAGTGGATTTCTTCTTTAAAGCGAGCAGCTGGATCGTATAATGGACAGGATTCGTTTACACGAGATAAGGAGCAAATAGTACCGCCAACGTATCTTATGGATTATACGTATATTGAGCTTGTGGATCCGGATCATGGGGGTAAGATCTGAGAAAGTGGTTGTTATGGATTTTTTCATTTAACATGTGAAACAAGAGATATTAGCTGTTATCGAAGTGTATTTGATTTCAGAACTTCATTTGGTATCCGAAGCGATACTTTCTGAGCTTTTTACGCCAGAGTTTGTTGAAAATTGTATTGTTTGTATTTTGCTTGATTGGACGAGTCCTTGGCAATGGTTGCATGAAATATCAGCTTGGATACAGCTATTAAAGAAAGTTATTGGGAACTTTAAATCAAATTCAGAATTGTATGATCAAATTGTTTTCAAATTGACGGAAACATGCAAGTATATGAGGCTTATGAATTTATTCCAGTAACATGCTTATTTAGGGAAACATAAAATACAAACTTATGGTGAAAATTTAGTGCCGGTACCTAGTAATCCCGATTGTAATGATCAAATAACCATTCCTTTGGAATCGGGTCAATATGATGAACCTTTAGGGCTACCATTGATATGTGTTTGTAATCACGTAATACTCTTTCTTTTTAAATTAATCAAGTTTTGATGTTCTAGATATAGTCGGAATATATGGCTACGATTGAAAAGGATGAACTTTTGAAAGACGAACATTTCGATTTTATCCAACAATTCCTTAGAACGATACTTATGAAACGTAGTTGAATTCATATTATTTCTTGTAAATATTAATTCGATGCTAGATGGCGGTGCGCTTTGTTATACGTCTGATTTATATCCACATACGCTAAATAATTTATTGTATACTATTCTTGATAGTTTTTTTCTTTCTCCCCAGATATATATGGACATAAGTTCTCCGCCTAAAGCAAATGTAATTGATAGAGACCAGATATTTGTACCTGCAGGTTGGGATTCATGGGGGAAGATTCGTATTATCCAAGATGGATTTGATGTGGAAGGGGTGGCTGAAGGATGGCGTTTGGATTTGAATTCGGATGTGAATAAAACAAAGCTCGGTGCCATACAAATCTACGAAGAAGTGATATCGGATTATAGAAAAGTGAATGATATGCAAGTATCAATAACGGCTAACCGTTTTAGAATAATTCTTTCGATTCTTCAGAGACGGAAAACCTAGTAACAGCATTGCCTTTGCAAGAATTCCTTTTAAATCAATTGAATATGACTGAAACAAAAACTCAGACACAAGAAAGTCCGACAAAGAGTAAGAAAAATATTACAGATACACAAGTGCCTCCGGCTCAATTAAATTTGTGTGGTATGAAGTTAGATACCGATGAAGTGGTTGAAAAACTTCAAAAATTGAGAGTAAGTTGTGTTTTTTTTTTCTTTTCTAAAGTGTCAAGGATATGCGTTCTGAAAGCAGTTCGCCCATGCTGACTCCAGACAAGTCCAGTGATACTCTCTCAAGAACAATATCACCCTCACTTGCTAAAGACCAGAGTCAAAACGAAGCACTTGCTAATTTTTTCCAAAGTCTGCTTAACCGTAAGAAAGAAACCACGTAAATGGATCAAAGAGGTGTCTTTTTGAAAAAAGATGCTTTCAACAGCCACTCTTCTAAAAAAGGCTAACGATATACTTTAAGTGTAGAAAAAACATGAAATCATATACAGGACTATGGTTACAATTACAGAAAAAGGCTTAGACCCTCCGCTATATCACGATATAGATTAACTATTTCTATTCAATCAAGTGCATTGTATATTCATATATATATGTCTCTATCCGCGTATGCCTTATTTTGAATTTCCACTCGCTTCATTTGCTTCGCCATTCTTTTGTTTTTCTGATAATTTTAGCTTTATATATGTTTCTCGAGCACGATCATAGTTTTCCCGATGTGCACTGAGCTGTAAAAAGATATTGACAAAGAGTATACGGACTATATCTTACTTTAAACGCATGCATTCTTTCATTCGACGCTTTTCTTGCCGGCATTTCCACACTATGGAAAATGTTTTCCCTGTCGCACATTCTGCAAACCCTGCGCTATCTAAGCAATCGCCTTGCTTGTTAGTAGTCACCGACTTTGGATATCCTCTGAACACACTGTATGCAAGTTTTTTTGGAAAATCTTGCGTACTTCTTCTTCGTCACGAAAAGACCAGTGTTTAAGCATATTTCCTCTATTCCACGTCTTTCTCCCAACAAACCATTTAGACTGCGGCGTCCGTTACGGTGTTCGTTACGGCGTTCGGGTTCACTGAGTGCAATCGATAATACGCCGTTCGAAGACCGTTCGAATACACCGTCGTGGGCTAAAATATAGCGCTGCCTTGCACGAGATAACAGACAACGACCATTCAGACAGTCACACTCCACACGTATATTCCATGTCTATTCTGCACGCGTGCTGTATCCATTTGCCCACCGTATCGCCAAGCGTGCTCGTCTGCAGCATGTGTCACGTGACACAACGTGACTCTCACGTGCCCACTGCAACGTAAAGCTGAGCGTGAGTAAAATGCGCAACCACGAGCGGATTCCGAGCTGTCTGCGTCTGCCAAGCGTCTGAAGCGGGAGAAAATGGGAGAAAAGGCTCTGAAAGACGACCTAAAGGAACACTCTGAAGCAGACACCGTCCTGGATGTATTGAATGGTCAGCCGTCGCTGGATGAGCTGCTGCGGGCTCTGGAGACCGTGGCCCACATGCTGGACAGGGGGGACACCAAGGCCCACCAGAGCGCAAGGATAACGGGTATTCTCGTGGACTGCATCTTGCCTGCCTACCTGCCGCTGGTTTTCTCCAAAGAAGCATCCCCGGTCACCGAAAAACTCAAAAGGTCCCTCTGCACCTGCCTGGGCGGCATTGCTGGTATTAAGGCTGTTCTTATGAGGATCAAAAGCCTCTCCGAGGCACAGGGCACCGCATTGTGCACTGCAATGCGCTCCCCTGCATTCTTCTGCCACATCGGCGAGCTCCTCGCCATCCTCGAGGAAATCCTCTGCTCCGACGGGAACCTCATACCAACGTGGCTGCGTTGCCACCCCACCGTTCCTGCACCGGCCGCTGCGGCTCTAGACACTCCGGTTGCACCGAGTGCACCGGTTGCAGACGCACCGGAGTCACCGGAGCCCTTACCGGAGCCCTTGGCCGTTGCTTCCCCGCCTTCCCTCGCTTGGAACGAGTATGTCTCCCTTGTCGCCGGCGGTCGCCTCCTCGGCATCGCCTCCCAGGGACTACACACGCTCTGCCGGCACACTGACCCCGCCGCTCGCCCTGTTTTCTGGGTCGCCGACGGCTCCGCCTACGCTCGCCACTTTGGACGCGAGATGCTCGCGTCCCTCTCCCATCCCTCCTTTCGCAGTGACATGCTCCACGCCTTCTCCTCTCTCCTCAGCCGCTTCTTTTCCCTGGGTTACACCGGTATGCCCACCCTAACCCTTCCCTAACCCTTACCCTAACTTCTTGCCCTAACTGCCCTAACCTGCCAGCCCAGCTTGTCGCCTCGCTTTTCCGCGTCGATCCCCCCGCTGTGTGCCACGCGGACCTGCTTTCACTCCACGCTGTCGCCCGCCTACTCCCGCCCGCCCAGAAGACCCTTTATGTGCATACACTCCTCTCCTCGCTTGATGCCGCCCGCGCTGAGTGCCTCACTGAGTGCCTCACCGCGCTCTGCGCCGCCGACCCCGGCCTTGCGCCTATCCTTGCGCGCTGGCTCCTCCGCCCACCCGCTGCTTCCCTCGCTCTCCGGAAAGCCGTCGCCTCCTCCTACCATGCTTCTCTCGGTGGTACTTCACGCTCCCTAACTCTGCGTTGAGCCGCGTTGACGCGTGCAGACGCCGCCGCACACGACACGCTACGCGCGCTCTGCACGCGCTGGGCATCGACGCTCTTTATTGCTCACGCGCCGCTCCCCGCCCAGGAAGGTCTGTTGTCCCGGGTGCTCGGTGCTGCGCCTGTGCTGACGGCTTAGCCCTCACACAGACTCTCCTTCTGCTCGCTGCCCGGCTGCCGCCGGGTCTCCTGCACGCCTTCACCCACTCTGCGCCGTACCTCGACGGGCTCACCAATCGGCTTGGCGCTTCTTCAGAGCGTGCACGCTTCCTCGGCATGGTCGTCGGCGAAGCCCTTACGAGGCGCCTGTTCCCGTGCAGCCCGCAGCAGTGGCTAACCTTTGACATCCGCGCGCCTGAGGCCGACTGGTGGAGGAGCATCGCGCTCTCCACGCCCGCCGAGGCGCCGCAGCCGCCCGACGCCAGCGCGTGCCCGCAGCCAGCGAGCACAAGCGTCTCGACGGACTCTGAGTCTGCGGACTCTGACGACGACCCAGCCCTTGTCTCTGAGAAGGTTGCAGCGCCTGTGTATGTACCCCCGCGTGCTGGGCGCTGCTCACTGCCCAGATATGTACGTGATCTCGTCGCGATGCTCAGGGACGCGTCCTACCCGCGTTTGCGTGCGGCACTGCACGCGGCGCCGGCGCTGATCCGCCGGAAGGCGGCCTTTGGCACCGAGCTTACGCACCATGCGTTGGCGCTGGCGCGCCTGCTCGCGGCACTTAATGACGAGTTTGGGCTCCGGGGGTTTGTCGAGCACAAGCTGGCAGCGCTGACAGCGTTGGTGGCCGCGTGCCCGGACCCCGTTGCCCCGTACCTGGTTGACGAGTACTTTACGGGCGACATCTCTGTGCAGCAGCGATCGATGATTCTCTCTGCGCTGGCGATGGGCGCACACGAGATTGCCGCGGGCGACGCGCAGGCGCCCTTTCCCTCGCGCAGCCTCCCGCCAACGCTCCATGCGCACTATCTCGCGCTCGACGCGCCGCGCACGCCGCGTATACACGGTATGTCACGCACACACAGCGCACGCACTGTGCACACAGCCGGCCATATGCCATGCATGCATGTGTTGAGTGCGTTGTATGCGCACTATATGCGTCATGTATGCGTCATGTATGCGTCATATATGCGTTGTATATGCGCTGTGTATGCAGTGTGCTGTATGCGTTGTGTGCTATACACACGATATATGCTATGCGCGCACTGTATGCTACACGCGTTGTATGTACGCGCTATGTATACTGCATACAGTGTATGTATAGCATATAGTGCGTGCAACGCATGCAACACGTAGAGTATATACAGATACACCGCGTTATATGCGCTGTGCGTGCAGTGTATGCATCTTGTATGCAGCGCCAGTGTGTATGTGTGCAGCCGTGCAGTACATATACGCAGCACTGCACAGCGCATACAGTGCGCTGCACACACAGTGCGTGCATTGTATGCATACTATACATATACTGCATATATATGCTATGCATATATGCAGCATATACTGTCCGCATATGTTATGCAGTGTATACACATACATAGTATACGCATCGTATATGCACTGTGTATGCGTCATACAGTACAGAGTATATGCTACTCTGCCGACTACTCTGCCGACTATATGCGCCGTAGATACGAAGCATATGCGCTATATATGTATTATATGCGCGGTATATGCGCACTGTATGCGCTGTGCACTGTGCCCCGCGCAGCGTGTATACGCTGTGTATGCGGCATAAAGCATCTGTTGTACGGTGTATGCTAGAGGCGCTGTGTACATATTGCATAGTACGGTGTATATGCGTGTTGTATGCGTAGTGTATGCGTGTTATATGCGTCGTATATACGGTGTATACATTGTATGTGCGGCGTATGCACAGCAGTGTGTATGTATAGCATACAACGTACAGTACGTGTGTAGTGTATGTGCGCGGTGTGGTGCGCGGTGTGTGCAGTGTGCGCTGCTGTGCATGCAACGCGCATATAGCGTATACATGCGGCATATATGTGTAGTCTATAAAGTAATACCCGCATACTATGCAATGTATGCGCTGTGCGTATACACTATACACCGTGTTGTGCATTGTATGCTATACACTGTATGTATGCGTGTTGTATGCACACTCTGCGGAGTGTATGCGTTGTGTATGCGGAGTGTATGCATTCTGTGTACGCTGTGTGCATGATCCAGGTGGGCTGACGGCACAGACACACGCGACCCCGACATACGCGGCCGTGCGCCTCCGCGGACACAGGGCGGCCCCCTAGAGGCCCGTGCCGCGCCGCGCGCAAACCCGCTCGCGCCCGTCGCCGCGCGCTGCTTCCTCCGCCCGCTCCTCGCCCACTGCGCGCTCAGCACCCGCCTCTGGCTTCACACAGACACTCCGTCCATGTAGGTCTAGGTCACGTGCACCCATGCCCACACTAACCGCTAGGCTCGGCGACCCGCTGTTGCTCAGCCAGCTCGCACAGACAGTCGGCGTGCTTGCCGCCGCTGTGCCCACGGACGCAGAGACTGCTGCTGACGCTGCTGCGCTTCTCGCCGCCCTGCAGACACACCGCGACGCGGAGGTCTGCGCCGCTGCTGCCGCCGCTGCCGCCGTGCTGCGCGCACAGTCACGTGTATCCACGTGACCGGAAAGATTTTCGGCGGGGCTGCCGCTGCGTCGCGCAATGGCGGCCGACGGGCCAGAGAGAGGGGAACGAGGCGTCTGTAGAGGACAGGAGGCGCTCAGAACGGGGACAGAGGGGACAGAAGGGTGTGCAGCAGGGGGCTGTTCGGAGACAGGAGCGGTGGGGGAACGAGAGGAGACGAGCGGGGCAATGAGCCGATCGCCGGGAGAAGGAGCACGGCTGGTGATTCGGCGGGGAATTCCACGGGACGCAACAGGACGGGAAGTGGCCGCTCTATTTTTCTTTGCACGGGGATGCACCGGGACAGCGGTAGGGCGGTTGGGCGCCGCAGTGACAGAGGAGGGTACGGAGAAGTCAGGACAGAGTCAGGCAACAGCATATTTTGAGAGTAGAGGAGCCGCACGAGCAGCACAGGCAGCGCTGGAGGCGCGGGGATGGGCCGGGATGGGAGGAGAGGCGCTCGAGACAGAGATCCAGGCGGTGCAGGGAGAGCCGGCGCCGGGCGGGATGCAGCCGGCGCAGGCGGCGGCGCACCACCCGCAGACAAGCCGGCTGGCACAGTACTGCGGCGGAGCGTTAGACCCAAAGACGGGGGACTGGATGCAGGCGGTATGCGGGGTGCCGTACGCGTATGGAGTGTATGGGGGGCACGGGGGGTCGCCGGGGCACGGAGAAGGCAATGCAGAGCTATGGCCGGTGTCGCCGGGGTGTGTAGGGAGTGTGGGGAGCAGCGGAGCAGCAGAAGCAGAGGAATGGCGGCTCCAAGCGGAGGGGACGGCGGGGCAGTCGCCGCGGCATAAGGGGGAGCGGCAGCGGTTGCTGCCGCAGGGACAGACAGGGCACTTTGTGCCGAGCTCACCAAATGGATATGTAGTGAGCCCGAAGATGCAGCCGCTGGTAAGCGGGATGGGAGGGTTACAGCTAGGGCAGCTGGGACAGGTCGGGCAGGTAGGGCAAATAGGGCAGATAGGGGGACTTGGGGGCGGACAGCCGTATTTTGTGAATGCAGTGAGCACGGGGTGTGGCTACGGGCTTGGAAGCCATGTGCGGGGGGGGATAGGGGGAGTGGCAGGGGTAGGAGGGGTGGGAGGGGTTGCAGGGGGTGTTGGGGGGGTAACGGGGGTTCCTGGGGGGATAACGTTTAGCACGAACCCGGCGGACCAGAATCCGCCGTGCAATACGCTATACGTGGGGAATCTGCCTTTGAGTACGTCGGAAGAAGAGCTGCGGAACCTGTTTTCGCGGCAGCCGGGGTACCGGCGGCTGTGCTACCGGACAAAATCGAATGGGCCGATGTGTTTTGTGGAATTTGAGGATGTGGGATATGCAATGAAGGCGCTGGGGCTGCTACAGGGGGTATGTTTGTCAAGTTCGGTGAAGGGGGGGATTCGGCTGAGTTTTAGCAAAAATCCTCTGGGGGTGAGGAGCAGTGGGGGGGGGAATGTGCTGGTGGGCCACTATGGGGTGCAGGCGAATGGGTTTTCGCCATCGCTGCATGCACACTCGGGGTTTGCGGTTCCTGCGGTTCCTGCGGTTCCGTCGGTTGCGTCGGTTCCGTCGTCGGTGTGGACGGGGGTGAATCAGCAGTTGCTGGGCAAGTGAGGGCATTTTGCATAGAAGGTGTGGCAGTGTGTGGCAGTGTGTGGCAGCGTAGGAGGTGTAGGGTTATATGTATGGGATATGTATGGGATATGTATGGGTGCGTATAGGGATATTGGAAAAAAGACAAAGGCGAGAGAAGCCTGCATACCTGTTGTGATGTTTGTTTGTCAGTGTCTGGTCAGTTGTCAGTTTCTGGTCAGTTTCTGGTCGGTGTTAGACAGTATATCCTATGTATCTTTTGGTGATAATTGCTCGCATGCACATGTTAACATTTTGGAGTCTTAGCTAAGCATTGCAATATGTTTTGTTTATTTTTGAATATTATTTTGTTTTGTTTTAGGTATTCTTTGCTATATATATGATACATTTATGATACATTGGACCCGTCCAATATGTGTACGTGGTGTCCGTGTACGCCCATGTCGTATACTTTATGCCGCTTTTGCAGGAGCGTTGCCAGAGCGACAGCCAACGTCAAAAAAAATCAGAGATGCGCAGCAGGCGATCTTTTGGTCTAGATGGGCTGTAGACCCGGGTTAAAAGGATGTCTTAGGCAATGACGTCGTCTTTTCGTTCACTGAAAATCTCTTTTTCCGCTTTTTTTTCAAAATCAATGTCCTTTTCCTCGTTTTCTGATCTGAATATCAAACAGGTGATTTCTGATATTTGCACAAAACCTGCTTTCCGAGACCTGTTTTCATATGACTCTGAGAGAAAAAGAAATAACAAAAGGCCTTCTGACAAATGGCGTTTTTTACTGCCCATTCAGTATTCGTATCATTCACCACAGTATCCGATTGTATTGTGTCATGGTAGGGTGTTTTACTTGTGGGTTTTATCTTACAAGAGACAAGGGCTGGGTTTTTTTGAAAAGATTCCGTCGTCTTTGCCAACTTTTCAGCTTCATTATTGGGGATCTATTTTTGAGTCTTTGAAAAAACTTGGATGTCAGGTTTATGTCACCAAAGTGCCTAGTACGGGTACGATTGCACATCGTGCCAAAGAACTTAGCAGACAACTTTCTTCTATGGTTAAGGGAAAGCGTGTTAATCTTGTTGCTCACAGTATGGTACTTTTTTCCAAGTGCTAAGGCATGTGGTTAATCATGTTCAAGGGAGGGTTAGATTGCCGGTATTTGCTCTCGAAGCGTTTGTACACAAACTATTACCCTGTTTCCCTGACGACTTTGTCATGTCCTCACCGTGGATCGCCTTTCATGGATTGGTGTCGAGACTATCTTGGATTAGGCCGTGTTTTTCCTCATACTACTGGTGTTGTAAAAGAGAATCCCATGCTACAAGATACACAAGTTTTGGCTAGTCCTTGCAAAAAGAATGAAAGCAATTCGTCTATTTCTTCGACTATTCTAACGAGTATTATGTTTTCTCAAACAATGGATACACCTGCGTATGCTAATTTAACAACTACGTATTTGAAAGAATCCTTTAATCCGTTCATCTTGGATTCGTTAGAAGTGAAATACTATTCGTTTGCTGCTGTTGCGCCTTCTGTGCCAATATGGCATCCTTTATATCTTCCAAATCATGTTGTTTCTCAAGCAGAAGGGATTCGTAATGATGGTTTAGTCAGCGTTGAAAGTGCTACATGGGGCAAATTATTGGGCATACTTGATTGTGATCATTGGGAGTTACGGGGTAGAAGAATAGGTGTAGGAACAGGATTTAGCAAACGAAATTTTGATGTAAATGATTTTTATTGTGCTTTAGCAACGCATTTGTGGAACGAAAGTTTTTAGATGTATTTATATTTACAAAATTCTAATAATCCCTAATCATTTTAATCCACGTTCTGATTCTTGTAAAATTATTTATTCAGGTTTTCATTTATTGAATCATAGAAAAAGTTAAAAATTACTCGGAATTCGTTAGAAACTTGGGAAACTGAAATTTATATCATAGAAACTGGTCTATATTGATATAACGTCATTTAAAACAAGTCATTTTAATATATACAATGATATCCCTTCTAGGGATCTTTCTAAAATGTTTTTCATTAACATGGTGATTTTTTAAGTTTTCTTAATAAATCCAAGGGAATATGTTCATGTTTCACTCTTGCCTCCATTTGCTTAAAACAGTCTTTATTAGAAACGTCCACTTTCCCATGAGAATCTGTTTCCTGTCCTTTGTCTAAAGCACAACATTCTATCCGTTGAACAAATTTAGAATTTAGTACTTCTTCTGCCGATAACCGCTCGTTAGGATTAGGATTAAGCATTCTATAAATAGTATGCTGAGTACTGGCTTTCCAATGCTTAAAAGGAGCATATGCGGGAAGTTTTTCATCCTTGACTCCGTTCGTAGTACAGACAGGAGAATACAGTGGAGACATATCTGTAAAACTTGAAATAGAGGGTACTGATGTTGACAAAGGCAAGGCTGAAGAATCAACACTAGTTTGATGTGATGCAAAATTCGATGATAATGAATCTAAGGAATCGATAAATTTTGCTCGAAACTTTTTAAAAGCATCTAAATAATTGTCATAATGCTTATCACCAGGCATTGCTTTAACAAAAAGTGTCCCACCCCAGGTGAGACAAAAATAAACAATTGCACAAGACCAAATATCTACCTTAAAGCCATCATATTCTAACACATGTTAAAATGATACATATCGGAGAAAGCGAAGTGATGCTACCTTTTTGTGTAAATACTTCGGGAGCAATATATGCGCCACTTCCACATATCCCACGGCATTTTTTGGCTTTTTTTTCCCCCTCTGGGGAGTCTTTATTAAATAATACGTCACTTGTACCAAAATCTGTAATTTTAAGAATACCGTTGTAATTAAGAAGTAAGTTTTCAGGTTTAATATCTCTATGCGCAATCCCCTCAGAATGCAAATAATAAATCCCCCGAAGTAGCTGTTTAAAAAGACAGTTTCTAAGGTTTGGTGCCATTTCTTTCGGCTCTGGCTCTGCAGTCCAGTCGACCATGGATTTAATAAGAGAATGAAGGTCGCCCGCGGCACAAAATTCCATTATTTCACACCATGAGTCTGCACTGAGAGCATGATCATCTAAACAAATATCGACGGCACGCACAACGTTCGGATGGTCAACTCGCCGTTGAATTGTCCATTCGCTGGCAAGTTTTTTGAGATAATCTTCTTTTCTTTCAGACCTGCTTTTCTTCCTGAAAGTTTTCACTGCAAAAAGACCAGAATCTCCACCAGTGCTTTCAATGCTTGAATGACATCCAGGTTTAAGGCTAACAACTTGAACCGTAGCTGTCGCTCCAGAGCCAATATCTTTTTTCCGAAACCCGTGATGTGTGTTTCGATAAATATACCGCTCCTTCAATTTAATAATGCCTTCTCGGTTAATAAATTGCTGGATCCCCATGCTTAATGAACGGTTCCTGAAAATCTTTGATTTCAGCCCTGATCCAAGCTCTGCACAGGCATGGTTTAAAGCATCTGAAGAATCTGTATATATCGGCTCTGTAGCTTCAGGTGCTCCACTTTTAATAGATTCAGGAATAATAGGACAACAATCATACATGATCCCCTTTGGTGATAAAGGCTCACTATGTCCATTGATTTTATGGTGATTCCTGCGGTTATTAAAAGGCTCTGATGAATTTCTACTATGATGTAGTCCCGGTATATCTATAAGATCTGCATCTGATGACGGAAAAAATGAAAAATCATCAAACGGCTCGATTTCTTTTGTAAGACCGTCAGATATACATTCTGTCTCTGTATTCAATGAAAAGGATCGTTGATGTTCAATCGATGAAATAAACATATTGGATTTTCCTGGAAACCCCAGTCCATGAAATGATCTAGAAAACGTGGTTCCATTTTCTGCTGCAGTTGATACAGCCAACGATGTAATTGCAGACATTGATGACGTTTTCTGCAAGAGCTTAGGCCACGGTGATGCTCTTTCCAGTATTGTTGATGTGTGTTTAGACATACTATGCAGGTCTCCCGTTTCTTTTCTCATCTGTGGAAGATGTGTTACGAAAGCTGACATAATTTCATGACTATATGCTCTTCAAACTTCTTCTATACTGGTTTCAAATACTGAGATTTCCACTTGTTGTGTCCAAATACCGTCTTATATGCGTTTTTTAGTGACCTTTAGATCGCCGATCTCAAATACAAAATCAAATATAAAAAAATCTTCTATATTTTTAGAACTTTAGTGCAATTCCAATATATAACTACGTATTTCTTCTAAAAATGTTTTTTTCTGTCCTTTTTATTCCTTATTTCTTTGTTAAAAATGATTGCTTTTCACTGAAAAATATGCTCTTTCGATCTCTTCATGTGTCCTTGTTTGACTTCCCGCGTATCGTGTTGCCTAGGTAACTCTAATGTCGCTTTTACTATGACTGTTTTGCCAAAATATACAGAAAGATGCTTTTAAAATGTTTTTAATGTTCTTTTTTATATTTAAAAATTATGTATTCTTAGTATTAATTTACTTTAATGCTTTTTACAAGAGTCAAATACTCATATAGTGCTCTGCCTTGTCTCCAAAATGAGGCTCGGATCATGTGAAGGAGCTATTGTCGGATCTAATCAGTATTCTGCATAGGGCTAAACCCTAATATATAGAATGTAGAGAGAAATGGTAAAAAAGATGGTAAAAAAGAGGAAAAAAAGGACAAAAGAAGCGTAGAACATGTTATTGAAAGCATAAGAAGCTTTTCTTAATTTTTTTTTACCTTAGACGTATTTGAGTATTTTTAGTGAGCTATTTTAGTGGAGTTTTGTAAATTGGACTTTGATAAAGTAGTTAGGGTTTAACCCTACGCAAATGGAGAGGGTAAAGCGGATGTGCTTAAAGTTTGTATGGGAAAGATAAAATAGTATATCTGATTATATTAGATATTAAGACGTGTATGGATACAGAAGAAGTATATGATAAGTGCATTTTGGAGGGGGTTGTAAAAAAAATGTTCGGAGTAAAGTTAGAATCGATCGATCTTAAGAGTAAATTGGATTTATTGATGTTTAAAAAAATGTATGAAAGATGCAGTATAATCGATAAAAGAATGTAAATAAATGTAAAAAAGTGAATTATGAGTCTGGAGCAGCGTTTTGAGAAGAAACTGCAAGACGTGCTTCAAGACTGCGAAGGGCTTCTTCTTTGGCAAGAAGTTGCTGGCGTTTTTCGCTGATTTCTCGTTGAACTTTGAGCTCTATTTCACGGAGTTTTTCTTCCTCACGGCGTAATTGCTCTTCTTTTAAACGTACGGATTGGGTTGCAAGATCTTCTCGACGAATCGATATATCACTAAAGACAAATGAGCAGCTTTATGAAAAAGAAGTTGAATATACGCAGAGACATCAGCGGATTTACTTAATTTTTCGGTACGATAGTTTTCATATAAAAAATCGTGAGTGATTTCCTTTAAATCACATAGATGTGTGCGCAAAAGTACTGATTTTACTACCAAGAAGTCGGAATGAGCCGGATTCTCAACTAGATACGTGAAGATTTGCCTTCTTGTATGGAATTGTATACCTTCGACAATCCCCCATGGATATTGCCGTGCTCTTACACGTCGTCCATTATATTCAATGATATCTTCGCTTCCTACAATAGCAAATGGCATCATGCTACGCAATTCTGCGTTTTCTTCAACAGTCTCTTCGTCGTCTTCTTCAACATCATAAGGGAAATTGTAAATAGGGATATTATAATGATCTATGTCTTCCATGATTAATTTTTTATTTTCTTGCAATTCCGCCAATGTAAGTGTGTCTGCCTTGCCAATTACTGGAATAACATTTACTCTTGGAGATAAACGACGCATTAATTCAATATCGATTTCACGAAGTCCATGTCCCGTTGGTACAATAAAATATAGTAAGACGTGCACTCTGTTATCTCGAAAACGTGGATTGCGTTTAATCCTTGATTCTTCTGCCAATATATTATCATATTGTCGCTCAAGGTAAGCTAAAATCTCTCGAAAACTGTAATATTATGTATGAAATAATAAACAAGGTATTCATACTGCATCTCATTATTAACACTATCTCCAAATGAAGGACAATCCACAATTGTTAAGGAAATACGTGTTCCATCTTCTTCAAGATCTTATGTAATCAGCTTTACTTATCACTATTTATTTTCATTATTACCTACTGTTACCGGATGAATTGAAATCTCATCTTCAAGATGTGCATTTGCTGGATCATCTACTTCTTTATGCTCCATAATATTTTCATTACAAAGAGTATTAATAAATGTTGTTCTTCCTGTGCCACTTGCACCAACAATCATTATAGTAAATTGAACTCCTTTTTTAACATTTTTCCGGCTACGTTGGTTCTATTTTTTTAATTTTTAGTAAAACACATTAAATTGTATTTAAAGGTTTATTTACTGCTGCTGCAGATGCCATTTTACTTTGATTTTCTTATAGAATTTCTTCTTAGTTGTGTATTATTCGTTAAATCATGTACGTGTCCGAAGTGAGCGGGATAGAAATATGGCTGAAAGTATAAAATAAAAAATGTTTTATGAATAAATATTATATATATATATATATATATTCTATTTAAATATTTCAATTGATTGTATTTGTTTTTGTAATTTTGTTTTATAATTTTATATTTTTGTTGATTTGGTATATTTTATCGATGTCTTTGTATTTTTTATGATTGAAGAAATGGATTGAAAAAAGAGTTTTTGTATTTTAAACAATGCTTTTTAAATAAAATTTATGTATTATTTGTATTTAAAATATACGTTTCATTAAGAATTTGAATATTTGATCAAGATTTAATAAATTTTGGAAATATATAATATTCTATTTTTAAAAATTATTATTTTTAAAAAAAATATTTGTCTATTTTAAAATATAATGTTACTTTTCAATGTTTATTTATATGTTAAATTATTTTTGAATTTTAGATATTATTAAACTTAGTATTTTTTGGTTTCTTAAATAATAAAATAGAAAACAATGATATTTTATCATATTATATTAATCCAAATTTTATATATAAATCTGTAGATGTACAAAACATGTTTTATATGTATAAGTAGATATTTATATATTATAATAAGGTATAATATTATCGATTAGACGACATTTTTATCTAAGTATATAAAAATTAAATTTTTTGAAAATATAAGAATTGTTAACATAATGATTAATTTAAAGACAATTCTTTCTGTTGTAGATAATTCTGTAAGTTTTTTAACCATTTTTTTTGATAGTTTTTTAAGTTATTGTAGGGTGCACAGTTAGCAGAATGTATTAATGTTCTAAAATCAGGAAAATATGCAAAAATAGGTTGTTTTTTTGTGGAAAATATAATATTATGTCTTATTTATTCTTTAGGTGATGAAATTGTTGTTGTTATTCAAAAAGCACGGTCATCCGGTTTATCTGCAGGTTCTCAGAATATAAATAAAGTTCAAAGAGGAGATATCAAGCATGCTTTAGTGGTTCGAACAAAAAAAGAGACACGCAGAAAGGATGGGAAATATATTCGGTTTGATGATAATGCATGTATTTTAATTAATAAGAAAGAGCCTATTGGCACACGTATTCTTGGTGAATAAAGTTATTTAAAAATATACAACTAATAGTCGGAAGGAATTGTTTCTGCAGAATTAAAGTATAAAGGATGGAATAAAGTCATTTCCTTAGCACAAAAAGTTGTTTAATATTAAGATATGAAATTTATACTAATTTAATATATAAAAAATGTACTGATTTTTTCATTGTAAGCCATTTGAATCATATTAGTTAAAACATTATGGGTCATACGGTATTGTCATCATTTCTTTTTTAAAAAAGATAGTTTAAATATTTTGTAAAATATATTTGATATATCTCACATAACTTAATGGACTTTTCCACAATTAACGCATACGTAATGTAAACACTTATGTGTCTTAGTTAAGCTAACTATGGCATGGTCTTACCATCTTTGTTTCTGTACCTTTTCCTTGTGATTGGAAAAAGACTGATTCTCGTCCATGACATGATGGACATTCTTTATTACTCCTTGGCTATCAGATATTCAGAAACATTGTTATTATATATATATTTAACGAACTAATGTAGGATCTGATCCAAGATCCGCTGTTACACCGACTGTTTCTCTTTTAACTGGTTAAAAACGTATGAAAATTGAAATATACTGCTCACACTAAAGAAGAACGGAGCTCATTCCTAAAAACGCAGAGATTTTTTGCAACTTCACTGTAATCACAGTTTCGACAGGCATATAAAAGTCGTTTTTGAGACTTTTTATCTTAAAAAAATGAAAAAAGTATTATATTAATTTTACTTTTTCTTCCTTAGGATAAAGCATATTATTACATTCTATACAATAATGAAAAGTTGCCATTTTATCTTGATTTTTTATCCATGTAGTGTTGGTTGATTCTGAATGTTTTTTTGAAATACATTATCGATTTTAACTTCAAAAGTCTATAAAGAAAAAAAAAATAATAATGGCACAATACTGGTCAAGAAATGCCTTAAAGTTCTTTTTAAGAAGACATAAATGTATTTACAGGTATGGAAGAATGGATTTTTTTTCCTAAAATAATCTATATTTATATTTTAAAAGGTTCCAAAGGATTCATCATTATTCTTCTATGTCTAATGATAAAATCTCTAAGATAGTGGATCAGATAAGCTGTTTGACATTGAAAGAAACAGCAGAACTTGTCTCTCAATTGAAGGTTCTGAGTTCAGATGCCACTCTATACAAGTTGCTGATCTTTAAGTAATAAATATAGATTCATTTAAATATTCAAGATATTGCACCTGTAGTTACATCAGTACCATTATCTACTTCTGAACCAGTACACCAGGAGAACGATGAAGAAAAGGAAGAGAAGCGCCTGTTTAATGTAACTCTTGAATCATACGACCCTGCTGCAAAGGCAAAAGTTATTAAGGAAATCAAGTCGATTTTAGGACTGAATCTTGTGGAATCCAAGAAATTTGTAGAGAGTAGTCCAAAGATGCTTAAAGAAGGTGTGAATAAGGAAGATGCAGATAAAATAAAGAAAACATTTGAGGATTTGGGTGCAAAAATATCTTTAAGTTGATTTATCGTTCAATATAAATCAGGGTTTTCATAGCATAAGCGAATATATACAGAACATATCTCCCTTGTTTTTATGACGGAATCATAGCTGCTTTTGTGTTTTCTTCTTCCATATATTCGAAATCGTATTCATCTAAAGACGATGTGGTTTCCCACGTATTTTCAAACTCTACATTTATACCAACGTTCCCTTCGGGAACAACCCATATATTTTCTCGCAATCGTTTATGCTATTTTTCCATTAACTTAGGTTTATTTGTGTTTCTATATTTACTCTTTCTCTATCTTCTTCAATTCTACGAAAAATTTCTTCTTTAGAAAAAAAAGCTTTATTTTGAATGGTATTTGAAGATCTACAACAGTGAATGCATATAGAGCATTGTGAATTGCTATACTTGTCATCTCTTTTAGATAAAGATGCTTCTATTTCAAGGAAATCTCGATTGTCTATATATGCTTTGTTTTTTAGATTTTCAATAACCTGAAGCTAAGTAAGACTAAAAAAGGCGTAAAGGTGTTACCTTCCGGACTGCTGATACATTCGCTGCTCCTTGTGGTCCAGGTGGTGCTACTGCTCTAACAATTTTTGCAATATCTTTACGTATCATTGAAATATAACTGTTGCATCCATTTCTGTAGCTGTAGTCGCAAAGGGTCTCCAAAAAGTATATAATATTTACTCTAGAGTTCAAAGATGACTAGATCATGTTAAATATTTAGTTTGAAATATAATTTGTTGTTACAAGTTCAAGTTCTTCCAATACACAATTATATAAATCTTCATCTAAATCTTTATGTCGAAGTGCAAATTGTGCTGTTTTTATTTGAGATTGTTGACTAGCAGTAAGTCTTTTAAGGATTTCTAGGAATGCAAGACGTCCTTCAAATGGATCAAGAACCATTATATGTATTATTTTAATTATTGATTTTATTTTTTGAGGTTATCGCTCTTGGAACTAAGTTTAAAAAACCGATAAAGAATCTAGAAAATGAGACATACTTAATAAAAAGACTATTTATGAATATTTTAGTTTTTTTAGAAAAAAATAAATTAGAAATATAGTCTTTATTAAAAAAAATTGTAAATGTAAAAAGTCCCAAATGTTATTAGTTGTAAGAATATTTTTGGAGTAATAGGTTAATTTTTTATATTATATATATGATTTAAATTGTTTCTATATGGCAGTTTAGATAGTAAAGATAATTCTACTTCAGAATTGATTGATTAAGCTAAGAATGAGTAAATTATCAAAGGTTTTTATTTTTATATAAAAATTATAGATTTTTAAAGCATTGTTGTAAAATTGAGAAAAGAAATCATAAAATGATTAAAATATCTAAAAGATAGTAATATGCGCAAGAGGAATTAACCTTGATTGGAAATATTCTAAAGATAGAGCTTAATGATTTATATGTAGATTTTGTGAAAAGTTTTGTTTAAATAATGCTGTGTTGAATAATAATAGAATATCACATGAAGTAAAAAGATGTTAGCAGATGTTGTGTGTTGATAAAATGCTATGATAATATGTAAATTTTATATAGTGGTGGTTTTTTATTATCTTAAAAAGTCTTGATAAATTTATCATTTTATATGTTTATATTCAATATTTATGTACAAATAGTTATGAAGTAATTATAAGTATTTACAAATATATTATTTTTATCATAAGATATAATTGTTTGGTATTGTTAAAAGGATGAACTTTTTCAAAAAAACTTTCTAGAAAATACTCTTTGAATATTATTGTACGTTTTTATTAAATTTAAATGATATATTCAAGGGAAAAGACTGTATACTAGTGTATAACTTTTATATAGATATATATTTGCTATTTTTTGAAAATTTTTTATTAAAACTTTAAATTTTAGCTCTTATATATTTAAAAATTGTCTAATTAAATTATTTAGGAATTTATCATTAAAATATTTAAGACATGTAAATGATATAATTGTTTGTATTTTTATTAAAAAGACTTGGTTTTATTTGCTATTTATAAAATCGACCTGATTAACAGATCGTGATAAACGTCCAATATATCAACTAATGATGAATAAATTTTAAATAAAAGAATTTTTTATAAAAATGACATTTGAAATTGTCCCTGAAGAGCTTGGAAACCATCTTCCAGCAGGTCTTTTTTATTGTTCAGAGAATGGGATTGCAGTGGATTCTGCCGAATGGCGTGTAATTGAAGATTCTCCGTTTCTTGATGAAGAGCTTTTAATTACAGATAATACTGTTGTTTGGTCTGTTTCAGGAAGAGTAAAACGGTCTTTTAATTTTGATGATGATGGTCAACGAGTGACACATGCATTGTTTGCGTATTTTGTGAATCCAAATGATGAAATTACGAGTTATCATGATCCATCGTATGTGCCGCCTTTAGGTACACGAACCCGGTCTTTGAACCAATTGAGTGGATGTGTTCATGATACAAGGCGTATGGCGCATGAAACGTCTATTAAAGATCGACGAGCAACTCATGGGAAACTTAAATCTGATAGGCTTTCAATGAACCCATCATCCCACCTTTTGAGAGCATTAGTCATTATACTTGAGGATTTATCGCATATTTTCTTTTTGGATGGCGCACTATGGGTTATTCATGTTCCTTTTCGTGTTCGACGGGTGCTTGCTGCGCCTCGAGGATTGATTCTTGAACGATCTCTTGAAAATCTTGAATTGGGTATGCCATCTCAGGAGTCAACTCCTGAAAATTATTCTCCTCGTTTTTTTTCATTGATTGGGCCGTTGGACGAGTTTGGACTTGTTGTTGCAGATGGGATTTATTCATTTGATGTGCATGATGAGTTAGTTTATATAGGCAAAGGGGATGAAGCGTTGTTGGTAACAAGGAATGCAGAGAAGAAACAAGTTGACATTTGGAAATGTTCATATGTTTCTCAAACAGAGCATTGTTTTCCTCGCCCGTTAACAAGTGTATCGGCGAGGCGACGCTCTTCTTTTGGAAGCTTAAATTATAACGACACAGATACGGATATATATGGGTCTTCTTTAAAGTCTGAATTGACCATTACGTTGGATAGGATGGCATTTGTCAATAATAATCAATTACCTGCATTGTTAGGTGAATCTGAAGGGCTTAGAAAAGAAATTTTTGTAACACATATTGAAAGTTTTCCATCTCGCTTCAAGTAAGAAGTTTAGATCATTATTTTTATATTTTCTAATTATTAAGTAAACTTGCCTTTACTGTATTTTCAATTCGTCCGTCACCAGGAATTGAAGTTATTTCTATATTCAATAAAGAAGAGTCAACACTTTTGATTCTTATATTTCGACGAGATGAGGGATTTTCGCCTTATTTGATTGATTCTATCACTTTTCCTGCTATCGGTGCTGCGCCTCTTATTTCTAAATGTATGGAAAAAATACTTATATTTTCGACAAAAAAACCTATTCTTAGACTCTATGCACCTTGTTCTCCTGATATTGAAGTTAAAGTTGATTCTATTAAAGAAGAAATAAGTGAATTGGTTTATCCTGTTGGTTGTCGAGTATCTTTAAAAGATGTAAATGGCACTTTAAGGAGAATTTCTTTTGATCTTGAACATAATACTGTTTTGGTTCGAAGATGTTTTGAAGCTTTGAAAATGGTTTTGCCTTATAAGGATTTTGAATATTTTCAAGCTGCGTTTCTACATCAAAAATTGTCGAACGGTTTATGTTTGAATGAATTTAAATCGTTATCTATTACATTGTTTTCATGTTTTTTATGTGGTAGTATAAAACCTAGACATATTCAAAATAAAGTAAATGGGAATTATTCAACTGAAATACTTGAGATTATTGCTGAAGCATACCATTTTTGTCAAAAAAATGATATGTCGGTTATGACAAAACATTTATCTTATATTTTGCAGTGTTTTCATATTTTAAGCGAAGATTTTAAATTTGATTCTGCTACATTATTATATTGTCGTCAAATAATACCTATAAAAGCACAAATGGCATATTGGTTAGGATGGGTTGCATTTGTAGAAAAAGATATGTTATATGATGAATTCATGACAACTATAATATTTGATAAGGGTTAGTAGTGTGCAGTGGAAATTAAAATCTAACATATATTAGCACGGCTTGAACACCTTAATATATCTCAGTTTCCTTCAAAACCTTATTCTGTTTATCATAATTTAATTTTAATGTTAAAAAGGAAAAAATATGAACCAGTTCCATCTATTACAAATATCGGAAAAACTAATTTAGAACATAAAAATTTAAATTATACTCAAGGATCTAAAATCGTACCGTCACTTTCTAAAACTGTTTTTTCATTATATGAAACTTTACTTAATCCTAAACTGCCTCTTCAGGATGTTGTTACACAAATGGTTGAATATAAGTTTACATTAGATCATTTAAAACGTTTACCTGATGGAGTTGCTGTACCATTGCGAGATGCCATAAGATATTCTCAAGAAAATCCTTTACCAAATTGGGGTGTTGAAGCACTTCAACTTATTGGTATGTTTTTTATAATTTTTAAAAAAATAATGTATAATTGTTATTATAGACAGAAAAGATCTTGAATATCGTATTACTGTTGGTGATGAAAGACCTCGTAGATTTCCTCCGACTCTTTCTGTATTTTTTTGTTGTATTGTTTAATAATGTATTGATTTTTTTAGCAAAAAAAGCCAGAACCAAAAGATACTAAAACAATATGTCAAGAAGTTTCAGATCTTGAAGCTCATGTATCTTCGGATCGTTTTTCAGAGGAAGATCATAAAGCTGTAACAAAACTTATATTTCGTGAAGATCGGCGTCTACAGGAAGTTGGAAAACTTCTTCAGATATCTAAACAAACTGTTGTCAGGATTGATTTACGCCCTGAAATGAGGTAAATTATTTATTTTGTATTTAATAATTATATAAATATAGTGAACACGAAATTGTTTCTGTTCAGCAAACACTTGCCCAAATTATTGCTATTCGAACATTATCTATCCCTATTGGTAGAGGGTTATATGCTTATAGCTCAAAAACACCACTACCAACTGAAAAATTCCCAATACCTGGCTTTAATTTCACTGTTAAAATAAAACCTCAGCAAGTCCAAGTACCTGTTGCGAAATCATTTCTTGATGATCAAACTACTACATGGGGATTGTTTCATAATGGAACAGCAGCTGCATTAAGTATTGCTAATGATACTAAAGACATTAGTGCTTCATGGATCGTATATAATAAGCCAAATGAACTTTCTAATAGACATGCTGGATTTTTATTTGGGCTTGGATTAAATGGGCATTTAAAATCTATGGCAACTTGGCATGCTTTTAACTACTTAACATCGAAACACACAATGACATCTATTGGTCTTCTTCTTGGACTTTCTGTATCTTTTATAGGTACTATGGATCCTACTATTACTAGATTACTTTCTGTACATGTACTGGCTTTATTGCCCCCAGGATCTTCAGAACTTAATTTATCTACATTAACTCAAACTGCTGGGATTTTAGGTATAGGATTATTATATTACAATACTCAACATAGAAGAATGAGTGAAGTTCTTTTAACAGAAATATCACGGTTTTCTCCTCATGGACAAGAATTTCGAGATGAGGGTTACCGTCTTTCTGCTGGATTTGCCTTAGGATTTATTAATATTGGAAAAGGTCAGAATTTAAAAGGATTACAAGATCTTCATATTGTTAAAAATCTTGTATCGTGTATTTCTGGTGGAAGACATGAAGAAACATCACAAAACTTGGATATGGCTTCATCTGGTGCTGTAATTGCATTATCTTTAATATATTTAAAAACAAACGATGAAGATGTTGCAAAAAAAATAGAGATACCAACAACAGAACATCTTTTAGATTATGTAAGACCTGATATTTTACTATTAAGGGTCTTAGCGAAAAATTGTATCTTATGGGATAAAATTGATTGCACATTTGAATGGATTAGAAATCAACTTCCACCTATATTAAGAGATCAAGTATTACTTTCTAATAAAACTGCACTTGATTCGAATGATATGGCATTATTTAATATAATTGCTGGTGCTTGTTTCAGTATGGCTCTTCGTTTCGTAGGGACAAGGAATGAGAATGCTAAGAAATGTTTATTGCACTTTTTGGATAAATTTATGAATCTTTCTGCTGTAATAGGTATATTATTTATTTTAAACTTTCAATTATTGATTTAATAGCGAGTACACATGATCAGAAACTTTGTAGAACTACTGTAAAGAATTGTTTAGATGTTTTATGTATATCGTCAAGTTGTGTTATGACAGGTTCAGGTGATTTAGATGTTTTACGAAGATTAAGAAAGTTGCATGGGCGCACTGATTCTGATATAACATATGGAAATCATATGGCTACACATATGGCTATTGGTATTTTGTTTTTAGGAGGAGGTCAGTATAGTCTCGGAAATTCAAATATTTCAATAGCTTCTATGATATGTGCATTTTATCCGCAATTCCCAAATTCTGCATGGGATAATATTTCTCATCTTCAAGCATTTCGTCATTTATGGGCTGTTTCTTGTGAACCAAGGTGTTTAATTGCTCGTGATGTTAATACTTTGCGACCAACATTAGTACCTATTGTTACGGATTCACCACATGCACTTTATAATGGGAAAAAAATGATTGCTCCATGTCTATTACCTCCACGTGATGATGTATCTATGATTAGAACATCAAGTTCTCAGTATTGGCAAGCTTCTTTAGCTTTGCACTCAACACCTATTTCTCCTCAAAAGACAACAACAATGTATATCTCTAAAAGGGCTGTAGATTTTCAAGAATGTTTTAACCTTGAACCTTTGTTTCAGTCAAGTATAGAACGATCTATATTAAAAATATTTTTATCTGAATCATTACTTTCTGATGAATTTTATTCAATGGTATCTAAATCAGAACTTGCTTCACAATTCACCATTGATCGTTAGTATATTCAAATATATTTTTATATTTTCTAATTTTACAAATAGGTGCGTTTCAACAAGATGATGCAATTAATAGTAAATTGTTTTTACTTTTTGATATAAAAAAAGAAAATTCTGACAAACTTTATGGAATTCAACTGCTTCTTGTATATACTGAAAATATGTGTACAGATACACTTGCTTTAAAATATTGTGGTTTTCGATATCGCTTTTTATCTGATGATTTTTTAAGTCTTTTACGTTTTAAAATGTGGAATGCCTGGCAATATTAAATTATGTTTTTAAAAATAAATATAAGGTATATCTTTGATATTTTCTTAAAAAGTAAACCTCTCATGGTTTAATTTTTATATGATCTTTTTTTGTTTTTTAATTATTTTAAATTTCTTTTTTATTTTTCCTCGATTACGATTTTCTTACAATGACAGGTCTTGTAAATTATAGTGACTCAGATGATGATACAATAACATGTTTTGAAAAGAATGCACGGAAATCACTTAAGAGAAAGGAATTGAATGGTGTATCTGGTTTATTTTCATCTTCTATATCTTCTTTAACAAAAGAAAATATTCGGAAACTTCCGAAAATCAATAAGGAATATGAGTTTGATGAGCCAGAAAAAACAGGTATTTCTAACAGTAGTGCAGAAGAAAAGCATTTAGGGTTCTCTTCATTGCTCCCAGCACCTAAAAATAATTTAAAAATGGTTCGTTTATTCAAAAATACTGAAACCGGAAAATCTGATACGAAACGCATATATATTTCTCACTCAATAACAAAAGATAAGGAAGATGAACATAAAGAGAATGATGTAGATGATTTTCAATCAAAAGTTTCTTTTTTTCCTTTGAACATGGAAAAACCAGATATAGATGAATATGAACAAATGAAGTCTGATTCTTCGTTTTATGTTCCAATTTTTGTAAAGAAAAATGATTATTTAGCTTCAAAAAGAAATAGTGATCTTTATAATGTAAAATTAAATGAAAAAAATCTGCCAAATGTTCATTACAATGAATTATATCGTGTAGATGAAGATCAGGATTTTTTGGAACATACATATTTGTTAGATAAGGAGGAAAAAGAGGTTTCTCGTAAAGAAAAGGATATCGAATCGGTAATATATTTAAATAGACTATTTTTATACTAATAAGTAGATGAGAATTTATGGAAAGCGCAGAACGGAGCAAGGTCCTATTAATTTTTTGGAAGTAAATGCTGAAGAGGAATATAATACAAATGAGATGATGAAAAAGCAAGGTTTATTAGTAGAAGCTGTATATAAATGCATATTTTTTTTAATCATCTAATCATTTTAAGCCTCAACCAATACGATCGATTGGTGCAGGAAGACACCAAATTACAACTTTACTGAACTCTGCAATATCTCAAAGAGAAGTTTTCGAAGAGTCATTTGCTGCGAATAAAGAGATTAAAAGGTATATATATGCATGTAATCTTATCGTTTGGTTTAATTATTTTAAAGACAATCTGGAAAAAAATATGGATTTTGATATAAATTGTTTAATGATTTTGTTTTTTATAGACCATGGCCGGAAAAAGTAACTTGATTGTATATACGTTGGTTTTTGCATTGAATCATAATTTAAATAATAGTTTTGTAGTCTTCAATATTATTTATAATTTCAAATATTAAAGTGATTTTATCGGAATATTCAATATTACATAAAAACATTTTTAGAAGTATACTAGTTTAATATTTATTCGTATAGATTTTCGATGTTTTTTAATGGTTTATTAAAAACTCTTTTAATGAGATCCTTTTAAAGTGTTAATATATAGTAATAATATTGGGTAGTTTGACTTTTTTTGTTATTAAACCACACAGTCTGCCTTTAGTAGTAAATAATATAAACCTTATACCCTAAATAGTATATTAGAATAAAAATATTAAGAAGTAATATACAAGTTTTTGGAATAAATTAGTAGTTAGTTGTACACTGCTTTTCGGAGACAATGTAAATGGTGACTTGTCCACCCATGGTCTAAAATCTGCATATACTGGTGAATCCGGAAATTGTAAAGTAGAAAAATGACAGTAACTGTTTCTAGTATATTTATAAATATTTTTGTTTTTTTCTGTTTAAAAATTAGAAGTGTATTAGTATTTATAGAATGATAATTTCCTAAAGCAAGTTGTAGTTGAAAACGAGAAATATATCCTATAAGAATTGCATCGTCATCATTATTTATTATAGGGAATCCTCTATATGTATGATTTTTAAGTAAGAGTTCTACATAATTAGAACGCATTATTTTCTAAAATAACTAACCTAAGCTTTTTATTGTATGTCCTTTAGCAGCAATAGTGACTAATTCGTTCGCTCTCGTGATATAATTTTCAATAGTATCATTTTTAATCTTTAATTCTTTACTTAAATATGGATAACTATTCAAATAAATCCAGCTTTCATATATTCCGTATTTCCCAAATGCATCACTAACCCATTTGCTTATCATAACTGCAATCATGATTGGTAGTACGTATGTTAAAGCACCAGTTAATTCGAACATAATAATTACTAAAGATACTAATAGATTAAAAATATTATTTTAAAATAATAGATAAATTACCTGTCATTCTTGTTACTCCTGCAACTGCAGATGCTGCACCAATAATAGAATATATTTCGGGAGCAACACATTCTATATCTGGCTTACATGCACTAAAGACCCAGGCAGAAGGTATTTTATGCTGTATATATTGCAAAATTATTCCAATTAACCTTCCATATAAAGCCCCTATAACCATTGATGGTAAAATAATTCCAGAGGGCACTTGTAATCCAAAAGAAATGCAGGATAAAAAGATTCCAAATATAGTTGCATATAGAAGTATAAATATTGATGATATAATATTTTCTTTCCTAAGAAAAGGTAAGATGTATATTAAAACATAACGAAATGTTACAGGCAAAATACAATAGTATCGTTTTCACTACATTTTTTAAATAACTGTGCTAAAAGGTTGGAATGTTGAAATCTGACTAGCTATTAACTATATTCTTAAAAAAAATGAAAATATTACTTCATGAGAACATTTGAATAATTAATAAGACCGGTTATAAATGTAACGACTAACACTTCTTGAACAGGATAATTTGTTATTTTGTAATTAGATTTTAATTTTAGTATTTTTTTATTAAATTTAATAAATAAAAAACCATACAATCCCTATGTTTTGAATCAAAACTAGAAAAAAGTATAAGAAAATTATTACACCTATCACTCCTAACAAAGAAATTGGAATAAGTTCAAAACTATACCATTCTACTTTAAAAAATGCTTGGTAAATAACAAGTCTTCCATCTCTAAATGGGTTGATGAACTAAATAAAATTAGTAAAAGTATAACTAACAGTGTACAACTTTTAAAGACATTGCACTAATCATTGCACATACAAAACTTCTCCACATAGTTTTCTCTGGAAAATAATATGACAATTGCTGAAGAAGTTAATTTGAAAATAATAATTAAGGAAAAAACCTCAAGAGCAAATAAAACACCTCCAATAGGTGCACCAAATGCTACAGAAGTGCCTGCTGCTGCTGCCGCTGACAATATTTCTCTTTTTTTAGCTTTGAAACTTATTAATTGTTATTTATTTTAAATTGTAATTTACCTTGATTTTCTTTAGCAGTACTAAAAATTTTAAAAAAGAAATCAGCACAACAACAAGCTATATGAATTAAAGGTCCTTCTTTGCCTATCCAGAGGCCGGATGCTATAGAAAGACACTATGATAATGAAAAATAAAACTATAAGATTCTATATATACCACGCTTAAACTTTTAATAATAAGTGTCCACTTTCCAAGAAACCTATGCATGACAAAACCACTAAGTATAATTTTAATTTCAGATATCCCACTATTTTTTGCATAACATGCATAACTATTAACAAGAAATGATGAAATGAGTCCAAAAAGTGTCTTTTTATGTTATTTTAAAATTATTATATAATAGACACATACAACAAAAATAATGTAAAAAATATATGAAACAATATATGATTCTTTTTTTAGTATGTTAAATGCATCTTTCCACGAAACCCAATCATGACATGTTTTTTCCACTTGTTTTGCTTGAATATCAATATATATATATATATAAAGAAAAAACCTTCTTGTGGAACCCAGCAACAAAAATTACGATTTAAATAGAATCCAGATTTACAGTATCCTTCTCTTATATCCGAAAGCCAACCTGAAACAATATCTATAAAACCAGAAATAACGCCAATAGAAATGCCTTTTTTATCAAAAAAAATATTGAAAAAAATATCAATGTCATACCAGTAGTAATAATAATAACCCACAATTGACTAAAATCCCAGAACTGGTATATTTTTCCCCAAATGCCTCTCAATTTCCGAATTGTTTGTTTTCTATCTCTTTCTTTAGTATTTTCATCGACCCAATCTAACAATAATTTAATCAATACACAAAAGAAATAATAAAAAAATCGTACCGATTGTAGAAAAGTTCTTAAGTTTTGAACTTTCAGAACATTTCTCGTAGAATAGTCTTGAAAATATGTGTTTTATTGTTGATCCTAGTAATTGTATATTATTTGATATTTTTTTTAAAAAAAAAAAAAAAACCTATAAATGCAGCATTTTTATCCTCTAATCTTTCAACAAATATGCTTCTTTCTTCTATTTCTGTACTTCCTGATTCTCTTTTTAAAGAAAATTCTGTACTTTTTAGAGTTAAAAAAAACTTTTTATAGAATATGTTTTACTTGCTAAAACTATGTGTTTCCCAATGATTTTCTACTGATTCATAAATATTTCTTTCGGATTGAAAGTTTTCTGATTGTTTATTTGGTGTATAATTATGGGCAAATTCATTTCTATACATTTCATGAATACTGCATAAAGTAGACCGCTTGTCGATTACCAACTTCGAAAATCGCATAAAGACGTAATATTGTAAAAATGATAGAAAATACTGCTGATTTACAAGCAGAATATATGTTTTTGTAAATCTCAGTGGTTTTTTGAGAAGTAGTTTAAAAAAAAATAATTAAATGTCTTTATTATATGATTCAAAGTATGTATTTAGTATATGATGTAATGAAGAATAATAACTTGAAAAATAGGACTTTAATCCAACAATTACGTGCTAAATATCTTGAAACTGTTAATGATGCTGTTGGAGAACGTGTAATTGGTTCTAAAAAATCGTACTTAAATAAAAAAAAGTTATATGAGTCTGTAGAAAGTATTGTTGAACATGAGAACGAAACACCTTTGTTTATGAAAGGGCGGGACCCTCTTTTAAATGCTAAAGGGATTGGTGCTGTAGAGAATTATAAATTGGGTAATACGTTTTATTATCAAAAAAGTGATACAGAAAAAACTACAAATCGCAAATGTTTACAGGCAGATCGAAATTTTTTCCCATTGTCTGCGAAAATTGTATCAAGTATAGACGAAAGTGATTCTGACGATTCTCAAGTGTTATCTACGTAAGATTTTTCTATTGTTTGGTATGATTACTGGATTAATATTGTAAAGAAATGGATTTCATTTGTCTCTTGATAAGGGTAAATTTAAGCCAAAAAGTGTTGAGATTATACGAAGGACTTCAAAAAATGATTTAAATTCCATGATTAATAATCATTGTTTAATTTCAAGTAATTATATATTAAATTTTGCAAAAAAAAAAACTGATATAGAAGATCCTGAAAACAAGTATACAGATAATTGTTCTAATACTCATTCAAAGGAATTGAAAAGCAGTAGATTAACAACGTCTTATTCTAGTGGTGTTCTAAACAAATCATTAGAAAGTATTTGTCCAAATGAATTAAGTTCTATTTTATCCAATCCTGACACAAATGATGCGGAGGATATCTGTTTAAATAACATGGTTTTAGAAGAAACTTCGCCTAATTTTTCTCAGGAATCATCTTCTACTCAGCTATCTTCTAAAAATTCATCTTTATTAACTATCTTAATAAAAACAGGGAAGAACGTACAAGTTAATCCTCTTGATATATACGCATCTTTGTCAGGAAAAGGTGATCTTAATCCTTTAAAATTGAAGATATATCGTCCTTCTGGGAAGTATCCAAAAAAACCTATTTCTGTTGTTGTAAAACGTATTGCTACTGTTGCTGATGTAATTGGATTTTCTTTATATTGTTTTATAGAACAGAAACTAGAGCCAAAACTGACTAACGAGCAATTAAATCCAAATATGTGGACTTTACGTATTGTTGAAGAAGATGGTGAATTAGATGAAGATTTTCCAGGTTTTTATTTTATTTTTTTTCTTAAATAATAACATGTTCCTATAGCTTTGGATAGGGTGAGATTTTTGTCAAAGTTTGGTTTTGACGAATTTGCTCTTGTAGAAGCTACTTCTGAACAATGTTTTTTTTTTTTAAAATTTTTATAATCATTAACATCTTTTAGTTTTAGAAAACGAAAAAATAACACCATTTAATTTTAAAATTAATATTGAACATTTTAATTCTCAAACAAAAAATGATTTAAACGATACATCTCAAATTCTTTTTTCATCCATGCTTTCTAAAGATAAAGCTGTTATTGAAACTCCTGAATCTTTTATACGTTTAAAAGTATTACTTTATCCTCGAATACAATCTTTAAAGAATTCAATTTTATATGTTACTAACGAAACATATATTGGTAATGTTTTAGATGAAATATGTAGAATAAATAATTTAGATCAAACTAAATTTATTTTGCGTATTGCAGAGACTAATACACCTTTATCAAACGATTGTAAAGTCTATGATTTAAAAAATCAATACGAATTAGAATTAATTGAACGAAGTTATTTTATGATACCTAAATTTGAAAGGTTTTCAAATATTGAACGTATTGGTATGTTCAAAAAAAAAGAAATGAAAATTCTAACATATGCTTTTTATATAGGAACTACAAATGAAAGAAATAAATTAAAGAAAATGCCTGAGAATAAAAATCATGCTGCTTTAGATAGAGCAATAAACAATTCATATGAGGTAGTAGTTTGTGTCGAGTCTTTAATTATAGCTGATTATTTTTGAGAAATATATCGTTTGGAGACGTCAATCTATGTCTTTTATGGGGTATGTTTTATTTCGCTAAAACTTCTCTGAGATTTTATTAGACGTCATGAACGTATGTTAGTAATTGATGGTGATTATATTTATATTATGCCACTGGTTTCTTTTCTTATTAAATAAAAAATAAAAATACTGAAAATCTATAGGAACAAAAAACTTTTTTTGATACCCCTAAAACGGTTGGTTTTTATATTTTTTAGAAAAAATTAATTTTATTAAGTTAAGTATTCATACGAGTACAATTGTGAATTGTAAACAAACCGATAAATTATTAACTTTTAATGTATATATTTTTTGTTTTTGAAAATACTTACACGATTAGTTTACTGTTATGAAGTCAAAAGAATTAAAGAAGTAATATTCCTTTAATAATCCGATAAGCATCTGACTTATTTTCCTTTTTATAGATATGATTTTGAAGCATCTTCAAAAGCAGAAGCATCTTTGATTGTTGCAAAAATTAATGCATTGATTAATTCTACTGCTTATTCATCTACAAAGGTCTAATAATATTATATTTTTTTAAAAAAATAAAAAGGAGACATTCATGATTTTTATTTATCTGTTTTTTCTGATACATATAATTTGACTTTTACTCTCAGATTTATATAATTAATGTGTGCGTTATTACGTTTTCGGATGGAAGATTAAAATATATAAAAACTGAAAATAATGATGCAAGACGAAACAGTGATCCATCATCAGTTTCCTGTTCCTCATACGGTCATAACATGTGGTACTACCCGTTCAATTCATCTTCAAGATTGGAGTGTTATAAGCACAAAAGGTTCAATTTTAACATCTGAAGAAATTCAACAATTCTCTTCTCGGCTCATGATACCTATTCCTGAAATGACATTTGGTAAAAATCAGGTAATAATGGAACATAGTTCGGGCTGGAGAATGGCGTTTACAGCTTATGACGCATTGGAAAAAGTAGATAAGACAGGTAAAGAAGTTATTCAAGTTTCATATGCAAATGAATGGGTGAAAAAGAGGTATGTTTTCTGTTAAATAGTTTTAAAATGCATTCTCTAAAATTAAGTTAAGAGAAAAAAGTTGTGAAGGTATTGGACGTAGTAGATGTTATGATTGGACGTTTACGACTACGTATCAAGGGACAGTTACTCACGAGGTAGGATTATACTGAAAAATTATGGATGTTTTATTCATATATTGGTGGCTAATAACTTAGAATAATAGAAATTTGGTAAATAAAACGGCTGTACGAGCAGAAGCAACGAAAGAAAGTAAGGTTATAAAGAACAATAAGAGGATAATTTATAGCTTTAGGTAGTGAAAATAACATATTATTGCCTGTATTTGAGTTATCAGATGAGGTTATTCCAGTTGATAAGTTGAAACGTCAAGATCCTATTTTATTTTTTGAAGAAATTGTGCTTTATGAAGATGAATTGTCAGATAATGGTCTTTCTGTGCTCAGTGTTAAGGTGCGCATTATGCCTGAGCGGCTTTTATTGTTACAGCGTTTTTTTATGCGATTGGATAATGTTGTATTTCGGATTCGTGACACACGTGTATATATTGAATTTGTTACAGGGAAAGTTCTTCGGGAATATGTTGAGAAAGAAGCAGCATATCACGATGTTTTAAAGGTTTGTGTTTTTTTGATAAGTATTAAATAAACAATGAGTTAAATTGTGAATGAAATTTTGAATTTTAAATGAAGTTTTGGATGAAATTTTGGTCATTTTAAATAATACATGCAATATTAATAAGGAAAATTATTATGGTTTTATATTTTTTCTCATTGTTTCTTTTTATACTTATCTTTTTTTTATATGCTTAAATTTTTATATTTCTTTGATTAACGCATGATTCTAATGATTTATAGAAAATTCCTTCGTGTCAAAATGATTTTAGTACTTTTCTAGCTGATCCCACATGGGTGGCTTCTGTGTTACCAGTGTGTTCAAAAACTATGGAAGCTTTAGAATTTAAGTAAAAATTTTATTTTAGTTATTTTTTTTGGAAATGGTATTAAGATTTTGAAAATATTTTAATTATTATTTAACAAAATGTTTTAGTTGTCAAATATTATTTTGAATATTTTTATATACATAACATAATTGAAATATACCTAAAAATGTGGTTAATATAATCTTAAAACAGAACTGTTGTTTTTATAATTGTCTTTTATCATATACCGATTCTTTATACTTTTTATTTTATCTTGTGCGCACATCTGTGGACCTTACGACAAACGTCGGATGAACAAAGTTCAACACTCATAAAATTCTATGTAAGTATTGCATAATTGATATAACAACTTTTTTTTTATATTTATAGTACTATTTTTCTTTAGAGTTTTAAAAGATTTTGTATGAATATTATAAAAAAGGCTTATAATGGACGTTTTTTTATTTCTACAAAGTTCTTTAAAAAAGATATTTGGAAGATTTCTAAAAATACATCAAGGCTAACGCCATTTATGTTTTCTACAGTATCAAGTATGCATCATGATAGAAAGGATACAATTTCTCATTTGAGTCTTTTTAAAAAAATTGTTTTATTGATAGCTCCGGCAATGGGGTGGTACTCGCCTCGTAGTATAAGTATTCGTAAAGCGAGGGAACTTTATATACACTGTGCTGAACAGGGTATTCAGGGTTCTAATTGTAATGATTGGTATTCAAGTATAGTGAAATATCGTTTAGTAAAAAATTTTTAATATTAAATAGGACATTTGCTTTCACCTTCTTTCCAGACATGGTTTCATATTACTATGTTGCATGTTTGGATGTTGATGGTGCGTATACGTGCGTTGCCTAAAAAAGTTACAAAAATGTATCAACAAGAGCTTGTTAACCATTTTTTTGAAGATTGTGAATATAGGATGAGGAATGATTATAGAGTATTAAAAAAATGAATTGCTTTGAATTTCTTATATAGTTAGATACGAAGTGAGCGAATTATTTCTTTTTATATGAAGGATTTGTTGATGCAGTTTCATGGTTCTGTATTTGCATATGATGAAGGTTTTTACAAAAATGATTATGTACTTGCATTAGCATTATGGAGGTAAGTAAAATAATCTTTTTTAAATAGCTAAATTTCTGGTTATAGAAATTTGTATGCTGGAAAAACAAATATAAATATTTCGCTTCTTGCTGCGTCTGTTTTATATGTACGTAATACATTATTTGAACTTGACAATATATCGGATGATGATATCCAAGATGCAAAAATGAGTTTTTTAAAAATTTCCGATATTTTTGAATTGAAGGACTTATAATTAAATTTTATATATCAAAATAAATTATTTTGTAATACTATGGTATTTTAAAAATATTATATAATGGGTATCGGTGTTGTATTATACTCTAACGGAAAAAATTGTTTGCAATTTTGGATATTTTAGGGGAATAATGTTTCTGCATATGTTAAATTTATAAAAAAAAAAAAGCTTACTTTTAATAAGACTAGTTCCCAATAAAAACTTAGATAAGGGTTGCTTAGATCGGGATTATCAATTTCTCCATTATATACTCCTTCTCCGTAGTTTTCGTTTGAATTTAAAAAAGAATTAAGTCTAGGATGTTTGTTAATTAGTTTTTGTATCAGTTCCAATGATTTTAAAATAGATTTTTCAGGGAACCCAAGCAAAACAGTAAAAAGTCGTTTTATAAAAGCAGATGCTTTTAATAAATTTAAATTTTTGTCTTGATAAAAAATATGATTAAAACATTCTGCAAACATATCTATTTCAGTTAAATTGTTAAACGCATGGTCTTGGTCCAAATTTTCATATTTTTTTGATTTGTGAACTATGTTTGTCTCTATATAGGGATTTAAAGACATTGGGATCATAATTGAATATAAATAAATAATAAATGTTGATAGATCAAGATCTATAATTTTTTTTATTCGAGCTTTCATTGTTAATAAAATATAAAAAGATGTTAATTTTACCCTGTTCATAAAGTAGTTTTAAAGCAGTAATTATACATAAAAGTCCTCCTTTTGTAGTATTCTTTATTGACATGTTGGGTTCAACGTTAAATTTATTTTTTAATAATTCTTTTAAAATTTTTAATAAATCTTCAAAAAAATCTATATTGATAAGACAAGAAAATCTAATTTATATTAGAAAAAAATAAAAAAAGGCCTCATACTTTTTTACGCCTTCTAATGAGGCATAAATAAGATTCGTGAAACCATTTTGTAATATTTGAAAATATGTTGTAAATATTAATTTTAGTATCTTCCCCTGAAATATTTCTTTCTCTTCATTGATTCTTTCAATATTGTCTAATTCATTTTCTATTTTTTTATTTTTCTTTTCTAGTTTCCTTATTTTTTTACTTTTAAATTGTTTTTCATGTTTTCGTTTGCGAGGATTATCTATATCTTTTTGAGATACTGTTAAATTAGATTGAGAAAGAAATTCTAATTTTAAAAAAGTATTTAGAACCTAATGATATTAATGATATGTAAAGACGATTAAGAAATAATACTGCACTATTAATTTTGTAGTTTTTTTTTTTTATAATATTTGTTAGTTTTTTTACAATTTCAAAACTTATTCTTCCTTCTTTGTCATTTTCAAATAATTTCTCTATTGTTTCTTTACATTCGATAAATGAAGCATCTGGCGTTTTTTGTGTTAGTTTAGTGGAAATGATTTCTAAAAGTGTATCTCGATAATTAAAATGAGGTATTGAGAGCAATAAATGACAAACACAAGAAAATGAAATTTGTGAAAGAAATTGTTGAGTTGAATTTTTTGGGGATTTTTGTCCAACTAATATAGTTATTTAAAAATGAAAATAGAAATATATTTATACTTTTAATTGTTTCCGATAAAAGGCATATATATGCATAATAATTGAAAACTAACGATTCTTCAAATGAACGACGTTCTTTTGTCTCTTTAGACATACGAGAGGCTTTTTCAGTATCTGTTAATGGTCGAATAGAATATCTATGTAATTTTTATAAAAAGAGAAAAATCTTAAAAGCATTACCCTGGAATAATATCTTTATAAACTGCAAGTTGTGTTAGCAGCCCTAATCGTTGGATTGATGCTGTTTGATTGAGGGTTATTTCGCGTAGAGCTTTTAATTGTTTGATCTATACATGTAAAATTGTATTTTTATACGTAAAATAGATTAATACATTCTCTTCAGGATTTTCAATGATCTTTTGTGCTATAGATGCTAATGTTTCGCGTATATCTTTTGACGTCTCTTTTGTTTCTGTTTGAACTGTTTTGTTTGAGTATTCTCTTAGAACTTCATTACTGGGCTTTGCTAACTCCTCTTTTTCTACATTTTGTGTTTCTTTTAAACAGATTCGCCCATCTTTTGTTTTAATTGGTAGAGTAAAGGTATTAGGAGTATTTTTTTCAGAATTAAACTGGCGTGGTATTCTTTCATATATTGATTCAGTATTTTGCCCTTGTACACTTTGAGGAATACAAAAGTGGCGTTTCTTTTCTGTTTTTAGCTCTTTTTTTACTCGTTCATGTGGTTTAAAATATAGACATGCTGTTGCTGCATTTTTGGCTTCAAATGTAATAGATGTATCCTGAAGCACATCATTATTCTCAAAAAATATTTTAGAATCTTCATATGTTCTTTTTTGACTTTCTTTACTGGCTATGTGTGTCATATATGTGTCGTATATGTTTTGAAGTTATTGCTGTAGTCTTATATTTTTAAATAAAAAATGATATTAATATACCAAAAAAAGTATAAAAATAATAATAAATTCTTCTGTTTGTGCTATTTTTGTTATTCTATTTTTGTTATTTATAATATAATTGTATTACTTTTTGTATAGTCTTTTATGTTGGTTAACGATAATATATTTTTATGTAAAATCTTAAAATTCGGAGACAGCTGATGGGATATAACGACAATCAATGAGATAAAATTAAAATGTAAATAATATGATTATGATAATTAGGAGAATAAGCTGAAAATAGATAGAATACGTGTAATAGAAGTAATACAAGGCATTACAGGCGTTTTTGACCGATTTTTTAATGTCTACTACTGAGTTAAATGTGATTCATCGGTTAATCCGGAGGGTTGGTTCAGCATTTTATGAAGCAAAAGATCGTATTTTATTAGATGCCCTTTTGAAACATTCAGCGTATGTTTTACACTAGTTTTGGACATTGGAATATGTGTTTGAGTGGTGTTTAATATGTTTTAGACTTAGAGATGATCATTTGTCGATAATTATGGATATGCAGTTAAAAGAAGTTCGGCGGATTTGTTGCAAGTTGAAAGAGGATCGTATGATTGATGAGTAAAGGGAAAATTGGTTATTTAATGTTTCTGAGAAAATGAAGAGATTATTCTCGAACGGATGTTGAGGGATATTCTCGGCCAATTAGCCGTACTTACTATTTTATCAATTATCGTGCAACGGTTGATGCAATTAAGTGGAAAATGCATAAATTAGTTAAAACTGTTGATGATCGTATGCGTAAAGTAAATATTTATGTTATATAGGATGTATTTAATAATTTCAGGATTTTGACACTAAAGGGTATATTTGTCCGACGTGTTTGCGACAGTATACGAGTTTAGATGCTGTTTCATTAGTGAGTCCAGATTGGATGAGTTTTTTGTGCATTGATTGTGGTACGGCGTTGAAGGATAATGAGGAAAATCTTGAGGTTGTAGATACTCAAGAGCAACTGTCACGTTTAATGAGTCAAATGAGTAAGATTATTTCAAATTTGAAGGAAATTGATGAGATTGTTGTTCCAGAGTATGTTTTGTCTAGAGAGGAGTGCTGATAGCTAAAATGGTTTTTCTTGATCAATATATTTACTTATATTAGTTATATTGATATATACGTAAGACTGTATTAGTTAAAAAATTAATTGTTTAGTTAATCAGCTATCCTGTCTATATTGATTTTAATTGTTTAACTAACTTTTCTTTAGTAATACATTTACAATAGCAATTGCTAATGCTATTCCTCCCGATATTGATTCCATTTCCTCTTCTGAGTATATGGAGCCAGTTTCTCTCAATACTACTCTACCAAATACACCTCATACTATTACTATTTCAGAGCCTTCGATTTCGATTGATTATGGTTCTGAGTTGAAATTTAGAACAAAAGGTACTACTGAAAAGAAGAAGCCGAATTCTTCTCATAGTGATATTCCTATATGGCATTCCCAATCAACAGTTATAAATGATTTTAACTGTACAAATATATTTAAGAATATAAGTTCTGAAGGCTTTTTGGAATTTGGAAGTGCGGATGATTCGAGAACTGTTGAATCAATTAAAGAGAAACCAGAAGCTATTGAGAATGGTAAAATTATAATTTCATATTCTTAAGTATTGATAAAAGTAGCTGTTGCTAAATATTATGAAAAATTGCGTGCACAAAAAGATATAGAAATAAAAAGTGAAATTGAAGATTTGGATGAGGATGCTTTTGAAAATGATTTTGAAGATGTTAATGTTTTAGAAATAAGTGATTTTTCAAATGATTATTTAGAACAAAAATTCCAAAAGAATACAAATGGGATAAATAATGATTAAATTAAAAAAGATAATACTAAATAATAATACTAGTTCTTGGAATATGCAATTTTGTTTCTGTTTGTGATGAAAAACTGTATTATGATTTAAAGTTTATAAAAAACCGGAACTTGAATATATATTATTGAAAAATATATATAAGATTAAAGGATTTTTCTTGGATAATCATCTGTTCTTCGTTTATATACAATATATGTAAGAAATATTAAGATTTGCATAATTATGTTTATAATTATAAAAAATTTAATACCAGAGTTAATCGATAAAATTCTTTTAGAGACAGTCTCTGATAAAGAGTCAATCATTAAAAGAGTTTCGTTTCTATGCTGATATTTAAGTGAGCTTAGTTGTGGAATTAACTTTAATATTTCATCAGAAAGGGTATCAATGGCTTCTTTTTTATTATTATGGGATTTAGAATTTAAATTAAATATTGTCTCAGATAAAGAATATCTAGGAAAAATAAAAATATAAGTTTTTATAGAATGAGGAAAACTTACAATGATTGGTTTATGTCTTCTAAAAGCGTTTTGATTATTAATTGTTCATTAGTTATATTTAATAATTGATGTGAAAATGTAGGTAAATCGTTTAGTATTTTAGTCTTTTATAATTAGATTTTTATTTTAAAAGAAATAAAATATACTATGTTTAAATTAAAATTATAGTCAATATTTGCAGTTTCCTTTTCAATATGTGTATATGTTTTTTCTTCAGAATTTGAATATTTATTTTTTATTTCGTTTACTTGAAAGTTGTATATTTCAAAAGATTCAAAATCATTCATTGATTGTGTCTTGAAATCTTAGTTTATACTATATAAAATAGTGTATGATTTACTGAAATTCCGAAATAATAGTCAGGGGGAAGATTTATTTGCGTTGTTTTGAAACAAATGGAGTCTTTTTGTTCAACCTAAAAGCATTAGTACCATTCACAGAAATAGGCTTATACTTGTATTGCTCCTTTAGAATATAAAAGTTTAAAAGTGAGTATTTCACTAGTATTTTGATGAATAATAGAACATGCACCAAATGCTTGAAGTGATGGGTTTTTAAATCTTGAATATTCCATGGACCCGTCATTTAAGTGTCCTCTTAATGAAGGCTATTTACTTTTAGAATTTGTTTGATTATAAATGTTAGAAAAACTCTTTTGTTTTGCCCAACATATAAAAAAATTCCAAGACCATCCCATCTATCTTTTGACCCAAAAACAATGCCTCCTTTTCCTTTTTCAGAAGTGTACCTTGAAAAATAGTGAATATGTTTTCTTGTTTTTTTTTTTTGTTTATAATAAATACCATAGAGCAAGTCCTGAATTTTCATGCTCCAAATTAGTCAATCGGAGAGAAATTTCAACAGACCATTCTTCATATATATTTTTATTCTTTGACCAAATAGATGCAATTTTAGATTGAAATGCTGACGGAATAAGAATGATTTTGTTTTGTTGAATTTCTACTGAGCCATAAAAGTCCCAATTTTCAAGCAAAGACTTTCCAAATGGTGAAACAAATGAATAAATTTCATTATAACAAAATGCTGTTCCTAAAAAGCATAAAATCCATGTGAATTGCATTCCTTATTGTTTTTATTTAATAGTATATATTTATTTAACTGTTCCTTTTTTTCTATTAAAAATTAAGGTTTTTTCACCGTTTAAAAGGAAATATAGTATAAAAGAAATAAATATAACATAATATTTAATTTTAATTTAAAAAATATGCCTAAAGATCCAGAAACTTGTTTTTTCTGTTCCTCAATTTTTGTTACGTTAAATTATACGGTTACCAGAGTAACCTTGAACCTCGAAATCAAAATAAATAACGTTAAAATTCCATAATCAAAATATTGTTTCTGTAAAATTATTAAAAAGCTATGAATGTGTCTATGAAACGTCCAGAATCGTCTCTATCATCTGTAAGAAATTGTTTTTACTTGCATGGAATATTAAATTTTTTGTAGGAGGTTCCATACAGTAGTTCAGATGCAGCAAATAGTCCTCTTTGTGCATTTTTTTATGAAGTGAATAGGATTAGACAAGGTCAGGATAAAAGGAGAGATAGGAGTAGTATAAATGGGTCACCGAATCTTTTAAATAGTAGTTATGGTCTTTCGAAGAAAGAATTGAGTGATATTAAGGCAGCTGCATTTTTTAATCGGTGTTATGCAGGTACTCGAAGTACAGAGAACTTGAATAGAAATAGTGGAATTTGTGTAAGAAAGAATGCATCTTTTTCAAAAAACGTGTTGGATTCTGTGGATATGATTGATGATGCTCTTTCAATAAAGACATCGTTATCGGATTATAAAATATCTAATAAAGACAATGTCTGTAAGATTATAGATTCTCCATTAAAAGCTCCAACAATTCACAATGTGGAATATTCAACGTCTTCTAGTAACAGTTCATATTTAAAAGAGCATAAAGAGCCTTCGGTTAATATTTTTAAAGATGAAGTTTTTGAAAAAAAGTCTTCTACTTCGAAGAGTTTAAAAAAGAATCATGAAGATAAGAGTACTGAGACAAAAAAAAGTGCTCTCAGGTCAATTTCTTTGAATATAAAAGACATTGTTTCATCCATTGTGTCAAATGTTGATGATCATAAACAGTTTACAGAACATAATAATGATGTTAAAAAACTAGGATCCAAACCTGATAACAGTTATAATTCATCTGTGTCACAAGTAGAAAATAATTCTGAAACAGTTTCTATGTATAATAAAAATAATATGTACAGTGGATTTTTCTCTAGATGTGAAAGTTCTATGAATAAAAATAATGTCAAGGAAATGACATTATCAAATGCGGAGGAAACTGAACTTGAGGTTTCTTCAGAAAATGAAAAAAAAAACCAAAGTGATAAAGCACATGTTAATACTTTTTCTGATTTAGAGGATAATTGCTCGATATTAGAAGATAGTGATAGTGTTTATTCAAATAATACTGCTTTAGGGTCTTTTAATAGTGATGTTTATAATGATAAAGTTAATAGTATCCAGAATTTAACTTATAGTACTGAAAATTCATCGACAAACTTAAAAGCAGATAAGTCATCATTTTCTTCTCTTCCCAAACTGTATATAGCAGAAACTGGTAGTCTTGGCTTAGAAGAATTTATGGTGGGAAACTATTTGAATGAGTCGGCAGGTGGAAATAATTCATTAAGAAAATCTAGTGTATTGATAAAAAAGAATAATAAATTAACAAAAGAAACTAGTGAATCAAAGAGTAGTTTTTTTGAGGAAAACTCTGTTTTAGATCAAGAAAAATTGAATAATTGTACTGCAAAAGTTCAGGAAATGTTATATAATATATCAAATGATACTCCAAATTTATTAAAAACTGAACTTCATTCTGGAATTGGTCATTCTGATATTAAGAAAGATAATTCTAACACTCGAATTTTAAGCAATAGCAATGTAGATTTCACATCGAAAAAGGCTAGTTGCAATACTCATGTTAAAACTAATGGTGCTGTTACTTTGCCTATTTTAGAAGATCAGTTTTTATCAGACTTCGATCCATCTTTGAATGATGTTTCAAATGCAATTGATAAGGTTATTGGAGTTAAAAAGGTATGTGTTAGCGTTTAAATGGAAAGTATTAATATATTTAGCGTGGTTATATTATGAGACAAAATGCAGAAATAGTTCATGCTAGTAGTGAGGATAATTTTGACGAAAATTATGAAAAAGAAACAGTTGATTATTTCAAACTAAATAGTGTTCATGAAAAGCAAGAAAAGGTAAATTAATTGGTTATGTTTATATTGAGACTGATTTATTGGAGAATCCTACATATAAGTCTGAGAAAACAATGAATACTAATGTTAAATATTCTCAAGATATTTCAGTTGATAAAAAAGCTAATGCTAGTCTTCTTTTTGTGCGTGTTTTGGGAGTTAAAAATTTAGAATTATTATTACCGGAAAGTAAGATATATATATATTATTTTGATACATATTAATTTGTTTAAATTTAGATGAATCATTAAGATTTTGCTGTACTCTAGATAATAATAAACATTATGTGACCACGCCATGGATGCCTCTTTCAAAAAATGCGAAAATTGATGAAGAATTTGAATTGTAAAGAATCTGCTTTTTTATAATTTTTAATCATTCTTATAGAATTGCCTATGATGGTTTGGAGTTTACTTTTACTTTAAGAGTGGATTATGAGCCTAAGGCTATTTGCATGAAAAAAAAATCTATTTTTTCAAGAATTTCTAAGTCTTCAAAGAAACAAGAGTTATTGGATCTATCAGATCCGCTTGCAAATAGTCTTTCAAATAACGGAAGTTTTGGTCGTTCTTATGTTTCTTTAAAAATGCTTAAGGATAATGCATATGGACGTTCTTATATGACTACAATACCATGTATGAATGAATGGACTAAAAAGGTTGTTGCGAAAGGAAAGAATCGACAATTGTTAAAAGTAAAGCCGTATATTATTTGTCAGTTAAAAATTATGGCTTTTTATGTTCCATTTGTACCAGAACAGCCGAAAGTATATTTGTTTATTTAATTATTTTAGCTAATTATTAAGGGAACTTTGCCTAAAAGCATGTCAGCGTGTATAAAAGATATTAAAAATGCAGAATGGATTTGTAAATTAAATTATGAAGGATTATTGATACAGCATGGAGGTGATTGTTTAGTAAGTGAATTGCTTTTATTTTATTATAATTAATATCATTTAAGTACCGTAAAAAGCGATACTTTTGTCTTACAGGTTTGAAGTTGACATCATATCATGAGTCCACTAGATCAGTTCGGTCCAATATTAATCTAGTTAAAGCAGTTTCAGTGCTAGATGATCAGCAATTGTGTATTAATTCTAAACCATCGACTGATACTAAAGATGTAAAAAATGGATATTCTGTTTTGTTAGAAAGCGATGGTGATTATATGTTTATTAAGGGCGGTTTTTGTATTAAATTTATGAATGGGGAAGTTATAAATTTTTACGCGGAATCAGAGGATGAAAAAATTAGATGGGTGCGGGTTTTAAATGCTGCTATTAAAAAGGCAAATGAGGTTAAACCTTGGAGTTTATATGTTATTTATAAGCAAAAGGCTATGAAACGAGTAATGCCAAAACCTGTTTTAAAAACCGAAACATCTCGAAAGCTTAAATAAAACAATTTTTGAATATTTCTTGAATATTTTTAAATATAGCTGATTTATTACACTTTATCTAGAGTAGTATCTTTATGTAGTTTATAGTGTATATTTATTTTATTGCTTATATGGGGCCTGTATAATTGAAGTAGCCTGAAATGATGTAGGATTTGCTAGCCATGGTATATAAACAGGTGGTATTTTTTTGAAAATGTAGTTAATTATTTCTTCACTATGAGGTGTGTTCTCCTAAAAAAATGTTAAATAAAGGAATAGTGTTAAGCCATGTTAAACCATTATTCCTATTGCTGCTAATCTTTTCAATCCTGCTGCTTTAGAAAGTTGTTGCTCAGAACCCTTTGGAAGTGCTACTAATCGGATACCTGGTTGAGAATTGTTATTGGGTGTTTCTATTTTTAAGAAAATTTCATTAACAACACCGCATAATATTGGAAAATGTGAATATAAGATGCTGGAATGAATATCTTCGCAGCAAACAAAAATCACTTTAAGAGTGTCTACTAATTTGTTGTTTTTTAACAATGAAGTATATTTTTCATCTTTTTCTTGAATTTTAAGATAAGGAGGTGCCGACGATGGCATTCCTAGTTTTGAATACATTTCTAGTCGCTTTGTAGTTTCATTAATACCCAAAGTCATATATTTTGCTATAAGTTTTTTTTTATTTATTTGATGTTGGGAAAAAATATTTTTATTAGTTATTTCTGTACTTTTGTTACTGTTTTGAGTATCTGAGAGGTTTTTTTCTGTATCTTTGTTGTCTTTTTTTTCTGATATTTCATCTTTTTTTTTATGATTTGAAAAAAATAAAAATAAACTATTGTTTTGAGGAACTTTTTAAAAAAAAAAATAAAAATTGACCTTAAAATTTTTTTAAGTATTATTTCTTTATCTTTTTCATCTATTTGGGGCCTTTTTTTTAAGTTTTTTTCTTATATTTTATGTTTTTATTTACCATTGAATAATATATGGATTATTTAAAGATATTTTAAAAGACATACGCTGTTTTTTCTTATTTTGACGGATTGCTCCTGTTGCATTTTTTTGAATAAAGAGATTTTTATATTTTTTTTTTTCTTCAGGTTTCATAATAAAATGGTAGAGAAATCGATATTGGATGATTATATTTATTTATAAATATATTTTATAAATACATAAAGTTCCCTATTTATTTCTTGCTTTCCTGATTTTCCATTTTGCTAGGTGAAATATGTTCATTTTTTTGTTGATATTCAGTTAATTGATTTGTTGGAAATGTTAAATAATCGAAATCACTAGTTGTACATGAATCAATATGAATTAAAAACCCATGATATCTTTTAATGTTATATTTAAATGGAAACTTATTTTGATAGACACTTACATGTTTTCTTTAGATTCTTTAGAAAATATTTTATCGTAAATATACGTTTCTTTAAATCTTTTTATTTCTTTTTCATATAAAGAAGAATCGATAATTTCTCTGTTCATGCTCTCTGCTCGTTTGTTGTAACCGCTAAAAATTGGTTTTTCTAGAAGTAATCCAAGACTTGGAGCTTTTGGAATGTTATAACGTGTTGACTTAAATGTTTCTGATATAAAAGATAATGGAGTACCACAACGAACAACAAGAATAATTAATGCAACCATTTTTCGGATTTGGTGCAACATAAAAGACTGACCATGTACCTTAAGAGAAATCCATTCTATTTCCTGTATTACTTTTGGATCAGAGACCTAGCAAAAAGTTAACAATTGAAATTCATTATAATATGTTTTTATACTGTAAACGATCGTATCATACGATAGACGCTTTTATCATTAAATGGCTTACCTACTGTGAAATTATGAAAATTATGACTTCCTTCAAATATTTTAAAAGCATCTCGCACTAACTGAAGACGTTCAGCTGATATGCGATACTCTTTTTTTATTTTTAACTCTATTCGTCTTTCTTCTTCTTTTTCTTGTGATTCTTGAGTTTGGTTGGATGTAAATAACGGTTCTTTGTTATTTTCATTTATAATTTTGTTTGAAATACATGTTTCATTATCAAGGTTTTTTAAATGGTGTTGTTTCTCCAAATCCCATATATCTTTTTTATCTTTGCAGTATAGCATGTATTCATTCCCATAGATCCAAACAGAGTTTTTTTCTTTGTTTATTATTTCTCTATGTTTGGTAATACGTTGTGCTAAAAAACTCTTTGGATATGGAGGAAGAAATACATATGATGGAACCAAATATTCATAAATTCTTGAATCACAAAACGTTTTTGGATTAAATGATCCTAATGTTCGTGTTATGCTCCACATACGTATACTTTCTGGAAGTGCTGCGTTGATTGTTTCCAGCAAATTCTGTTGTTCAATAATCATTTTCAAAGATATAAGATTACACGCTGCATGTACTCCTCTATCTGTCCGTGCTGCACGATTCAACGATGACTGGGATTGTCAGCTTGTTCATTCTTGCCTATCCTGCCCAAAATTTTTTACCTTCTTCGGATCATCTGAATTCATCACTGAAATAGCTCCTACTCGAACAAGTGCTTCAAAAATATCTCTTTCAATCGTACGGCTAGGATCATTTCTTTCTCAATCAGCTCCCATTCTTTTTTCCCTTCACTTACAATTGCAGCCCATGATATCCCGTCCCACAATATCCAATTAAACAAGCAACTTTTCTCTTAGGTTTACGGTCTGTTTTTGTTTCTCTTATCTCTAATTCTTCCTGTTCTGTGTTAAGTTTTCTTTTTTTTTCATCATAATGTTTTTCTGAAATACTTCTTCCTGTACACTCTGTATAGCTAATTTCTGGCTGGAAAAAGACCTCTTGTAAATTGTCCTTAGTGTCTGATAAAGACATGGTTTAAATATGTAAAAAAATCTTTTTTCTTGGGACAAATTGCTTGGTTTTTTCTGCTGTATTTTTTTGTAGTTGTATTGAGGTAAAGTTGTTACCAGAGCAACAGCTACCGAGAGGTTAGAATATCGTTATACAGTCAGAACAACGTATATTTTAAAATTAATGATTAACAGTATAATAGAATTAAGTGATATTTGAATGATTTTATGTTTTGAATCAGTTCCAATTGTTTGTTTTATTTTATAAAAAAAAGCGGGTAAAAATCACTGAAAAACTGAGATTTTAGATTAAATTGTGTTAGTATATACGTTAAGATTTAATGGTTAATAAAAACTTAATAAAAACGAGATAAATATTAGTTATTTAGGATGAGACCGTTGACTGAAAGTGAGACGACTATATTATTTGAAAAGCTTGCAAAATAGTGGGGTTTTTCTGTTTGAAAATTCATACTAAAGCGGGTATATAGTATTGGGAAGAATACTCTGTATTTGATTGACCGAGATGATGAACCGTATTGTTTTATGCTTCATAAGAACCGTTGTTATTATATTAGGTAGAAATTAGTGGAGCTTGATGTTTATAGTTAAACTTCTAGTGAGAAGAGATTACGTTTGGTAACTACGATTCCAAGGAAAAAACTTGTTTCTTTTGGGACATGTTTTGGGAAGTTTACAAAGACAAATAAATTTCGATTACATGTTACTGCACTTGATTATATTGCACAATATGCGATGTATAAAATATGGATCCAGAAAAAAGGCGAAATGTCATATCTTTATGGGAATAATGTAATTCGTGCTCATGTAGGTAAGATGAGCCAAGGAATTCCAGAGCATCATGGTGTTGTTATATGTTCGATGAATGATACACCTTTGGTAAGTATGTTGATGCTTTATTGATTGATGATTTTGAATAATGTTTTAGGGATTTGCGGTGACAGCAAAAATAGTTGTAGATTCAAAGGATTCACAGCCAACTGACATTATTGCATTTCATCAGACTGATATTGGTGAATACCTTCGAAATGAAGATGATATGTTTTAATTATTCATAATTAAAGTTTCAAATTGGTGTCATATTGATAAGTTTAAATTTAAAGATTATTCTTAATATTTTATATTTATTAATTGAAAAATAATACGTCATTATTTTCTTTTTTCGCTATATTTATTAGTATGTTTTTTTGTATTGCTCACAATAGTCATTGAGCTATTCTCTGATGCCAATTCGCCTTGTGTTCTGTTTGACTTTTTTTTCTTTTCTTTAGGAGGCTTGTAATAGCTACGAAGTTTTTTAGGAATCCCTATATAATATTATTTTTAGAAGACATAAATGTTGATTATACATCTTTCTGGATCTGGTTGTTTATTAGGATCGTAATTTTTAGGTAGTTTTGATTTTTTCTTTTTCTGTTTTAAAGATGGTTCAGATTGATTTGTTTTTCTTTTCTTTGATAAATGATTTATGATTCCTGATTTCTCTAAATAATTGGCGTCCATTTTTTGAATAAGAAGGTCTGGAGAAGGCAGTTTGTTTGCATATTTTAGTGCTTCACTAATATCTGTATTAAGATAATAGATTGTTAATCCTGCTAATGCTTTCTGATTGTTTGGAGAAATTTTTAATAAATAAGAAAAATCATCTATTGCTGAAATATTTGGATTTCCCTTTTTAGAAATTATGTTTTTAAGTTTTGATTTGCCTGATGCGTATAAAAGTTCTATTAATTTAGGATCCTTTATTTTTTAGTTATTTTTCTATATTAAATATGATTTCTTACATTGCTTCCTGTGCTTCTCCAATATTTACTAGCTGCATAAAGTTCCTGTTGTGCAAGGTCTTCTCTTCCTCGCCTTTCATATATTTCCACGGCTAATCTTATTAATCCAGGGCTAAATCTTTTATTTTTATTTTCTTTTAAAGAATCTAAAAGTTTTTCCATTATTTTTTGTGCATTGCGAATGTTTTTAGATGATATCATAAATTGTATAATGGCTAATGATAATGGTATGTTTGATGGATTTTTCTCGTGTAATTCCATTAATTGTGTACATGCTTGATTACCGGTAAATCGTGCTAAAATACTTGATACCAAAATAAGAATGATAGTATTATCATCCGGATATTTGTTTTGTATCTTTTTAATGATATTATTACATGCAGAATACTTTTCGCAGTATAAATTTAAAATAGCAATATTTTTACTGATAATTTTGTTTTGAAATTTTGTTAGTTTTGATAGTTTTATATTTGATAACGCTGAATTCATAGAACAAAAAGCAAGATACGGGTTTGTATTGGGCTTGATAGAGAAAAAATTATTCGTAGCGATTAACTTTATAGTAGGATCTATATGTCTGTCTTTTGTTGGATTTTTAAAGAAAAAAATGAAAGTTGCTTACGATTTTTTCATCAAATCCTCATATATATTTAATGCTTCCTGTTCTTGGCCAATATGTGAATATATATACGCTAATTGAATAAGGATAGGATGCATTCTGGATTCAATGTCTTCTTGGCATATTGTAGATAAACATTGTTCTATATTTTGAATTAAAAAGACGTTATAACTATCTAAAAGTCTACCTCTGGACAACTCAAAAAGTTTCTTTGCTTTCTCATATTCTTTCTTGTGAATTAAATGGCAGCCTATGTTGAAATTGTAGTCCATAGATTGGCAAATATCTGAGTCATTGCAAACTTCAATTGATGGTAATGTCACTTGTGCTGCCAAAAGGTTTACATTTAAATCGAAGTCTTCGTTTTCTATCTTTACTGTGTTATACATTTTCACCCAGATATATAATGTGGCTACTGACTCTATATGGATCTTTAATTAATTTTTGATATAGTTGAACTGCTTCTATGACTTGACCCGTTTGATATGTCTAAAAAATATGTTGCATTAATTTAAATGTAAAAAGATATTATAATGAATATAATTGCTTACAATTTGTGCTTTTACATGCAAAATGCTCCTTTCATTATTTTCTTTGATATAATTTACTGCTTCTTCAAATCTTTCTAGCATGAACAGACAATATGCCGTTTCAAACAGTGTTTTCTCCGTTGAAAGCTTATTGAAGATTATTTGAAGTGCTTCTTCATATTTATCAAGCTTAATAAGCGCAATAACCTTTGATTTCTCTAATTTTGCGTCTGATAATGAAATTTTCTGGATTTCGTCTGAGAGTTTAATAACTTGCTGATGATCATTTTTTGATACTGCTGTTGATAATTTTATAAAAATATCCTTTATATTTTCTTTTTTTTCTGATAAATCTGTTGAATCTTGCTGATTCATTTTTAAAAATTACAAAATTTATAAAGTAATATGTTATAAATTCTTAGCAGTGATTAATATCTGATGAGATCGGTTAAATGTTATGTCTGATTTTTGGATGGAAAATGAAAAGAACAAAAATATGGAAAAAGACATAAAAGATGCTTATATTGTGTTGTAATGGTTCTAGAAAGCTATTTTCTGTTCTTTCTACGCCTTTTTGTATGAAATTATGTGAAAAAACAGTGTTTTTGAGAGGGTTATCTCGAAAAATATTGACTACAAATAAGTCTGTAAAAATACCGAAAAAAAACAGGAATACGAGGTTTTCTGAAAGGTTTTATAAAAGGAAGGATGGCATAGGAAAAAAAAGTGCTTTTTTTTCTCGAAAAATTGCTTTAAAAACACCAAAACAGATGGTAGAAGGGTTTCATTCTCTTGGACTAATGTCTTGTGTTGTAGACGCTATTCATAAGGATGTTTTTGCTTTACTTTATAAAGTTTGTCCTACGGATATTCAGATTCTTGCAATTCCGCAGATACTGCGGAATTTGCTTTCAAAACAGCCTTTTAAAACATTTCTTTTGGCAGCTGAAACTGGTTCTGGGAAAACATTGGCATATGTTGCTCCTATTTTGCATATTTTGAAAATGGAAGAGTTGAAGTCTTCGAATATTGATGAAGTGCGTCTGCAGGGCAAGCCAAGATGCATTATTCTTGTTCCTACAGCTGAGCTGGTTCATCAGGTTCAGCGTTTACTGAAACAAATGTCTCATAGGGTTAAATTTCGTTCTTCTTTTGTTATTTCTTCTTCCTCTTTAGATTTTATAAAGAAAAATGTTTTAACACTACCTTCTGATTTTCTCGTTGCAACACCTTTTCAAATTTATAAATTTATTCAAGAAAAAAAGCCGATTATGGATGAAACTAGGTATATGGTAATTGATGAAGCGGATACTCTTTTGGATGTTTCATTTCGTTCGCTTGTATTGTTTATCTTGAATGCTGCTATTAAATTGAAATTACTTATTTTTTGTTCCTCTGTAGTATCACAGAAATTCAATCGATTTTTATCTAAATATTACCCTGATTTTTCTAAAATAGAAACGTCTAGGCTTCACACTATATCTAAGAAAATACTTTTTAAGGTTATTGATGCTCAAAAAGATTTTAAAAATAATAAAAAATTAGCATGTCTTAGTATTCTTGAAAAAATTGCGAAGGATAAAAGTGATACTTCAAAAAAAATTGTTATATTTTTTAATGAAAGGAAGCAATCAGATGAATTTGCTGAATATCTTAGAAATAAGGGATTTTCTGCTTTTTCACTAACAAAATATGCAAAAGATCGATTGAGTACTATACATAATTTTATTTATGGTACTTCCATGGATAAATCTTATCTGTCTATTTTGGTTACGACAGATCTGAATTCACGAGGTGTAGATACAATTGGTTTAAAAAATGTCATATTGTTTGATGTACCATATAATTCTGCTGATTTTATCCATCGTCTTGGGAGAGTAGGTCGAGGTGGTAAAAGAGGTAAAGCATATTTGATTCTTGGGAAAGAAAAAAATTGTCAATGGATTAATGAAATTAAGGAGTCTATAAGAATTGGAAAAGCATTGATTTAATATAATGTGTAAATATATACAGTTTTATCAAAAAGGTATTTTAGATATTTAAAATGTTTGTAATTTTTTTTACTATTTAACTATAGTTTTTGTTTATATGATACCAATTCTATATAAATTAATTAATTTGTTTCATGATATATATAATGATAGTTTGTTTATTCTTCAATTTTTTTTATTTGGCCCTTGAATATATTGAATATGTATATTTTTAACATGTTATAATTATTTTTCAATCTGAGTTCTTTTAACATGGAATTTTGTTGTTATAAGAGAATATTTAAATATTTAATTCTCTTTATTGTTTCAAAAAATGGATTGGTAAATGTTTATGAAAGATTTATATTATGTTTTAAAATTATTTTTGGATATCTTTGTTAATAAATATTTATTATCCTTTTTTCATCTACTCTTTTGATATTTTGGATTTATTTTCTGTTTAGGTTTATAATTATATTCGTCTCACCTTTTTTTTGTTATCTCGCTGATATATATTATTTTAATTATTTTATATTTTTGTTTTATTTTTAACGTTATTTTTCCCTATTCAAGTATTTTCTCTTTTCAAAGAAAAAAAGAGTCTTTTAAATTCATTATTTTTATTTAAATATTGTTTTTGTTATTTAATCTTTATTTTCCTGCTTATTCATTTCTTATCTGAGATTTTCGATGAGTAATTCTAACTTTATAATAAACTTTAGATATAATATTAAATCACGGAAAATATAAAGAAAGAACATTTAAAACATGAAGAATACAGATGATGATTCATCTTCATGTCATGAAGATATAGACATATCGTTTTTGAACTGGAGAAATACGTTGATGTATGCCTTAGGTATTAAAATGGATGAAAACGCACGAAAAAAGTATGAAATAGTCCGGGATTCGGTATATGAGAAGCAATTGAACCGTAGATGTGAGATTTGGAAGGAATATTTATGGAAAAATAGTAGGATTTTCTTTTTTTAGTTTTAAAAAGTGAAAAATTGAGGCAACTAAGGTGCGTCTGTGCGATTTATGGCAAAACATTTGGATGCGTTGAATACAGGGCTTTCTTTGGACGACATTTTGTGTCGTCCATGTGTTGAGATGCAAAGTGGAGGCTTTGATCCTTCTAAAGGGATTTTTCTTTGTCAAAATAAAATCCGGAGTAAATCTCAAATGGAAGATACATTAGTACATGAGATGATCCACGCATATGACCATTCAAAGTTTGCTGTTGATTGGAATAATCTTTTTCATCGTTCTTGTAGTGAAATACGGGCAGCAAGTCTTAGTGGAGAATGTGGCTGGTGGAAAGAATTTAAAAAGGGTGCAATTGGTACATTTCGGAAACATCATCAGGTTTTTTGAAGTTTTGGGAGATTTTTTGTATTGATTTTTATTTAGGAATGTGTCAAGCGTCGATCAGCACTCTCGGTTTCGAAGCATCCTGCATGTAAAGATATGGAACATGCAAAACAAGTAGTGATGCAAGTTTTTGAATCATGTTTTTCTGATACACGTCCGTATGATGAAAGTAGGTATTTTTAAACTATAATTTGTGATTGATCTATTTAGTTTATTAATATGATTTCTGTTTTTGACCGACAATAATTCTGTGTTTAATAGATATGATATGCATAATATATTGTCTAAGTCTTCATTATTTTACAAACGTTGCACGTTTTTATCAAAGATTATTTTTTACAGATATGTATAGTGTATTTGGTACAGATGAATATAATTAAGGTTAACTGTTGATATTAATTGGGTTTCACTTTGTATAATTCAGTGATTATTTTTTGTATATACGATTTATAGAGATTTCAAATATTACTAATTGTTTTTAAGATAGGTTTGTTATATTTTTTATTCTTAATTTTTATTTCGACTAATTTTCGATAAGTGGTTACATTATGAAATCTTCAGAAAACACCGACCCTCTTGCTTTGCGCACAACAGAGCTTATTCATAAGATCGATGAAGCATCTTCAACACTTCTTTCTCGGTTTTGTCAGATAATTGATGTTATTAGTGTAAGTACTTGTAAAAAATTCAGCTTGCTTTGTTCATGATCATAGAATGAAGGAAAAGATTCCTGTACTGTGGCTTCTGAGAGTTATCAGATTGAAGTTCATGTTGCTTCAATGGTATACTATTTATTTTTTTATGTTTGAGTTTGAGGATTAATGTATTGATTTTAGATTCGTTCTGCAGAAGAATTATTGTTGGTTTCACGGCTGATCAAAGAAGCATGGATATTGCGTGAAACAGATACATGGAGCTCTACCCCAGAACAAGTATCGAATATGTCTATGCCGTCTTTAGATCAAATTTCAGTCCTTTTGGAACAGTGCTGTTGTAGTCAAAATTTGGGAAATGAAGAAACTGAGTAATATACGAAAATACTTTAAACTTTTGGAAAATACAATAAATGATGATTGTAATGGTTTTATTATAATGCTTTATAATTGTAGCTGGAACATGAAAAGTTTTATGTTGATTTATTTTCAAAAAAAGTGTTTTTAGGGGATATCAATATGATAAAAAATGCAGAAAGTAGGTACATTATTACGAGAAAAACATGTTTGGAATAGATTATGTTCATGGTGTACGAAAAAATTATACATATAATTGTCGATTTTTTTCGTCTACGGACAATCGGTGTGCTTTGAATGGATTGGCAAAAGTCATTGACATTAATCGTTGCATTGACATTATCTCGTGGGATTGGCTTGAAAAATGATCTTCCATGGAAATTGAAGTCTGATATGATGTTTTTTAGTCGAGTTACATCTGGTTTGCTAGTTACTCGTTCTACTGGTCAGATGAATGTTGTTTTGATGGGTCGTAAGACATGGGAAAGTCTTCCTGCTCATTCTAGGCCTCTTAAGAATCGAATTAATGTTGTTATTAGTCGTCAAGAGGTTCTTGATTTAGGGTAAATAATGTCAATTGAATTGCAAAAGTTGAATCGTTTTAGAGGTGGAGCGTACCATGCAAGATCTTTAGATGATGCACTGGCACTATTGTCACAGATTTATGACTCAACAAGCAAGATTCAATTGAATCGAGTCTTTGTTATAGGTGGTGGAGAGTTGTATAAGGCAGCAATGGAACATTCAAGGTTAAATCGTATTATAGCTACTGTAATTCACAATGAAGTTGACTGTGATGTATTTTTCCCTATTGATTTTCGGAGTTCTCAGTCATGTTTGCCTTGGAGAAAGCAAGATCATTCGGTTTTGGAGGCTTGGGTTGGAAGTAAAGTTCCTCAGGGTAAAATAAATGAAAATGGTTTTATTTACGAGTTTGAGATGTGGATAAGAGATATATAAGAAATTTTAGAAAGTATTCTTAAACGCGTTACACAAGGTTTGAAGCAATATAGTTTGATTAGGTAACTGGTTTTTTATAAAAGATAATGAGACGTTTTCAAAATATTTTAATTATGCCGGGTAGTGTGTAGAAACAAATGTATTGGAGAGGCATTCGAAATACTTTAATATCTTTAGCAATTGCATTTTATAAAGTTATGGATATTTGTTAATATTTATTTACTTGTTAATTAACAAAAATATATTGTTTTTGTTTTAATAATGTAGATTTCTATATGCTTTGGTTCTGAGTTATTAATATATCTTTAGTTATAGGACTTATAATTGTATTGAGTTATTTGTTTAAAATCAAATGGCTTTTCATAGGTTATGGTTAAATATTAAGTATTTTATAAAACTGTTTTTTAATATTGAATTGGCTTGGAAGTTATATATGATGGAAAGTAGTCTGATGGTGTTTTATTGTATTTTTATGGTACATGTTTTTTGTATAAATGAATTACGGTTTTATGTCTTATAACCATGTAGTCTTAGTAGTATTGTTTCGAGCGCCAGATACTGTCAATAAAGCCATTCAGATGCATCATTTAGTTTCTATCTTGAAGGATTTTTTAATTTTGAGATATAAGTTAAACGGATAAGTTCTGAAGGTCTTATATATGTTTTGCTACACATTTGTAGAAATTTTAATATTTTATTGAAAAAGTTGTGAATACTGACTATAGTTCGATGGTGTTATGTATATGTCTATGATTTTAGGCGTCATGAGGCTGTTCTACCGCTGAAAACCACCTAGTTTGAATTTTTTACGCTCATAGAAAAGATCTGTTCTTGAACTCCCCAAATTAATAATCTATACACCGTGAGCCAGAGAAATAAAATCTATCCAGTACAACCTTTGGACACCCATCACGGTCCTTTTCTAGACGTGTGCATTCAAAGCAATAGTATCCATCTGCAAATAAAAATCAAAGATTCCTTCAAATATAAAAAAATTACCAGATATCCCATCTCCCCCGCAAATAATACATTTGCTTTGATAGTTTCCAAATGAACACTCGTCACACGTCCTAACAAGAGTCGTTGGACGCACATATGAGTCGCAAACTGGGCATTTGCCATCACACTTGTCGCACAACTAAAATTCGTCAAAAAACCCTTCTAAATGGCCCTTTTTTAAGCCGAAAAAAAGCATACTCTCCCAATAGACACTCCTGGCTGCTTCCTGCACATTACAAGGTCCGGATGATGCTTTGACATGTCTTTTTTCTCTCACTTTGTTTCTTTTTGATGAATTTTCGATAAAAAAATTGAACGTATAATTATGAAAAAAACCGATGTAAAAATATACTTATTTTTGTAGATCTTTTGTGCTAATAAACTGCTTTCAGGAGCTCACAGGTCTCCATTGAGCCAAGTATGCCTTTATCTTTGCAGGATGGGTCGGAACCAGCGGAAAATTTGAAGCGCCGGATGTTGAGGCAGCATTCGTTGTTGAAGCGGCAGAGATTGAGTGAAAACGGCGGCAGTCGGCGGCAAATCATTGATTCAGATGATCAGAAGCGTGCCCAGCGTTTTCTTGGGACTTTGATGGGTACATTAGGGAAGTTTCAGAAAGAATCAGCTTTTTTGCAAGAAAAAAATGCAAAAAGAGCAGAAATTGAGGCTAGATTGGCAGAATGCATGCGTAAGGAGAAGGAGGAGATAGAGGAGCGTGTACGTACGGAGCAGGATGAGAAATATCGGCGTGCAGAGCGGCAACGACGAGAGAATTTGCGTGAATTTGAACGGATGTCGGTAAGCTGATGGAAGAGAGGATATGGGTGCTGTTTGTGTTGATGTGGGCTAGCTGGAGACGTTTTATAAGAATGAAATAGCAGCAGCACATTCTTTGAAGACAGTTACGTCGCCGGTATTGTTTTATCTTCCGTGGAAGCTTTCTCCAAAGGAAGAAGAAAAAGTAAGGATGCGGGTGGAGGACTTCGAAAGAATGTATCGGCAAGCACTTAGGAAGCTGGATGAGAGTTTTATGAGTGAGAATAGTATATATACTTCTGATAAACAGGTTTCTTTAGAGATCGAGCCGGAGACTCAGAATGAGATTGTGGAAATGGCAAATCAGGATGAAATCATTGACCCTATTGTCGGTTCTATGCAAGAAGATCGCTCTTTTTTACAGGATCGGGATGACCATCTGTCTTCGGTTGGTTCTGTTTCGGAGCTAATTCATGATTCAAAAGTTTCTGATCATAATGAAGATATGGTTGAATATTGATGAAAAAGTCCTTTAAAAACTTAGAAATGGTTTCTTCGTAAACACTTAGGATACTCTTTGCTATGCTGTTTCTTATTTTTTACTAATATATTTTACATTTTATTCATCATCTAATAAATATTCGATTTCCTGTAAAATTATATAGAGAAATACCATTTTTGTTTTCTATTCCTTTGTGTTTTTGTTTAATCTTTTCTTTTCTCTGTATTTTTATTCCTTCCTTTCTCCCCATTATATAAATCTGTTTTCTGTGCTTGTCGAGATCGCTGGTGAATCAAGACAACCAACTTTTTGTTGGTTCTCGGATGAGCGATGCAAAGGTCTTTATGGATGGTTTAGGGGCCGGAGATCAATGTAGTATTTGTTTAAACCCTCTTCTATGTTATTTGAAGGAAGATATGGGTTTTTTTCCCGAAAAAAATGCCAAAAAAACGACTTCTGAGGATGGGTTTTTTGATAAAATGGATGATATAGCTTATCTCGGGAGTTGTACTCACATGTTTCATCATCAATGCATTAAATCTTGGTTAAAAGTAGCTGGAGAAAGTTTTCTTTTGGTCAAATATTGATGATTTTTCATAGATTGCAAATACATGTCCTGTATGTCGAGATCGTTTTTATTGGGTGCGATTGTCACGCACTGTTGGAGGTATAGCGTTTGCTATATGTGTTGACTGTGTTTATCTGTTTCAGGTGCTATTTTTAAAGCTTATGCAGTAGAAAATAAAGTGAATTCTGGAAATAATGATATATCGAATGTGGTCGAGGAAAGCTATGATACATGTAGATGTATTATTTGCGGGAGTTCAGAGGATGAACATGTTCTTTTGCTATGTGATCAGTGTGATGATGCATACCATACATATTGTTTGGGATTGGAGGAAGTTCCTGACACTGATTTTTTCTGTCCAACTTGTATAACGCTTTCTGGGGAATGTTTGTTGCATTTTTCCAGACGTTCTTCATTTTCTGGGCGTAATACTCGGAGAACTACTCTCCAGAGATCAAGTGGTGTTAGAAGTCGTCGCAGGGCTGATGTTTCACTTACTTCTGCTCGTGCAAATGCTACAACTTTTATTGCACCAAATACTAGTTCCAGGTTTGGTGAAATAGCTGGTGTTTCTTTGTCGAATAATTGGTTGCAAAGGGCATATTATCAAGATAGTTTTTGGCGATCGTGGAATGTTGGAATAGAAAGTCAAAGAAGTAATTTATCTTCTATTTCATTGGCACGTAGAACAGGGCTTTTATCTAATTCTGGGAAGTCGTGGATGGCATTACCGAATCCGTTGAGTCCTGAAGAAAAGGCATGGGAGATGTATGATGTTCAAAGGTCTGGTGAAAAGTTTGAAAAATACAAAGATAGTTCATCTAAAGATGATCTTTCATCTCCTGCGTTTCAAAGGAAATATAAACGTCCATTAATAGCAAAGGATGAAATAAAAAATGAGATTCATATTCCAAAGGAGTGTGTAGATAAACTTTGTGATGATAATTGTTCTGTTACATATGCTAAAGGAAAGGCTAAAGAAAAATTTGGTAGCCAGATTGGTTTTTTGCAGAATTTATTGGATGATATATCAAATACTTCAAGTTATTCGTCTCGATTGAACTCCGATGTTCAGGTTTCTGAAAAATGTTACGATAAAGTATCTACTATTGGAAGTTCTGAGGAAAAGGATAATTCTGTTTTTGTCCAAAGTATGTTATCTAAAACAAATGTTCATGATGGAAGTTTTCTTCAATCGGTTTCAAGTACGTTTTCAGGGATACAATCTAAAAAAACACATCATATTTCATCTATATCTCCTTCATCTTTAACTTTATCGGAATCATTTTTGGCTACGTTTTCTTCTTTTTCATCAAAGTCTGCTTCTAAATCATCTACTGTATCTCCTGGGAGGAAAATTGCATTTACAATTAAAAAGAAAATTGAGAAAATCGTTTCAAAAGAGCTTCGATTATACTATCCTGAAAAAATATCAAAAGATACTTGTAAATTAATTAATAAGCGAGTATGTCGGATGATTTATGAAGATGTTGCACTTTTAGGTGAACATATGTTTGATGATTTTAACGATATATGGTATGATAAAATTAAAGCTGCTGTTGTGCATTTGATAGAGGATTTTGTGCATATATAAATTATGTGTCATATTTTTATAATGGGTTTGTTTTTACGCACAGATTTGCTCTTTTTGTTGATTGTATTGAATCATTTGAGTTAATATCTATAACGAATGTAAATGTATTTTTAAGTATTATAGTATATCTGTTTCAAGTTTTATTTTGATTGGTTTTTTTGCTTTAAATTTGTTTAATGCTGCAATCTGAATTGAAATTTTTAAATTTGTAAATTGTTTTGATCTGGAATTTGCATGGAATTAAATATAACAGTAATTTATTTAAAATGTTTTTAGGTATTTAGAAGAATTAATATATTTTAAATTTAGTTTCATAAAAATATATAATATATAGATATTTTGAAATTAATAAAATTGTTTTCCTTGATTATTTTTAAGTCGCATTTAAAATATATTGTTAATAAAGATATATAAAGAATTTTTCAGTTTAATAATATTTACCTAGTAATATTTATTATAAATATTTTTAGTTATATGCATTATTTTATAGTTATTTTATAAAGATTTATTTTTTTAATTTAAAATGTATTTTTGTTAAAGTTATAAAGATATAATAAAAATTCAAATGATTATGTTTTTGGTGTTTAAATATGTAAATTTTTGGTATTTGGAACTATTTACCAGGACGTTTAGGTTTTAAGAATGATTTTTCTTTTTTTTCTATAGATGGATGAAGAATTGAATAAAGCATTGTTTTATTGATATCAATAAGATCGTCTGTTTCAATCTAATAAAAAAAGTTAAATTCCTATCATTTCAAATATATTCTTAATTAAAAATACTTTCTTATCAATATGAATCCATTGCTTAACTGTTGATAAAGCTAATAAACACGTTGAACTATAAAGCATACGTTCTTTAATGGTAGATGCTTTTGGACAAGTATAAATAAACACTAATATATATAGTTAGCTTACTTTTGTATAAAGCTTTTTCTTACTATTAGAAATTACTGTAGAATCGTTATAAGTGTGTTTCCATGAATAAATAGAATAACGTGGTGATGCTGATGATATAACATGCTGAATATTATCTGGTTCTACCAGTGTTGTCATTTCCAGATTTAATATTTCAGTAGAAGGATCATTGGCCTTTATTGTGTGAATACAATATTACAAGGAAAGTGATGTTTTTACCAGTTGTACAAAATTAAATTCCTTAGTACTTTCTGAGAGTTTTTTAATACAAGTCTTTGCTGCTTCGCTAATATTTAAGAAAAGTTTGTCGTTTATGTGTCGTCTTTGAAAAAAGCAATCTGATATATATTCCTATTCACTATTTAGGCCTTTTTTTTTTGTTTTTTTTTGAAAAAAAATATACTTGGGAATTTTTTGCATTTTGAAGATCTTTTTCTTTATCTGACAACAAATTTTCTCTCACCTGTACCTCTAATTGTTCTTCAAACAACTTCTTACTTATTTCCTCTTTGTTGCTTGCAAAAACGTTTTTTAAAATTTTATTTGAGCCTAATGATTTGACTAATGTATGGCGTGTAGATGCATAAATCATTTTGTCACGAATCTAAAGCTATCTTAAGCTATATTTCAATGCAGAGTAATAAAAACTTTTGCATTTTCTGGAACATAATATATCAAAAGCATTTTCATAGGGTCCATATCTTGAAACTTACATAAAACATACGCTGGTTCTATGTCATTTAAAACAGACCGTACGGATTCCAAATTTTTGCAAAAATCATTAGATCTTGAAATATAGTTGTTTTTTATTAGGGATTCTATGAATTTTATATAGATTTTTTCATTAAATATTCTATTTACCTTGAAAAATAGAGATTTTCATAGCAAAAATATCTGTGTTTTCTAAGAACGTTTGGAAGTCGCTCAAAAACCCTTCTGCTGCACAAATACCAGATATTGTAGACATTTTTATTTATTAGGATTCCTTTTATCTATTGATCTATTGAGTAGTTGTTGTGTTTTATTTTAAAAAGTTTAAGTGAACGTTGATATAATAATTACGAAGATATTGAACTTTAGAAAAATACAAAATATAAAAAAAAAACTTTATACGGGGAAATACTTTGAAAAGAACTATATATAACTATATATATTTTTTTATTTTTTCTCTTTTTTCATTTTTTATCTTTTTTTCTTGAAGAAAAAGCGAAGTATAGGTAGAAAAAGATATAAAGATATTTGAACTAATCTCTGACAAGTCTGCAGATTTTAAAATCTATATATTTTTGCTTTTTTTCATTGTTTCTTATATGAGATTTCCAAATTTGCGTTTTTTTTCATGTTTTAGTAGAATTTTGGAAGAAAATGATATTGAAAAAATGATCAGTTATCCTATAGATGAATTACAGCCAAAAATACCACGTCTGTACCGTATTTTAGTTGCAACAGTGCTTCTAAGATCTCCTATTATATCTCCTGAACAAACGCCTTTTGAAAAGGCTTATTATGCATATCAAAGACAATTGAGTGAACGATTGGCTGCACCTTTTCCTGTAGAATTTTATTTTAAAAAGGGCTCTTTGGCTGAAAAAAAATGGCATGAGAATGAGGCAAAAAGACGCAAAACTGGTTTTTTTTCTGACGATGTTTATGATGAAGCTCGAGAAGAAAAAGAGCGTATTGCTTTGTCTCGTGAAACAGAAGCAGACCGCAAGGGAGACTTGCGTAGTTTAGAAAGGAAATTAGACAAAACACTTTATCTTCTTGTGAAGAAGCCTAGAGAAGAGCACTGCTGGCAGTTCCCTCAGGGCTTAGTAACAGACGATGATGTGCTGCATACTGTATATCTATTAATGATGTTATTAATTGTTAACAAGTACAGGCAGCTAAAAGATCGCTGAGCAATATTTGTGGAAATAACATGAATATTTGGTACGTTGGTTGTACACCAATCGGCAATGGTAAATATAAATATCCGGAGGGGTATAGTAATGAATTTTATGGTGCTAAAGTGGGACCATTTTTTTTAAATATGTCACTGATATTAGTACAGATATTTTTCATGAGAGCTCGTATAATGGCTGGACAAGTAAAGCTGAACAGTACTGTTGCTGTTGATTGGGTATGGGTTACAAAAGATGAGATACGACAATATGTTTCAAAAACTTATTGGAATAACATCCGTGCTATGCTTTCATAAATCTTTTTGAATCTTTTAATGTACACCTTTTCCTCATTTCCCCTTGCTTTTCCTGCTTATTTTATCATTTTGTGTTTTTAAAAAATTCATCTTGAGCTTTGTTTGTAAGCACTCGTATCAAGGATTTTCTTTCCACATATGCTACCTATTTTTTTTTAGCAAATACGGAAGCTCTGTACCATAATACATTTTCCTTGTTTGTACGCACAGCTAGGACAGTATTTTGCGCCAAGATGGTGTGTACGTTGCTTGCAAACGCTGCACCCTGTCCCATAAGGATCATATCTATTCATAACTAAGCCACAACGTCTTTTTTTTGCCAAAAACTGACCTTTTTTTGGCCGACGTGCTTAATAATTTATTTTCTCCTATTTTTCTCTCTGAAGACGCTACTAATTTTGACATCTCACTTCCCATATATATTTCTGACCGTTTCTTGACGCTTCAATGCGAAATTAGTGCTTATTCTTCTGAATTTAACTCTTTTTAAACCTTGGTGTTGCCAACAATGTACGTTTTTTTTCACACTAAAAATGTCGGAAAAAAACCAGGAAAAGAACATTATACCTTTTCACAAACCATATTTTGTATTTCTTTGTTATTTCCGTTTTATTTTCTGTAAAAATCTTTTGTTTTTCAATAATTTTGATCTGAATTTTGACACAATTTGATGATCTACGATTTGCCTACAGTTCCTGCCATTAGATAGTCGTTGCTTGGATACTGTTGCCTGGATACTGTTTCCAAGCAACCACCTCATCCATATTTATATCTCTCATCAGCTCTTAATTCACTTTCAATTAGAATATCTTTGAGGATTTTGAACATGAGACGAGTAGTTGTAACAGGAATTGGACTTGTTACACCTCTTGGAACAGGAGTTCGTCATTGCTGGCTGCGTTTATTGCGTGGCGATAGTGGAATTGTATCGTTAAAAGGTCTAGATGATGATGATCGATATGAAACATTGCCGTGCAAAGTTGGGGGATTGGTGCAGAAAGGGGCTTTTCTGGACGGTTTCTGGGATGCAGAAGAGTGGATTGGCAAGGATGTAGCTTTTTTTCCGGGTTTTTTTGGCTAAATTTAATGATTTTTCAGAATCTTCGTAGGATGGCTACATTTTCACAATATGCTGTTGGTGCATCAGTTCAGGCTATTCAAGATGCAGGAATAGATTGCTATTATGGTGAATCGGTTGTGTGTTTTGCCGCAGTTTTGTATTCGATGTTTTAAATGGGCTAGGGTGTATGTATTGGCTCGGGTATAGGAAGTTTGCAAGATTTTGTAGAGACGTCAAGTAAATTTGAGAAATATGTAATTTTTTCTTTGATTCCGTCTGTTTTTGAGCTTCTTTAGGGGTGGAAAAAAGTTGTGCCTCTTTTTATTCCGAAAATTTTGGTGAATATGGCTGCTGGACACTTAGCAATAAGATATGGGTTTCGTGTGGCTAATTTCTATTTTTGAAGTTGTTTGTATTTCTTACGGTATCAGGGACCTAATCATTCGTGTTCTACTGCCTGTACTACTGGAAATCATTCAATTGGTGATGCATTTCGATTTATTCAGTACGGAGATGCAGATATTATGATTGCAGGTGGTTCTGAAGCATCTATTCATCCCCTAGCAATTGCAGGGTTTTCAAGGTATCTATTATATTTCTTGACATACTCTTTTTATAATTAAGTGAAGAATAAAAAGTCTTTCAACAAAATATAATGATGTGCCATCAAAATCATCTAGACCGTTTGACAAAGACCGTTGTGGATTTGTCATTGGTGAAGGTTCTGGAATTGTGGTTTTGGAGGTAATAATTTTATTTATTTATTTATATTTATTTTGTATTCTAGGAATTAGAACATGCTCGTGCTCGTGGTGCAAGGATTTATGCAGAGTTACGAGGATATGGTTTATCTTGTGACGCATACCATATTACCAGTTCTTCAGAGGAGGGTATGGGTGCTCAACTTTCTATGAAAAATGCTTTAAAACATGCTCGTTTAAAACCTTCAGATGTCGATTATATAAATGCACATGCAACATCTACATTACTAGGTGATATGGTTGAAAATAAGGCTATTAAAAAAGTTATGTTAGGGCCTAATGGGAAATTGAGCGCTAAAGAAATTAATGTATCAAGTACGAAAGGTGCTACAGGACATATGCTTGGTGCTGCTGGTGCTGTAGAGTCTATTTTTACTGTGCTGGCTATTTATCATGTAATATTCTATTTTTATTCTATTTTTATTCTATTTTCTTTACATATCAATAGAGAATAATGCCACCAACATTAAATTTGGAAAATCCGGGAGAGCCTTCAGAAGAATTTGATTGTAATTATATACCATTATATGCTCAAGAAAAAGAAATAAAGGTTGCGTTAACTAATAGTTTTGGTTTTGGTGGAACTAATGCATCACTTTGTTTTACGGAATATAATGATTAAATTATATTTAGGTAAAGTAGTTTTGGTAATTATAATTAGCGTTGATATTTGTGATACTTTATTCTGGAGTTTGATGATATTCGACTTCGTATTTTCCCCGTTCTCGGGTAGTATCATATGCACGTATAAGTTTTGTCTGGCCACTATCTCCTTGACTAAAAGCATATCCCCTTTGTAGTTTGCTTATTCTCTGGATATTTCTTACTTTCCTAACTGTTTTTTGAAACAGTTCCGTTCTAAAGATAATGTAAATATTGGTTTTAATAGATATATGGTATTTACTTTGATTTATATTCTGTAGTGCTAAGTTTTTGAATTTCTTGGATACGGTGATAAGCTTGTGGATAATAACTTCGTTTATAGCTATATGATGTTATAAATAGTTAACACTTGTTTACTTATTTACTATTTCCATGCAAAATCTCGTAATAGGCATAATGTTGGAAGGATTAAAATAGTAGCCCAAAATACTAGTGATGTATATAAGCGTGAATTAATTCCATAATATTCCACAGAAATCCCGAGTTTTGGTGCAATAATAGTGTATATAGGCAAAAATGTTAACCATATAATAAATGATCCAGGTATCGCTAAAATAGTATATGTTGTCCATGAACTAAAAATAATTAATGGGTGTTATAAAAAAGAAATCAAAAATAACTTTATAATTAATGCTGCTTTTCCTAATACTGTAGCAAGAACAGTAGCATAAAGGGTTGTTCCCCAAACCCAATGACCTCCAATTTTTCCATCTGCTTGCGGTAAATCATTTTTAAATATGTACTTTGATGTAAAATAAAGAATAAGTGAGTGATAAAAACCATTTGCTATCCATGACCAAAAACTTTTTACATTAAACTAATAAGAAATAGTTAATTAGTAAAAATTTTGATATTATACTTACAAAAGTTTTAAACTGGCCAAGTTTATAAAGTTGTGGGTATCTATTTAATAGTCTTGCGCTTAAAAATTGATCAAACACACCTATTGCTATTGGTGGAAGAAAAGTAAAAAATACATTATAAAAAGATATAGTCCATGATTCAAATATAACTTGACCGGAAAATCCATTATTAAATGCATACTATTTAAATACATTAAAATATATTAGAATTTAAAATAATTTACCCAAAACTGTGTCATATGAAGAGAAATATTTTTATAAAAAGAGTAGAGAATTAATTTACTTAATCGTTGATAACTCCATGCTCCATGAACTAATAATAGTTTTTTTAAATATCGAAATTGTCCAATTGCAATATCAGCACTTCGAGCAGCTTGTAATCCTTCTGTACCACTTATACCAATACCTACATTTGCAGCTTGTATCATTGATATGTCATTTGAGCCATCCCCGATAGCTAAAAGTGTTGCTTTTAGATGTTTTTTAATAAGAGTTACAACTAAAGCTTTTTGCAAAGGGGATGCTCTACAGCATATTACTGTTCTACATAACACAGCAAGATTAATGAATTTTTTTTCAATATCCTTTTCTAGTGCATACGCTAATGAATATCCATCAATTATTAAAGCCAATGTTTCTGTTTCAATTTTAGTTTTATTTTTGACATATTTTAGTTTTTTGGTTATATAATCTGAGATTTTTTTTTTTGTTTCTCCATTTATAATAATGATATTCATGTCTTCAGTAATAAGTTTACAGCTTATTCCAACATTTATAGCAGTTTCTTTGTGATCACCTGTAAGAACCCAGACTTTAATTCCAGCTAATTGAAGTGTATGAATAGTTTCAGGTACTCCGTCTTGAAGTTTATCTTCAATAGCAGTAGCTCCTAGAAGAAAAAGCTCTTTTTCTATTAATTCAGATACTTTATCTAATTGAGCAGTACGATTGTTGATAGATGTTGAAGCTTCATCATACATAATGGACCATTCCTGATATTCTTTTTCAGAAATTTCCCTCATAGCTAAACATAATGTTCTAAGTCCGCTTATAGCATAGTCTTCTAAATGTTGTAATGTTTTTTCACTATAAAGACTGTTTTTTGATAATCTTTCTAAAATCACTGTATCTGCGCCTTTACAATAAAGTCTAATTTTACCATCTGGACAAAGAAGGATTACCGACATTCTCTTTCTAGATGAATTGAATTCACAAATATTTAAAACTCTAAATTCATGTTCTTCTCCTTGAATAGATACAAAAACAGATCTAGGACGGCGTTTTGTAAATATATATCCTAATTTTGCTGCTCCCTTGACTAATGCACCTTCATCTGGAGATGCTGCTTGGTATATGATATCATCTTGCCCATCAATTTTTTCAGGTATAACTGTATGACATGTAGCAAGTAAAATAAGAGCATTATGAATAATGTTTTTTGATTTGTGTGAATGAAGATTTTTATTTAATTGCTTAAAATCAAAAATATCACATTTTTGATGTGGATTAAGTATTAGTTTTTTATCAGCATTGTCCATATAAGATATGCCTGCAATTGATAGTTTACAAAATTCCATTTGATTGCATGTAAGAGTGCCTGTCTTGTCAGTGAAAATATATTCCACTTGTCCTAGTTCCTCAACTAAATTTGAAGTTCTACAAATAGTTGGAATGTCATCACGTTCATAATACATATCTAAATCATTATTAATAAGCTGTGCCTGTGCATATTTCACAAGTTCGATTGTTACAAAAAGGCTGATAGGAACAAGATTTGAATATAAAACACAGAATGTTAAAATATTTAAAAAAAATGTTTTTACTTTGTTTTTTTTTTCAAGATAAAGATAACCTAAATTTTTTTCATGAAGATGCTGTTTGATAATTAAACCAATAGAAGATGCTAATGAGAGAACAATAAGCATACAGAAAAGGAAAATAATCTGAATATTAACAATTTTTTCTATAGCTGTTTGTTTTATATGAGAAGATGTTGTATTCTTCATTAATTTTGTTTCATGTCCTGTAAAAACAACAACACCATATATCCACGACGTATTCCGAAGAAATGCACCTCGTAAAAGTAATTGATCTGCAGTTAAAGGAAGTTCCCTTTTTCCTACATCAGTGTTGAGAATAATTGTTGCTTCATATGTATAAAGACTATTATTAGGATGTTCTGAATGTATTTCTCCTGATAGTTGGGCAAGTATTCTATGTGATATAAAACTTGATGTTTCTGGAAGAGATTGTTTAATTTTTAAGTTGGTTTCTCCGTCAAGGTTGGATGTTTCGATATAGCAAAGACCTTCTGGTTCAGAAGAAGAGATAAGAACAAGATCTGCAGGAAATATTTGTCCGGATTCAACACGAACAATATCACCGACGCAAATATTAACCCATTTTCGAATAATAAAAGATGTTTTTTCGAAAGTATATGCTTCTGATTGATTGAGTTCTTTGTCTTGTGAACGCCGTTTAAAATCTTCTATAAGTTCTTTAAATGCTGAAATAAGAAGAACCACTATCAAAGGCCCAATTGTTGTCCAGCGGTTAGTAGGTGAAATATTATGTATTTGTTGTATACATGATGTAAAAAGAAAAAAAAGATTCGCATATTTTGAAAATTGTTCGAATAAAAATTTTGGAAGAAATGTTGCAATATTATATTTTGTTGTGGATACATAATTGTTACAATAATTGAATGGTGCATTTTTAAAACGATTATTAAGATATATGATTCGATAATTTAATTTTTTTTTTTGAAAAGATTGTTTTTGAAAATATGATGAAAATTTTCTATATAAACCAAAACGGTAAGCTATAGAATGCTTTTTTGAATGTGTTTCATCCTTTTTTATGTTTTTCTTATTACAGTTTTCAAGTAATGGTTCTTCTGTAGGATAATTTGTATTTACTTGTTCAGAATTAGAAATATTTTGATTTGCTTTTCTAGAACGATTGATGAATTGTCCTATACTAATGCATCTAAAAAAACATTTGTTAAATTCTTTTGTAAATGTCAGTTCATCTGTCTGTATATTATTGCAATTCTCTGATTCTGAATAGGATGTATCATTAAAATCGGTGATTGTGGGTTCACGCGTTTCCGCGTCTTCAGATATGATATGGTCAAATGTGCTAGATTCTACATCCATTGACAACTGTTGTAAATCTAATGAAGATCGTTCTAAATCTACTAATGAATGACCTTGTTCATTTTCAATTGAACATAGAGTTTTTTTATTCATGTAGTTTTTAGAATATTTTGGTGTATCGTCTTATTGACAATAAATTAAACTAGAAACTGTACTTATTATAGTGTCAATTTTCCCTAAAATCTTTATTTACATTCATGAAATGGCTTAAGCTTTTATTTATTTCTTCATTTATGTTTACTTAAACTTATAAAAGGTGTTCATTGATGATTTTCGATAGGGTTTCTCGATAAGAAAAATCAATTATTGTTTATCTATTGTAGAAAAATATATTAATTTCCATAGTTTTTAGATATATAGGCTTATGTGACTAGAAAAAATGTACTTCTAGTGTTTTTATTGTTTTTTTTCTAAATGAAGTGTAATTGAATCAGAAATAAAAGTGGAATAGAATTGGATGAATATTTCATTTTTGTATTCTTAATGGTGGTTAAAGAAATATTTTTTAAATATTTCTGGAAGCCTTTGTATTATTTAGCAGGAAGATGTATAGTTGATTGAGTATTTTTTTGATGTATATAAAAAATTTTTTGATAAAGAAGTAATGATTTTGATTTGCAAATTTTAATAGATAGTGTTGTTTAATTTCTATTTTTATTTAATTGAATAATTTGTTGTAAATCTGTGTAGAAAAAGTCAAATTAGTTTTAAAAAATGATAAATAATATGTTCTGAGCAATATTAATTTTTCTATAGATGTTCAGAGTTTTTATGTATTTTTGTCATTGAGTACAGAAGTTGGTAGATGTAAGTTATAATAAGACAAAGCAAATCATGAATACAAAATAAATTTAACTTATGTAAATAAGAAATATTAAAATGTATTTAAATATGTATATCACTAAAATGAATTGAGTTTTAATTTATGACAAATATTTTTTCGATAATACAGTAATTTTTTGGTTGAGAAATTATCTTTTGATTAGAAAAAACTATTATATTATTTTAAGAAACTTTAAATTTATTTTGAAATTCATTTTTATTTTTATTGTATTTTTTTTAAATTGGATTATTTTGGAGTATACGTTAATTTAAAAAAGTCGAAAATTTAAGCATTTTTCTTTTAATGTTTTATTATTTTTAAACTAAATATATAGATCTTATAATATTTGCTTACTTTTGTCTGATTTGTATTCATTGAAACTGAATTGTTTCTGTTTTATTTTAAAAAGATTTTTTCTTTCTCTATTTTTTTGTTTTTGTTTCAAAGAAATTCTTTATTATCCAATAATTCTATTATATATTATGATATTTATTTTTTTATGATTTTTAACTTTTTTTATTAGTAAATGCTTTTTCGAGATGTTTGAATATATGTTAGTCTATTGAATAGACAGCTTAATATGAGAAAATATAAAATCATATGAAATGTCAGATAAAGAGAATAGTAAGTTTGAATTTGAGTTAGAAATTAATAATAACTTTATTTTTTACTAAAAGATGCACTTTGGTCGCCAGTGGTTTCTGCTTTATTTTCTGAAAAATCTCTTTCTTTGTTTGATGAAAAGGCCAAGAAATTATCAGTTAAGCTTTATAACAAAGACAAAGATTGGAAGGAAAATGGACAATATTTCTTTGAAATTGCAGAAGAATTGGATAAAGAAGGTTTTTACATTAGTGCTGCTTCTTCTTTGTTTAATGTTTGATAGAACCAATGGCATTATGGCGTGAATTGAATCCAGATACACCTGGTTCGCCAATAACAACAATTTTGGACATAGATGAATTTGAAAAATATGGATATAATCCTCTTTCTGAAACAATGAAATATATTCATTGTAAAAAATGTGGAAGAGTGGTTTTACAGACGGTTTTTTATAAACATGAAAAGATTTGTAATCAATTGCAAGATAATGATGTAACGGTGTTGAAAAAGGGTTATGGAAAAAATGAAAGAGATTTGCAAAATACATCTATTAAACGATTTAAAAAAAGACTTCATTTTGATGCTGGTAAGAATTGATTATCTTTGTGAAATTTTACTAGTAAATTTTCAAGATTCGGATTCTTCTATTCTAGATGGTCTACAAAGAGCTTCAAAAATCAGTAAATATGATTACAAAAATAAAAGTGAACTTAAGAAGCTCAAATCAAAAAATATTCTAACTAAACAAAAAAGTGTGTGTATTTCGACTTTACTTTTTCTAATTGCTGTAGACTCTATTGATTTAGAAAAGCAATGTGGTGTTCTTCTTCCAAACGGCAATTTATGTTCCCGCTCTCTTACATGTAAATCACATTCCATGGGGGCTAAGCGTGCTGTTCCAGGTAGATCGCAGCCTTACGATATTCTTTTGGCTCATTATCAAAAGAAAAACCAAATTAAACAACAAAGTATTCATGGGTTTTTTATTATAATTGTTTTTTAAATTGCTGTTAGAAGCTGCAACAATTTCTTCTGTTTTTGACGAATATGCGTCTGATACAAAACAAGTCGATTCTGAAGAAGAAGTTGCTTTAGTAATGGAATCTATTTTGTCTAGTTCTGCTTGTCCATTGGAGAGGAAAATTATGGTTCCAGTACGTATAAAGCGTCGTTTTTTTCGTTTTCAAGAAATGTTTTCGACTGTCTTCTCTCAAGACCAATGGCCCGGGAAAATTAAAGACCAATGGTCTGAGAAAACTCATGATTCTACTGATGATTGTTCTGAAAATGTTATCCCATTTCATGTTAATTCAGATTGGATTCCTGATGAAAACAGCCAGTCATCTGTATCTTGATATCTATATTATTATTTCTACCGGAGAGCGTTACTTTCTCTAATTACATCTTTTATATTTGCTTTCTAGACTATTCATTTCATCTATTTTTATTTTATATCATTATGTTACTGTGGTAACAATGTTTATTTTTATTCGATATTTTAACTTAATATTTTTAGATATTATTTAAATATAATTTTATGGAGTTTGAAGGGAAATATACTTTAGTGTGAGGGTTATGAAGGTTTCTGTACATCAGATAGACTTAGGATTGTCACATATGTCTCTTAATGAGAATCTTAATTCAGGATCAATATATCAAAAACCAGTATCAAAAGTAAATAAAAAGAAATGGAAGAAAAGTGTTAATTGTTTTTAGCAACTAGTGAAATCCCAGGCAATTAAGGTCGTTTTGAAAAACCAGGCTAGTACTCGACATCCACTGCTTAAGCTTGCAGTACATAATCAAAATAGTCAGGTTAATGGGAGCAATATTTTACAATCTAAACAAACAACGAACTCGTCTTCCGTTGTAGCGAATGTTGTCAATATTCCTGCACAGCAATGGAGGATGTCACAGATGTCATCGTTATCTCCTGGAAATTCTAGGAAGATAGCTGGTTTATCTTTGACTGGAGATAGGGCATCCCTTGATGAAAATAAAAAAGTGGCCATTCCGCAAAGTGTCTCAGAAGTTTATGAATATCATCTTGGGATGTTTGAAATTGGTCGTCCTCTTGGAAAAGGAAAATTTGGAAGGGTGTATCTTGCTCAAGAAAGGCGAACAGGTTTTATATGTGCTTTGAAAGTTCTACACAAGTCGGAATTAATGCAGTCTAAAATAGAGAAGCAAGTGAGGAGAGAGATTGAAATACAGTCTAATTTAAGGTAATATTATAAAAAGTATTTTTTATGTTGAAATGATTAGGCATCCTAATATTTTGCGTATTTATGGTCATTTTCATGATTCAACACGAGTATTTCTTATATTGGAGTTTGCTGGGAAAGGCGAATTATACAAATATCTGCGTAAAAAGGGGAAATTTTCTGATTCAAAAGCATCTGAAGTATGTTTTTGTGTTATTTAGATTTTATTTTAATATATCAAGTATATAGCACAAATGGCATCTGCATTGTCGTATTTGCACAGAAAACATGTTATACATAGGGATATAAAGCCTGAAAATATTTTACTTGGAATTAATGGAGAAGTTAAATTATCTGATTTTGGTTGGAGTGTTCATGCGCCAAATTCAAGGTAGATATTTGTTATTTTTTTTCATATTTTTACTTCATAGGCGAAATACTCTTTGTGGGACTCTTGATTATTTGCCTCCTGAAATGGTGGAGGGACGCGATCATAATGAAAAGGTTGATATTTGGTCTTTGGGTGTTCTTACATATGAATTTCTTGTTGGTTCTCCTCCTTTTGAAGATCTTAGTGGGTACCCTGCTACGTATAAACGAATTGCGAAAGTAGATCTTAAAATACCTGATCATGTAAGCCCTGAAGCTAAAGATCTTATTACTAAGGTATTTATATTTTTGTAAGACAAGTTAAATAACATTTAAGCTTTTACAACATAATCCTGAGAAAAGATTGGCTCTTGATCAGGTTCCATTGCATCCTTGGATTCAAAAATATAAAGATAGTTGGTTGAAACAGAGGAATTCTGGTTAGTTTTATATTTAAAAATAATATATAAATTTTTGTATTTTTCATTATAATATTTTGGTTTAATATACATAAATGATTGAAATCATTTTTAAAATTATAAAATACAAAAATCTGTCATTTAATGTTTTTTACCTTTTATCATAAATACTATTTGTAGATTGCTCATTTTCTTTTAATTTTTCATTAAGATAGTTTGTTATTTCCAACGCTTTTTTTGATGCAAGTTGTAGACATTTAAGAATATGTGATGTTTGTAAAATGACTCCTCCTACTTTTGATATCTGACAAATTTCTTTGTTTTTGTTTAAAGTAATTACCATGCTTCCTTCCCTTAACTTTTCCTCTTGTAATGTTGTATCCATAAGTGATATTTGATTTTCATTGAAAAAACTAAATGTAATAGATATCGGAATATGTGTTAAAATAAGTGGAACAGGAACACGTTCTTCAATGGAATGCTATTCATTAAGTAATAATTATTTTTAAAAAAAACACCAAGCTTACCACAATAACTTTTTCTCCCTCTACAGTGACAACTGGTTTTTTAAAATGATATAATGCTGCAACTACCGCAATAGATGTTGCATCTATAAGGTTTCCATCATGATCTAAATAATGGACATCTGCACGTATACTCCAACATTGTTTTCCATAAATAATACAGAGAGATTCTTTGTCTAACATATGAGATCTTCTTATTGCTTTGTCAATAATACTTGAAACTGTCATTTCTTCTGAAAGTCTGAAGAAAATTAAGTATATAAAACTATTTTTGTATATTAAACCTCCAAGACTCAAAAGAAGACACAATTGGTGTCATTTCTATATCAATTGTGAAGATTCCTTCATAAGGCTTGTCTGGATAAGGTTCTGTAATTTCTGCTGAGATACGAACGAAAATTCTATTTGTACAAGAAAACCATAAAAATTAAATAAAAAAATGAAGCTACCTTGTCTTTCCAAGTGAAAGCTCTACATGTCCATAAGAATTTCCAAAGTTTAGCTTTAGATCTCTCCAAACATCAAATCCTCGCCCATCAAGTCTAAGATTGTTATTTAACGCTTCAAGGATAAATTCTTTTTCGTTTAAAGACAGATCAATGTCTTTTGGCATATTTTTCTTATCAATATTATGGAATTGTGCTTAATATTATTTTTTTTTGTTTAAATTTTTTATAATATTTTTTTGGTAAATCCATGAAATTGCCATGCTTATGTTCGTCTCGAGTTAAAAAAATGTTTATCTTTAAAGTGTAAGGAAAAGGATTAATAAGTGCACAAACCTTAATAAAAATATAGAAAATATCATTTATAATACGTATAGTTTCTTCAGTTGTTCGAATAAGTCAAGATAATTGAATTAATATTGAGAAATTCTTATTTTAAAGCTTATCTTAAATAAAGATATTGAAATTTGACTTTTTTATATAAATAATATAAACAAAGTGTAAATATAGACGAGAAAATATGACTACAGCACATAGGCATGTTTATGTCTATATTTTTTTGGAGTTGTATGTTTTAATAAAGATCTAGACCTACGTATGATCCTGTAAGAGGAAAGTCTAATGAACAAGTAATATTTAGTATAACTCTTTATTTTTGCTTACTATTGTTAGGCACCTACACGTATGTTTTCTTCTAGGTCTTTACCTGCACATACTGTGCTTAAATTTAGGTGAATATATTGGTAATAAGGACTAAAGAAATTAATGTTAAAAGACGTTCAGGGCAAGCAAGCACTAAGGAGATAGAACAACGTGACCTTCGTGCAGAACTTTTAGAGGCAGAGGCTGCATATTTTTCTAAAAAAAATGATCCTTATGATATTAAAAAAATATCTCAAAATGATGAATCTTTGAAAATTGATGATCCTAAAATAAAACGTGTAAAAATTCTTGAGGAAACAAGACTTATAGATGCAGATTATGATGGTGATGATAAAGATGAGAAAAATGAGGATAGTGAAAACAGGTTGGCTTAATGGATTTATGTTTAGTTGTTAATATTGAGTAGTGAAGATGAGGATGATGAGGATGAAACTGCTGAGCTTTTAAGAGAGTTGGATAAGATAAGACGTGAACGTGCTGAAGAGAAAGAACGATCTGTAATATATTAAAAAAGTCTTGACTTTGATTTTAATGTATTATAGGAACGTGAGAAAGCTCTCCAGAATGAAGAACAAAGAGAAAGGGAAATAGCTACAGGCAATCCTTTGCTTAACTTAACATCGAAGGACTTTAGTGTAAAACGCAGGTATATATTTTTTGTTTTTAATTTAAATTCAATAAAAAAAATTAGATGGGACGATGATGTAATTTTCAAGAATCAGGCAAAAGGCATTTCTGATATTCCAAAAAAGGAATTTGTTAATGATCTTTTACGAACAGAATTTCATAGGAAATTTATGAAACGTTATGTTAAATAATTGTTATTTAAATTTTTTGTTTATTAGTTTTTTTAATTTTTAAGAAATAAGATTTTATACTAGTTTTTATTGATCTTTAATTTTGTTTTGAATCTTTATATTTTATAACTATTTGACGACTCATTGACAGATCTCTTTTTTAAAATATACTTTGTATAATAAAGTTTTGACTAAAAATGTTTATTTAATGTATGATTTTCGATTAGAATAATATATGTTATATTTAATAAAAATTTGGATAAACGCAACCTTAATAAATGGATCTGTTCAAGAAAAAATCTTGGTGCTTATATAAGTTGATTTTATATTAGCATAATTTATGATTTTTAATCATTTATTGATACTTATAGTAAAATCTTATGTTTATTTAAAATAAGTTTTCATAATTATTTTTTGAATTAGAAGTATTTGAAATAAGTCATAAAAACATAATTTTAAGATTAACACTTTTAAATTCATAATAAGCCCTTTTCTATTTCTTTCAAATATCTAACAAATCTTTTTTTATGAACCTAGTTATATTATTATTATTATTTTAAAAAATACATATACTTACCACTCCTATAAAATCAGCACCATCAAGTATACAAAGGTATCGCAAGCCAAGTTTAGAAAATAATTCATAAACAAGTTCCATCGGTGCATTTTTACTTAAGCTTATTGGTGCCTAATTACACGTTATTTTATTTTGTATCGTTTAAAAAAAATACATTATCGACACATGATCGTAGATCGGTGGGATCCAATAAAGAGTAAGACTCAGGATCAAAACTTGATATAGAATCCGTAATTCCAAATGGCATTAATTTGCATTCAATACTTTTTTGGTCTTCCTTTGAGAATACTGATTTAATTGTATCTAAAAAATATGTTTAAATTCTGTTTATATGAAAGCATATACCTAAAGCATGTTCCAGCTCATGTGCAGCAATATATCCAACAAGAGTTTTATTAAAAACTATTGGAAATCCACCATCAATATATTCTTCTTTTTTAATGTATTCTAACATATTTCTGAGTTGAGTATAAAGAACAGTAGAACGAAAAGATAAGTCAATTGTTGTATGGTATACTGTTATTGGGGGCGGTAAAAGTTCTGATAAACACGATGAAAATGTATATTTAGACTTGGTGTCAAGATAAGGATATTCTATGTGCGTTAATAAAAATAAAGAATAAATGAAACAAAACACCATTTAAATCTATTAAAAGATCCTTATATTGTTAATTTTATTGCAGAAAAACTTTAACACTTACATATATTCCCTGGGGTTCTAATGCATCTGCAACCCATTTTGATACAAGAATAGATAACATAAATGGCTAAAGACATTAATATTATTTTATACTATGAAAATTAGAAATACCATAACGTACGAAAGACTTCCAGTCAATTCAAACATAATTACAGCTAATGAAACTAAATTAATGTGTTAAAATATATTGACAAAAAAGTGTATTTACCCGTCATTCTAGTCACACCAGCTAAAGTAGCTGCTGCACCGACCATAGAATAAACACCCGGAACTATACATTCATTTGGATCACTTGGGGGACATCCTGCAAAGATGTATGCATTAGGATATGTACTAAATTTTAATTCATAGTATTTAATTGATTTAAAACTTACTAATAAAAAAATTGTACAATTAGTCCAACAAATCTTCCAAATAGAGCACCAACTGCCATTGTTGGAATGAATATTCTAGTCTAATAAATAATAATTAAAATGTAATTAGCAAATTTTACCCTGCAGGAATTTTGGCACCAAATGTTACAATCTAAAAAAAATTAGATATATGAAACTATAAAATACTTGATACTGTTAAAGATCCTTTGATAATTAGTGCTAAAATAAGAAGTATTGTTATCTTCGGAATTCTAGGTTTATTTTCTGGGCACAGTCCTTCATTTAATTCATTATTATTGCACTCTCTAAGTAAATGGGAAACCAATTCAGTTCCTCCTAGCTTCGTATATGGATTGTGGTATGAAATAATGGCAGTAAGAAGGGTAACTATAAAAACTTCAAACACTGGATGTTGTTTTATGAAATTTAATTTTCTAAATGTTTTTGCCCAGTGTATATTTAATTTACAGAATAGACTCCCATATAATCCTCCAAAAACGCCTAAGAATAAAAAAATTAAAAGTTCTAAAGAATGCCAATCATGACTATAGTGGGTTTCTAATAAGACAACTTTTCCTGTTCCATAAGGATTAAGAATCTATATAATAATTAAAATATTTTAAAACGAGAGCTCTATTAACCTTTAAGATTATTGCTGCAACCATTGCACAAAAAAAGCTTCTCCACATGGTTTTTGAAGGAAAAAAATATGATACTTCCTTAAATTTATGTTAGGGATAAACAAATGTGTTATTCCTACTTCTAGACTAAATAGAACTCCTCCAATTGGCGCGCCAAATGCTACTGCTACACCTGCTGCAGATGCAGCGCTTAATAGTTCACGTCTCTTTCCTAAATATAATAAATATTATGTATATTTTCTGAGAAAACATACCATCGTTAAAATTATATTTATTAAATAACCGGCATGTAATATTTCCAATACAACACTATTAAGTTAATACGAAAGTCAAATTAAGGATTAAAATTACTGCGATGTGTACGAATGGCCTATAAATGGTAAGAAAAAATAATTAAATAAAAGTTAGTATACCCTTCTTTACCCAAATTAAGTCCAGACGCAACACTAAGAGTTAATCCTATAACTTTTACTATTAATGTTCGAAATCCAAGGAATTTATGAATAGTAAATCCTGAAAGGATTGTTTTTACCTAAGTTATTAATTTTTTTTTTTTATTTAAGTAATTACCTCAGGAATACCACTTCCTGATGCCATATATATTACTTTTTCTTTTTTGTTATTGTTAGTGTTACTTTTATTCCTCCCTATAGGACTTTTAGATGGATTTTTTGATGATTTTTTTGTTGATGTAGGGAAAACTGTACGTGTAGTCATAGTTAATTGACTGGAAATTAATGCAAACGATAAGGCTGTTAGAATATAGGCTATATAATCAATAGTCCATTGCTTTTTTTCCTGAAGGTTGAAATATTTCCCCCATGTAATCCATTGTTTGCAACCTACAAGATCATCTATATGATCAATCATGGAAATTAATAAAATTAATAGGTTTTACTGTCAAAGGAATTACAGCATTTAACTTTATTACTCCAAAAGTTGTCTAAATTTGTTATTTTTATTGTTTTAACTTCTCGGAAATATATTACCAGAGCAATACCCAAACTTCCAGTCAAAAAAAATAGCTTCAACTACATCTATTATATAAGCTACACATGATGTGATAGATCCTATAAAAAATACGAGAATCCATCCCTGACTGGCATCAAATATATTTTTAATCCAACCCTGAATGCCTTTTATTGATCGAAGTTTCTTTGCTCGTGCTGCATCTTTAATACTATCATGTATCCAATCTAAGAGTTTTAGTTGTAACTTTTTATAAGAACTATTGAGAATCAAACCGATTGCATTATAATCGTCATACCAAATATGCTCCTCTTTAAGATTTTTATCATTTTCATTTTCTAAAGAATTACAGAAAATTTTTTTAGAAATTTTTTTTTGAATTGAATTATAAATTGTTTTCGTTTTATTAAATGATTTATATTTTTCTTTTTTTTGTGTATAGGGAATTGTAGAATATTGTCTTAAATATTAATTGATGTTTGATATTTAAGTAGAATGGCTTACTCTAATCCTCCATAATTATTTTTTGAACTTGAAAAAATAGACGAATACAAAAGATAACTGTTCTCTGTAGTTTCAACATGTGGATTAGATATAGATGGTTTTTTGAAATTATCATTTTGCTGTTTTTTAGACTTAAATGATTTGTATTGGCTTTCCATTTTTAATTAAAATGAATTTTAATATGATATCTTTAAGTTTTCTCCAGTTAAAATTATGTGAAAACTTATAACTATTATTTTTTAAATATAGTTTTTTTATTTTATCATTAGTTTTGTTATAAATCGATGATCTTGATGAGTTGTTTATTTTGTGTAAATTGGTTAAAAATTTATAATAAATTATAGAATAGATTATTGAGATTTGATTTAAAATTATAAAAAAAGTTTAAATAAAAACTCTTTTGCATTTTATATTAAAAGTTTTTAATATTTATATAATTTAAATATAATTATGGTTAAAAAATTTATGATAATAGAAAATAATCAATATCGTTTTAGAAAAGGTTTTGATTTATTTCTGATTATTAGATTTTAATAATGAATTTTGATGTTTTATTATATAAAAATTTACATGATTTTGTTTTATATAGATTTTTTTAGAAAATTTATGTACAACTTATATAATTATAAGTGACTTTAAAAAGGTTTGAAAATTATTTTTTTATTTAATAAATGGTATCAAAGTCGGTGTTTTGGCTCTATATTTTATATAGTCATCTCCAAAAAAGTGTACAAGAAGAGTTTCTTCCCCTGTAAATAGAAATTAGTTTAATTAAAATTATGTTTTTTAGGTATCTTATTCTTCTAAAAAAAAAGACCCATAGGATAACTGTATATGCAATAGAAGATAATGGATTTAGAAGCATAATTTGAGATCCTATTGCCCAAAAAAAAAATCCAAAATAAGATGGATGGCGAATCCATCTTGGAAAATTAAGATTTTTCAAACAAAAAAAATGACAATACCTGTATATACCGTTTGTAACAAGAACATGTTCTTTGACTTTTTTTAGTGATATCTTATGCGAAAAATTTTGAGTAGCATGAATCATAGATAATGTGCGACAAATTTGTCCAAAACAGGCTATAACAAATCCTTGGAAATTACTATGTTTCTTAGAAAATTAGAAAAAAATAAAATACCTATATAGCTTATAAATTTATACATTTTTATTTGAGGAAAAAATAGGTATTCTAATAGATATTCTAATATTGTAAAACAGTGTGCAAGAATATATTGGTATCCATTAGAAAATAAAAATGCTTAAATCAGTTAGTGATAATGAAATGGTTTTGATACCTACATGAAATTGACGCGTTTAAAGGATTATAAAGTGCTGTAATCCAAAATTCTAAGAAATGAAATAATGATAAAAAAACAAAATATATCGTTAATTGTGAAAAATTAACATGAAATGAACTGAGAAAAGACGATCCCATAACAAACCCAAGAATAACTGCTCTGATCGCAATTTCTGCTTTAATAAAATCATGTGATTTATGATTTTTATTAGAATTTACGTTATGTTTTTCAGAAATATTTGTCATTTTTGCATCCAAAACATAGAATATCAATGTAATCTTGTAAAGATTTTTACGATAATCTCTGAACTTTGAGTTCGATAGTTAATTTTATAAAAATTTGATTCAATATATACAATTTATATATTTTGAAAATACATATATAATATATTTATTAAATTACATAGAACGTAAGTTCTCTAAATGAATAAGTAGTTCGTCCTTTAATTCTATAGGAATAGTCCAAGAACAGTCTAATTCTTTTGAATTGAGAAAACGGATCCATATTAATGATATTTCTAGATGATCTGATAAAAGCTCTTGATGTTGTGTTAAAAATGTGGCTCCCAGCTTTTTTAAAATGATTAAACTAAGAATAATTATTTTAATGGAGAGTTCTGCTTTAAGGTTATCTTTTTTGTTTATTTTTTTTGGATGCTTAATTATATTAAGCCAATTTTCTTCGGGTTTTTGATATTTGTCTACTGCTTGAAGCAATAATTCGCATTCTGATAATCCAATATATGTAAAATATTTATCAGATTTTTCTGATTCGTTTTTTATGAGATCTGTTGATATTATATTCCAAAACTTTAAATCATGAAAATTGTTCCATCCTTCTTCTGTAGTAATCATTCCTTGTAATCCATTACATATCCATAATCGATAATCAATATTATATGAATTTTTTTCTTTCCATAAATATATAAATATATCCATAATAGGTAATGCGTATTTTCTTAAGCTTTCGTCTTCCTTTAACCATAAACATAGCGATCTTACAGATGACACTATAATTAAGTCGCTAAAAATATCTGAGAAGTTTTCTTTTGAACATGAATTTTCATTTTTTTTCAAATTTTCCCATCTATCTTTTAGGAAATCTATTGACTCTTCAAACGCTTCTTTAAAAGATCTTTGTAAAAGTAATAACTCTGAAGCTTGAAAAATAATGGTTTCCGAATTCGAAAGATAAATTATCATGGATTCTAAGATTTCATAGTCTGTAGAAAGTCTTTGAGATTCATCTGAAATATCTTTAGATGCTAACTTTTTCATTATAGTAGGTAATATTGAACGAATATCCACTGATGCTAAACTAGTAAAAAGCACGCAAAAAGTTCTAGCTTCTTCTTGATTTGATGCAGATGATAATATAAAATCGACACTTTGTAAACGGAGAATTGAAGATAAAAGACTTGATGTAATTTTCCGAGTAGAATTAGCTTAAAAAATTAGATTATTAAAATTATAATTAACTGTTACATTGATCCTCTTTTATGAGAGTATATAAAATGTTATATAATATTTTTTTAACTTTCATATCTTTAATTAGAACATCATAAAACTAAAAAATGATAAGTTTGAAAAGTATTAAAATAGTTTTACTTCTTTCTTAATATTTGAAAAAATATCATCAAAAAAAGAAAGTATAATTAATCTCTTTTTTCCCTTACTTTGTTCAAGAATATTTGCTATATCTTTTACACATTTTATGAGAGATAGTTTAAAATGATGAATGCCAGATACATAAGTTAAAGATTTTATAAATGCATGTTTTATTAGATTAATTATCTTTTCGGATAATGCTTCATGATCTCATAAGAAATAGTGTATTTCATTAATTGAAGAAATACCATCACATGACATTTGCATACAATTGTATATGATCTTGGCTTGCTGGTAATCTAATATTTTAATTGCACCTAAATGTGATTCTGTTAAAACGATAAGTAAATCTAAAACAGACGATATGAATGAAAGATTACTGAAAAAATTAGCTTTTTCTTTATAAAATATAAATTCTTACTTTTCTGGTAAAATAGATATTAAAGAGGGTATTCGATTAATCATATTAGGATCTTGAGACAGTTCAGGAAATGATGCAAAAGAAGTAAGAATATTTAACGCTAGAGTTTTATATTCTAGAGATATATTTTGTGTCTTATTATCTGATGGTTCTTCTTTCAGATTATTTGTTAGACTTGTTTTTCAAAAAAAGACTCATAAAACCAGATTTTAATAAACGATCTATCCATTGAAAATCAAGTTCTTTCCAGCATTCGAGTGCACGAGAAGGTGCTTTAGAAAGAATAGATGGTAACATAGCAAGAGCTACAAATTTTTGAGTGTTTTCTTTGGATTTCATAAGAGAAAAACAGCGAGGAATAATTGTCTCCTCCATCTTAAATTGTTTTTTCGATTTCGAACATCTTAAAAATGATTCTGTCGATCTTATAAAATATTAAAAAGAATTAAGATTTAAAAATACTTAAGATTAGTAATTTTTATGCTAAAGGATTTTAGTAATGAGATTGATCTTTTTTTTCTTTTTAAATGGAATTCTAATGTTTGTTAGATGGTTCAAATTAATGGTTTACCTGAAAACTGGGAAATACGGTGTTCTCGTTCAAGAAATCTTCCATATTACTATAATTTAAAGACGAATGAATCTTTTTGGGAGCCCCCAATGGGCTCTGATTTGGAAGTATTGAGAAATTATATGGTTAATAATGGTTTGATTTTGGAATTGCGTCAAGAGAATAAGAAAATAGAAAATGATAAAATTCGTGTTAGTCATCTTTTAGTAAAACATAATCAAAGTAGGAGACCAAGCTCCTGGAAGGAAGTATGTGTTTTTTGTCTTCTTGTTTAATATTAAACAGAATATAGCCAAATATTACACGGACTAAACAAGAAGCAATGAATATCATTCTTGAATATGAGGCAAGAATACGTGCTGGAGAGATTAGTCTTGGTGAACTTGCTTTGACAGAATCAGATTGTAGTAGTGCTAAAAAAGCAGGGGATTTGTAATGATTTTTGTGTTTTTAAGTTTTTGTTTAATTGTTTAGAGGGTTTTTTGAAAAAGGTGTTATGCAGCAAGAATTTGAAGATGCTTCATTTGCTTTGTTTCCTGGAGAAATGAGTCATGTTGTTGAAACTGCAAGTGGGTATGTTTGTTTTTGAAATGTGTTTTTATAAAACTGATGATGTTTTAAGTTTTCATTTAATTGAAAGAATTGCATGAAATTTGTTTAAATATTTTATTTTCTATGTCGTTTTGTTAAGTTATAGATTATTAATAGATGTTGTTAAAAGTAAAATAAAGTATGTATTTTTTGAATATTTTGTTGATTTTTATACTTATTTATTGTTGTATTTTTTTTAATAATGTTTTAAAAATTTTGGATTTTTTTAATTGGATTTCAAAATTTGATTTTTTATATAACTTATATTAAAACTGTCGATGTTTTAAAACGTTGAAATTAAAATAATATTTTAAATAAGTGGCTGTTTTGAGTAAAATTCAAAAATGGCATATGGGAGTTTTGAAAAATATGCAATTACGTCTATTTTTTTGAAGATTTTGCTTTTTCCGGCTTAGTATAATATTTTATATTAATAATAAGCTGATAATAGTTTAGTAGATCAACAGATTTCGAAGTTCATCGGAATTGGATGGTATTTTAATTATAATAGTTTTTTCCGTTTGTTCTTTTTAATATTATTTAAGGCATTAACCCATAGTCTTCCATTATCTAAGTGGTATTATGATGTATGATTTAAAAAAAAACTTTGAATTTTAATAACATTTTTAAGGATACATCACAGTGGACTTTGGATTATCCTCCGTTCTTTTGTTGGATGGAATATTTATTTTCTTTGTTTGGACAATGGATAGATCCAGAGATGTTAAAAGTTACTAATCTTAATTATGCAAGTAATAAAACTATATATTTTCAGAGATCAACTGTTATTATTATGGATTTTATGTTAATATATAGTTTAAAGAGGTAAGGACTTTGTGCTTATGAGTAGTTTCTTATAGATAGGTATATCCAATTAAATCATTCTTCAGAAAAAAAATTATCTAAAATTGTTGCTATTTCTATTATTCTTTCTCCTGGACTATTTATTGTTGATCATATTCATTTTCAGTATAACGGATTTTTATATGGACTACTTCTTTTGTCTATTTGTTATGCGAAAAATTCCGATAAAATTCTGAGAAGCTGTGTTATTTTTTTGATTTTATTATGTTTTAAACATCTTTATCTTTATCTTGCACCAGCATATTTTGTATATGTTATCCGTGTATACTGTTTATCGTCAAACTTGAGAAGAGTTAATGTTAAAAACACCATTAAATTAATTATTTCTGTTTTTTTGGTTATAGCGTTAGCTTTTGGTCCATTTGTATATTATAATCAAATAGGGCAGATAAAATCTAGACTTTTTCCGTTTTCAAGAGGCTTAACCCATACTTATTGGGCACCTAACGTATGGGCTTTGTATTCTTTTATTGATAGAGTTTTAATTGCATGTAAGATCGTATTTTGTTCAGAAAATGTGTTTAATGTTAGCTATAGTGGCCCCGCATTTAAATATTGTTCCTAGACAAGAAGCTATTTCGTCTTTAACTAGAGGATTAGTAGGTGATACATTTTTTGGAATTCTTCCCAATATTACACCTATGATTACTTTTACTATTACATGTTTTTTTCAGATGGTTACTATTTTTAACCAATTATTTTTTTCTTACAAGAATAGATTTATCTGGTTAAATTATTTATAAGACCAACGTATAATGTATTTCTTGGTGCAGTTATACTTTGCGGATTCTCTTCTTTTATTTTCGGATGGCATGTGCATGAGAAAGCAATACTTATGGTTATAATTCCATTTAGGTATATATTTTACTTTATAGAGTTTTCTCTAATAATTAGTCTTCTTGCTCTTAGAGATAGGAGGTATTTTACAGCATTTTGTCCTTTGGTTATTGCCGGATACGTTTCTCTTTTTCCTTTAATTTTTACTCCATTAGGTTATTTTTTAGTATTCAAAAATATTTTTTAATATATCTTAGAAAGTTTTATTAAGTTTGTATATACTATAACATGGTTATTGGTATTTCTCGTACCATCTGAAATTATGGTACCTGCGTATGTTTTCTTTTTTTTAATTAGTATGGTAATATTTCTGCAGATCTGAAAAGAGAATTTTTCTTTTAAACCGTGCTTCTTCCATTTATATTTTTATATTTATTCCTCTTTTGATTTATACGACTTTTTTTCATGACTTAATATTTGGATCAACAGAAAAATATCAATACTTTCCGTTAATGTTGATTAGTACGTATTGCTCTTGGGGCATTTTGTGTTCATGGTTTGGATTTTCATTATTATATCTTACTGATTTATCATAAAATATCTAAGTACGATATTGTTGTTAAAATAAAAAATTGTTTCTTATATGTTTAAAATGTTTAGACTTTATAAATTATTAATATATATGTTTTTATTTCTGAAATAATGTTTAAACTTACTGGGTCCTCAATAGATTTTGCATATTTTTGTCTGATGATACTGATATAAGTCCTGGTGGAATAATATGAGGGAATGATGATATTGTTGAAAAATCATTTTGATTTTTAGAATTGGATAGTGCTTGAAGTCCTGGAAGTATAAACTTCGAAGATATGGACGGTTGTTCAGTAGAATTAGTATTTTGTTGAAAGCGATAAGATTCGTTTTCATCTACTAAAATATCTGTTTCTTCTTCCTCTTCTTCATGAATCTTTTTTTGCATTTTTTCAGTAATTCCTAACGCTTCTGCTGCTTCTTCTCCAATATAGTGTTTGTCTTTAAAAGCAATAGGGTCTCCAGGGCGCGGTCTTGCCCAAAATCGTGTATATCTATCATTTGAACCAGTAGATAAAAGATGACCAAGAGGATGATATTGCATAGACCATATAGATGATTCATGAGCATATGGTATAGAAACAGTAGGATTACAAAATAATGAAGATGTAGAAAATGCTATGCCCGTTTTGATTTGTGAATTTTCTGGTAATGAATATTCATCGATAATATAATGGTTTATAGTCCCATTTGCTCCACCTGTAGTTAAAATAGATGGAATTATAGGATGCCAAGCTAGAGATGTTACATCTTTTTCATGTCCGCGTAATATTCTTAAATCTTTCATAGCGCGAATGTCAAACACACGAGTAATACTATCCCGAGAACATGTAGCTAAAAGATCGCCATGTGTTGGTTGAAATGCTGCTTGATAAACTGTATTTTTATGTCCATGTAGTGTTGTGAGACATCGTCCCGATCTAGGATCCCATAATTTAACAAGATTATCTTTTGAACCAGATGCTAATAATCCTTTTGATGGATGCCAATCAACAGTCTTTACATCCCACCCATGACCTGTTAGTTTTTGTTCTTCATGTGCTTCGGTAAAACTCCATATTTTGATTGAACCGTCATCTGATGCCGTTGCAAATTTACTATCTGTTGAAGAAAATCTAAAATGATAGTTAATTTGGGAAAACTATTATTATTTATTTACGAAATATCTCTAACTGCTTCTGAATGAGCATTCAAAACTTTTACGTTGTTCATATTAGGTTGCCAGTATTTAATAATACCTGATTGATCTGATGATAAAAAAAAATCACCTGAATTTGACCATTCACATGATCTTATAGCATGATCATGTGCCTATATATTCATTTTATTGCCTTGTATTGAAAATACATTGAAATACCTGTAAAATTGTTTCGAAATTAAATGTTAAGCCATTCCATAATGTGAACTCTCCACTACTTGAACCTGTTAATAATCGTCTTCCATCTGGCGTCCATTTTACAACATTTACTGGATGCTTTACTTTGTTTGATGATGCATGGATATATTTAGTAGGAAGATTTAATGAAGGATTATATTGATAAGCAGATGGCGGTAGTAACTACAAATGTTAATATAAAATATTTTTTATTATGATTTACATCAACAATAGAATCATGTTCTGGAAGCATATACCTAACATCTCTAAATGATTTTATTTTTGATCTTTCTTGGAACCATCGTGTTATTCCACTTCCATAGTCAACTGTTCGTCTTTGTATGGGCTTTTTCATAAGATCTTTACGTCGAAGCCCTTCTTGCGCTAGATCTACTTCCAACAAATGCTGATCCATGTTTATTTGTTTTCCTTTGACAATAAATAACTTTTTTTTGATGTTTTAACTTTCTTTAATATATTTTGTTATAAATGTAAAATTGTTTAAAGAATTTATACGATTTTTCAATAGATATTTTCATGTTTATCATGTTTATGACGTTAATATTTATGGCAATTTATTTTAATAAATATAATTTTTGTATCTTTTTTTTTGTAAAATTTTTAAATGTTTTAAATATGTATTTTTATTTTTTTGATATAAATAATTTTTTTTAAAATACAAATATGTTTTTTATTTATTTTTAATATATTTGAAGATGTATAAAAAAGTTATATATTTGTAAATGATGTTTTTTGAAATTTTAAAATATAAGGTTATTTTAAAATATCTTTTTAGTTATATTTTTGCTTATTTTCGACTATTTATGGATATTTTCAAACTTTGTATTTGTTTATTATTCGTTTATTGATTGACTGGACAATATTTTTTGATGTTAGTGTAAGTAAATGTATTTATTATTATATTTTTAGATATTATTAATTTTTCCTGTTGATGTATAATTTGTTATTTTGAATATATAAATGTTTTTATATAAAAATTATAATATCGATATATATGTTTTTAGATTTTAGATAAACTTTATTTTTATTCGAAAAAATATAGGTGATTTGAAGATCAATTTAGTTTTTTTAATTGTTTGGATTTGTTTTATATATTACAGCTATATAAATAAATATAAGTTATTACGAAATTTATTATTATTACATTTATAATTAAAAATATATTCGTTTCTGAACTAGGTATTTTAAATAAAATGGGGTTTTTGTATAATTTCATTTATGGTTTTTAAAGATTTACTTTTTACGATTTGCTTTAAAATCGCAAAAATTAAAAAAAACATAACTTGATAAATCATAATAATAAAATGCATAAAGTGCGTATTTTTTATCTATGTGGAAAGTACGTTATTGATTGTTTTTATAGTCTGTTGTTTTGGACGATCAGCAAATAGATACAGATTCTGTAACAGGTTATCCGGGCAATACAACTAAAGAACAGGATATGAAGGTAGAAGAATTGCAAAAAGAACTTCTGAAAGAGGGTTTTTCTGAAAGGATTGATTTTCCATCTATGGTTATATTTCTCTTTTTATTAATATATTGTAATTAAGAATTTATAGTTGCGATTTCTTAGAGCTCGCAAGTTTGATGTTCATCAGGCTAAGACGATGTTTATAGAATGTGAAAGATGGAGGAAAGATTTTGGAGTTGACGATATTGTAAAAACATTTTGTTATCATGAAAAGCTAGATGTTTTTAAATTTTATCCCCAATATTATCATAAAGAGGACAGGGTTTATATTTTGATTTTTATATGCATATATATTTACATATGTATAAGGAAGGTCGTCCTATTTATATAGAACATCTTGGAAAAATAAATCTCCATGAAATGTATAAAATTACTACTGAGGAACGAATGCTTCAAAATCTTGTTTATGAATATGAAAAATTTATCGACTACAGATTGGTAAGTTTTAATTTTGTTGATTAGTTTTTTTTAAAAAAGAAAAGCCTGCATGTTCTCGGAAATATGGAAAACTTATTGAAACCTCATGTACAATTATGGATCTTAAAGGTGTAGGTATTTCTAGTATTAGTTCAGTATATGGATATGTAAAAAGGGCTTCTGCTATTGGACAGGTATTTTTTCTGCTTTGAATGTTTTATTTTATTTATTTGTCTATAGGCAAGATATCCAGAAAGAATGGGTAATTACTAAAATATTAAAAAGACTCTATTAATGTTGATTTTAGGTAAATTTTATATGATTAATGCTCCTTGGGGTTTTTCGTCTGCGTTTAGGGTAATAAAACTTCTTTTGGACCCTGCAACTGTTAGTAAAATATATATTCTTGGAACTAATTATAAATCAACTTTGTTGGAGCAAATTCCGGAAGAAAACTTACCAAAAACTCTTGGTGGTACTTGTGAGTGTGATGGAGGATGCGAGTTTTCTGATGCTGGCGCATGGAATGATCCTCAATTTATAGGATTACAAAATGAAAATATTATTCAAGAAATTAATAATAATAATGTTAGTAAATTAATTCAAGGAAAAACAATGCAAATGGAGCAAAATCGCTTTTCTGTTTCTTCAAACGACCCGAGTTGTTAAAGACAACTAGAATTAACTCCTACCTTTTCAAGCGCAGAAGATAAACATCTTATTTGATAAAAAAGTATTTACATTTTATTTCGATATTTTCAAATGGCTTTTTTTAATATGAAGGAATGCAAAAACAAAAAGATAATGATAGATAATTAAAGAATAGTTGTTTTAGTAAAAGGTTTGGTATATATATAGAATACAAGATTGTATACTTTATTTAATCTATAATTTTATGATTTTTTTCCGCTGATGTTTTAATTTTCATAAAGATGTTTTATAATTTTTATAGATTTTTCAAGTTTAGTATTAGTGGCAGGAATTGACTGTATAAAAATTAGGAGTTTCTTTTGTGAAATGGTATACGTGCCGTTTTGAGCTGCTTCATAATGGATATTGCATTTGTATATTCTTCTTTAATTTCGTTTTCTCGCTCTAATTTGGGTTCTACAATTTGTTTGGTTTTTATAGTTTCTATTAAAGAAATTTCTGGTAAATTGATTTTTATTTCTGATATATTTTGGTCGCTTTCGTGTTCAAATATTCTCTTCGGTATCTCCCTTCGCAGTTGTGTAGTCTTTAGTATTGTTTCTTCAATTTCATTATGTAATGATTGTAGTTTGTTATTTAAATCATAATCGAATGGTTCTAAAACTGAAACCACTTAGAAATATGTGTAAAATTCTCCTTAGCATTATGTATTACCATAATCGTCCACTATTGTTTTTTGTGCTTCAATTCCATTAATTATAATGTTTGGTTTGGCTAATTCGAATGTTTTTGTTGCAAACTGGTTTGAAGTTAAAATAACATAAAATGATAGTAATTATATACATTTTCTAATATATCTTCAACTTTTTTTCTCAAAATATCCTCTGAATTGTTTGACACATTTTTAGGTATATGTTTTTTCAATTTTTCTTGAATTGTTTTGTTAAAATTTATTGATAAATATTTTAGATCGGCTATTCTAAATAAAATTTAGAATACTTTTTTAGGAATGATTATTTTTTACGAATCTAAATGTATTTTTGGCAGTGATTTATTATATTTAAAAGACATAATTTTTAAGATTTTATTTTTTTACAGTTAAAGTTTGTGCGTTTGTTTTTTTAAGTTTATAAAAAAAATATATTATTTATATTTTTGATAAGTTTGTTCTTTTTAATATTATAGCATATTTTTTATAGTAGTTTAAAGTTATTGTATAAATAATTTTTTTAATCTATTTAAAAAATATTAATAATAGTATAATACAGAATTTACAGAATTAATAACATATTGCAAAATATTTATTTATAAATTATTTATATTTAAAATTATGTAATTTCTTAAAAAGTTTATTTTAATGGATATTTGCTAAGTTGTAATATATATTATATATTATTAAAATATTTTATATATTTATAAAATTAGAATACTGTTGGTTTAAAAAAAGTAAAAATCAATCACGATTTTATAAAACTATAGAAATAATTATTTATTTTTATGATATATTGTGATTGACATATGATTGTTTTTGATTATTTTTTGTTTCAATCAATATCTTGACAAATATTTAGATAATAGAAAACGCATGATTAATAATTTATATATCTTTGGTCATATATGTGATCTATATACATATATATATACATATATATATGTATAAGAAAAAATAATGAAACTAAAATATTATTTTTGTTTATTTTTTTTATTTAATTTTTTGTATTTTAATTTTGTCAGTTCTTTTTGATTTTTTTTTTCTAAATAACTTTCAGAATTTGTTTGTTCGAATTGCATTAAACCGTTTATAAGTTATAAAAAATCGTTATTTAAATAATAATACCTGCCTAGATAAGTTTAGGTTTGACTTTTAATGTTATTTAAGATTAAGGACTATGCGGTGGAATTTTTTCTTTTTATTGGCTTCAGGAAACTTTGTGTTAAGCGATAATTTTTCTGGACAAACAACTCAGTCACTTCTTGATTCTGCATCAAGATTTTTTGAAAGAGGAAAACTGTCAGAAGCTGTTGATCTTTATACTGTTGCTATATGTAATAGTTGTTTTAAAATTAATTTATGTTTATTTTGTTATTAGCTCGAGATCCATCTAATTATTTAACATTTTTCAAAAGAGCGACCGCATTAATGTCACTAGGCAGGAATCATTTAGCGATAGATGACTTTACTAAAGTTCTTGATCTTAAGCCGGAATTTTCTGGTGCATTGCTTCAAAGAGGAAAACTTAGAGCTAGACTTGGAGATTGGGAAAATGCAATCGAGGATTTAAAAAAAGTAAATGATTATCAGTATGTATGTTAATAATCTCATAACATGGATATTTCTTATATTTTTAAGTTGAAGGAGGTTATGGACGCACAAAAGCATGCAATGATGGCTACTGTGTCGTTTAATAAAGGTAATATAGAAGACTGTTTGGAACACTTGAAAGTCGCTATTTCTGTGGCATCATTAGTACCGAAGTTAAGGTTGTTGCGTGCAGATTCACATATAATTCTTGGAAATGTAGAAAATGCTATTAAGGATTTGATGTTGGTTATAATATTTTAAATTATTTTTGTTAAAGTTATTCATAGACATGCAACTACTTTGGATCCTTCTTCTACAGAGGTTTATGTTACTCTTTCTGAGCTTCTTTATTATTCAAAATATGAACCAGAACAAGCTATTGCACAAGTTAAGCGATGTTTACATTTTGATCCAGAACAGAAAAAGTGTAAACAGATTTTTCGTTCAATTAAAAAATTTGAAAAGGATATTTCGAATGTTAAGAAATTAAGGGATGGAGGAAAATGGGGAGGGATGGTTATAATTTTGGTTAATAGCTCAAGTGGGAGTGGTATTTTGGATTCCGTAGAGAAGAAAATTAAGGAACTTGAGAAAAAAAATTTGATTAGGTCAAATAGTCCAAAAACGCTTTTATCTGAATTGAGAGAAATGGCGTGTAAGGCATACTCTGAGGTAATTCGTTTCAGGATTTTTAAGTATTATGTTTATTAATAAATTGAAGATGGAAAGATATTCCAGTTCTGAAAAATATTGTGCATTGGCGTTAGATCTTAATCCTAGGTCTATTCCTGCTCTTCTCGATAAGGCTAATATGTTGATGAGGAATGAGTTGTATGAAGAAGCTTTATCAATATTAACAAAAGCAAATGAGTATTCACAAGGTCAGGACAATGTAGTAAAGGAAAAACATTATTTGTGTCAAAAGCTTTTGCGCCAGTCAAAGAAGAAGAATTATTATAAGGTTCTTGATGTTAAAAGAGATGCAACATCGAGAGAAATAAAGGCTGCATATAGAAAATTGGCAAAACAATATCATCCAGATAAATATAGAGGTAGTATGTCTAAAGAAGAAGTCCTTAGAAAGATGGAAAATATTAATGAAGCATGGAATGTTTTATCTAATCCTGGTATTTTTATTTAATATATTGATATTGTGAATTTAATTGAATATAATTAGATCTACGTCAACGGTATGATAATGGAGATGATCCTAATGATACTGGATCAGACAATTCTTACCAAGGTTCTCCGTATTTTTTCTTTCGAAATGACGGTTACGACTTTTATCACGATATGTTTTCTGATAGTTTCTTTTCTAACTAAAAACATTATGGAATTTTTAAGCGGATTTTTGAGACTAGCGAAACTATTATGTATATTACTTTCTTGAGAAATCTCTAAATATTTAATATAAATATGTAATGATTATTCTAGAAATATTCTTGGTTTAAAATATAATTATTGGTTGGAGTTTATTTTTATAAGTTCCATTATGCTTATTCTATTTTCAGGAAGCATTGAGTATTGTAAACTATAAAGTTTTTCTCTAGGAATTGGAGGAATTATAATTCCTCTTACTAGATTTATAATTACTTGTTTGGAAAAATAATGGCATTTTAGTCGCTGAGCTAGTCTTGAATATTGACAAAACATGGATTCAAGAGAAAGTGGTGTAGACTTAAAATATTAGTATTATATAGTTTTACTATGTATATTAAAACCTTTAAAAATATATAAGATGTTTGAATAGGCTTTAAAGAAAATTGTAATTGATTTGAAGGTTTAAAATCCATTAATTCAAAACGAATTCCTCCTATAATATAATGTAAATAATAATTTTGAAATTAATAAACTTATACCAGGAAGACGAAAAGGGTCTTTTATTCTCAACATAATTGCAAATAAGGGGAAATGATTTGCAAATGTTAGTGTAGTATCCAAAATGGCTTTAATAATTATTATGATTATACGTACTAAAGCAAATGTAAAATAAAATGCCAATATTGTTGGAAATAAGAATGCAAATAATGTAAATAAAATGGTTCCAAGAACTAATTGGTCTATGTCATAATCACAGGAGTCTATTCTATTTCTTAATATATTTTTTTTTTTTCCACGAAATAAGTGAAATAATGAGATTAAAATAGTAAGTTGCCAATTGTATATTAGAGTAGATGTTGTATAAAATATATGAATATGAAGAGTTAGTAAAGATAATGCGTCATTTAAAAATGAAACGAATAGAGAAAACCCCATGAAACTAGATATCGCTGCTATTTGAATAAAGATTGGTAAATATGAGTTTATTATTGTAATCCACCCTAATATTGAAATGTAAAAGCAGAGGGAACAAAGATTATATGTTTACCTTTCCAGATATTTAAAAGCCATAAAAAGAGGTTTCCAAGAAATCCTGCTAGTTCACTATTCAATTTTAAACCACCTGGCCAATTCATTAACCAAAAAATCATATTGTGCAAACTTTCTATAGTATAAACCTGTATATTTTAGAAATAAGTACAAATAATTGTATGATGTTTATACATTAGAAATATAATTAATACTTTGAATTAACCGCTGTTTGTTTTCAATGAGATATGATCCAAATATTATACCAAATATGATATCATTCGTAATTAACCATATGTTGTTATAAAAACGGATATAGTTAGGATAACTTTTTGTAACATTTGGATATTCTTTTTTTCTGTTTAGTAATGCTTGATATTGAATAGGCCAATAACAAAACTGTTGTAATCTCATGTCGATCTGTTGAACTAGTAAAGATTAGTATTATTACTTCCATTCAATATATTACCTGTTGCTGAAATATCTTTTAAAGAAATCCATTTGTAACATAGTTTCCACTCGATTATATAAAGAATAGTTTCAGAAATTGCTTTTTGAATTAACATAATCCAAAATATGACATTAGATAAAAATTGAAATAAATGTAAATATGATTTTTTAAAATAATAATTAGTATTTTTTTGAATTCTAGTAGATAAAGATGGAGTTTTATTATTGTATTTAAGTTGATCTTTAATAATGTTTTTTAAAATAATTGAAAGTTCTCTAATTTTGTTGATCTGTTATATAATATATTTAATGATTATTATGATTATGATTATTATACCTGTTTTAATATATTTTCAGAAAAATATAATTCTGAATTTTTTAAAGGTTTATAGTAAAACACATGCTTTTTTAAGCGTTCTTGAAGTTCTGACTTTTTTATATGATCGTCTTTGAAATACTTGATTTTAGTGCTAACTTTATCCTTAAGTTCTAATCCTATAGGCTTAAGAGAATAATATTGCATTTTATAGAAATTTGGGCTATAATATAAAATAACTTGAATTGTTTTTAAAAAATTCTCTTCTCCATAAAATTGTGGAAATTTAGTATTTTTATCTAGTATAGCATTAATCCATATATTTTCGTAATTAAAAACACATTTATAATTATTAGATGTAGAATGTAATGCACCAATGATCTTAGGATACTGATTATCACATAATTTTTCAATTATATTAGATGATTTTCTATTTTTTAGAAACATATTCTGTATACGCTTTTCTAATATTTCTTTCTATAAGATATTATTAAGTGATTAATCATTTTTATTGTAGACCTCTATGTTACTAATGCTTGTAACTATAAATATATCATTTTGGGAGTTTTGAAAACCAATTAATAGTCCAGAGTCTTTATACTGAATTATATCCACAGGCCAATATATTCTAATTAAATCTTGAAACATTTTTTCGTAATAGGTTAAAAACTTCCTCTTCTTTTAAATTGCTCTCGTGCTGAAATATAAGAAGATCTATATGGATACTAATTTTAAAATTATTTATATTCTAGAAACTTAGGTTTATCAATTTTTACTCTTTTCGCTTCTTCACCGGCAATTTGATTTAGAGGAATTAGAAGTAATAAGTGACACAAACTTAAAGAAAGTATAATATATCCTATTTTTATCTATTTTTAATTAGAATTTTGTATGAAAAAAGTAAAATTTTACAAAAGTTCCAGAATTCCAAAATTCGTTGATTAAGTAAGAAAGTTTACTAACAAATGAATATCGTGCAGTTAAATATCCTGAAAAAAAAAGAATAAAAAAGGTTATTCCTAGAAATAGTTTCATTTAAATGAAAGTTTTTTCCGGATATTCATTTTTAAAAGAAAATGTATTACAATTCGATTAAAGAAATTGAAAACTGTTATGTCTTAGTTTATTATAAATAGCTTGGTAAATAAAATATATGCATATAATTTTTGTATAAATAATTACATCATAAAGTTATAATAGTTTTGTTAAATAATAATTTTATGTATTGTTTTTTTTTGAACATTTTAGAAATTAATGATCTAAGATAGATATAGATATATGTATTTTTATTTCATACTTAGAGTAAAAATAAAATATTAATTAAAAGGCAGTAAGCGCTTTAGATGTCGTGTTTGTGGTCCTGATTTTCCTCCATCTGCATATGTTGTTTTTCCAAGTCTATTTAATCGAGTACTACTTTTTCCTGAATTAGGATAAATAGAATATCTTATATAAGATTCATCTATAGTAATAATACCTGAATTTAAGTGTGTTTTTCCTGCTTTTTTCCTTTTAAATTTTCCTGAAGGTAATGCTGACCAGCGTTTTTTTGTTCCAGAGTGTGTTTTAAGAGTATTTTTTATGGTTTTGGATATATGTGTATGTGTTATAATATTGAATAATGGCTTTATTGAATTGTTAAAACAAATATTAAATATTGAAGATTTAAGTAAAAATATCATTCAGAGTGTTGGGTATTTCGAGATCAAGATTTTTTAAAAAGATTATTTTTAAACTACTGGTTTATAAAGTTTCAGAGTATTTTTAAAAGTAAATATTTTTAGATTTTTATGGATTCTGCATTGTTTCCATATTTTCAAAACCAATTATATGGTATGTTTTATGTTTCAAAATAAAATAAATATTTAAAAAATGATATGATTAGAATCTCTTGTTTCGACAACAAAAGCTGTTATTATTATTGGATCTCATGATATTGATTTTTACCGCTCTTTGAATCCTCATTTTGCTTTATCGTTAGCTAGTTGTAATAAACGACTTTTAGATCTTGTGAATTCTTTCATTCAATTTGCATCATCTGGAAAATTTGGAAAAATTGAGGATTATGAGGATTTAAATTATAGATGGTGGGACATAGTAGATGTAGTTGATTCTCTTCTTGAAAAGACGGTATATTATTATTATTGTTATTTAAATATTAAATCTTAAAGGACATGTCACTTAATGAATTTAATGAATTGACTAAACAACTTAGTCATAAAACAGATGATGATATTTTAAAAGATCCAAAGGTATTTTAAGAGATGTGATTGTACTCTTATTTAATTTAAGATGATAAAAAAGAAAAAAAAGCTTGCTTATAAATTTATTCATGCGGAAAATGTTTTGAGGCCTCAGCTTCGTTTTTCTACTGCGCCTGATAATGACCCGAATACGCCTTGGAGAAGGAAGATTACTGTTAAACCTAATGCTCTTGTTCCTTTAAACAGTCATACATCAAAAAATAATGATACTTGGCATAAGACTAACATGTAGGAAAAAATATATTAAAACCATTTTCTAATTATGAATTAAGTTCCTCGCATCCATATGAATATGAGATTAATAATATAAAATATTCTCAAGAATTATTTAAAGAAAAAAAACCTATAGATCCTATTCCATTTAATGATTCTAAGGCTATATGGGTTAATACTATTCAACTTTTAGAAGAGATGGTTAAAAATTTAAAGAATGCAACAGAAATTGCTGTCGATTTAGAACATCATGATTATCGATCATATCAAGGATTTGTTTGTTTAATGCAAATAAGTACTAGGAATATAGATTGGATAATTGATACTTTGGAATTAAGAGAAGAATTAGAGATTTTAAATGAAGTTTTTACTGATCCTAATATTATGAAGGTTTGTTTTTTTATTATTTTTTTATCTTATGATTTATTTTGGTAGGTTCTTCACGGTGCTTCTATGGATATAATATGGTTACAAAGAGATTTCGGACTTTATATTGTTGGACTTTTTGATACATATCATGCTACAAGAATTTTAGGATTTGAAGGGCATGGTTTAGCATTTTTATTAAAAAAGTATGTTAATTTTGATTCTGACAAGCGATATCAGTTAGCAGATTGGAGAATAAGGTTATTTGTTTTTTTGTATACTTTTTTAATAAACTAGTAATTTTTAGGCCTTTACCTGAGGAAATGTTTTCTTATGCTCGCTCCGATACCCATTTTTTACTTTATATTTATGATCAATTGAAGAACGAGCTGTTAATAAAATCAACTTTATCTCATAATCTTTTATTATCAGTTTTATCTGCATCTAATAATGTTGCTTTAAGAGTTTTTGAAAAAGACAAATATGATGTAGATGGATTAGGTGTAGATGGATGGAAAAATATACTTCAGAAATGGAGCAATTGTTTAACAAGTGATTTGCAGGTGTCTGTTCTTATATCTTTGCATCAATGGAGAGATAAAGTTGCTAGACAGGAAGATGAAAGTGTTAGATATGTTTTGCCAAATCACATATTAGTTCAAATAGCTGTAAATTGTCCAGAGGATGCTTCTTCAGTTTTATCTATTTGTAGTCATATTCCTCCTTTAGTTCGTGTTCACGTAGATGAAATAGTTCAAATAATTCGTTCAACAAAGCAAGATGAATTGAAAAAAATATCTTTATTGAATAAGCTAGAAATTATTCCCTCTCAAGATTCATGTTCTTTTAATAATTCTTTTATGGTAAGGAATATTGATTTTGTAGATCACGGCAGGTTGTTTCAAAATGATATCACTAATACAAAACTTATGTATCTTGTTGCTAAATCGTCTGTTTTTTGGAGTAAAGTTATTGAAAATTATGGTATTAGATATACAGAAGCATCTGCTATAAAGAATATATTAAAGGATATGAGATTAACTGTGCAATTACCATTGCTTTCGGAAAAAGTTTTTTCAGATAAAGTTTTAGATTATAACTATATATCGATAAATAAAGATGATGTAATTGTTGAAAAAAATGATTTAATTGACAATATATCTATTGAGAAAACAGGTTTAAGTGCTGTTTTTTATCATTCATTTGCCAAAAGAAACCCTGATCAATTATTAAATAACCAGAATGATAATATTATTACAGTTAAAAAATTAGGAAAAAAACAAAAACGGTTTTTCGAGGTTTCTGAAAATAAGTCTAAAGATCTTGTTACTGAAAATAATGATCCTTTGAGCACATATGATAAAAGTTTGTTATTATTAAGTAATTTTGATGATTTAAAAGAAAAGAAAAAAAGGAAAAAATCAAATAAAAGAATTAAATTATTAGGGAAAGTTTCAGATTGCAGTGGAAATTTGGAACCATATGATTATGAAAAAGATCCTTCATTTTTTAATAAATTAAATGATAACTATCGATTAAAAGATGAAAGCATAAAACTTTATCAGAATAATTTGGATAGTGAAGTTGAAAAACATCTCAAACCAAAATGCGAAAATGCACCAAGGAGTGGTTTCCGTAGTATGATTTTTGGGAAATAAAGTGTATATACGATATAAATAGAATATTTTTTTATTAAAACTATCACCATATTATATTATAAAAGTGTTAATAACCTAGTTCTTTGTTAGAATAGTAATATTTTTATAAAATCTTACAGCAATTACAATCAAAGGGGCACTTAGATGTATTTCCTCCTTTTCCTATATTAAGTTCTTCTTCATTATATACAGTAAATCCTTCTTCTGTTCTTTTACCTATATTAGATTTAATAGAAATTTTGAATATAGAACTTTTATAATTACGTTTTATGGGTTTCTTTAGATTTGTGAAATTTGTTTCGTTATTTGTTTTTTGTTTAAATTTTAGAGGTTTAAGTTCAGAAATTTGACATTCATCAAATTTTATAAATTTTTGATTAACTTGAATTTTAGTATTTGTCTTTGATTTTAATGGTTTTAAAATATCAGTTATTTGGTTTTTTAGTTCGTCTGTATATATAGTTAATTTGAATTGAGTATTAATATTGTTTAGTTAAATTATTACTTTATTTAAAACCAATAATTTAACTAATGCTAAAATAACGAACGAAACATACTTAAGTCTGAATCTATATTTGAAATGCTTAGATTAGATTTAATTAAATGTTTTTTATTTTCCTTTTTTTTTTTATGTTTTTCCATGTATTTTGAATTTTTTTGAATGGTTTTTTGTAATATTTATTTAATAAAAAAACTGATATTTGTTTTAAAAGTTTTATTAATGAAAAATATTATCTAAGTAGGAAGCATGTTTACAAATATAATACTATATATATATATATATATAATTTTATATTAATAACATATTTAGAATCTAATAAAAATTATAAATTTAAAATATTTAATGAAATTTTTTGTTATAAGAAATTTATTATTCTATAGATATTAAAGATAATTATCATTTAATAATAATATAATTTAATTTAATAAATAGATTTCAAGTTGTGGGCTAGAAAATATTTTTACTATACGTCTGTTTTTATATATATATTAAAATATTTATTTTTGATTTATGGAAATTTGAAAATAATTAAAAGTAGAATTTATATGATTTTTTATACCTTTATGATAAACGCTTTTATAACTGTCGAGTTTATCTGTTTTTTGTCTAAATTTTAACCCTAACCTCGTAGAACGCGTTTTAATTTGGTGACCCCATGTTGTCTTAAAAAAATGTTTATAGTGCATATAACAGTGGTTATGAATTAATTGATTATTAATAGAGATATTTACTAGTTTTGGATTTTTGCACTAATACAAGAAGGTGTAATATTATCATATAAGGGGCTTTCTTAGAAATTATTATTTTCTATATGTTTAATAGTTAGAGCGTTAAATTCAGTGTATGAATCAAACGTGTATAATACTGTTATTTAATTTTTATTACTATTTGTGTTAGACGCGTCATTATGGAGAGGATGAGTAAAAGGTATAGCACAGTAACTTTGTATTTATCAATGGCATCTCAGGAAAATGAGAATGTTGATGATGAATTGAGTCAAGGTTTGTAGATATTAGGTTTTATTATTTTATTTAATGTATGTTTCTATGAAGCTCAGAAATATTTGAGGATGTTAAAATCACGTATTTCTGAACAATCTAAGAAGAATTTTGTTCTTGAGCGTGATGTTCGTTATCTTGATTCTCGTATTGCTCTTCTTATACAGAATCGTATGGCATTGGATGAGGTTTTTCTTTTCTTTTGAATTGTTTGATTTTATTTTAATTTTTTTTTAGCAAAGTGAAATGGTTAGTCAACTTGATTCTTCAGAACTTCAAAGAGGTGTATTTCCTGATGACCGGAAATTACAGGTAAAGTTTTTTTTCATGTTTTCCTGATTAAAATTATTAGCAATATGGGAATCTGTTTTTTCTTCTTCAAACAGAACCCCGTCATATAGCGACACTTTGCAGGCTTGTTAGTCTTTCTGAGATCGATGCTCTTCTTCAGACAGTTATGTTTACTATTTATGGAAATCAATATGAGAGTCGTGAAGAACATCTTCTTCTTACGATGTTTCAGGTATTTTTTGTTTTTTATGGTAGATTGTATGTGTATTAATTGTTTATTAGTCAGTGCTTTCTTCTGAATTTGATCATGCTACTGAATTTGTTTCACTCCTTCGTGCTAATACTCCTATTTCACGTATGATGACTACTTATACACGGCGTGGACCTGGTCAATCATATCTTAAATCTGTTCTTTCTGAGCGTATTAAATATCTTTATGAACATAATGAACTTGATTTGGAAATTAATTCTTTAAAAGTTTATGATCAGATGGTTTTGAAAATTGAATCTGATACTGGTTATCTTCCTGATAATCTTGAACGTAGCGTAACATATGAGGTTGCTGCAGCTAATGAAGCTGTTACCGCTATTATTGGTCCTCGTATATCTATGCTTATGGAGATTGCTGATTCTTTTTTAACTGTTATAATTAATTCTATTGATATTGTTCCATATGGCATACGTTGGATTTGTAAACAAATTCGTAATCTCACTAAGGTATTTGTATTTTATATTTTGAATTTGGTATTTAATATTATAGCGAAAATATCCTGACTCTTCTGATTATTCTATATGTTCTCTTATAGGCGGTTTTTTTTTCTTACGTTTTGTAAATCCTGCAATTGTCATGCCACATGCATATATGCTTATTGATGGTTCTCCTGGAGAATATCTTCGACGAACATTAACTCTTGTAATTTTTTATGTTCTTTTTTAATGGACTTATGCGTATAGATCGCAAAAATGCTTCAGAATCTTGCAAACAAACCTAGTTATTCTAAAGAACCATATATGATGTCTTTGTCTTCTTTTATTAATTCAAATAAGTTGCGGGTAAATAAGTTTTTAAATGATTTATGCGAGGTAGGCGATTTTTATGAAACTTTAGAGGTAAATATTTTATTTTATTATATTTTGCTTAATATTTATAGATGGATCAATATGTTGTACTTTCGAAAAAAGGGTTGTCTTTGCATATTACTGTTAATGAAATGTATAGTACCCATAGTCTTTTAGAAAAGCATCTTGATATTTTGGTATATTTTGTTTTATTGTTTATGTTTTTTATTTGTTATTAGGCTCCTGAATTGGATTCTCATTTACGGATCTTAATAGACAAATTAGGGCCTGCTCCTACTCTTTTGTCTAGGTCTGAAAATAGAACTATTGAGTTGCCCTTATATAGTAAATGGCAAAAGTCTATTACAAGTATTGTTTTTGTTTAATTTCTATATTTATTAATGAAGGTTTAGATTTAAATGAATCATTAGATATTAATCAAGCGGATATCCTTTTTATGGAAGCAAAATCTGTCTTTGTGCAAATTATTCGGTCGTTTCCTCAAAATTCAAAGGTTACTAAACCTCCTTTAAATTTATTATTAATAGCAAGTACTGCTGCCACATTTAAGGATACGCTTTTAGTACGTAAAGGAATAAAAGCTATAGAATATTTGAAAGAATTATCTGAGCTAAAACTTATTGATCCTAATGATTTTTATAATCCTTTAGCAAAAGAAGTGGAGCAAGAGATTGCTCATCTCGGGTCTCTTTATGAAGAAGTTCTACATGAAATAGAATCTTTGGAGTCTGTTTATAAAACAATAGAAGATCACAATGAGTATTTACGTAGTCAATTGGAACAATATAAGTCGTATTTATATAATGTGCGGATACACTCTGGTGGACGTAATGATGGTAAAATTGATGGTGTAATGGGTGGTGTTGGTGTTGTTTCAGTTGGTGGGAAAGAAAGGAAACGAAAGAAACAGCAAGTATTGGGGCCATATAAGTATACACATTTTCAACTTGAAAAAGAGTTGGTAATAGCAGAAAGTAATGTTCCTGATGATAGGTATGTATGTTATATCTTGTTCTTTGATTTAGTTTTTGTAGAAGAGCAAATATTTATTTTACCATTACTTCTCCTCTTCCTGGAACGTTTGTTATATCTTTACATTATAAAGGTGATATATTTATAGTTTAGTTTAATTGTTAATGCTTATAAGGGCGGGACAGAGGATTATTGGAACTAGATTTAAAACTGGACGATCTTCTTGAAATGCAGCAAAGTAATGTGCAATATTTGGATCTTGAGTATGTTCAATTCAATGTTTCAAAAATATTGCAGTTAGTGAATCGGCAATTTTCTAGAAAGAAATAATTTTTGGATTCCTAGTTCAATGATTTTTAATTTGCTTCTTATATATATGTTGCATTTATAGAAATCGCTTTGTGAATTGTTTTGCTAGATATTTCTGACTGGTGCAGAAAAATAAAAGTATATACTGTATTTAATTTTAAGTAAATTCCGGACCGGGGAATCGAACCCCGAGCTTGTCGGTGAAAGCGACAGATGTTAACCATTACACCAGTCCGGATATTTTTAATTGCTTTCGATTTAGAAATTTATGTTGATTAAATTTTGTTTAAAAATTATTCGAAAATTGAATTTTTATAATTTTAGTTTTTACAAGAATAATGCTATGGTAAGTAGAATATGGAATTTTTGGAATTTATAAGATAGTTTTTGACTTTTAAAGGCTGAAATTTCTCACTGTGTCTATTGTTTTCATGTTCTTATAGATTATTTTGATAAGCGTTTTGTCAATCAAAAAATCTTAGGAAATAATAGTAATGAAGTATCTCATATACCAAATATTAAGTCATTTTTTCATGAAGATGTTTTATTGTGAGTTATTGAGGTCATCAATTCAAATGAATTGATTGCAAAATTTTTAATGAATAAAAATGACTGATTAATAGTCCTTTGTTTGTTACATGGAATATAATAAATTCCTCTGGACATAAAAGTTTGCGGGGATGTATAGGTACATTTAAGCCTCAACCGTTAAAATATGGATTGTATTCATATGCTTTAACATCGTAAATTGATTTTTTTTATATTTTATAGTTTATTGTTTTTAGAGCTTTGAATGATAATCGTTTTCCTCCTATTTTAAAAGAAGAAATACCTTTTCTTGAATGCTGGTAAGTTTATTTGATTATATATTAATTTAAGTTTATATTGTTTAGTGTAACTTTATTGACAAATTTCGAAACTATTGAGGATCCTCTGGATTGGACTATTGGTGTACATGGTCTTCAAATATCATTTGTTTATAAAAACAGGCATATGGGTGCAACATATCTTCCATGTGTTGGTACTTTTTATTTTATTTATGTATTTGTTATAATATTGTTTTAGCTGAAGAACAAAATTGGACTAAAGAAGAGACTTTAAATAATCTTTTGATAAAAGCTGGTGTTAATGTAAATGTTTCTAATTGGAAAAAAATTAATATGAAAATTATAAGATATCAAGGATCAAAAGCTGAATGTACGTACGATGAATATTTGAAAATTATCTCATCAGTTGATTAAAAAAAAAATTATATAATGATCTCGATTTGTTATTGTATATTTTTTTTGAGAATATTTATATTTTGAAAAAATGTTATTTCATAAATATTATTTTATTAAATTGTTTAAGTTTTAAAATTCTATATATTATTTTTTATATTATAAATTTCATTATTAAACGTAATATTATTATCTAAAATATATGAAAATATTATAGGTTTCTTATATTATTGTATTTTCTATTATGTATATAAGTTATTTAGTCCGTGATTAAAGATTTAAATGTTTTTAGATTGTTAAAAAAATGTTTACTATTTTTAAAAAATTATGAAAATTATTGATTAATAATTTCTACCATTTTTAAATGTTAAAATGATTTTTTTTGATGTAGAATAGTGTATTTTAAATTGATAATGTACTTTTATTTTTAAAAGAAAAAATTAAAAATTATTTGATTATTAAAATTTAATTTTTATTTTCTAATTAATGTTAAATATATTTTTAATTTTTAATTTTTGAATTTTCTGCACTACGCGACAAGATACCAACAATCATTTCAACAGAACGCAAACTATCATCATTGCAAGGAATGGGATATGTTACACACATTGGATTTGCATCAGTATCTATAATTCCAATGGTTGGTATATGAGTTTTTGCGCATTCGTGAAGTAAAATTTTATTTTCTGTTGGATTTAAACAAATTACTAAGTCTGGTAAAAGTGAAAAAGGATACTTCGTATTATTGTTTTGAGTTTTTTTTTCGTTAATTATAGTTGATTTTTTTATTTCACTATGTTTAAGAACTTGCGGTCCATTAGTAATAGTGCCTGGTATCCATCTATCGAAAATATAAAATCCATTTGTCCTTTTTGCTGCTTGAATTACACAATTTTTTTGTCCTTTTCGTGTTCCTACAAAAAGAATTATACCTTCTTTTGTCATTATATTAGAAATCACAGTACATGCTCTACGAAGATGAGAAATTGTTATATCTAAGTTTATTATATGGATTCCTTGGCGAATTCCATATATATAGGGTTGAGTTGTTATATTCCAAAGAGATGTTGAATGCCCCATATGGGCTTGAGATGAAAGAAGAAGAGATAATGTTAAATGTTTTTGTGACAAAGGTTTATGTATATTTTCATGAGGCTGGTACTTATCTGACACTATAGATCCAATGTTTTTATTTGATTTTGCTATAAAAAAATTAAATAAAGAAAATGTTGTTTTAAGGAAATACATAGTTTTGTTTTTATTATCTGAATTTCGTTTTTTGATAATATTCGCTTTTGTGTTGTAAGAGTTCTTGTTAATTTGTTTTTGAATGACTGAAGTTGTAGATTTGAAGTCATTTTTAAATTTAAATTTGTGAGTAATTTAGTATTTTTAAAATTATTTAAGGGAAAATTTGTAGAAAAAGTTGATAAAAAATTATATTGAAAGTTAAAATAAGATATTCGTAAAGATGAATCTAAAATTGATAATTAGTAATATTGATATTAGGATTAGGAAAAATATAGTTAACATTTAAACATAATAAGGTTTTTAAATATGAACATTATTTAAATTTTGTTTAATAAATAATGAGTATTAATAAACTAAAATTTAAATTTATTGACATTTAGCAATAAACTTTTAAATTATTGTTAATACTATGATTGAGTTATATTATTTTTTAAATTTTTTAAAAAATATATTTTGAATGTTTTAAAAAAATTGGAAGTTTTAGATTTGAAATTTAAAAATTATATACTAAACGAATTTTTTGTTTAAAAATTATAAATAATAAACTGATGAAATGTATTGATTATTTTTAAATGTGTACTTTAGTAGTATTCCATTAAATATCAATTTAAGAATATGATTCATTTTTATATATTTTTAAAACTATAATAAATAGTTTATTTTTTATATTTAATAATTCTTAAAGCAATTAGATATATAAAAAGTAATTGTTTTAAATAAATTAACTAATGTGTCTTTAAGTCTTATAATTTTGACTTATTTATATATTGCATAATTATAAATATTTTGTTTATTTAAATGTTATTTTTATTAATTATTTCTTTCAATAATTGTTCCAGTTCTTCTACTGGGAATTTTCCTTGTGTTTCTTTGATAACTTTTCCTAAAATCCATTTCATTATTTTATTTTGGCCTGATTTATATTGATCAACTTGTTTTTTGTGATTGATTAATATTTCTTGACAAACTTTCAACATTAGATAAGGATTAGAAGTATTTTCATGGCCAAAAGATTTTACAATGTCATAAATATCTCGTGTATCGCCTTCAATTATATTATAAAGAATAAATTTAGCTGATGTATCTAAATAAAATTTGTAAGAAAATCTTTTGATATTATAAAATTACCAGTAATATGGTTTGATTCTACAGCTTTAATAATATAGGCTACTGTTTCTGGATTAACAGGGTTTTTTTGAAATGATATATTTCGGATATTGAGTTGTCTTAAAAGTTTATTAACAATCCTAATTTTTTTAATAAGATATGTAATAAAATATTAAAATACCAATTTGCTACTATCTCTGAATAATTAATAGGGTCTCCTAAATTTTTTAATACTTTTTCAAAATAATCAAAAGCATGTTTTTTAGCTAAAGTTTTGACTATTCTGAGAGGCAATTTGTAAGGATTAGATAAATATTTTTGGAAAACAGTGTCTGTAAATTTTGGAAGGGATTTTTTACATTCTTTTAACAGTTTCTAAATTATTTAATATCTAATATATATTTTTGTATTTTTTTACTTTTGAAAGCACGATTTCAGGAAGGTCGGGTTCTGGTATATATCTATAATCGACTGATTCTTCTTTGTCTCTTAATTTTATTATGATATTTTTTTCAGCGTCATATTTAAGAGTTTGTTTTTTAATTTCTTTACCTAGGTTAATAATAGAAATTTGTCGTTTGATTTCACAATCTAAAGAATTATTAAATTAAAATAATAATATGGGCATATTTTTCCTGTTGCATTAATAACTGATTTTATACTTGCTAAATTTTTAATTTCACATTTTGGATGATTACCAATAGATATATTAACGTCACATCTTAATCCACCATCTTCTATATTTGCATCACTGGTACTTGCACTTCTGAGAATAGATTGTATTTTCTTTATAGCTTCACCTGCCTCTTTTCCTGATGAAAAACATGGTTTGGTAATTATTTCAATTAATGGAGATCCCATACGATTAAAATCAATTAATGATTTTGATGGATTAGATAAATATGAAGTTTTTCCTGTGTCCTAAAAATGATAAATTTATTTTTTGACTAATTGAATATAAACCTGTTCAAGATGTATTTGTTTAATTTTAATCGTAATTATTTTTAATTGATTATTCTCTTCTGATTGATATAATTTGATAATTCCATTTTTAGCTAAAGGGTCTTATATATATAAGATAAACTTTAAAAGGAAATATGATAAAAGTTACAATAATATTGGGTAATTTGGTACCCAGCTGGTTGATCAGGATAAAAATAATGTTTTCTATCGAAGGATATTTTTTTTGGAAATTTGCATGATAAAGCTATTGCTGATTTAATCGCTAGAAGAATTGGGGTTTTATTTAGTTTCTATTTTTATTAGTAGATTTTTAAAAATAAATAATGACATCCTGGTTGTGTACCAGGAAGAGATACGTCAAAAAAATCTACTGAAGAATTAGGAATTCTAGAAAATTTATTTTCTGATTCTAATTCTAATTAAAATTGAAAAAAATAGGGTAATTTTTACCTGAAAATAATTTTATAGAAGTTGCTAATCGAACATGAATTTCCAGACCAATTGCTGGAGTCAAATTAAAGGAATGTATGGTACTATAGTATTTATGGAATTGCTTAATTGTTTTAATGGAATTTTTATAGAATAATTTAAATATGTTTATTCCTTTATAACAATGTTCTTTGTATTTCATATTTATGATTTAAAATTCATGTAATTTTGGTAATATTTTAATTACGATTAAAAATATTTAGAATTATTTTTTTTAAATTATATTTATATATGTTTATTTAAATAGTTCTTTGAGATAATTTTTATAAAATTGTTAATTTATGATTCAAGTTTTAAAATTTAATGATATAATTTAAAAAAAATTATTTAATTGTTTAGATTAAAAAGTTATTTTTTTAAGAATTTTCTTAAAAAATATTGAAATATTTTTAAATATTTTCTTATAGGATCTACGTAATTTTTTATTTGATTTTATATGTTTATATTATTAATACTTGTTGAATACCTAGATAAGTTTTAATTTTTTTACTGAAAAATCAAAATACTTAAATAATAGAAATAGTTATAGAAAAAATTAATAAATTTAAGCTTAGTTATTTATATAGATAATACTGATACAAAAACAATGAAATGATGATTAATTGGTATTTTAATTTTATAAATTGGATTATTAATACATATAGTTTTTAGTTAAGTTTAACAAATATATGTATTTTTTATTCAAAAAGTTTGTGAAGTAGTTATTCTTTAACATTCTTTGTGTATTTTCCTGTTTTTATTTCCTATATAGACAGTTCTGAAAATGGTTTAGAATGTATAGCATTTCTTTCCATTTGCAACTCTTCTCTAAGTTCTTCATTTTCATGCTGGAAGTCTGCAAGTCTTTCTTGAGCTCCTTTTCGATCACGTATGCGTGCTTCCTTTTCTGCTTTTAATCTATTTTCTAATTCTCTTAACCGTAAAACCCATTTTTTATTTTTAATAGAATTCTGTGTATTTTCCATTAAATTGGATTTTGTAGAAATAATAGTTTCTTGAGAGTTTACTAATGATTGTATTTTTTGATTATTTCTTATACTTTCGCGTAATTTAGACTATTTTATTAATTTGATATATTTGTATAAATGTTTTAATATTTACCTTAATTTCATGATTTTCTATTTTAAGACCCATAATTCGTTCTTTGAATATAGCTTGGTCCGAAATGTTTTTTTTAAGGAAATTTTCTAAATGAGATATACGTTTTGTTCTATTTTCAAGAGTTGTTACAATAGTTCTATTAATGTTAATATTCTATAGTAAAATATTTAAACCATACTGATATTCTTTTAACAATTTATGTTCGAGTTCTTTGCATCTAGTTGGAAAACTATTGATTAATTTTTCAATATGCTTAATACAAAGTATAGAATTTTTACTAAAATATATGAAGTTATTTGATGCATCCATACTTGATGGAGGTATATTCTGTATCCATTCGGAATTTAAAAGAGTCGAAAGCTTTTCCCAAAATATCATAAGAAGAGAATTACGTTCTGATAATTGATTGCTATATTGATTTTTTAGTGTATTTAAAATTTTATTATCTTTTGTTCTGGTATGTTCTAAGGTAGTTATTTTATTTTCACGATTTGCAAGAATAGATCTAGATGATTCAGTAAATATAGTTAATTTGGAAAGTTGTTGTAATGCATTTTTTTTATTAGAAATTTCTTTGTTTAATTGTTCCAAAATTTTTTGATTTTCATGAGCCTTAAATGTTAAAAGAGTTAAATGCCAAATAGATTTTATACCATAGACTCTAAAACTTCTTCTTTATTTTTTAAAACTATGTTTTTTTCTATTAAATTATTATTTAGCTTTTCTATTTCTTTTTGAGATATTAATAAATCAGATTTTAATTTTTTGATACTCTAAATTGGTCAATATATGCCATATATTTAATTTTAATGTAAATACCATAATTATTTCATTATGGTTTAGTGAATTACAACTTAATATATCATTTAGAGATTTTTTTAAATTATTTAGCATCTTTGTAGATATATCTGTTTTACCAATTTTCTCTTCGGGATCGTCCTTAACAATTTTAGGTTCCTATTTTTGTTAAATCAAAGTTAGGGTATACATATATTATACATTTTTATCTTCATGCAATGTTTCCTCGTTTTTATTTATCATTTCAGTATTTTGATTATACTTATATTTGTGTATTTGAGTATTTTTTTTTAAATATTCTATTTCTTCACTTGCCTGAATATTTTTTTGCTCTAAAATGTGAATTTTCCTTTTCAATTTAGATATTTTACAAGGGTTTTCAGAATTTTCTCTGTAATAATTTAGTTCTTTAATAGAGGCCTCTTGCTGTTGAGTAAGGTTATCAATAATTGCTTCTGCATGTAGATGTTTCTTTTAATATATTAGGAATTAGTACTTGGATTTTAAAATCAATACCTCTTTTAAATCTTGAACAATTTCGTTATGAGAATGGACTAATTTGTTTATTTGGATATTTGCTTCCTCTATTTTTTGGAAAAGATCGTTTATATGCTCGTTTTTTTTTTTTAAAATTTCTTCATAATTTTCAATATCAGAAACCATCTAAAATATAAGTATTTATATGAATTAGAATATGCATACTTTAAGCATTTCTTCTTCTCTAATTCGGATTTCTAATTTTGCTTCTGTTTTAAAACTGGTGTATTCTTCGGACAATGCATTAATTTCTTTGAGTATATTTACTTTGTCTATTCTTAGATTTTCATTTTCATTATTGAGTTCATCAAGTAAGTTATGAAGCTTTTCTAATTCTTCATTATAGTTATCTTCAAGTTTAATCATTTCATTTTCTCTAAGAACATCAAGATTTTCAAGTTCTAAATTTAATTTTTTATTTTCTTCTTTTAATGTTTGGTTTTTAAATTTTAATTCTGTTATACAATCGCGTAATTCATTGTGGAACTATATGAATTAGGAAAATAGCAAACTCAACAATATATACTTTTATATCACATATGTTGTTAAAACTTTCGCTACTCTTCAATTGATAAATTTTAGATCTTCCATTATTTTTATAGTTCTGTATTTCTTGATAATGTTCTTTGTTTTTAGGTTTGAAATTTTTTGATTTAGTTTTAAATTCACTGTGTTTTTTTGTTTGGTTAATGTCTTTAGTTTCGAGTTCATTAAATATTTTAGTTAGGCTACTTGGTGATAATCCATGGAGTCTTTCAACTTCTATTTCATATGCTTTAATTTTTTCTTGTAGAATTTCAAGCATTTTTTCATATTTTTCATATTTTTCATTGTCATCAATTAAATTATCATGATTATTTGTTTCCATGTCTTTAATTATACGTTTTAAGTTTTTATTTGTTTTGCTAAGTTCACGTACAGTAGTTGCTAATTCTATATTCTTGAGAAATATTAAATGCTGTAAATCGTAATTTTATAAGATACCTGTTTTATCATTTCTTCTACTGCTTCATCTCTTGATCTATCACGATATTGTTGAAGAAAAAAGACTTTCATTTGAAGATCCCACTTTTCTTTACGTAAGCTGTCAATGACATTACTTTGCTCACGAAGAGTAAGTCGTGAGCCAGGCTTTTCTAATTTCTGTGCCTTTTTTATCTCTTCTAAATGCTCTTTGAAACCTTTCATTGCACTTTGAGGTATCTTTATATCATTTATTTTTGTTGTAATAGTTGTATCAGTAGGAACTAATTGGGATGATATTTTTTGCGTTATAGGAGTTTTAATATTTTCTAATTCATTATATGGTGGAAGCAATGATATTACTTGAATATCTCCATTTCTTTTTTCATCAATAATAGGAAGACTTTTTTCAAGAATAGCTAGAGATTTTTGTTCTTGATCATGATCAATGCTAGTTTCACTGTCATCAGAATGATTAAATGAGGTTGATACATCTGAAATAGATGATTTTTTATTTTTTATAAGCAGTGATTTATTGCAAGATATTGAAGATGATAGCATATTTTTATCTTCTGTTTGCTCGTTAATGTTTATATTTCTTTGAAAATTGTTAAGAGATGTTGAATTTATAGTTACTGTATTTTCTAATAAGGTTAAGTTTTTGTTTTCGTGACATATTCCTGTTGTTCTGAGTACTCCCAAGTGTCCTAGTGGAGATATTTCAGGTAATGAACTAATTTCTGGATGAAAACTTTGTTCAAGAGATCCAAGTGATAAATGTGATACATTCACTGTTCGATCTTCACATGGCGTATACGATAATGATGATGACATTTTGCTTTCAATTATGATTTTTATTTTGTTTTTTTTTATTTACAAGCATAATTACCAATATTTAATTGTTTCGTACTTGAAGTCTTAATTTAAAAACATAATGAAAATAATTCAAAATAATAAAAGGAAATGCACATTTTTATAAAAAAAATGATGTATGCAAAGAAATATAACACAATTAAACATATGAATAATGAATATTTTATAATAATATAAAAACAAGTTTTTTAAATATCTTCGTGAAGTAAAATATATTCTCGAGTTGAATCTGCAAACTTAATCATATCTTTTGGTTTAAGTTCGATATAGTGACTATGAATAATACGCTCATTATTAAGAAAGGTTCCATTAGTTGAGTTAAGATCAATAATATATGGTCTAAGAAATTTAATAATAGAAATATAAATAAAAAAATTATACTTTATTTCTTCGATCAAAATAGTATTTTTAGATCTGATTTGACGAAATTGTATAACTGCATGTTGTTTTGAACATGATGGATGATCTATTGGAATATCTGCAACCTATATTATGTTATTTTATAAATATATTAATTATAAAAAAAGCCAATTAATACTATTCGATCTCTTCCTAATAAATAACAACTTTTCTGATATATATTAAAAATGTCTGTTATATTAATGCTGTTATAAAAATGGTATGAAAATGTACCAATTTGCTCATCGTTTTTAAATACATAAAGTTGCCATAATTTATCAGGTTTATGCGCTTCTATTGGTTCATGATATTTTAATGGTACTTCATTAATATTATTACTTTCTGCTGCTAGTTTCCCTGAAAGCTTAAAATTTGGTTTCTCGGGTTCTGATTGATCTTTTGAAGGTTGTAATCGTTTTTGAGGATATGAATGGTCGAGCTTAATTTCACTATTTAATTCTGATGATGAATTTTTGTGAAAAATATTACATTTGTTATAATTCGTAGGTGATTTTGATTTTTTATATTCTTCGTGTTGATAGTTTTTATAAAAATCATACTGTTTATTTTCGTATTCTAAGTTAGTTTTTTTTTTTGAATCATTATGATATTTTTCTTGATGATTATGAAGGTATTTCATATTTTTTGTTTTTTTTTTTTTTAAAAATATATGAATAATCGTTAAAGTTTGATAAAAATTATGGAATCAAAAATAATTTTGCCTGTATCTAGCTTTTTGGATCAAAAGCAAAAAACAGTAGTGTTAGTAAAAATACGGATACTCAGATATTTATGTATTAATTTTGTTTTTTAGATACAACATTTCGGGTTCTGTAGTTGAATTTTGCCCTTTTGAACAGTCATCATCTTTACTTGCACTGGGTAGTATAAATATATTATCTTAATACTTTTGGCTAAAATTTCTATAGGTAATAAGCAGGGGATAATACTTTTGAAAAGAACATTTTTTGAGATCGATGAATTAGGAGATGTTTCTAAATTACAATTTAAAGAGAGGTATATGAATTTGGATATTAAATGAGTATATTTATTATTTATTGTAGATGGGGCCTTAAGCAAATCCTTTATGTTCAATTAGGAGCTAGGGTTACATCAATTGCTTTTTCTCCTACAACATATACAGATATCGTAGATGTGGAAAAATTTTCAGTAACATTGGCTATTGCAGCTGAAGAGAATAATGCATGGTTTCTTAAGTCGTCTTCTGAATCTAAAGATCCAAAACTAGTAACCCTTGGAGGAACATCGGGTCATCAAGATTTTATTAATGATGTCGATATTACATATATTAACATTACGGATGATGTTGATAAAATGGTTTTTACTGGGGATATTATTGCGACAGGAGGTGACGATTGTACTGCAATAGTATGGAGAATAACTAATGATTCTCCTCAAATATCTGCCTATAGTACAGGGTCACCTGTGGTTAGTGTTAAATTTCATAAATTTTATCCTCGAAGATTATTAGTTGGTGAATATAATAAAACTATAAAAGTTTTGGACTGGGCAGATGCTGGTGGAAAATGGTTAATTGGTTTGTGTTTAGAACATCCTCTTTATACCTCAGTAAAGTCCAATTTAGCTACATGTCTTGTAGATGTAGATTGGATTGGTAATAAAGATGATATTGGCAGAATCATTGCTGCTGTTAGTAATGGGTCTTGGTTTCTTTGGAGTTTTGATGGAAAAAATAACAATATAAGTGCTTTTCCTATTGTTAAAGGCTGTATTGGTAGCCAAGCAAATGTTAAGCAGATAATATTTCGACCAGGGCATCCTGATATTTTTGCAATTTGTTTTCAAGGATTTTTAAAATCATCTATATCTCATATAAAATTAATTAATGTTTTTGTTGGTAGTAAGTTAAATTTTAATGTGATTTTAGAATTTTAAAATAATTAGTGGACCCAATTGATATTGTACTTCCTCTTCCTGAAACATTGAAGCCTGAGGATTCATATATCAGTTGGCATGCAAATGAAGGCGTTATTGCTATATGTCGTAATAGCAGTTTAATGATTTCTTGTATTATGGATGATAATTTTTCTTTAAATATGCGTGATTTTTAATGATTTAAGTTTCTTTAATTCGTTTCTTATGTTTTTGAAATTTTATTATGTTTATATTTGTCTAAGGTAAAGAATATAAGGTTTTGGGTGATTCTTTAAAATATGAATTATATAGTGTATTCTGGGCATTTACAATGTATATATGAAATTTAGCAATTGTATGGTTTAAAGTTGATTTTAGTTTTGCATGCGCATAGTTGTACGTTCTATATTTCTTCTAGGATGCCACGTTTTTGAACCTATTCCTCCATTTTCCATACTTAGATAGGGTGTTTTAATCCAGTCGACTTCAGCAATATTGTCTTCTTTGTAATTAAGCATAAGAGGTGTAGGTAATTCTATGCTTCCTCGGACTAGAATAAGTTTTTTTTTAGAGTTCAAATATTCATTTAAAATAAGAATGTTAATAGGTGTTAGAATTTGAAGTTCTTTAGATTCTCTAGATATTCCTCTTAAAATACAAAGGCCTAAACATTGACTATGTTTAGGGTCAATGGGATTTTTTTCTAGATTTAGTGTTGGCAAAAAATCCTTAGATTTAATAATAAGAGATTCCCATATATTTTTGTTTTCTTTAACATCTATTGCTATTAAAGCCATAATAGTTCCATTTATAGCATAATAAAAATTGTCTGGTTCTATTGTAGCATCTAAAATAGATATTGCATCAATTCCAGTTAAACTCCCATCATACTTTACTACCCAAGGCTTCATATTTAAAAGAGATGAATTAAATTTCCATTCTATATAATTACTTCCAGATGTATTTTTCGAATGAAAATATGATATTATAGATAGTATTCTCAAATCAGATGTGTTAATTTTAAATGTTTCACATGTATTGAAAAAATCCTGAACGGATGGAAGAGTATAAAGTTTAACGGATGATGGAAGAGTTAATTTAATATCAAAAGCTTCGAAATTAGTTTCAGAGCCAATATATATAATATGTGTACAGTTTGATAAATTTATGATCTCACTTAAGAGTTCTAAGCCTATACCTTTAGTCCATCCAGGTGTATTAATAATAGTGGGAATATTGCGTTCGCATGCATTAATTATGTCATTAATACACAATAAAAAATACTTTGGATTATTTTGTGGTGAAGTATTTCCAAGAAAGTGTGCTTTTAAAAGTGATGGAAGAGTACAGTGAGTAAATGGTGGATTAATAATAGGATTTTCAATAAAATGTGAACAAATCAATCCATGCGGTGAAAATTCTGGTTGATTTGGATCTGTTTCTACATAGTTAATTTTTTTGATTGTTTTATGTGTATTGTATTTTTGAGTTAAAAATTTATTTATTAAATTTTTACCAAATGTTGATTTTCCAGATGATTTCGGTCCACATACTATAACTCTTACTGTTTCTTTATTGAAATTTGAAGAATATATAATATCTATTGTAGATGACCATGACTTAGGAATATTTAATAGTGGGAAATTTGTGTAATTATCAACTATCTAGTATATATTAGCATTTTTGCATATATAATAGAATGCTATAACATTATAAGTGTTTTTCATGTTTTTTTCTTTTGTTCCCCATATATCTTTAGTAAATGGGAAAAAAATTTCAATTTTCTTTAAGTTACAGTTAAAACTTCGTACAAAAATGATAGATTCTACAAATTTATCTAGAGTTTGTATGAAAGAGGTTATCTCTTTAGAGTATATAGAATAATCTCCCTCTGTTGTATTTTTATTTGATGATATTGATAAAATTATTGGTATCGAATGTGTTAATGGACTAAATATACGATACCAATTTGAAGTATTAGAAGAGTCAAATGTTGATGACATTATAGAGACTAATCCTTTTATTACTTTAAATTCATAAAATCCTTGAAGAACAAGTTTCTGTATATTGTTTTTAATATAAAAATAAATTAAGAGATTAACAAACTTCTTCTTTATAGAATCCGAAAATTTCAATTATACTGCCATTTTTATCTATGAATTGTTTTCTAATACCTGGTTTTAATATAGTTTGTATGCTAGGAATTTATTAAGAAAAAAGCTTCATTAAACAAAACGTACTTTTCTTTTGTTATAATTTTGCACATATTTTTTGAGTGTAGTATTAAGAAAAATATAGAATTTATGAATATTAGAATTATTTCTGAAAAAAAAGCTAAATGATTTTATAATTTTTAGTTATATTGTTTTGTATAATTTTGGTTATAGCTTAATATTTTTATAATTGCCATTTTTCGGATATGGAAAAATTGTATTTTTGAGTTAATGCATTTAATGTTCTTTTTTTCTGAATCTATGAATATTTTAAAAAAATGAATTAATATTAATACTTTTAAAAATGTATTTTATCGTAAACTTGATTATTTTTCTAGAATTAATAAATAAATCCGAAAATATTGAAGGAAATTGTTTTTCATTTGACGAAAATAATAATTCGTAGGTTTATGCATATAATGTTTTTTTTTTTGTATATTGATTTTTTGAAAGGTTTTAGAATTATTTCTTTTTGTTTCTATGGAATTTGAGAAAACTAATTTAGATCTTGTTTTAGTTTTAAAAGAATACCTAAAGAACAAAAAAATAATTCTTTTTCGTTTTCCTCGAGAGCTATCTTTGTCTTTAATTGACACTTTGTCATTTGATTCTAATGAAATTAAAGAAATAAAAATTAAGGATTCTAATACAATTCATTGTGTTTATAATGATACAATATTGGATAGTAATGTTTTTGGGTTGTTAATTCCTGTAAATGGGTATAATACGTATGAAATATGTAATGATAATGCATTTGATTTTGAAATATATATAATAAATTATAGATCAAAATTTTTATTTTGCTGGTCAATGTACTATTATTATTACGGAAAATGTTTCTGAAACTTCATTTATGAGTTCTGACGTTTCTATTGCAAAACAGGTTCCAGAAAGCTTACAAATGAGATCTAACTCTGGATTTGAAAATAGTTTTGAATATACTGGAATGTCTAATTTAAACAAACAGTGTAAAAATAATTCGGTGCTGTATAAAGAAACATATTTACAAAATGTTGTTTCAAAAAAACATGTATATGATTGTGAAAGTGATAATAAAATGAAAAAAATTAAATATAAGAAAAAATAATATGTAATAATTTAAATTGTATTGTATTAAATTTTATAAAATATTTATTTTGAGTTTTCTTTGATTTGCGTTTTGAGTTTAAGTATCTAAATATTATTGATATTTTGTTTAAGAATAGTATACATACATTTAGTTTTTGTTCTTCTAATGTTTCGTTGTGTTTTTTTATTTGATCTTCCAGTCGTCCCCTGCTTCCATTAATGTTTTTTTTGCACATTGCTTTATAGTTACATTTCTGTTTCTATATATTCTAGACGCTTTTTTACATTTAATATAGCTTCTGATTTTTCTTGTTTTACAAGAATAGGTCCAGTTAATTTATAAATAATAGCTTCATTTTCTAAAATGGAAAATTCCTGTAGATGTTATATATATGAATATAAATGATTTAAAGACTGTTTTGTACCTTTTGTACAAGTTTATTTTCTTGAAATTGTGAGTTAAGTTTTTGCTGTGCTTCTAATATTTTGAAAAGTTCTAATGTTATTTTATATAATATAAGTTTTATGTTTTTAATAGCTTACCATCTTGTGTTTTTTGATAATCTTTTGATATTGTTTCTAATTTTGACTGAAAAGTCATTTTTAGATATATGTTTTAAAGTATAATTTTGTAATAATTTTTGATAAAAATAACCTTTTATGTAATAATTAAATAAAAAATAAAATTTGGATGTTTAAGTGCTATATATTATTAAAAGTATTAGTGAATTTAAACATATCAATTCATGATAATTTTTTATCGATAAAATAAAACAATGAATCTAAGATTTTTGTATTATCTATAAAATTAGTAGTTAATGAAAAAATGTCTAATATTGATTTTCTTGGGGTATAGGTTCTGTTTTTTAACTATATTTATATTTTTTAAAAAAATAGAAAGCTATTAGTATTGTTAAAAAAGCTATTGAAGAAGATAATGCACAAAAATATAATGAAGCATATAAACTTTATATTAATTCTTTAGAATGTTTTAATATGGCTCTTAAGTGTATAGATAGTTATATTGTTGTTTTTGTTTGATTTTAATAGATGAAAAGAGTGAAAATGGGAAAAATCTTATTAGGGATAAAGTGACTCAATATCTTGATAGAGCTGAAATGTTAAAAGAATATCTTGAAAAAAATAATGGAAATATGAAGTACAGATCAGTCAAAATTAATGGGAATGAGCTTGGTTTAGGAAAAAAAATGTATTGATTTATAATCTTATAAATTTTTATATTTGTTAATATATGCATAGGAAAAAAGATAGTGATAGCGATGATAATGACGATATTGAAACAAGAAAACTTAAAAGCGCATTAGCAAGTAAAATAAAATTATTGAAATGATGAATAAAAAATTTATTTTAATAAGGCACAGTAATATCTGAAAGTCCTAATGTTAGATGGGATGATGTGGCAGGTTTAGACAGTGCAAAAGATGCATTAAAAGAGGCTGTTATATTGCCTGCAAGGCTTCCTCATTTGTTTAAAGGTAGCCGAAAACCATGGATAGGAATATTGTTGTATGGGCCTCCTGGAACTGGTAAGTCACATTTAGCAAAAGCAGTGGCAACTGAATCTAAATCAACTTTTTTTTCTGTAAGTTCAAGTGACCTTGTTAGTAAGTGGATGGGTGAAAGTGAACGGTAAAAACTGTATTTTGTTTTATTATAATTGATTTTATAATAAGACTTGTTAAACAATTATTTGCAATGGCTCGTGAGAAGAGGCCTGCAATAATATTTATTGATGAAATTGATGCACTTGCTGGTACTAGGAATGATGGTGATAGTGAAGCCTCACGAAGAATTAAGACTGAACTTTTAGTGCAAATGAATGGTGTAGGAACTGACTCTTCAGGAATTCTTGTTCTTGGTGCTTCTAATATACCATGGGCTTTAGATCCTGCTATTCGTCGAAGGTAATTTTTAATTTTTTTATATCTTCATGTTTTTATGTTTTTTAGATTTGAAAGGCGTGTTTATGTTCCTTTGCCTGATTCTACTGCAAGATTGAAATTGTTTAAATTGAACATTGGAGATATACCAACTGAATTAACTGCTAATGATTTTAAAATTCTTGTAGAGAAAACAGAAGGGTAAATGATTGATTTTAATATACATGTTTATGTGTTAAAGATGCTTTAGATACTCGGGTTCTGATATAGCTATTGCTGTTAGAGATGCTGTTATGGAACCAGTACGTCGAATTTATAGCGCTACTCATTTTTGTTATGTAAGTTTATAAAATTTTATGAAAAATATTTGTTTATATGATTGTTTTTATAAGGTTGACTGTCCTAATGGTAAACGTCTTCTTACTCCATGTTCTCCTGGTTTTTTAGGGGCACAAGAGATGACATGGGAAAAAGGAACTGCTGATACTTTACTTGAACCTATATTAACTATGAATGATTTTCTTAAAGCTCTTAAAAACACACGTCCTACTGTTAGTTCTGATGATCTTACACGCTATATTCAATTTACACATGAATTTGGTTTAGATGGTTAATTTATCTTTAATTGTGTTTTTAAATTGTTTAGAAATGTTTTATAATATATCATTTAATGTTTTAAAGAATATATAATTGATATAAATACTTTTTTAATAAATATATATTATAATTATATAATGTTTAAATATAATGTTTAAATTTTTAGTCATTAAAATGTGTATTTGTAAAATATAATACTATGTTGAATTTTTATTTAATTTAAAAAAATAAATTAGATATAAATATGTTATAATTGAAATGAGATATAATATTTGTAAATATTTATCAATATTTTTTATATATACATTTCTATGTATAAATTATACATTAAAATTATATAAAATGTGTAATTATAATTTCAATAAATTTACATTTTTTTAATATACTTTAAATATAATGTTTTTTAAAAAAACAATATTGTACAAAATATGATATTAATTTTAACGATCAGTAAAATATTATAATATTTTGTAATATTTAATATGTTATATTAAATATGTTATATAAATGATCAAAAATAATTATAATATATTATAATTTATAATATATAAATATATATTAATATTGTATAAATATGAATTGATTTATACATATGATTTATACATATTTTTTTTAGAAAAAAATATATATTATTGAATTAGATGTAATAAAAATATAAACTTGTGTTTGTATTATGATAATTACATATGATAATTAAATATATAATTATTAGTATATGTGTTTTTACTATGTTAATATTATTAAAATATATCATTAATATAATAAAAAATATTATATATTAAATAAAATAATGATTATAATATACATTTAATCAAATTTATATATTCGTTTTTTTTTTTTTAAAAAATATATATAAAAACATTTTAATTAATGTACTCATCTTTTTTTTATTATCAAAAATATATCGTAACTACAGAATCACAATTTTATCTTTTATAATTATTTAAAATGCAAAGCATAATAAATACAATGGAAATAACAAATAGTATAAATAAAAAAAAGATAGACATTTTAATAAATTGGGTTAATAATAATAATATATTCGTACATTCATCTATTGGAATCAGTGTACGGGACAATAATGGTTTTTTTATATATGCAAAAACATTTATTAAAAAAAATACATTAATATTAAAAGTACCTAAAAGTATCATTTTATCATCAAAAACATCTGAATTATCATATATTTTAAACAATACTAAAATACCAAACATTATTAGCTTATGTATAGCTTATATGTATGAAAAAAGTCTTGGCCAGAAATCTTTATGGTATGGTTATCTTCAAATAATACCCGATAAAGTGGATATTCCAAAATTTTGGGGTCATGAAAAAAACTGGTTAAAAGGCACTGAAATTGAATATATTGGTGGTCTTGATATTGTATTTTTTCCACATTATTAATATATATAACTAACATTTTTTAAAAAGTCTGAATTATATAAAACATATCAAGACTTAATAATACCATTTATAAAAAAAAATGAGAAAATATTAAATCAAAATACATTTACATATGACAACTTTCTAAAAGCAATATCTATTATTAGATCAAGAGCTTTTGAAATAGATAAATTTCATGGTTTAGGTCTAGTACCGTTTGCAGATATGTATATTAAATAATAATTTTGTTATCAATAACATTTTTAGATTTAATCATACGATTACAAAGGAACATGTACATTTTCAAACTTTTTATGAAGTATGTGAATACTGTGGGTCATCAACACACATTGATCATACAAAACATCAAAATTATGATAAATTACTATCAAATAATTATATAAAAAATACATTTTATAACGATACCTGCGATATGGTTATATATAATTCACCTAATGCATCAAACGAAATATTTAATACATATGGAGCACATGGAAACGACGTAAATTTAAACTATATCTTGAAAAAATTAATTATTTTTTAGATTTTACTCTCAAGATATGGATTTGCTATACCTGAGAATAAATGGGATAGAATAAGCATGTCAAAAACAGTTGAGAAAAATTATTTAAAACAAGATAGATTACTGTGGTGGAAACTAAACGGGTTTAAAGTTTCATATCAAATGGGCCTTTTTCAAAAATATTTTTCTAAAGAAGATATAAAAAATTATATTGCCGAATGCAATAATGATCACAATACAAAATTTTGCACATACTGTCAAAATAATCAATATTTATTTCTTCAAGATAGTCTTTTTCTTGGATTTCCATCTATTCCTAGTCTAACATTAATATTTTTTATCACATTATTATCACTAAACAGTAAACTATTCAAAAAATTCAAAAAAAGTAAAAAAAACAGTATTATACTTATTCTAAATATTATCAAATTACAATCATTTTTATTTTATTATACGGGTTACATAAATAAGCTTAAACACCAAAAATACAAAACACTTTTAATTATGCTTAAAATTAATAAAATTTTATTAAGCGCTATAAACAATCGTTTAAAAAAGTATAATCAAATATCAAATCTAGAATATTTTATATCAGAAGAGACAAAAGTTCAAGTATTTAACATATTGAAAATAATAGCTATTCTAATTAAATTATAGACAAAAAGTTGTAGAAAACATTGGACAAAAATAGTATTACGAAACGAATTAAATATACTAAACAATACACAAAAAAGATGCATAAATGTAAAAAATACAATCAAATCGATTTTAAAACAAAAAAAAATACACATTAAGAATATGTATGTATAATTATTATCATTTTTCAATATAACTTAGTTTCTATTATTATATTGTGTATCAATAATTATTTTGGATTATATTTTTTAAACAAAATTTATATCAACATATTTTTCATATAATTATGTTATTTATTAATCAGTTAACATTATAATTTGTACCATACCTATATGATTACACAAAAAATAGTAAATCGAATTACAACTTAAAGAATATATTATTTTCAATTAAATTATTGAAAATAGACAAATATATTGATTTTGGATTTTATGAGTATATTATTTTTTATTTAAGTATTATCTATGAAAAGCTATTCAGTAATCATATAGGTAATAATTGTAATAATTGTAATTCACTTCGATATTTCACATATAAAATTCAAAAATGCATAAGTCAACCAGTTTTCTTAATATACACTAATATTTATATCCAAGATTATTAAAAACAAAAATATAAAAAAAAATAACACAAGCTATGAATCATTTTATCTAATTATACGAAAAGTAAACATTTAAAAAATATACTAAACATGAATTACAACCATATTCTATAATTGATAACTAAGATTTTGCCGAATATAAAATAATAAATATCTATATTTGAATTAAATTAAAATAATGAAATTGCAAACATACGCATTGCTTGACAAAACAGTTTTTTCATTAGTAATAAAAATAGTTGTATCATCAAATTGAAACCACTAGGAATATTAATTTCATATATATAACTCATAAAAAACATACATTATCATTTGATCGAGCAAAACTAGTATAATGACCAGTATTAATCTGCCCTTGATGACAAATAACAGATAAAAGATCATAAATACAATCATCTTTATAACAATCCATATAATTACTCCGAGCAATATACGGAAACATATCAAGCTGAAAAGAAAAATTAACATGTGTATCAATTTTTGTCGGAGTAGATGAATGCTCAAAACGCTTTAAAATATTCATTACAAATATAAAAAACAAAATCTAATCCTACCTTCAATTGAAAACATATAACTAAAGGAATCCGTTTAAATTTTAATTGTTTCATAGCTTTCTACTAATTCTTAATAATTTTCTTATATATAAAAATCAAGACCTCAGAAACAGATAAACATTTTGAGCATTTATATTCATTATTAGACAAATTTTCAGGAGATGTAAATCTAAAATTTAAACATTTTTAGATAAAATTGACACTTACCTTTGAAGACATTCTTGAAGACTTTTAACTAAATGTCCACTAGACGATGACTCAACATCAACTATAGACTTAATTTTTAACTCAAGACTAACGTCCATAATAGGATCCATAGTAGAAGTTACATTTCCACATGATGAACACGTAACATCACTTTGAAGTATCCCAGAAAATGTTTTATGAGCAATACAAGTGCATGTTGTATCTATTTTGGAACCAGAATGATTATGAATCTGACTCATTAAACACACAAAAAATTCGTGCGCATCTTGCTCAACATATCCTTTTAATTCCTTAGAAAGTTTCCACATGATTTCTAAAAACGAAGAAGGTCCAAAAGGTATAGAAAAATCTTTTTTAGAAAAAAACTATACATTTTAACATGCAATTAAATTATAAACAATCATCATATTACTTCCGCAATTACAGTATCCATAGCACAACAACTACAATTATCCTGTAAACAATTTTTTATCACATGACCATCACTCAAAAAATAATTACGAAAAATAGGATTATGAACCAAACATTGTATAACTACATTCATAAAACATGTAGCTCCCATATTTTGTATACCTCTTAAACCGTCACCTTTTCTTAATTTTAAAAAAAAAATCATAAAAATTTCAACCCTTTACCACAACATATAGCTTGTACATCATCGTTATCTAAATAATCATGATTTTCAATAGATATTTCTAATCCTTTATTTGATAAACATATCGAATCTTTAAAATAAAAATAAAAATATATAAAAAAAAATTATTACGTACTTTTAATATTGGATGATTTCATGTTTAATTTTCGCTTTACTAGAATATATATTTTCTCAAAAATTGGATCATAAATAAAATCATGACATGAAAAACAATATAAATAGCCACTAAATATGTCAATAGCTATAATATTTAATGCACAATTTTTAAAATATAAACGAGAAAAAACCAAAGATATGATTTTGAGTTTTCGCATGAATTTCTGAGTGTTTTCTTCTCCAACATCCAATATGAGAACATTGAAGACATAATAATGATCTTTTAAGGATATCATGACACACAAAACATTTTTGAAAAACTTTGCGTGAAGACTAAAAAGTTAGTCTATATATAAACATACAAAAGTACAAAAAATACTTTGTAACATCGACCTTTAAATATTTTGTAAAATTGAATAACTTTTAACGCTAAAAAATATGCTTTACAAATAGAATCTTTAGAAGGAGAGGAAAGAAGTTGCCAAACATGATCACAACCATACATATATCTCGAAAATATTTTTAGAAATTTAACCAAAAATAAATCCTATGTAATATCAACAATAATTTATAATTGTTCAATATTTCGAAATAAAGGGTTCGCTATAAAAACTCAAAAATAAATAGAAAAAATAACAAAAAATCTTAAAATTAATATGATTTATAATCATAATGATATATTTCATATATTTTTATAATTAATTTTATGAATATTATAATGAAATTTTACAAAAATCTAAAATCTAAAAACATGTATTAACCAATAAACATTATTTCTATAATATTTTTTACAACCTAAATATTTTATTTATAACCTATTTTTTCTAAACAAATTATTTTATAAAATCATTAAAATTCAAATAAACAATGTATTTACTTAAATTCTAATTCATCAAAAACATTAAAATCGACTAATATATATAAATATTATCTATTGACTAATATACTAATTCTTGATAGCATATATACGTAAAATATTTTTTCATACTATTTTAAATATTTTAAAAGTTTATTTATTAAAATACCACTAAATATTTATTTTATACGTTAACTATATATTATTTATCAATGATTATATTGACCAATTATCCAATTCATTCTATAATTATTTTTTAACTATAAAATGTAATTAACTAATTTAATAATAAATATTTTAATATAATTTTTTTCTATAAAAACTATCACTAGATTAAACTTCATATAATTTTTTTACTAAAAAACACAGAAATAATAAATATTTTCATGTATAAACCCAAGTATATTAATAAAATACAAAAAATAGTATAAAGTTATGTTATTTTTTCATATAAAAACAACTAAATTCCCAAATATATAATCATTTAAAACAAAAGCAATGGTATTATATATCCAAAATAATCTACCAAATCAAAACTAAAATTAACAAAAATTCTTTTATATTCTGAAAAATATAAAATATTCATATTATCTAACAATTAAACAATTTGCAAACAATATAAAAATATTAATATTGTATATTAATAACTATCAACAAAAAATAATACTTTAATAGTACAAGTAAGCAAATGTTATTTTTATGTTATCGTACAAGAACTTCATTTTCAATTATATCACTTCCTACATTTGTTATAAATGTCTCTAACTGATAAGTTGATTTATGCCAATCTTCAATACGCTTTTTCATAATATCTATCTGAGTTTTATCCAAAACTCTTGGATAAACCCATGTAATACGAACGACTTCATCTACTTGGTCAATAGACCCACGAATAAGGTTTAAGCTTAACGCTTTCATTACCAAATGCTCTATCTCGTGTTCAGGTAAATGAGTCTCATCCGCAATGTTAGAAAATTTAAGAATACGATCATGAGGCGATCGTTTAAATACAGCCTCAATTAAGGCCATAAGACATATTTTTTGACGCAAAAATGGAATAGAAGTCTGCAAAAGGGGCTATAAAAGAATAAAACACTAACTAATTAAAATAAAAAATACATACTTGTTTTAAAAAATGTCCCATCAGACTCTCAAATTTTAAAATATTCCCAGAATTAAAAGCAAACAAAAGTTGACGAAGCCATTCATGTTCTGTACCAGATAATGCATCAAGAACAGGATGAAGAAGCAGCTCTCCAAAATTATATATTGTATCACCCAAAAGAGCTGCAATACTTAAATCATATGCTCGTTGTTGTTGCTCATGGATACTAAGAGAAGAAAGATCATTATAAGCAAGATAAAGAAGAGAATTCCTATAAAATAGACCATAATCTGCTTTAGACTAGAAACAAAATTTAAGTATTGATAACAAAAGAATTAAATTATACTTTATAATAATCTGCATTTACACGATAAAACGAAGAATATATTATAGAATCTACTGAATCAAGCTCATCCAAAATCTTAGAACTCTTATTTAAAAGCTCAAAAGAACTATCCAAATCACCACACAACATCTTGACACGTGCTGTTTCAATTGATGCATATACATATGCATCTTTAGTTGTGGGTGTATTAACTTTTTCTAAAAGAGATGACAAAAATTCAAGAGACTCAACATTACCTAAATCATATTATTATTGTTATTGCTTTAATTACTAACCCACTTTTACATTGTCCTGATACACTCAACCCAAGCATTACAAGTTTCAACTTATTAATATTTTGAGAAAAAGACCCCACAAAAAAATTGAACATATCCATTCGAAAAGCTTCAGTTCCAGGATTCCCAAAAAAGTCTATAAGAGCATCCGTTAACTGTTTCCACAATCTGATAGCATATTAGTAATTTACAAGGCTAATACTACCAAAAGTAACAAAAAAAAGTAAATCTTACCGACGCTCCCAAAGATCCTGCATAGTTGAAACCATTTCTATTGAAAAATAGTTACATTTAAATCAATAAATTACAATTTCATATTACTTTGTAAATCGTCATTCATTAAAACTTTTTGAGATGCTAAAAATACATTAACGTCAACCCCACTATCAATCTCCATTGTCTATAAAGCATATATTCAAAAGATTAATAAAAAATATATCAAGTCACTCAACACCTTTTTATAATTGAAAACTTTTTATACTATTATTAATCATATAAAATATATATTTCCATTAAAAATACTCAAACCCTAAAAAACCTGATAAGAAAAACACCTTGTTAAGATTTACTTAATGTAATTATTTCAATTTCTTTAAAAAATTTAATATAGATTCTAAATTAACGGGATAAATATTTAAGGATAAATATTTAAAAATATCTGAAATTCCCTGGACACATTTAAAAAAATCAAATTACTAAAATTATTAATCTTTTAAGAATGATATTGCAACATTGGAGAAAACTAGAGTTGAAAATCAACAAAAAATTTCATTTTGAATACTTAAATAAAAGTTTGAACAAAAAATTAATACATGATATTCAAATATCTAGAACAGGGAAAGCACTCATAAAAAAAGGAACTGGAGGACGGTAAGTAGCATATAATTTTTAATAGTCTTTTAACTTCTAAATAACAATGTTATTTTTTTAAATAATAACTAATATAATGGAAGATCATCAATTAGTGGACACATTGCTACAGTTTTTGGAGCTACAGGCTTTCTTGGAAGATATATTGTAAATAAATTAGGTATATGATCGTATCAATAAAAACTTTTTACTAAAAATATAACTAATAATTAAAAATAGCAAAACATGGCACAACTGTAATAATACCGTGGAGAGATCAAGACTCTAAAAGACACCTTAAAATCTTAGGTGACCTCGGACAAATTGTTATGATGGTAAAAGATTTTTCATCTCTACTAGGATTGAAATATTATCCTACTAGGATTATAGAAAAGAATATAAAAAATAATATGTTTAGGAATTTGATTTGCGAAACAAAACATCGATTGAAGAATCCGTACGTCACTCAAATATTGTGTATAACCTTATAGGACGGGACTATGAAACAAAGTATAATTTTGTTATTAACAGAAACCCCCCGACTAATAATAGAAATTTCTCTTATAAAGATGTTCATGTTTATGGTGCTGCAGCAATTGCAGAAGCATGCGTTAAATACAATATAGATCGCTTAATACATATATCAGCTCTTAATGCAAGCATAACATCACCATCGCATTTTTATAAAACAAAAGTATACTATAAAATAAAAGAATATGCAAAAACTAATAATATAAAGGGTCTTGGAGAGGAAATCGTCCATAATATATTTCCCGAAGTAACAATAGTTCGTCCATCAATAATGTTTGGTGCTGAAGACCGATTTTTAAATTTTTTAGCAAATGCTAAAATCTTATTAACCATAAATAACAACCGTGAATTAATTCGACCTACATATGTTTAAATAATACTCTTTTGATCCTATCTTATAAATAATTAGGTAAAAGATGTTGCTCATGCCCTTGAATTAATGATGTTTGATGACTCTACTAAAGGTCAAATTTATGAATTATATGGACCACATGAATATTCAATTGCAGAAGTTTTAACTATGATTACTCATATTATACATCGTCAACCTTGGCATCTTAATATTCCTAAACCTATTTTTTCAATTATTACATCAATTTTAAACTTATTTTGGTGGCCAACTATAGCCCCTGATCAAATTCAAATGCAATGCATTAATTATAAAACTACAAGTAATGCAAAAACTTATACAGACTTAGGAATAAAACCTCATCATTTAGATAAACTTGCACCTAAATACTTACGTATGAATACCCTCTGAATCATTTTTTAACTAATATTAAAGGTATGTTTCAATCATCCAGACATGTAAACATATAAAATTAAAAATAATATACATCTCCATATGAAAAATATAACTTTAAATAGTCTCAAATATAATGTTAATTTTAAATATTACAATAATATACGTAAACGGAAAACAATACATTTCACAATATACTCAATTTTCATTATACCTTCCGGAACATCAAAGAAGTCAGCAGGAACAATGAAAATTAAGCATCTCGGAAATGAGATATAAATATGTCCAAAAAAAATAGCATGCGGCATATAAAGGGCCAAAACCGGTTCTGTCTGGTAAAAGGCAAGATAGAAATTCCATGTCGCAACCCCCTACCGCAAGATGGCTTAAAATATTTTTCAATGCCCTTTTTATAACATTTTTTTTCGGAGATTAAATGTGACTTACTAATTTAAATATGCATAAATCTGTTTTTGGAATAGTATAAATTCTACAAAATTCTAGCGTTATTTTCTAAAAATATACAAAATACATAAAAAGTTATTTATTATATTTAAAAAATTATGTTTTTAAAACTATTATAAAAAATATTTTTTATTTAAAATAAATTTGTACAATTTTAGTAAATTAAAATATATCTATCTAAAATATATTTCATATTTTTTTATAAAAACATAACTTTCAAGAAAGTATAATTATAATCTTTTTACAAAAGATATTAAAGTATCAAATATTTAATAAAACGTAGTAAAACGTAGTATTAATTTAAAAAACTCAAATTAAAATTTAGTACAAAATATTTTAACATAAATTTTCAAATTAATAAATATAATTACCATTAAACAATAACTTCTAATTTTTAAATAATATTTTAAAAAAACAATATTCTTAATATTATTAATCTAAATATAATTTTAAATTGCACGTTTTTATACTCATTAATAAAACTAAATCTTTGAAACTATTTAAAAATTACGACATTCTAATCTTATAAACATTACTAAATTATTAATTTAAGTATATAAAATATAATATATTAAATATTTCTGAATCTTATAATTTAACCAGAATTTTATTTTTTGATAATATTACAGGTATAAAAAATATTTTGATATTAATGTTAATAATTTATTGATATTTCAATAAAACATATGATTTCTCATAATGTATCTTTATTTAAAGTTATTAATGTCTTTGTTTTACAAGAAAACATTACTAAATAATAATTAGTATTATGGATTTAGATTTTTTAATTATTATCAATTAAAACCACAACATTACAAATACGTCAATAATTTCACTCAGTTATCATATTTTCATAAACCAGCTCACTTTTTGTTCCTATTTCGTTCTATTTCAGATGCAAATCAACTATTTAAGTCATTTCAAAAATACTTTTGAAAGATCATCTAAGTTGTAAAATAGAAAAAATTATAACACATTCTCTAATCCAAATTGCTCTATTGACCCAAATAAAGGATCATCAAACTTATATATTATTAAAGAAATAAGAAAATATTTGTGGCCTAAAGTATATTTTATAGCGATTTTCAGCATTACTAACTAAACAATTAAGGATGATTTTAATATAAAAGTTAGAGTGTGTTTATCATTATCTTTACTTATTGGATCTAAGGTCAATAAAAAACATTATAATAATGTGTTTAATAAATTCAAAGATTTTAAATATTCAAATTCCGTTTTTTTTTAAAAAAATTATTGATTCTATAAATATAAATTCATTAACAACTGATGAAACTGCTTTGGCAATTACAGGATCTATTATTATTGGGTGTATTTATCAAAAAAAAAAAAAAACATACAGCATTTTAATATCTAATTAGATGGTCTTGCTAGAATTAGTGCAACTGCTTTTCAAGAAATAAGAAATAGTATATTCGCTACTGTTTCTCAAAAAGCTATAAGGAAAGTAGCATATAACATTTTTGAACATCTTTTACAACTTGATTTAAACTTTCATCTAACAAGAAAAACTGGAGGATTAACTAAAGCTATTGATCATGGAACAAAAAGTATAAGTTTTTTATTAACGTCTATGGTATTCCACATCCTTCCTGTATCTTTGGAAATAATTATGGTTTGTGGCATTTTGGTTCGATTAATAATTATAACATTTAAATATACTTATTTTTATAGACTTATCAATATGGATCACATTTTGCATTTATAACTTTAACAACTATGATATTATATACTATTACTACTGTAAAAACAACAACATGGAGGTATCTTTTAACTATTATTAATTATTTGTATTAAATATTATAGAACAAAATTTAGAAAAGAAGCTAATAAAGCAGATAATACAGCTGCAACATTAGCCATGGATTCACTTATTAATTACGAAACTATTAAGGTATATAATAAACATTATAAATTCTAAAATAACCAAAATATGTATTTCAACAATGAAAAATATCAAATCAATCTTTATGATAAATGTTTAAAACATTACGAATCTTCCTCAATAAAAGTTGCTTCATCTTTAGCACTTCTCAATACTGAACAAAATATTATATTTTCAACAGCAATAACAGCAATGATGTACTTAGCTATTAAAGGGATATATGCAGGACAACTCAGTATTGGTGATTTAGTAATGATTAACCAACTAGTTTTTCAGTTATCTGTTCCTTTAAATTTCCTTGGAACTGTATATAGAGAATTAAAGCAATCATTGATAGATATGGAAACATTATTTAACATACAAAAAATTCAAGTTACTATTAAAGTATAAAATTATATAGAATACATTATAATCTAATTACTACATTTAGGAATGTGAAAATGCAAAAGATTTAGAATTTCAGAAAGGCGAAATAAAATTCGAAAATGTTACTTTTGGATATTTACCAGAACAACCAATTTTTGAAAACTTAAATTTTACTATTTATCCAGGACAGAAACTAGCCATTGTTGGACCAAGCGGTAGCGGGTAAATACTGAACTTTAAAATTTTTAATCATAACTTTAAAAGGAAATCAACCATTTTGCGTTTACTTTTTAGATTTTATGAACTACAAAGTGGAAGAATTTTAATTGACGGACAAGATATTCGTCATGTTACTCTTAGTTCATTAAGGAACTCTATTGGAGTTTTACCCCAGGATACTCCTGTAAGTTGTTACTTTTGTTTGTATTATTTCTTACAAAAGCTTTTTAATGATACAATTTTAAACAATATCCAATATGGAAAAATAAATTCAACTATAGAAGAAGTTATTGAAGCAGCTAAAACAGCCCAAATACATGATACAATCCAAAAGCTTCCAGACAAATATAATACAAAAGTAGGCGAAAGGGGATTAATGATTTCAGGTTAAACATTTTATTTCTTTAAAAAAAATATTTATTATTAAAAGGCGGGGAAAAACAAAGGCTAGCAATATCAAGATTACTTCTTAAAAATTCTCCAATTCTTTTTTTTGACGAAGCAGTAAAAATCCTGTTTCCTTAGTATAAAATTCATTATTATTTTAGACATCAGCTTTAGATAGCGAGAATGAGAAATCTCTTTTAAATAGTATTCAAAGTATATTAAGAAAAAATAACAAAACTAGCATATTTATAGCTCACAAACTTCGCACTATTATGGATAGTGGTAAATAGATAAATATATTTATATTAAACTAAGATTTTCAGACAATATTATTGTTCTCCAAAACAAAAAAATAATAGAAAGCGGTACACATTACGAACTTATTAAAAAACAAGGTCTTTATAAAAAAATGTGGATATCTCAAGAAACAATTAACTAGGTTTTTTATAAAAAAATTCAAAATATTAAACAATAATAAATAATATATGAAGTAGCTCAGTTTTATTGTAATTATTTTACATATATAATAATATTAATCTATATGATTATATAAAAAATTATAATTAAAAATATTACATTTTTTATAAATCAAATAACTTATTCTAGATTATCAATAAACCAATTATTTATAGATCATTTTTTTAATAAAAACATTGAATATAGTGAAAATCAATTATTTTAACTATAAAAAACATTAAAACCTGTTTAAAACTTTAATTATACAAAATATAAATTTAAAAAATAAAAGTACAAAAATTTTAATAACATTACATATATTCATTTTCATATTTATTATATATATAAAACTAACAAGTATAATTTCATGAAGAATGAGATATAGGTGTCATTTTTAAGAAATTAACAAAAGATGATTTAGAAATAAGTTTTTGATTTTGTTGTCTAGCCCTTTTATGTTTATTTTGAACACTGCGAAACTTTTCTAACAATTCTGGCCACTTCATTTCATCTGTTTTATTCTTTGGTTTATGTTTTTCAAAATTATTCCTTAAAAACTTACAATAATTTCTATATATTAGAAAAAACTTACTGTTTAGAAAAAAATTGAAAAAATCCTATCGAAGATACACTATTCAAACGTTTCTTTAAGGTAAAAAATGCAGAGGACTGAGGTAATAACATAAGTAAGCCGTATAAACATTTATAAAGATAAGGATATCTATCCGGTTCCAAAAGCTGCAGCCGAAGATCTAAACAATCAAAAAACTAACAAAACATACAAAAGCACCCACATGTGAAAACAGGTGATTCCAAAAGCTGAACTAAAGTATCGATTTGTACAAGCATACTAACAGTCATTTCTAATTCTGCACTATACGATTAATTAGCTTAATTTAAATAGTCAATAATCCTGACAATATTTGAAGCAAATTAGATGCTTGCTCATATGCTTGAGCTAAAAGACAAAGAGAAAACGTAGCAACAGCATTATGACACCAACAACGGTATAAGCTTACAAACAAAGATTGACCATCCTAAAAAATAAAAAAACGCATATATAATAAAAAAAATACCTTAAATTCTAAATTTTTAAGTCTTTTTCGAAAATCAGATAATTCTGGAGAAGTCATAAGATTATTATTTAAATTCTGCACCATAATACTTGCAAACTCCAAATCCTGGAATACATTAAACTTAAAAACAAAAAGAAAAAATACACACCTCATCTTTTTCTAAATTCTCTGCTAAAGTACAATATATCTTTTCTGATTTAAGATAAATACATAATTGACGGACAATTAAACTTCCACGAGTTTCAAGCAATCGGCGATCTGTACTAAAAAGAGATAATAAATTGACCATAAATACGTCAAAATAATCATCTTTGTTAGCAGAAGAAATTTGTGCAAGAAGCTCTAAATCCTTTATAATAACCTAAATAATATTAAATAAAAGAACTAAAAAACAAATTAACATACTTCGTCATTAGGATCAGACAAGATTTTCAAAAGAGCAGGAAATGTCCCATCATTTAATGTAAGAACCTTTTATAATAAATTAAGATAATAACATTTTTTAAATTCTACCTTTTGAGGTGCTAAATTATGCAACATAATAAGCCAATTTAATGCAGCAATCCGAGTTTGTTCATGTTCATCTGAAAATTGCAGTATAAGAGCATTTACAGTACTTGAATAATCCAAAATATCCTTAAAAGAAAAAAAGACATCATTTTCTTGGCTATCTGTTTTCGTAATTTGTTGAAAAGAAAAATTTATAGCTTTAGAAGATAATTCAGATGAATGAAGTTGAGTTAAATTTGAAGTAATCTTATTAGTTTCTAATACTTCTGATACTAAATTACAAAGATTTTGATTAATTTCTAAAGCTGCTTGGCGTGAAGACTCCCCTCCTAAAGACAAAGCTGGTAACACAAGTGATATAAGACGTGGAGTAAATTTTAAAAGATCAATAGGACAAATATTAAAAAATTCAGCAATCCATTTCAAAGCCATCAGTTGTATTGACTCCTCTTTCTAAATTAATACAAAAATAAAACCCAGGAAACGAACCAGATGAACTAATATGAGGAAGTAATATTTCAATAATTTTAGAATAATGAATAAACACATCTTGACCAGAAATCCATTTCCCATCCTCAATAAACATTAAATTATCTTTTCGGATGTCCTCATATTTACACTTAATATCGTTATCATTACAATTTATTAAGCTTTGAGAAGATATAGTAGATTTAGCTTTTTTAAATACAAGTTCTTTTTTTATATTAGAAATTCTTTTTATTTCTGATAAAAAATCAGTTAAAACTCTATCAGTAGCATTCCGAACATCTTGATGAGAATCACTTAAAAACTTAATTAACCCATCAAGAAATCTAGGTAAATATGTAATAAGTTCCAAATCAGGAACAGAATCAAGAACCTTTAAATATTAAAAAAATTTAAAAAATTAAAAATTTTATACTGTAATCCATGAAACTAAAAACATCCTCGTAAAAGGGTTTATAACATATATACGTTCTGAAAGCATTGGTATAAATTTTTCTAATGAAAACACAGAAGATCTCTTAGTTTCCTCAACAATAACAGGAACAGATGGATCAATACTTAAAGCCTTAGGAGAACCAACTGGACTAGATGACCGATAAACAGAAATATAATTTGCAGCTTTTTCGGAAACTATGTCTTTTATGAGTCGATCAAGAAGCTCAGCACCATTTTTTACAGAAGGCTCAGTATCAGATGATAACTATTAAAAATTAAATTATATCCTTTAAATTCCTCAAACATTATTACTTTAGATAAAGCATCAAAAATCTCATTAAAATATAATAAGATTTCACCTTTTGCAACTTTTGCAATATTATACATACTTTCACAAGCATAATACCTAACTCTATGTTCTTGGTCTAAAAAACACGACAAAACAGGAGGAACAATATCTTCCAAATATTCAGCAACATCCTAAAGCAAATATTAATAATATTATATATAAACATTAAATACAAACTTGACCAATAGCTATTACTACAGCAGCAAGGCCAATAAGACCACCAAATGTAGTATTGGCAACTCTCGAAGATCCATAAATAAAATCTTGGCAAAGAATATCAATTATCTGTTTTATTCTTGTTGTATCATTATTATTAAAACATTCACGAGTAAATCTTACAATTAAATAGCTTTTCAGGGAAAAATATAATTACATACTTTTCAACTTCATAAGCAGCGGATTTTCTTTTCTCATAAAGACGGTTTTGAAGACCCTGAAGTATAGAATCATCTATAGAATTATTAACTAACTTTATACTTTTAAAAATATCTAACCCATTAAAAAAATAACATTATATGTCAACACAAAAAACTATTCTTAAAAACCAAAAAATATCTAATATCTAGACAACAGTATATTTTAACAAACGATGTCAATTACAAACAATAATAAATTTTATTTTTATAAAAAACCCAAATTGAAAAAACGATACATATTTTATAAAATAGAAAAAATACAGTAAAACATTAAAGTAATTCTAATAAGCAATTTTCCTAAAATATATCTTAAATATGAATAATTATTAAATTTAACTAACACTAAATTCTTATTTAATACTTAAAAATAATCAAAATTTATATTCTGATTTTTTTCAAGCTTTCATAAAAACTAAAATGAAGCATTAAAGATAAAAAAACATATAAAATTAAAAAAAAAAAACCCTTTATTATTACTATAAATAATTCAAAAACATCTAAAAAGATGGTTATTATATTAATAAACTTAATAAAACCTATATACTGAATTCTTTTTATATAAAATTTTAAAATAATAATTTAAAATATTATTAAATAATATATTCATAAAATTATATATATCATAATTTCTTAGAAATCTATTATTAAAAAAATCAATTTTACTATATTTTCAAGTCACAAACATGTAATATTATCTCGATCACTAATACTGTCTTGTTTAAACATCTTGTAAAAACATTATCTTAAACATAAATCCCGTAATTATAAAATTCTTTAAAAATGTTCAAAAATATACATTATAAAAAATATAGAAAAAAATAATAGAAGTTATATTCTAAAAACAATTTCTACGAAAAATTCAAATATACACAAATGTTTACAAAATAATACTATTAATTTTTATAACTTTAAAATTCATAAATTAAATAATATTAACTTCTATAGTATTTTTCAAAATTTAAAGAATTTTTTAGTAGAAGTTAGTAAACATTTATATATACTAATATTCACTAAAACTTAGATATTTCTTCTAAATATATATAATTCTAACATTTCTATTAAAAACCAAAATCGCAACAAAAGCCGTATATCTCAACTATTTTGTTATGATATATTTCTAAAACATTTTAGTTTTTATTAATTGAAAAATAAAATTTTATCATCTAAACTTGAAAATATTTTAACTTATGTATATCATAAATACTAAAAAAAAAAATAAAAAAATATACTTAAAATAATCAAACTTTTGAAATATACAAGATCCTAATTTATTTATTTTTCTTAAGAATATTCATCTAAAACAATTTAAAATTATAATAAAAAAATTATTCCTAAAAACAGAATTATTAATATATTAAAACAATTAAACGTAAATCTAAAAATTCAAAGATAAATATTGAATATTCCTTCAAATTATCTTATAAAAAAACCTACTCAATATATCACAAATATTAAATAACGATATTATATAATTATATAAAATTTAATCATTAATTTCTATTTAATAATTCTAAAATTGCCATATATTCTAATTAAATTACATCACGGCTTTATATTCTTTATTATATTAAATAAATTCTAAATAATTTTCAGAATTAATTACTCAATTTTTAATAATTTATTTTAATAAAAAATTTAAAATCATAAAAACAAAAATAAATCAACAAAAATCCTAACAATAATCACAAAAGGCAATTTTATAAAATTAACTACATTTTCAAAACCAAAACATTACTTATCAATATTCTAATATAAAGAAACTAGAAATAATAAGCAAACAATTTTAAGAATATTAAGAATATCAATATAAATAAAATTATAAATAAAATTATAAATAAAATATACTAAAATTACCACTCAAAAAATATCTAGAATCTACATGCTCAATACCTATATAAGTTTCTAAAATCTAATATAAATAATCTTAAATACTTCAAAAGTATCCGAAAGACAAATCATAATCTACTCTATATAATTCTCATGCTAGATATACCAAAACATATTTCCTATAAATTTGTCTTTTATACTTTAACATTTGATTCTTTTAAAACAATATCACTATTATTTAATACTTGTTCTTGCAAATCACCATCTGGCTCATCTACAAGACATGAATTCTCTAAAACTGCTGAATCAAATGTACCAGATAACATTTGACATTCTAGTTTATTCAAAGACTCTTGAGGCGAACAAAATGGTTTAGCAGTATCCAATACCTTAGAAGACCTATTAGATGCACCATGTTCTTCATTTATTAAAGACTCAGCACTTTTCACAGATACGGGAAGCGGAACTTTTTCTAAACTTAATTTATCTGTAGAAATATAAGCTGTATCCGTATTAAGATATACAGATTCTTCCAAGTCTTCCTTAGATTTAGACTGAACAGTTACAGAAATAGGCGACTGATCTAAAGTAGAAGGCAGTATTGGACAAAGATTCTGATTATTTGTTTGAGATTCCAATAATACAGATAATTTGGAATTATTTGTTTGAGACTCCAATAATACAGATAATTTAGAATTATTTATCTGAGATTCTAATGGCACATGTAAAGAACCAGACCTATTAATAAATGTAAGAAAAAAAACAAAAATATACTAATTACAACTCTTGATCAAGACTCTAAACCTGTTAATTATATAACTTTTAAATAAACAAATACTTTACCTTTTCTACATCAATTGACCGTCTATTTAGACCAGGCTCAGAATCAAAAGACTTTTGAGATTTCAAAGGACAAGGACATTCATCAGTTGACGAATAATATGAAGAATCCCTTTTAAACATTAATATATTACCCAAAGCACTAGAAACAATACTACCTTAAAGACGATTTCAAAGTAGCCACTTCTTTTTGATTGTCAGAATCATTCAAGCACGCATTAGAGGAATCTAATAAAACAGGCGCATGCGTTGACACATTATCATCAAAATTCTGCTAAAAAATTCAAAACTACTCAAATCTATTACTAACTAACCTGAACGGAAAAAACATTATCACTGGAATGAATAGAAAACTTATCCTATTCTCCTTAATTATAGAAACAACTTTACAATTATTAAACCTTTTCAATGAAAGACTACAGTACATTATTAAATAAATCATAACCAAAGAACATAACTCACCGTTTCCTTTTCATTTATCTTATCTCCCTCATAATCCTTTAAATATTAAGTACAAACTAAATATTTTCATTAATAATACCGTGTCAAGAGTTTGAAGCTGCGTTCCTTGATATGGAACAACAGATGCTGCTACCACATCAACAGTATCCTTAAAGTCACTATCTGACTCCTGAGAAAGATGTTCTCGATCAAATACCCCATTTTGATCTAAAAAATATTAAAATTAAAAAAAAAAAATATATATTATTACCATGTATTATTTTATTATCTGATATATTTTTCATCTGTAAAGCTACAATGTAATCCCTATATTCTTCATCGGACATATATGACCGTCCTGCAAACATTTTGATATCATTGTACCAATCAAGTAATTCTTGATATGTTCTTGTCCTAAAAATCAATATATGAGAACTATAAATATTAACCCAACAGGACCCCATAAACACATATAAACAACAGCATACCGACTAGAATACTCATTTTTATATCCCTTCAAAGAAAATTTATATGATTTAGCATTTACAGGACTATGATCACTGATTTCATAATCACGAAGAGATAATGACATAATTGGCGTCTGACCACAATTAAAATTACTGGACTTAAACTCATGGAGAAATCCTGATGGTGTAAGCACATAAAACCCAGTATTATAAGATTTAAGAATTTTAGTTCTTCTTTCAAGACTACCACAACGTATTTCCTTAGCAGCAGGATGATTCTGACCATATAAAACATCACTAAGACATCTAGGAGCCCTAAAACCAACAGAATCCTCACTATTATTACAGAGCCCCATTGCTGTCAGCCTCAAAGTACTGACAATTTAAACAGAAATTTATTTACGAAATCTAAAATTTTTATCGGCAAATAAACGTTAAAAAAAGATAATTTTTTAAAAAAAAAATATAAATATATATAAAAATAAAAAAACAAAATAAAAAAAATTAACAAAATAAAAAAAAATTAATAAAATAAAAAAATTACCAAAATAATCTAAAACTATACTAATTCTTAATAAGATGTTTAAAAACAGAATCTAACAATTTTTATAAAAAGAAAAAATAAACTTAAAAACAATTACCTTCTCTAATAAAACTATTCCATCCTTTGTTAAGAGAAATAGAACCACCTATAACACCAATATCCTTATTGAAATTGCAAACGAAGTCAATTTCTTTCTGAAAATCATCTTTATATTGACAAAAAACTTGTCGAATTGTATCTATCACATGATTTTCAATTCTACGACAATAATCGTCTATATCCAAATAAGCCCGGTGCAGCGAATTCTCTTCTAAAAGCATTTGCATAATTTGCTTCTCTAAAACGAACTTAAGAAGATATGGATCTGTTTTAGGGGTAATTTTTTCAGGATTAAATTCCCATGTTAAGAGAGAATCCTTATAAACATCAAATAACTTATACACTTAATTTAACATATCAAATATTAATTTAGTATACCCTTTTAGCAGCATCCGTTTCCTTAGATAAATTATTACGAAATCTAGAAGACATCTTCATAACATCTTTAACACTATCACTCAACATAGTTCTTTCTTTCTCTAATTTTGAAATAATATCCACATTTACACTATTCGGCATTGTAGACAAATAAATAGAATACTTCCGATTCCATTCACAAAAAAACTTCTCAGCTTCTCTAAGTCCACCATCCTGAAAAGAAAATTTATCACAAAAATTATTCTATTTACACCCTTTAATACATAATAAAAAAGATTAGAAACCTAACACTTAATACATTCCCTAATTTCTTAAACTCAACTGCTTTAACTTCTTGAACATGAACAACCGCTTTAAAATATACAATAAGCTCTTTTAATAAGCTTCTCCATGCTAATCAATAGTAAAAAAAACTAAAAACAAAACAATAACAAAACTTACTATTAAAACGAGCAGCAAGGGCTTTTGTAGGATCTAAATTTTCTGAAATAGAAGACAAAAATATAGAATCTACATTATTATTGTGAACATCCCATATCAAACTTTCTTTTAAAAAGAGTGTATCAAGTGACTTCTTTTGACAACTTTTATGTTTCTTCTGACGTCCTTCATGATTACCCGAAGAAACAGGACCTTTTATTGAACCCATCTTAATAACTTTATAAAACTTAGTTAATTTTTTTCATAAAATAAGGAAAAAAAAAATATCCGATATATTGAGAAAAAATCTACGAAATAATAAATATATTAAATAAGATTATATTTATTCTAAAGAATTTTCTTTCTTTTTATAAAATTGAAGATCTTTTAATTTACTTATAACATCATCAAGCGAAATTCGAATTTGTTTTGACTTATCATCACGGTTTCGTACCATTACTGTATTCGAATCCTGTTCTTCTTGACCAATAACTATATTTATAAATATTTAAAAGTTTTTAAAACTATATCTTACCAAATATAAAATTATATTGAGATACTTGAGCATTTCTAATCATTTTATTTAAAGTATTATCACTTAAATCTATATCAACGTAGAATCCATTGTCATAAATCTTATCATATACACACTTTGAATAATCTTTAAATGATTTAGAAATAGGTATGATTATTACTTGACGAGGAGATAGCCAAAATGGCCTAAAATTATTAAAATAATACTAGAAAAAACAAACTACCATTTTCCAGCATAATGCTCAGTCAAAATAGCTAACATTCTTTCAATACTTCCAAGTACAGCACGATGTATTATTACAGGTCTTGCATAAACTGTCTGATTTTCCTTATCCGAAGCTAAACGATACTCTAAATTAAAACGTTCTGGTAAAAAAAAGTCAAGTTGAATTGTAGCACACTGATGTTGTCGCCTTAAAGCATCAAAAATTTTAATGTCAACCTTTAATTATTAAGCCTATTTTCTTACTAAAAAAAATATAACCTTTGGTCCATAAAATGCACCATCACCTATATTATATTAACACTTTGAAAACCATATATATATATATTAACCTGGATTTATTTCCCATGGCATCCCAAAATTATTTAAAGCAGTTTCTAAACTTTTTTCTGCTTGATCCCATGTTTCAATATCACCAATAAACTTTTCAGGACGAGTAGAAAGATTTAACTTAAAAGAAAAACCAAATACTTCATAAATATATTTTAAAAATTCAAAACAATTCGCAATTTCTTCTTTAATCTAATACATATAAGACATCTTCAACAAAGTAGTTAAATTTAACTTGATCAAAAGTACAAAAAATATGTGCATCATCTTGTTGAAATCTCCGAACCCGCATTAATCCAGTCAACGCTCCAGAAAATTCATTTCTATGTAAAACACCAAAATCAGCATATCTTAATGGAAGTTCTCGATAACTTCTATCACGCATTGCAAACATAAGACAATGCCCAGGACAATTCATTGGCTTTAAAGCATATTGTTCTTTTTCAACATCAAATGCAAACATATTTTCAGAATAATTTTGCCAATGACCGGAAATTTGCCAAAGCTTTGAGTTATAAACATTTGGTGTTACAATTTCACTAAAACCTCGCTTTTTGTATTCAAATTTTATAAATTCTAATAATCGATTATATATACGAGTTCCATGTGGTAAAAAAAAACAACTACCGGGACTAAGCTCATGAAAAAAAAAGAGCTCTTGTTCCTTTAATTTTATTAGAGTAAAATAGCTATACTAGTTCAATAAATTACTTTCCCAATTTTTCTATGATCCCTTTTTTCAGCTTCAATAAGAAAATTCTTATATTCCAACATCTGTTTACTTTCAGGAAAACTTATACCATAAATTCTTTGCAAAGAATCATTTGTAGAATCCCCTAAAAAATAGGAAGATGAATTCTAATAAAATATATTTCCTTTAAACCAGAAAAAATATAAAAAACTAACCTTTAATATACTAAATGCTTTTATTTTTCCTGTATGAAGCACATGAGGCCCCATACAAAAATCAACAAGAGTACCGCACCGATAAACGGTAGAAGATCCACCATCAGGAACTTTTAATGATATAATCGTTTTTTTATAATTATTATGTTTAAACATTTCCAACAAATCATCTTTAGTTACCAACAAACGCTGAAACACTTGTTTCTCAGATATAATAAACTTTATCAATTTTTCTAAATCAAAATAATCCTGTTTGAGTACAGTCCTAAAGTATATTAATAATAAAAACACAAAAACCAAACAAAATAACCTATTTGAAATCGCCATTTCATAAAAAAATCCATCTTCAATAGGCGGTCCAATACAAAGATGACATCCATAATACCTTTCTGCAGCTTCTCCAAGAACGTGCGCGCTTGAATGCCAAAAAACCTGTTTTCCTTTTTAAAATTAAACCATTTATATATTTTTTTTCCAAAAAAAACAAACCTTCAAAAGTATTAAAATCCAATAATTTCAAAGACGACGATTCCTCAAATGGTCGCTCTAAATCCCATAAAATACCATTAACTTGAGCAACTACAATATTTTCTGACAATTTTCTAGATATCCTTTTGGAAATTTCTAAAGGCGTAGTCACCCAACTTATTCCTTGGAAAGATGTACCATCAGATAAAGTAATCGTAATTTCAACATGTTCCTTATCTGCTCATAAAAATTAAAAACAGTTCTTGAAAAAAATAACCTTCATCAAATATATTAACATACTTTGTATTTCTTTTTTAAATTCCTCATAAAGCCTTTCAAACATAAAAATCCGGTGATCTATAAACACAGGTTTCTTTATAATCTTAATAAACATTATTTCCTTTCCTCAAGATATATATACCTCTAATAAACAACTTTTATCCATTTTACATTTGCTTTTTAATTCGTTCTATTTAAAAATTTTAAATCATATAAAATTCCAAATTTTAAAATCTAAAACGTAAAATAAAAAACATACATTTAATAATTTTGTACAAGAACGTATATAAATCGAACACATATAATGTAACAAATCAATTATTAAAAATTCTAGATACACTTCTAATACTAAAAATCGCTTTATAGAAACACAGTTTAAAAAATACACCCTTTATATCGATATATTATTTCATTAACTTAAATTTTAATTAATTTTAATTAAAACAATATTATTTGAACAGGTTTTTTCATTATATTATCTAAGATCATTATGTTAAGCTCTTTTTGCATGTATACTTTTATATTTTATTTATTTAATGAATTTTTCACCTACGATTTCAAACCTTTAAAATCTTTATCTTACGATTCCTCTAAAAAATTAGAATTTTTTTAAATTCTTTTAATGAACAAACATAACAAACGTCCCTTTCAAAACCAATTTCGAGCTACAGATCGATGGAGAAGACAAGACAATGCAGTAAACATAAACAATGTTGGTAAGAAAAATATATTATTAATAAAATTCTTATTTTTTCTTTTAATAGAAATTGGGTCATTTGTACATGCATGTGAAGGAGAAATGCTATATGCATCAACCCACACAAAAATTCCGTATTTTAATGCACCTGTATACCTTGAAAATAAAGTATAAATTAATTTTATAATATCTGTTTTTAATTAAAATAATATTAGTGTTTGATTGGGAAAATCGATGAAATTCTTGGACCTATGAACCAAGTATATTTTACTGTTAAACCTCAAGAAGGCATTGTTGCAAATTCATTTCATGCAGGAGATAAAGTATACATTGGAACTGATAAACTTTTACCGTAACATATATTTTATAAATTTTAAGATTTCTAATATCATAATTAGTCTTGAACGATTTTTACCACAACCCAAATCCTCTATTCAAAAAAAAACGCAAAAATTATCCCGAGGCAGCTATCAAAGCAAAGACCGTAGGGCTTACCAAAGATTCAACAGGAAAAACAAATCTTCTTTTGGTAGCCGTCAGAACCCCACCTTTTTCAAAAAATCTAAAAATACCCAAAGAAACTCCAAACAATTCTCTCGTTAAATATAAAAAACCATTCAAGTAAAAAATAATTAAAAATATTTTGATAAAAAGCTTGTGTATTTTTTATGATGTATTTTATATTACCCCTATATACTTTTAGTTTATACTGTATATCATTTCAATTATAAATTTATTTCATCTAATAAGGCCTTAACTATCTTTTCCTTTGCGTATCGATAATTTAACATTATTTTAACAATGTCTAAAAGCAAAACATCATCTATTAAAAAAGGTAAGCAAATATTCTATTAATCAAAATACATGTTATTAAAATTAGCTAAAAAAAGAGTTTTCAAATTACATTTATGATGACGAACACTTTTCACTAATTAGGTTAAATCAATTCTATCTAATTTTAAACCTAACATTTAATATAGAGCACTTCATTTAGCAGATTTTATCACAGAGCTAAATGGTTTTGAATACTCAATTCTTTATTTTAATTATTAATAACAATAAAAGGATTTTGTGGTATTATGAGTATATTTTCATCTATGAAATATTGTCTTGGAGACCCATTGGATACTACATGGCTTTGGAAATCTATAACATTGATGCCATTGGGGTATATTTTTCTTTTCTACATGATTAATTTATTAAATATAAAAGATTATGTTTTGATTTTTTGGACGGAAGAGTAGCTAGATGGAAAAAAAAAAGCTCTCTTATGGGTTAGATATTATATATATGATCTAAAGGAAAAAATCTAAATTCTGCAGGAAAGGAACTTGATAGTTTAGCAGATTTGGTTAGCAATTAAATATCTTTTCCATATTAAATTTTAATAGGTATCTTTTGGTGTTGCTCCTTCGGCATTTGCATTTGCCCTAGGTGTACGTACACTTATTGACACTATAGTTCTCTCTTTTTTTGTACTTTGCGGAATTTCTAGATTGGCTAGATTTAATATTTCTGTTGATTCATTACCAAAAGACAAACATGGGAAATTAAAATATTTTGAAGGCACTCCAATTCCAAGTTCATTATCAATAGTAGCTATGATGGCATGGTGCGTCAGATCAGGTTGGATTCTTGAAAAACTTCCTTTAGGTGTAATATATGAAAACTCTTTTTTTGAGTTTCATCCAATAGTTATTATTTTTGCATTAAGTGGCTGTGCCATGTGCAGCAAAACTTTAAAAGTACCTAAAATATAATTATAAATATAAGTTATAAGAATTTATTTATGATTAATATTTATAAATTATTTTTTATCACAAAAATTAAAAAAAATTCATTTAAAATTTACTATAATAAAATCTATATCAAATTTAATATATTGTAAAAATTACTCAGCTCATAACATTGAACGCAAATACTATATTTTTGTATAAATAATATAAATAATATAAATAATATCAATAATATCAATAAGAACGATAAATAATTCTAAAAGCATCTAAAAAAAATGTCTATAAAAATTAAATTTCATTCTTGATCAAATATTATTTTTTAATAAAAATAATTTTTTATATTAAAATATAAATAATATCTTTATATTTACAAATAATAAAAATTAAAAAATATTAATTTTATATAATATAAAATAACATATTTAAATTATATGTAATAATTAATGAAACAAACTCTAATTTAGTAATTTATAAAATTTTTAAATCCTATTAAAAATTTAAAGAAATAAAAATATCTAAATATTTACAAATATTATATTTTTTTATAATTATAAGATTATTTCATAATTTCAATAATTAAATCTTTTAAAAACTCAATAATTTAATATATATATTTAACATATTTTAAATTTTATATTTCATAATAATTTAAAGTAATTCCAATTAAAATATTACAACAAAAGCAAAAAACTGAAGTAAAAAATAATCAAATAATAAAATAAATATTTTTGAATAAGTTATCTATTTCATCAACATATAGTTAATAAAATTATAACTAAAATAGAATCTTTAGCAATTTAAAGAAAAACATACATTATCAAATACCAAATTTCTATAAGAAAACTAAAATAAATAAAATAACATTCAAGATAATCTATCCATAAATATTATCTAAAATAAATTAAAAAACATAAAATACAAAAATATAATATAAAAAAGCAGATATAGGTTATATACACAAAATCATACATAACAAACATACATAACAAAAAACATAATACAAAACCAACTAAAAATATATTCATAAAATATATTCATATATAGATACCATTGATTATTTATGAACTTGAATTAAGAATATCGGAATCACCAGCGTCTGTAATACTCAAAACACAAACACTAAAAAATTTTCCACATGCAGTACCCAACTCAATGCTAATTTAAATAAGAAACGCCTTAAAAAACTACAAACAGAAAAATACTTATTGCCGGAATAATGATGAATACTAGTTTTTGCCAACATAGCATAATATTCCAATTCAGACTTTCTCAAGGGTGGACAATTTCCAGATATAATTACAAGCTTTGCTATAACAGAAGTAAAAAAAAGACATTAAAAATAAAAAACTCACCTTTTCCGTTACGTAAAGTCTTTAGTGTAGACCTAAAACCCAAAGTATATTTCCCAGATTTCATTACTAAAGCAAGAGAAGGACCAATAGACTCAGAAGCCTTCTTTGCTTTCTTACTCAGAGGTGCCATATTCAAAATAAGATATCTCAAAAATAATCGCAAATATATAAATAATTAATAAAACTATTGATTTTTTTCTAAGTGGAGAAAAATCGACAAAATAACGTCATTATTGAAAAATGTTAAAACCCTAAATAAATTAAAATTTTAAGATTATAAACATTTTAATAAAAAATATACTTAAATCTAATTATTTTTCTAAATTATCCAAAAATAAAATAAAATAGAGACTGTGTAATTATTTTTAATAATTAAATATTTAAACAAGAATATATTACCAACCAATCAATCATTACATAAAACAATATATTTTTTTAAAAAAACCACATGATATCTATACTATTTTAAAAAATAAAATATGTTACTTAACACACCATTACAAACATTTTCTATAGAAAATTATTATTCTTTTAAAAATGTATAAGAATTCTTCGTTCATAACATTAAGTTGCATAAATATTTTTATTAGGAAAAAAAAAAAACTTACTAAAGAAATAATTTCAAAATATATAAGAAAAAATTCAAAAAAGAGATATTTTTACTAACAAACATTAAATAGAAATATAACCCTATCATTCAAAGTTATAATATTTTGATAACTAAACCTTATTTTATAATAATTCACTATTATATAATAAACATAGTTGATACAACTCATTTAATTTTAAATACATAAAAGACAAAAAAGCAAAATTTAATAATTCAATTAAACAAAAAATAATAAAATATTATAAATATATACATATATACTATAATCATCTATTAAATCATAAGTATAAAACTATAAAAACTCAAAAACTCAAAAAAACAAAATATAATTTAATCCAGAAAAATATATATTAAAAAAGTTACAATTTAAAATAAACACAAATTTATATTTAATCTTTTTTTAATAATTTTCTTAAAGACAATTTAATATTAAATAATAAACCCTTATCATCATTAAAATAAAATACAATCATTTATACATCATAAAATTAAAGTATACATCAAATATGAAAACCTTCAAATAAACCAAATTACGAAAACTATTAATTATAATCAAAAAACAAAAAGTATCTATAAAATTATATATCAATTTTTATAAAATATAATATTCTTAAAAATATTTAATACTTCATTATTTATATAGATCTTATAACATAAATTATGAAACAATTAAAAAGTCAAATCAGCAAAATAATTAGAGAAAAATACAATCAATAATAATAATATAGGACTATAAAAAGGTTTTCTTTAAAACAATGTAAAAACTTCCCACTTAGAAAATAATACACCCTTCTTTTCCTGTTACACTTTTTATTAAATAATCATTATTTCAAAAAATACTGCATCTTAGCATAAGATCTACTTTATAAATCTTCTATTACACATACATACTAAATTTTATAAAACTATACTTTTTACTATTATTTCAGCATAAACCTTATTTTTCAGACTTGAAAAAAATCAAAAAAATAAACACAAACTCCTGCAAACTTTAAAAAACTATTTTGATATAATTTTTTAAAATAAAAAAATCTAAATGTAGACCTAAAATATAAAATCTAGAATAAAAAGCTAACAATAAAAAAACTATATAAAATTGTTTAAAACCTTAAAACATATGAATAATAAAATAGAAAAAAGCAGAGAAAATTTTTAAAAAACATTACTAATAATTAATATTAATCAATCCAAACCATACAGAAATTACAAATTCCAAAATGTCAATATTAGTTAGCATAAATCAAAACAAATATGAATATATACTAAATTCATCTTAAAAAATATTCAGAGCTTTTTGTAAAGAACACACTATTGATACACAAGTCCAAAGAATACTTGAAAAATTTCCTGAACACTAGCCACAAATAAAACTAATACTAAACTGATGACACTTCTAAACCTTTTAATTTTTGAACAAGGGTATCTAATGACATTATTTTTTCAATCTGATCATCAAGAAGAGCTTCCCCATTCTTAAAACGCATTTCAAGTTTCTGTGTCTCTTTAATCTTTTTTTTCAAATTTCGGATACGTTTTTCAACATCAACAACTAAAGAATTCTTAACCTGCAGTTCAGAACACTCAATATTATTATCATTTTTCAAATTCTGAGATTTCTCTTTTTGCTTAGACCGTTTTTTTGCACTCTTACTTAGATTAGGGAAAGTTGCCGTTCCAGAAGAATAATAGTCTAAAGTTCCAGGACAAATACGAGCCACTCTTTGAGAATGCTGATCATGATGCACTGTTCTATACACAGCTATATCTTCAGGAGGAATATACCCTGGTCGAACTCTTCTTTCAGATCTAACAGATCCATCATGACGTACAGATGATGGGATTATAAAATTACCATCTAAATATACCCATTCAATTAAAAAACAAAGCATAAATCATTCAGATAAAATAGACTTACCTTGAAGACTTTTAATCCCAGAAGCTCTTTCTTTATTATTCTGAGTACTAGCTTTCAACATTCTTAAACGGAAATCGAAAACTTTTTAAAACATAACATTTAATTAAATCTTAAAATCTTTAATTATATGACTCATAAGAAAATAAATTAAGAAAAACGACTAAGATGGAAAAAGTATGTTTCTAAGAGTTTTTATTTCATTTTCTAGAAAAAAACTAATATAAACTCTAGATCTCATCTCAAATATATCAATCAATTTTTCGTAAAAATTCAATTTTTATAGGAACAATATTTGCATCAGCATTTGTTTTCAAAATGTAAATATACTTATTTATCTATAATATTTATCTTTAATCTGAATGTATTTTGTAGAGCTTTTGACCAAGGAACACAAGCTATTTGGGATTATGTTAATCAAAACGTAAATATTCCTTTCTATAAGACATTTTTAAAAAATCTAGAAACAATGGAAAGATATTCGTAAACATTATCTTGAAGAATAACTTATTGCGTATTCTACTAACAATATTAATTATGTCTACTTACATCTATCAACCTATATTTCTATAGCAAAAGTAGATTCCACAGAAAACAACGAGCTTGTAAACTTATTGCTTTAAGATAAAGGTATATAAGTTTTCCAAAATAAATTTTTATATTTATTTTTTTATATGGTTTTCATTTCCATGAGACCTTGTTTCTTCAAAACATAAAATTAATCTCTTCAGATGAAGAGCATTTTATCATATCGTAGTCCAATTTATTATATATTATTATAAAAAGGATATAAAATATGTATTTTAAAACTCTATATTTTTAGATTTTTTTTTTTCATTTTTATATAGATCCCTCTTCTCTAAACCTTAAACGATCAAACTAGCTACCAAAAAATCTATATACTTTTAAAACAAAGCATATGGATGAAATTCAGCAGGAGGAAATATCTCCAGAAAAACGCCTTTCTAGGTATTTATTAGAAATGCCATATGCATTTAGATACGCATGGAACCTAAAAGCCAAAAACTCCCTTTTTCACGAACTATTTTGCGCCATGACAGGCTATAATCAATGTTTTGAAACATTCTTCTTTAAAAAAGGAGTACCTACTATAGAAGAAAACCCAGTTATTCAAAAGGATCCAGAATTTCACAAATGTATGTATACTAGTTTATTATGATTACTGAATTTCAAAAAATAGTTACAGCCATGGTTGAAAATGATTCAGATAATGAAGATGAAGTTATAAGGATGAGTAAAGAAGATGTACATAGTAAAAAAGCATCTTGTGGGAGTAGTCGATCAGAAGGGCCCTGTGGTCATGTATTTAAAAAAGAAGAAGCTCTTTATCATTGCAGGTAAAGAATTTAAGTTGCTAGCACATATTCTTATTAACAATCTAGAAACTGCTCTGTAGATGATACATGTGTGCTTTGTTCAAAATGCTTTAGATCATCTGATCACAATGGTCATGATACATTGATGAATTTAAATTCTAAAGGAGGTGGATGTTGTGATTGCGGAGATCCAGAGTATTTTTTTACTCCTTTCCTTTAATCAAGAATCTTATAAATAACTAGTGCATGGAAAGTAGATATTAATTGCTCAATACACTTTCAAAAAATACGTAGCCATAATAAACTAGTCAATAAAAACATAGAAGAATTATCAAATATCCCAAAAGAATTATCAACTTATATTGAAATGACAATAGAAAGAGCACTTGATTATGTACTAGATGTCTTATCATGTTCTCCTGAGAAGCCTCACCTACTTGATGCTCAAGGTTTGGAACGGTTGGAAGAATCATCAAGGTTATATGCAGATAGATATGGGACAGAAGATTATCCATATTCAATATGGGCAGCTATATTGTGGAATGATGAAAACCATACCTTTCAAGAAGTTATAAACCACGTATCTCGAGTAACACATAGAGATGAGGAATTCGGTAAACGCGTAGCAAATAGAGTTGATAGAAGAGGAAGAGATACTATTATTGTTTCAAATAACCTTGATTTAGTCCAAAATATCTGTGATAAAATTGGGCAAATAAAATTAAAAGTTACAATAAGATCAGCTAGAGATACATTTCGAGAAAATATGTGTGGAGCAATTATCGAATGGCTTAAAGATATATCTTTATCTAGGATAAAAAACAATGAAAATTATATGCGGGATATTATATGCAAATTGCTTTATGAACCGTGGAAGAAAGGAACATCCGCATCTATGAATTTTTTTTTAGACAAACATACTACTAATAAATCGTGTGATAATTTGCTAACTAAAGAATCAAAGGATACGAATAATGAAACAAGAAAAATAGTTATGAATACAGGAGATGATATTACAATAATTGGGAATGTTAACTTGAACAGACCAATTTTAGAATCCATGAACCAAAAATTTTCAAAACCATCTTACGAGATTATACCTGAAACACATTGGGTTCCAGAAAAATCACATATAATGGAAACTACATATACGAAAAACAAAAGCGAGCTAAGAATTGATAAATTGCTATCTTTCGATATAAAACTTTGGAAACAAGTTAGATCTACAGTCAGAGAGTTATATATTAGTACAATGATCATGTCTTCTTATTATAAATATTTTATGGGTAAAAAATACTATATATGTTGTCGATAATAATATGTATAGCTGTTCGCTTTTCTCAATTATATAATCATTTGATAGAAGGATATATATTTACTGAAACAGAACCAGATCAATCAATAATAAATTTTTCTGTTCAGCTTTTTACAGTACCAGATATAGCTTTGAAACTTGTACAATTTTGTGACTTTTTAACAATTCTTAATGGGTTTATATATAATTTCCTTACTCATGGTCAACCTAATCTCACTAATATTAATCCTCAAGCAACATTGGTTTCTAATCCATCAAATCTTTCAAAAAGAGGCTATTGTCAAATGTTTGGAGACATCCGATATATTCTTAATACAAAATCAGTACAGAAAATAATTCCAGCAAATCCTAAATATCTTCTACAATTTATAGATATATTGAAGCTATTTCAAGGAATGAATCCTTGTCATAGAATTATTGGGGCCCATATTGAATACGAATCTGAAAGTTGGATTTCTGCTTTTCATTTAACAATAGAAGCAACAAAACTTATAAAAGCAATATCTTTACCTTACAAAAATGCACTATCATCCGATCTTTGTATTGGCATAGCAATTATCATGAAATATCTTTTACAGTGGTCCTTAGGGTATGAAACAGAGCGTTTTCCTACATATGAACCAATTTCTATTCATTATCTTAACAATGAAATAACATTTCATTCTGGCAACATTTTTAGTGTTTCTAAAGACCCAATCAGCTTCCATCATCCTTTACATTGGCTTCTTATATCTTTACTTGAAAATGCTACTTCTTTGAATAAATCAGATTTGTTAAAAAATGGTTATTGTACTATTTCAGATGTTTTATCAGCAAAATTCCAAGAAATTGATCCAAAAGCTAATATAAATATAGTAAAAAATCATCTTATTAGGTTAATAGGCGATTATCCTCTATCTGTTTGTGTATGTATAGATCAGATCCGTGCTGGACTTTGGGTTAGAAATGGAATATCCATTAAAGGTCAAGTAAGTTCTTTTTATTGATGTGAATTTCTAGAATAAAAAATATAAGGCACATCACTATCATGACCTTTCTTTACGTGACCATACATATGATAAAGATATTAAATGGATACAACTTTTAACTGTATGTGGGGCAAACTTAGATGACGCAGTTCTTCAAATTGCCCGACGATACGATATAATCGATAACGAGGAAATTTGGTCGTTAAGGAACGCAGAACAACATCCTCATTATGACAAATCACAATATTTTTTTATGTTTGAGTCTTTATTATCATTGTTTATTACTTTATTTTCAGAAAGATCTATAGCATTACCGCTTGATATTAATGAAAGTACAAAAAAAGAACTCTCACAAATTCTCTGTTTTGGACCTCTCACATATTCCGAAATTATTAAGAAAGTTCCAGAAAATTTATACAATGGTGAAAACTTCAACAACATTCTTACTTCTTTATGTATCTATCGCCCACCAAGAGGGCTCCATGATTATGGAACATATGCATTAAAAGAGAAGTATTTTGATTTAGTAGATCCATACTATTACCATTATTCATGGAATCAACAAGAAGAAGCAGACTCTATTCTTAAAAAAAGAGCAAATGAGAAAGGTGTTTGCTATGAAAAAGATAGAATATCAAATTTTAAAATCAAGCCTGTTGAAGATGGTCCATTCAAAGGACTAGGCTCTTTTACACAAACATTAACATTTACAAAATTAATTTACATGTGTTTACTTTATAGTATAAATCAGAATCAAAAACCAGAATCGCTTATTGATAAGGCTATCTACCTTTGCATTCTCGCAGTTAAACAAGAAACCATTCAACCTCATGAAGATAAATCTTACAGTTTCACAAAATTTGCTAATTCAAATTTTAAAGAAATTCCTTTTGACTATGACTCAAATGAAACAAACACTACACTAATATCTCTTATTTCGAATATGTTGCGAAAAAAAGATTTACAATTTATCTATGATAAAATCCATGTATTTTTATACTTAATAAAAACATCTAATATTTCTTCTACGAACTCAAAAGAAAAAGAATTTATTGAAGATGAACAAAATTCGTCAACATCAATAGAGAAAACATCATTAGAATTTGAAAAAAAGAAAAAAGCAGCAAAAGAACGCCATGCAAAAATTATGGCACAATTTCAGCAACAACAACAAAATTTTCTAGAAAAAAACTTAGATTTTGACATTCCAGGAATTTTAATGATCAATAACAATAATCCAAATCAATCTGCTAGTACAGAGGACTGGCAATTCCCATCTGGAATATGTATTGTATGTCAAGAAGAAACTAACGAATTTCGTTTATATGGTTCATTAGGAATGATTCATCAAAGCCCATTACTTCGTACAACTCCTTTAAATGATTTTGATTTTATACAAGATATTATTGATCTCCCGTATGATTTAGATAAAAATTTGGATCATATTCGACCATATGGAATTGTTTTTAAAGACATAAAAAAGTATGATACATCTAAAGTTCATCCTAAAGATGAAATTAATAAAAACTGTAATATAGCTAAAGGATTTCCTCCAAATCATATATATCATGGATTGTTTGCAACAAGTTGTGGTCATCTTATGCATGCTACATGTTTTAAAAGATTTTATAATTCTCTTGCGTTAAGAATTCATGGTCAACTATCAAGGAATGCTCCTGAAAATATTTCTAAAAAAGAATATCTATGCCCGTTATGTAAGAGTATGGGAAATGTTTTTTTTCCAATTATATGGAAAAAAAATAAAAAAATATATCCAGAAATCTTCAAACCAAAAACATTGTACAAAGAATGGATTTTAAGTTCTCTCGAGTCATTTTTAATAACATTTGAACCGAGTATTAAAAGCGGAAATATTAACAAAAACATACAATCAACTCAAAGAAAAATAGAGCAATCTTCATACGAGACATATTTAAATGAGAAAGTTACAGGATTTTCGCAAAAAGAAAATAATATAAATAACACACAAACTATGCAAATATATACTTTTGATTCTATTGTAAAACCTATAGCCGATTTACTGAAAACATCATTACTTTTACCACGCAATAGGAATTATCCCGTAGATAATTTCATTGAACCTTTGTTTTCTGGAGCTAGTTTACGCATTCCTTTACCTTTTTCTGTCCAGACAAATTATAATAACGAAGCAGATACTTTACACATTATGTATAAATTATTATCAGAAGTATTAAACATAAATTCACACGGGTCATTTGCAAAATGGTCAGAGTCCAGCATTTTTGGTCTTGAGAAATTATGGCATTTATTTAGTTACACTATATCAGGTATAGAAGCAATACAAAGAGGAAAGGATTCGATATTGGATGGAATTACTGGTTCTACACTTATCGATGGAATATCGGAACAATCCAAAACATTACTTCGAATAATTTGTGAAACAATTGTAACTTACATCACAATAGGACTTACTTCAAAATTTCAAAATAATATTCAAAAAGAATTTTTAAAAAAAACAGAAACAAGAATATATCAGTTATTTTATGGCCATCCGATTTATAAAGATATTCAACTAAAGATATCTGAATTTAAACCTATACTTTTTGAAGACATTTTTTCAGTTTTAGTAGATTCCAGCTTTTGTATATTACCTAATGTTTCCGATACACATCATCTTATAAGAATATGCTATTTAGCAGAAATAACAAAAATCGTACTCGCCTTGTTACAGCTTTCTAAAATTATAAACTCTAATGGAGAATGGCCTAATAATATTCAAGATTCTGTAGTAAATTTTAAAAAATTTGTTATATTTTGTTCTAAAAAATTCAAAAACACAGAAAATATAGAATATAGTGATATTGTTTTGCTAAGGTATAAACTTTTAGTTCGGAAATATGCTTTAGTATTTGTAAGGAAACTTGCAATACTGATGTTTAGTAAGTTTGGAGTGACATTTTCGTCAAAAATAGAAATGCAAAACAACTGTGATTATGCTACTAATGATGAGCTTTCAAGACTTACAAAACTTATGAATCTTCCAACTTTAGAAGAAATTTATGCTATTTCTCAAGGAGTTACCGAAATAGACCTTATTCAACAAGATCTTGTTTTTGGTTGGATTACCCATCTTAATAGCGTCTATTTGTCTTCAAATAATAACACTTTACAGCTTCATAACATACTATCACTTAATCATCCAACAATTATAGAACTTTTAGCACTTCCAAGACATCTTCATGTTCTTCTTGAAAAAAGCATGGAAACTAAATGTCTTAAGTGCAATACTATTCCACAAGCACCTGCTCTATGTCTTTTCTGTGGTTTATTTGTTTGCAGTAGATCAACATGTTGTTCGGAAGGAGATTTGGGTGAATGTAATATTCACATGCGAAAGTAAACCCATTTAAATTAATAATAAATAAATTTATTATTTTTAGATGTGGAAGAAGTATCGGAATATATTTTTTAATAAAAGAATGTGCAATTCTATTTATACACGGTTCTAATGGAAGTTTTACAAGTGCACCTTATCTTGACATTCATGGTGAAACTGACTTCGAGTTAAGGCAAAAAGAAAAATCTACTATTTTTTATCTGATTTCTATAGACGTGGAAGACCTCTTCATTTATATCAACATAGATATGACTTAGGCGTTAGAAACTTATTTCTTCAACACAGCATACCTAGTTTTATTGCAAGAAAATTAGAATCAGTTTTAGATACAGGTAAATAGATATTTAAATGATAAATACTTTATTTACAATAAAAGGTGGATGGACTACATTATAAAAATATACTAACCGCAATTTCATCATAAACGTTTTTGAAATATTATAATTTATACTTCATACATATAATGTATTACAGTTTTTTATAAAATATCTATTAACTAAAATATTCTAATTAGGCTACCTGATTTATCCTAAATTCAAAAATAAAATTACCAATATTGATTAATTCATCTCCATCTTTAAAAGTTTTAAAAAAAGAAATTTTTTCAGTTTTATTATTTTTAAAGTTTATAAATTAAAAAAATATCTTAATAAATTTATAAAACATATTAAAAACTTAATTCTATTAATTTTAAATAATAATTTCAGTTTAATAAAAAATATTAAAAATATAATATTTAACATCTTTCTACGACTTTAATTAAAATTAATAAAACTTTATATTTTACTAATATTTTAAATTTTCAAGTAAATATATTTAAAAAAATGAAACAATTAATAACATTATTATTATAATTTACTCAAAATTTAAACATTCGAACTTAGAGTACAATTAAAAATGATAAAATTATTAATATCTTAAAAAATAAAAGATAAATCTAAAAACAACATACAAACGAACATTACTATAACATATAAGATTTCCTTTCAAGTATATTTTCTGGAATAAAATGTCTCTAGAATCATGGATATCTGATAAAACAATGAAGGTAGAAATTATTTAAAAAATATAATTTATTAAATCTAACAAAACAATCAAGTTTTTAAAAATTTCAGAAGCATCTATAGTAAATTATATTATTAATGAAGGTATATAATTATTACAATCAGCAGATATTTTTTGATAAAAATAGCATCTATTGCCCAAAGTTCAGAATATCTTTTTACAAAATTATGTAATCTTGGATTCCCAAACACTTCAGAAGGAAAAGAATTTACAGAAGAATTATTTATTCGTGTCCCCAGAAAATCAAAAGTTGAAGTATGTAATGAAAATATACTATTATTACTGTTGCTAAAGTTATCAGACGAAAGACAAAAACATTTATAATCAAGATAAAAAAGTAAATATTTATTCTTTAAAAAAGGAAAACACATCATTTGAAGAAATTCTTGAAGAAGAAAAAGAATATCCATTATCAATTAACGTCTCTCTCAAAAAAGAAAAAAGTTTTAATAATAAAAAAAATAGAATAAAAAAGCAAGAAAATCAAGATAGATGGGTAAGTGACGAAGACGAGCACAAAGAAAGAATAAAAAAGAAACAGAGATTGGAAAATAGTCACAATATAGCCAAAAATGTCAAAGAATATGAAGATGAACTACAAAAAGCAGAAGATGAACGAATCAGAGATCTTAAAGAAAGAGATGAATTTTCAGAAAGATTAAGAGACAAAGATCAAGAAAAAACAAGAAAAATAGTTGAAGATAGATCTTCAAAGATTTCTACAGATGCATTAGCCCGACGAAAATTAGCAAATGATGCAGAAGCCAGAAATGCAGCATTGCCTCAATTGAGGGAAAGAAGTCGACAACAGTACCTAAGTCTTCGAGAAAAACAACAGATAGCTCTCCTTGAGAAAGAAATATCTGAAATGGAAATAATTTTTGATGGTGTTAAACTAACAAAAAGAGAAATAGAAGAAATGAATTATAAAAAAGAAGTTCTACGTTTAGCAAAACAGAGAGCAAGTATTGATGAAGGTTATGATGGTTATGTTATTCCAGAAGATTATATCACTGAAAAGGGGAAAATAGATAAAAAAAAAAAAGAAGAAGCTCTATATAAACGTTATCAAGATGATAAACATGAAGAAGATAAATTTGTCACTGAACAGGACCAATGGGAAGAATACCAAACAAGTAAAGCTACGGCAAAAGTAGGAACATTAAACAAAATAGCACCAGAAGAATTTGAATACGTTTTTGATGATACTCAAAAAATAGATTTTGTTTTAAGAAACACACTTGAAGGAATCTTTACAAGCAAAGAACAAAGAATTATGGAAAAAAAAATCAAAGAAGCAGAAGAAAAAGGTAAAATAATAATTTTATTGTATATTTTTTTACTTTTTTTTTAGCAAATTCTATTGAAGAAACAAGAAAGAATTTACCTATATATACATTTAAAAAAGAACTGCTAGATGCTATTTCCAATTATCAAATTCTTATTATTGTTGGTGAAACAGGATCAGGAAAAACCACGCAAATTCCACAATATCTTCATGAAGCCGGATATACTAAAAATAATCAAAAAATTGGATGTACTCAGCCACGTAGAGTAGCAGCGATGTCAGTAGCTGCCCGTGTAGCAGAAGAAATGGGTGTAAAAATAGGCAATGAAGTGGGATATTCAATAAGATTTGAAGATTGTACAAGTGACAAAACTATCATAAAATATATGACAGATGGAATGCTTCTAAGAGAATTCTTAACAACACCTGATCTCAGTGATTATTCTGCATTAATGATAGATGAAGCTCACGAACGAACTTTACATACTGATATATTATTTGGTTTAGTAAAAGATATAGCACGATTTAGGCCAGAATTAAAACTTCTTGTATCCTCTGCTACAATGGATGCTCAGAAATTTGCTGCATATTTTGATGACGCACCAATTTTTAATATTCCCGGCCGTAGATATCCCGTTGATTTACATTATACACAACATCCAGAAGCGAATTATCTTCACGCTGCTATAACAACTATTTTTCAAATCCATACTACTCAAGGAAAAGGAGATATATTGGTTTTTCTTACAGGACAAGAAGAAATTGACGCAGCGACAGAAAATCTTCAAGAAACATGCCGTAAACTTGGGAAAAAGATTAAAGAAATGATAATTGCTCCTATTTATGCAAATTTGCCATCTGAACTACAGTCCAAAATTTTTGAGCCTACTCCAGAAGGAGCTCGAAAGGTTGTTCTAGCTACAAATATTGCAGAAACATCTATTACTATTGATGGTATTGTTTATGTTATAGATCCAGGTTTTGTTAAAGAAAATGTCTATAATCCTCGAACAGGAATGGAATCACTTATTGTTACACCATGTTCTCGTGCATCAGCAAACCAACGTAGTGGTCGTGCAGGACGAGTAGGTCCTGGTAAATGCTTTAGATTATATACATGGTGGGCATATCATAATGAATTAGACGAAAATACCACACCTGAGATTCAACGTGTTAATTTAGGAAACGTTGTTCTTTTATTAAAATCTCTTGGTATTAATGATCTTGTTGGATTTGATTTTATGGACCCACCTCCTGTTGAAACATTAAGTCGTGCATTAGAACAACTCTATGCACTTGGTGCACTAAATGATAAAGGCGAACTTACAAAAGTTGGACGCCAAATGGCAGAGTTTCCAACAAGTAATATACAAATTCAACGATAGATAGTATTCTAACACTTTTAAAGATCCAATGTTAGCAAAAGCAATTTTATGTAGCAGTAAATATGGTTGCGTTGAAGAAGTCCTTTCTATAGTTAGCATGCTAGGTGAAAGCTCTTCAATATTTTATCGTCCTAAAGATAAAAAATTCCATGCAGATAAAGCTAGACAAAATTTTACAAGGCCAGGTGGTGATCATTTGACATTATTAAATATTTGGAACGAGGTAAAACAGTGTCTTAAAAATGGTCCTAATAATATGCTAGTGGGTCGACACGAACTTTTCATATCAATGGGCAAGAGAAAATTTCCTTCAGTATAGATCACTCACACGTGTTAGAGATGTTAGAGACCAATTAGCCCGTTTAGTAAGAAAAATATTTCATTAAAAACAATCAATTAATTTGTTAATATAGTGCGAACGGGTTGAAGTTGTTATCACTGGCATAACCTCTTCAGATATTCTACCTATTCAAAAATCTATTACAGCAGGATTTTTCTATAATGCAGCAAGGGTACAAAGATCTGGTGATTCATATAGGACAATAAAATCAGGTCAAACAGTGTATATTCATCCTAGTAGTGTCTTATTCGGCATTAATCCTAAGTACCTTAACTAATAATAATATTTATCTAATATTAATTAAAATAGATGGATACTATATTATGAATTAGTTTTAACTAGTAAAGAATATTGTCGTCAAGTAATGGAAATTAAACCAGAGTGGCTTATTGAAGTTTCTCCGCATTATTATAAGTCTAAGGATATTCAAGAGTTTAACATAAAAATGGGAATAATAAAAAAAACAGAAAAAATATAATATTTTTTATAAATAACCATAAACTTTATAATATGTAGCCATATATATATTATTAATATAAAATTTACAGAAACAATTAAAAATGTTATATATTAAATCATTGTATACTAAGTAAACATCTTTATTAAAATTATATATAAATAATAAGGAATTTAACAAAAAAGGCCCAACCAACTTATTCTGTTCTTTCATGAATCTCAATAGAGTCTGTTTCAGCCCATTGTCTAACTTCATACTTATCATACTCTTCCTTATTTGTAATCCAACGTTCTTGGACATCATGTACAGTTCTTTCATAATCCCATCCTTGACGCACTAATAGATATAATTAGTAATAATCTAATATAAGATAACTTACTTGCAATACTAAACAGAGTATCATAAGTACTTTCTGATGTACCAAAAACATACCCATTAGCCTTATCAACTACTGATAATAATTTTAACATAGAAATTTTATCCTAAAAATGATTAACTATGAATAAAAATAATTAACAAAACATGTACTTCTATACACAATGTTTCAAATCCTATCAATCCAAAACTTTCAACCATATCACAAATAGCAGCATTTAAAGAACTAAATGACGACAACATAGAATCTTTTTCTAAATAAGGCAATAAACGAGATAAATCCTGAACTTCGGTATAAAAATCCAAATTAAATACTTAACATAAATTAAAATGAATAGCGATATAAAAATACTCACAAAGCTCTCCATACATTCCTATTAAATCAATTTTACTTAAAACATTCACATGTGGAAGATCCATTTGTAACATGCTACGCAAACTTAACATAAGAACACTTATATATTTCGAAGGATCAGTGCAATAATGTGAATCTACAAGGTGGACTACCGCTAACTAAAAAGATGATAAACAAAAAGATAAAAAAATAAGATCTTACTCTATAATTTATTTTCCCTAACCTAGAAACAACCTTTTGTAAAGAACCATGATGAGTAAAAAGCTCTACCTGACCAGGGCAATCAAAAAGAATGTAATCATCTATTCTAGTAAATTATTTTAAACTCCTTCAATATGTTCTACCTCCTAAACATTCAAGTCCTTCTTTTAACCATTTAAAATTCTTTTCTAACATCTCCAAAGCATAAATAACAGCTCCATTAGGTCCTAAACCAGTCTCTTTCATAATTTTATTTACAGATATAAGCTGACGAATATCTAAAGAACAAGGATACAAAACATGATCATTTGCAGGATCAAGATTCACAATTGATGATTTTCTTCCAAGAGCACCAAGAAATAAATACATTCCATGGCAATATGTACTTTTTCCACTACCAGGAGGACCAATAACTATCTTTATTTGATTAATTAAAATACTAATCTACAATGTTCTTACCTGACCAAAAAACATCTAAAACTTTAAAAATAAAACGTTTTTTCTAAGTACCCTACTAAAACAAAATCTTAATAAAACAAAATCTTAAATGTCTTTTTATATAAAAATTTTATGCTTAAAAACAATATTATGTTAGAAAATCAACTACAATACAAAAAGACTCAACAACTGAGTCAAACCTACTTTATTTAGACTTAATGTATTTTTTTATACAATAAATATTAATTACGGAACTTTCCCCTAAGAAACCTTTAAATCTTTAAATACCATGACTATTGCAAAAGAGACAGTTGATCAGAAATATGATCTTATTGTACGTGGTCTTGAAGAAGTACTTGGCGCAAAAAAACTTAAAAAAATCTTAGAAGAACGGGATTTAAAACTCTATTGGTATATATATGAAGAAGTATAGAAATAGGTTAAAATTTAGACTAGGGGCACTTCTCCTACAGGAAGACCTCACTGTGGTACGTATGCTTTCTAAAATGTATGAAAATCCTTAATTAACTAGGATACTTTGTCCCTATGATTAAAATAGCAGACTTTTTAAAATCTGGAGCAAAGGTAGAAAAAAACATTTGTAAACTTTTTATTTATAAATTCTCAGGTTACTATTCTTTTTGCAGGTAAAGTTTTATATTTTCTGTTTCTAATCATTTTCACTGATCAAGAGAGATATTCATGCTTTTTTAGATAATCTTAAAGCACCTATTAATATTGTAGAATACAGAGTTAAATATTATGAATTTATCATTAAAGCAATGCTTAAATCAATTGGAGTTTCAATAGAAAAGCTTCAGTTTGTTCTTGGATCTTCCTATCAACTAACTCCCAAATACTCTATGGACAATTTTCGTCTTTGTACAATTGTTACGGAGCATGATGCAAAAAAAGCAGGTGCAGAGGTTGTAAAGCAAGTAGAAAACCCTCTTCTTTCAGGACTTTTATATCCTGGGATGCAAACCTTAGATGAAGAATATCTAAACTGTGATGCTCAGTTTGGAGGAATTGACCAAAGAAAAATTTTTACATTTGCAGAGAAATATCTCCCAGCACTTGGATACGAAAAAAGAATACATCTCATGAGTTCAATGGTACCAGGTCTTACGGGAGGGTAGAAAGAAAATAATGTAATCATTATTCTAAAAGATCTTAGGAAAATGTCTGCTTCAGGAAATGAAAATAATAAAATTGATATTTTAGATGATATTAATACAGTTAAAAAAAAAATAAATCGAACATTTTGTCAAGAAGGAGTTGTCGAAAATAACGGGCTTTTAGCATTTGTAAAACACATAATTTTCCCAATTCTTGAACTTAAAAAAATACCAATGCTAAAAATTAATAGAGAAGATAAATGGGGGGGTCCGCTTTCTTATACCTGTTATGATCATTTGGAATCAGACTTTGCAAATAGAAAGGTAGAATGAAATAAAATAATAAATAAGATTAAAATATCTAGTTATTTCCTCAGGATCTTAAACTTGGTATCATTGATGAACTCAATCGTCTTTTAGAACCTATTCGAATGGAATTTAAAGAAAATAAAGAATTTCAAGAAATACTTCAACTTGCTTATCCAAGTGAAAAAGAAAAAAAAACACAAAAAAGTCCTCAAAAATACTAAACCTATATAATCTAAATATATTGTTCTTAAAATAATAATTAAACAGCTTTTAAAAACCCAAATATTTTTTATTTACTACTACTAATAATAATTTTCTTCTGCTAAAAATATATTTTAATAATATGTCTGATTTCTAAACTATTTCCATTTAAATCATACTATCATTATCAATTATATCGAAACACTCCTTAGACTCGCTAAGCATAAATATTCAATATAAATATTATGGTTGTCAACAACAACTATGAAAATGACCAAGACCCTATAGAAAAAGAACTTGCTAATGAAAAAAGTCACGATATTATTTACAGCATAGATTCATGGTCATCATATAGTTCTACGTACCATCCGTCTCACATTTTAGTCGATAATCCTAAAGATCAAGGATCAAGATGGAGTTCGATCAACAATACAAATGAACAATACATTATAATAAAATTAAATCAATTGTCTATTGTAATACATAAACAAAATTCTATTTGTTTAATACTTAATTTAGGTAAAAGAAATTACTTTTGGAAAATATCATAAACCTCATGTTTGCAACCTCAAAGAGTAACTAACTCTAATACATGTTATATTACAAAGAATTGATAGTAGTTTAGGCTAAAAGTATATGGCGGGCCTTCTAGAAATAGTATGCTCCTTCTCTTACATACAGGTAATTATTTATTTATAAAAAATCTTAAAACTTATATTAGGTCTTGCAAATGATATTGAATCTGAATCCTTTCAATTATTAAGGAAAAGCGAAAAACATAACACTCATGTTCCTATACGTTTTTTAAAAATTGTTCCATTAACAGTTTGGGGTACCGACTTTAATTTTTCCGTATGTCTTATTTCAATATTATTAATAAAATCTAACAATTTTTTCCATTTATCAGATATGGTATGTAAAAATACATGGATGGACATGCAAAAAAATTGTAGCAAATGCTATGAACAATTTGGAATCAAAACTAGAAACATATGCACTAAAACTTACTCTTACACATCTTCGTCGTCGGAATTCTATTAAAACATTCAAATTGCTTTCTTCTTTATTTGAACTAGAACTAGAACATCCTTTTTTAAATAGTATATATCAAACACTAGTAATAGATGGAGATTTTATAAAAGCAGAACTCTTAATTGATGAAGCAGAATCAATAGGTGCATTTGATGAATATATATCAAAAGAAAACTATACTTCATTATGGATTGAGAACATACATCCAGACCTATATCAAGTTCCAGGTCCAAGAGGAGGCCATCAAATGTGTATTGATCAAAAAGTATTCCAAGATCAAAATCGTTAATTAGTTAATTGTTCAAAGGAAAGAATAATATATCTTTTTGGAGGATGGGATGGATATAAAGATTTATCAGATTTTTGGTTATATTCAATAGAATGTAACACATGGAAGAAAATATCAGATAATACATTATTGTTAGTATAATTTTAATTTCTAAAACTTCATTAATTTGAAAGACAAAATGGTCCATCAGCTAGATCTTGTCATAGAATGTGTTTTGATTCAAAAGAAAAAAAAATTTATCTTCTCGGAAAATTTATTGAAGCAAATCAAAGAAATCAAGAAAATATCAATGTAGCAGATTTTTGGGTATGGGATGTAAAAACTGAAAAATGGGAATGCATTTCTGAAAATACTTCAGTAAATAACGAAATTTTCTATATTATTAATTATAATATATTTTAGAATGATAACGGTCCATCTTTAATTTTTGATCATGCAATGTGTATAGATGAAAATAATCAAGTAATATACGTTTTCGGAGGCAGAATAGTAACACTAGATCCTTCTATAAATGTATTAGAACCATATGCCTTAATTTATTCTAAAAACTATAGAAACTTAGCGACTTCTTTTGTTATTCTATATCAAATCGTACTTGGAAAATTCTTAGGTATATCATATTTTAATTTCTAACTAATATTTATAATTATTTAGAAAAGATAGTAACTCATTAGTGCCTACAATAAATACTATAAGATCAAGAATAGGACATTCAATGCTTTTTGAGCCTATTCTTAGATGTCTTTTTATTTTTGCTGGGCGACGTTCTAAGGAATATCTTTCAGATTTTTATCTTTATGATATAGATAAAGATAAAATTTTTGTCATAAGTATGGATTGTTTTAAAGATGGAGGACCTGAAGCTGGATTTACACAAAAAGCTACTTTAAATTTAAAAAAGAAAGAAATTATAGTATTAAATGGCTTAGTAAAAGATAAAGAAAAAAACGAAGAAATGGTGAAAAGTTCAGCTTGGATTTATTATTATGGAAATAACATAAGACATGGCATTTGGAATAAAATTAATCAAAATGATAACAATGATATTATAAAAAATAAAAATAGACCTTGTCCTAGGTATATTATTAAAATAACAATACTTTAATCCAATAAATATTTAGATATGCTCATCAACTTGTATATGACGAAAAATCTGAATTACACTTTTTGTAATATGAATATTTACAAATATCTCTACAATTAATAAATATTTTAGATATGGCGGAAATCCAAGAAACAAAAATTCCCCAGAAGAAAGATTAAATGATTTTTGGACTCTTAGATTACAAAAGTATTTCAATTTAATAACTAAAAATTTTTTGTTTATATACTATAGACCAACTGTTTCAGAAATATCAAGACGTTTAAAATTATATTTACGAAAACAAAAGTATTTTTTAAAAAATCATTAGTTTAATAAAATTAACTTATTATAGATTTAGAGAGCTTTGCCGTATACTATCCTCAATAGATGCATTGTCATATTTACGTAACGAACTTTCATCTTTGCTTGATCATTCAAACAAAGAAGAAATCTATTCATTTTGTTCTCTTATAACAGATGAACTATTCGCTCCTAAATCAGGTCAGTTAAAAAAAGTTTTGAATATGTATTTATAAGTTTTAGAAAAACACTTTGACAATACAGAAATGAAAAATTTAATACATACTCTTAGAATGGAAGTTTTCGATATTTTAATTAATTTTTTTCCTCAAAATTGGAGAGGTCCTAATGAAAGATTGGTAGATTTAATTAAATTATAAACCTTAAATAGAAAAATTCATATATAAATTCACTTTTTTATTAATAAAACTAATCATAAATATTTGTATATTTATTTATAATATTGTCAATATTTTTAGAAGTTTAAAATATAAAAATCGATAATTTTAGAAATATATATATACTTAAAAACATGGGATTGCTATATAAATATGTTATAAATTTTAAAACTATATATAAGCATATAGTTTAAAATATAAGATAAAAAATAAAAAATATTAATTAAATTTTAAAATAATCAATAAACAATTAATCTAAAATTTAATTGCATTTAAATTTTAATGAAATAAAAATTTAAATTGTACATTTTTATTATCAAATAAAAAACTTGAAATTAAAAATTTAAATCTAAAATATTTTAAATTCACCTGTTAGTTATAATAAATAAAATTTTAATATTTTTAATAGTTCATATATTATATAAAAAGCAAAAATTACAAAAAATATTAAATCTATTTAATTCAAATATAAAATAAAATAATATATTTTTTATCTTTTAACACAATTTATATTTTAATAATTTAATTTATAATTACTCAAAAATATTCTAAAATAAATATTTAATATTCATAATTTTAAAGTATAATTAATATATTTTAATATTTTATTTAATTTAAATAAAAATATTGTAAAATATATTAATCTACATTAATTATATGTAATAATAAATCTATATACTATAATAATTAAAATTATCAGATTTTAATTAATATTTATTATTTTAAATAACAAATATTTCAAAATTTATAAAAATATTTTCATGTTCAATAAATTTCAAATAAAATTAAAACAATATAATAAATTTTCATAAAAATAAAATGCCAAATTATTTTCTCACATATATATATTCGCTTCAATTACCTATCAATAAAAAAAATTACCTAAAAAATTAAATATGCTAAAACAATATGAATATTATTGATAAAACCAAAAATTCAAATAAAATAATAATACGCATTATAATATTAACATTCATTTACTTTTTATATAGTATCAATGACAAATTTATTCAATCTTATTAATGTTTACACAAAATTTTATAAATTTATTATTTTTTTTTATTTATTTAGCATCAAAAAATTATTAAAACAAAATCTCAACCATTAATAAAAACTAAAATTATCAAAACACATTGTTTAAAAACGCACTTAGTTATATTATTATAATTATAAATACTGTTTTAACTATTTTAAATTTTATTCAAAAATTTCAAAAACATTATTTATAGTTTTATAGTATATATTTTAGATAATTATAGACTCTTTTTTAGCAAGTCGAAAATATCTATAATATTAAATGCATTATCTATTAATATATTCATTAAACTTGAAAGTACTCAGAGTATATAATATATAATAATTTAAAAAGTTAATATATCTTTTAAAAAAAAATTCATTTATTAATTAACAAATATAATTCTTATATAATGAATTACATAAAAAAAAAATATTTTGTAAAACTAAAATTTTAATCGACAAATTATCTCAAATTACAAGGAAATACAAAAAATGAAAAAAAATGAAAAAAAATGAAAAAAAATGAAAAAAAAAAACAAAAAATACACAGTAAATTCAAAAAGCGTTAATAATATTTAATATTTAATATCTTTAGTTTAAATCGTTTGCAGAAAATCTTAATGATCTTCATATAAATATTTCAAATAAAATTAATTATTATATTGAAGATACAGTAAGCTAATCTTCAATATTATAATTCTATTCAGAATATTCTAGGGTTCATCTCATTTCAATAATTCTCTTGAAAAATGGAGAGAATTAAATTTATCACCAGATTTTATTTCTTTCTTTAACGAAGTTTGCATTTTTTCAGAATCACTTCCTCAAATTTTATACCATAAACAAAAAATATTTAGCATAATAATGAAATACATTTCTAAAAATAACACGCTTTCTCTTGAACCTCTTTTGTCGTAAGTTATATTAAAAAAAAGACTTTCATCTTTAATCTACAAGGTTTCTAGTTTCTTTTTCTCGAGATTTAAAAGAAGAATTTAGCCCTTTTATTATTGAAACATTCAAAATTTTAGAATCTCTTCTAAACCGTGAAGATATAAATGCCATTAAGGTATAATTCTTATTCATAGATATAAAAATCAACAGTATACAGTGGATATTTACTAGCATTGCATATTTATTTAAATATTTATCAAAAATTATAATTGATAATTTTAAAGAAATTTTTGAAATATTATCAAAATTGCTTGGAAAAGATACAAAAAAAAAATATATTGTTCGCTATACAGCTGAAGTTATATCATTTTTATTTAAACGAATAGATGACACACAAAAAATAATGCTAATAAAGTTATTTAAAGAAGATTTAAAAAATAGCTTTTCTAATTTATATCTTCAAGGTATATCATTAGTAATTTCTGAGTCATGTAAGGTTTGTTCAAATACTAAAATTTTATTATTTAATTTAATATTTTTATTTAAGAACATAAAAAAGACATTAAACTCAAACGCAACAAAAACTATAACTCATTTGATAAAAATTTGGGAAGAAGATTGCCGTATATATTATTTTTATTTTATAATAACTAATATATATTAGAAAAAGAAATATTATATCTGATTTTAAAGAATACTATTATTTCACTAATTAATCATACTAATGAAGTAACATTTTTTCCTGTAATAGAATTATTATTAGTTAGTTTGGAAAAATCAAAATTTCATAGTCTGAAAGGCTATTATCATTTATTATTAATTTGTATATCAGCACAAAATGGAAAAAGAGTAAAAGGTATATAATAAATTATTTGAGATTAGTTTCTAATGTCTAAAGATTGGAAAATTGTTGTAAATTATATTTCGTCAAACTTTTTAGTACAAAGTAGATATTCGCCAATTATGATTAAATTACTCACAAATTTACTATGTTTATCAGATTTAAATATAGCTATAATAAATAACAAAAAAATTATAGAACATGTTATGTTATCAGATGTTTTTACTTTTTTCATTATTGATTATTCTAATTAATTATTAGGTTCATATATGCAAAATGTTTTTTGAACTGATGTCTACTACATCCGCAGAAAGATTCAATACTTTTTTGCTAATATATTTTCATAAGTATTAATTTCTAACTAATATATCTACTTACAAAAACAGTTTTATATCTAAAATTTGGAAAACACATCATGACATTGCTATTCATTTATTATTATCAGTCAGTGATTCTAAAGTGCTTATAAATTCATCTGAAAATTCTTATATTTCAGAAAAGAAAAAATTCAAATTTTCATCTAATCATTGTATAATTCAAAATATATTAGAATATTTTTCAAAAGTAATCGACGAAACATCTTTTGGAATATCTATAGAAAATAAAATATCGCTATGGAAGCGATTAAAATTATTATCATGTATAGATTTTAATTCTAAAATAATTAACAAGATTTTATATAAACTTATTATCAAATATTTAGCTTTCGAATCTGATTCTAATATAGAACCTTTAATACAGATTTTATTAACAGAACTATCTTCTACTAAATGTTCTGGTCTTGAAGATAATGACATTATAAACCTCTTTAATCATATTTCAGAATCAAGCGGACGTTTTTCTAAAAATATATCGTTTCTTCAAGGAGTTTTTGCTATTTTCGAAGAAATATTAACAAGGTATATTATTCTTACTATTATAATTAGTCTGAAACAAAAAGGCCTCTTGAATTCAGTGATACTAATATTGAAATACTTCTCTCTGATATTACTTCAAATTTACTTATTGCTGGTTCTCAACGAAGATTTTATGCAATAAAAGTTCTAACTTTATTATATAAATTTAAAAGTGGAATAGAATGTAAAGTACTTAAGTCTTGTAATGTTATAGTAGAAACATCGTTTAATGTTAATTCATTAAGAACAATTTCTATACATATTAGGAAAATCTCTATAAATTTTTTGAAAGCTCAGGCTATATCTCAAAAAATTGCAATTATTTTTCTTATTGGTACTTTTTTATATCTAATATTGATCTTATTTATATTTTGATTAGGCCTAATGACAGTTAATTTTTCTCCAGTACTTAAAGATTGTTCTTCAGTCCTCGCAACTTTATATAATAAAAACTATAATTTTATCTGGGAATATATATTTGATTGGATAAAACTAGGAAATATTAAAAAAGTAGTGCCTAAATTGAATAAAAGCTATGAAAAAAGAAATGAAAATGATTCTATATTTCAGTGTTTTAAGACAGATATTAATTTATCTTTTCAACTAGAACAAAATGATGATGAAAAAATATTATCTGGTTGGAAAGAACTATGTAATAAAGTATAAATATATTTGTGCTATCTTAAAATTATACTGACCGTTTTTAGGATAATTTAGATTTAAGTAATGGTTCAGCTGAATATAGAACACATGCTCTAAAAATTCTACTAGAAATTCCAAGCCTTGCGGAAGAACATTCAAAAGATCTAGTTCCCATTTTTCTTACTATTTTTTCACAAGATAGAAATATAGAAGACTTTTGTTCATCTAATTCTGAATGGTCATATATTGATAAACTAAATCTTATAACTATTTTTAGTAAATTTCAAAACCCGAAATCTATATTTAACTCAGAAAATGTGTATAGTACTTTATTATTTCTTTTAACTCAAGGTGATATTAAAATTCAAAACCTTGCCCTAAATTCTATATTATCATGGAAATTCCCTGAGGTACTTAATTATGAAAATAATCTACGGAATTTATTAAGCACTCTAAAATTTCGTAACGAATTGACAGACTTAATGCAAGAAACCTGCTTACATAGTAATTTTAAAAATCAAAAATTAATTCCAATTATTTTGAGAATACTTTACGGCCGAATGATATCACGATCTAATTCATCTTCTAAAAAACATTCACTTTCTACCAAACGTGACGTTATTTTATCCTTTGTTAGTGTACTACCTTTAGATTTTTTTAGAATATTTCTAAACATTATGCTGGAACCATTTAATAAAATAGATTGTATTGATAAATCTAATTCCAATGCGTATAAATTAAAAAATGTATTGGAACATGTTAATCAAAAAAAACAAATAGGGTTTTGTACTGTTCTCAAAGAAGTTTTAAAACATGTGGGATCTAATATAATGCTTTATTTATCAGATATATTGAATGTTCATTTTTATTGTTGGAATAATTCTGAATCTATTATAAAATCGTTTTATGATAAAAAAGAAATAAATAATAATGAAAATATTACTTTAAAATATGCAAAAGCTATAAGGTATAAATGCTATCATAATCTTAACAGAATGTTTTCTTTTGGATTTAGTCATGAATGGATGCCATATATGACTCTTCTTTTTGCAGAATTTATTAATCCTAAGGTTAAATATTTGCACATTGATAGTTTACAAGAACCTTCTGGACTTCTAAAAATCTTCTCTACTTGGTCAGAAAATATAAATACATTACATTTTCTTTATGATTATAACAAAGAAATAATTTTAGAAATCACAAAATGCTTATCTTTACCTTCTATTAAAGAAAATGTAGTATTATTTATAGTTGATTTCTATAAAAAAGTTATTGTAAATGCAAATGAGTTTGATAAAACCTCTAAAAACAACAAACATTATTCAGCCAAAGAAATTCTTATTTTAAGGAACATATCTACTATATTAAACACTTTATGTAATTTAATAATGGATGTACAACGTAAATGGAGTAAAAATATTTATCATCCTTTATTTAACTTACTTTTATTAATTTCACCATTAGTAAGTGAACCCTCACAAATTGAAATTCTTTTAGAGACTAATATATTTACAATTTCAAAACTTTCAAAATTTATTCCAGAAGATATAAAAAATTATATTCTTGAAATAATTCAAAATTTATTACCTTTAAGTCATAAAATACACACTGATCACAGTTTTTTTTGTAATATTTTTAAAACTCTTACACCATTATTTGGAGTACTAGAAAACAAAAATTCAAGAACTATTTTGTCTAATTTAATGAATATATTTTCAAAAATTAATCCACAATTAGAAGACGTCTCAAACCTTATAATAGATTTAAACTCATTTTCATCTAAATTGGATCAACCAGATTTTGATAGAGTATTATCAGCATTTACTATTATAAACAGTTCTAAATGGGAAGAATTTGATATAACTAGTTGGACTCCACTTATTTACAATATGATCTATTTTATCCAAAATCAAGAAGAATTTTCTATAAGAGTAAATGCATCATATACAATGAAAAGATTTATTGAAAGATTTAATGATATTTCTATTACTGAAAGAGAATCTTATTTAAAACTTCTTTCTTCAATTTTAAAAGCTTTGAAAAAAGAAATGAAATCAAATAGAGATCTAGTACGACATGAATACTTAGGTATTTTAGCACATATTGCCAAATTTTGTAGTTCTTGGGATCCAGTCATTGATCTTCAAGTTTTATTAATCGACGATGAAGAAGCTAATTTTTTTAACAATATTCTTCATATTCAACAACATCGCCGTATTCGTGCTCTAAGACGACTTTGCATTGCATCCTCTCAAGGAAAAATAAATAAAAATAATATCTCAGAAATATTTTTGCCTTTAGTAGAAAGTTTATGTTTTTGTTCATCAAAACAATATCATAATCTTGTACCGGAAGCAATTAAAAGTATTGGAATTCTTTGTACCAATATTCATTGGAATCAATATTACAATTTATTTAAGCGATATATTATAAAATTAAAAAGCACTCAAGATACTTCAAAAATAATGATACGTATAATTGACTCAGCAGCAGATGCTTTATTTCATACTTATAAATTTTCACTGATAGATTCAGAAGATATTAAAATAAATAATTCAATTAAAACTTCACTAGAAAAAGATTTAAAAGTTGAATTAGATAGCAGCAATTTGTCTTTTTACCTAAAGACTTCAATAACGAATGATATACAGGTAAAGGATATTATTTATTCTGAATTTATCCCCCCTTTAATTCAAATTCTTCATAAAATGGATACATCTACTATAATATCAAGAATTCCTATAGCATTAACTATTACAAAACTTCTAAGATGCCTAAATCATGAGAGTTTAATGCCACATTTATCTCTAGTTCTTTCAGAAATTTGCAAAATTTTGCAAAATCGATCACAAAGTCATAGAGATATAGCTCGGGAAGTTTTATCAAATATTATAGCCTTACTTGGCCCTCAATATTTGTTGTATATTCTTGTACAGCTAAAAAGCACACTTAAACGTGGTTATCAGCTTCATGTTCTTGGATTTACAGTGCATACATTATTATATCGTTTACAAAAAAATGCTGTTATTGGTTCTATAAATAATTGTATAGATATTATTGTAGAAATCTTAATAAATGATATTTTTGGCAAAGTCGGGATAGAAAAGGATTCAGAAGAATATATAACATCAATGAAAGAAATAAAAACCAATAAAAGTTATGATTCTTTTGAAATTTTGTCAAGCATCATAGATCTGGAACATTTCTGTTTACTCTTAAAACCTATTTTTAAGCTACTTCATGAAGAATTAACATTAGAGATCTTAAAAAATATAGATATAGTATTTAGAAGAGTAAGTCTTGGAATATTTAAAAACTCATTATGTTATACTCGTAATGGTTTACGTTTATGTTATAATTTATTTCAGGAAGGAATAAAAAATTTTAAAACAAAAAATGATAAGAAAGTAGATACAAAAAAAACTTTTATTGTAGAACTTTCTTCATATAAAAAAGAAAAAAAAAATAATTTTTCAAATAATGCATGCAAAATTATTAAATTTTCATTAGATCTTTTAAAAGGGATTTTATTAAAAGATAAAACTTTAATTTCACCTGAGAATTTAATACCTTTTATTCCAATTATTGGTGATTCGGTTTTATCAGGAAACGAGGAAATACATATTTCAGCATTAAATGTATTTTCTATCTTTTTAAAACTTAACATTGAACATGTTAATTCATCACTAAATGTTTTTGTTAATCAAGCATTTTCTTTCATAAAACTATCAACTTCTACTAATACTGAATTGTGTCAAACAAGTTTAAAATTCCTTATATCAGTTTTGAAAAGTCATCGGAATGTTGAAATTAAAAAAGAATGGCTTGTGTATATTATTGCAAAAATAAAGCTTGATATAGAAGAACCAGATAGACAAAACATCGTATTTTCTATGATTAAAGCAATAATGTCTCGGAAATTGATTTTTACAGAATTATATGATTTGGTTGATTCTATTGCAGCTATAATGATAACAAATCAATCAAAAGTGACTAGAGATATGGCTAGAAGAATTTATTATCAATTTTTGCTTGATTACCCTCAGGGGAAAAATAGATTAAAGAAACAAATGGATTTTCTCATTAAAAATTTAGAATATGAACATGCATCTGGTCGCCAATCTGTTATTGAAACTTTGAATTTAATTGTAACTGATTTTGATGATTCTGTAATAAAAGATTTTCTAGAACCCTTTTTCATTGCATTAATGATGGTAATTGTAAATGACAGGGATATACAGTCTTGGAATATGTCTAGTATTCTTTTGCAAAAAATTTTCAAACGTTCTGATAGTTCTGTTTTAAAATTTATCACAGAATCCTTTAAAACATGGTTGAATCAAGTAGAAGAAAGTTGTTTAAGAATAGCAGCTATTCAAGGCTATGGTTTTTTATTTCAGGTATTTGGGAAAACAAAACATGAAGAGATTCACTATTTTCTTGAAAAAACTCGGAAAATTTTGGACGAAAATATTAACTCTTATAATTCAGAGAATTGCGAGCTTATTTATCAAATTATGCATACGATGCTTAAATTAACAAGTTTAGTACCAGAAATAATTATGTCTGCTGAGCAATCAACACTTTGGAATTTTTTTATTAATTTATTAGCATGTGAAAATAGTAAAATTTGTTTCATTGCAGCAGAAATCATAGGGAAATCGTTTTCCTTTTGCAAAGTAATTCCAAAAAAATTGCCTTTAATATCACCATATGGATTATTATATACTCAAAATAATTTAAGTACAATTTCAAATACTATTTTACATAAATTTTATAAACCTGATTTAAATAAAGAATTAAGTCTTCAGTTTTCAAAAAACTTATTTTTTATTGCTAAATGTTATTATTTGACTAACTCTGAAATATCTGAATATGAAAATTTATATATGTACCCAAAAGTGGAAAAACTTGTAAAATTCAAAGAAACAAATATGGAATATCCAACTTGTCTTGAATGGTTAATATTTAGACTTTGCATAATTTTAAAAAACGAAAAAAATATAAATCATGAGGTTTGTTAAATCTCTAATCTTACGTTAATTAATATATCTATAAGTCAATTATAATTTCTAAGTATCAAATAATGAAATTAATAAGAGCTCTTGTTAATTTTCTTCCTGCAAAAATTTTAGAGAAATTTGCAAACTTAATTATCATTCCTTTATACAAATATACAGACAATAAAGTTGCAATGACTGATACTCAGAAAAGTATTAAACTTTTATACTATTATTTCCTAACATATTGTCAAGGCTTGAAATGCATTACAGAAGAAATATTAAAAGAATTACATTCCAAAATAGGAACAACTTTATATATTCAAATATTCAACAATATAAGACAAAATTCGTTTAAAATAAGGGAAAAACGAAAATTAAAAAGGTCTATACTTGCAATATCAGATCCCAGAGAATTAGCAAGAAAAAAAATCAAATTAAACATTAAGGTATTACATTTATATTAATATACAAAATCAAACTTTATTTTAACCTATATAATAGAAAATAAAACTAAGGAAAAAAAAGAGAAACTATATACCATTTAATCCTATAAACGCTTTAAAAGAATAAATTTCATGAAAAAATAGTATTTTATAACCTTGAATTTAAAATAATGACAACATAAAAACCTTTGTTAATATATAGGTATTATACATTTTTAGCTATTATATTTTATTAAAATTTTAGTAATACTGTAAGTTACTTCTTAAATTGACAAATAATTATATGTTAATTCATATTTAATAAATCAATAAAATTTATAATACCAAATTACTATAAGGATCCCAATCTGGCGGATTTGATTCAAAACACAACTTTCCCTTATTATCTACTTTTGCAAAATCTGTACTTACTAATACTTCATCTGGCATCCTCTTCATTTCATCTTCTGCTATTCCTAACTCATCACACGGCAACCATATCACAGGTACCTTTGCTTGTAAAGCTTTGTGTTTAAATAAAGATGAAACAATCTTTTCTCGCTCTTCTGTTGATAGTTTTTTAGAATTCATATTAAAATCAGAAGAATTATCAGAATTTCCAAATCTTTCTCTAGATGATAATATATCCAATGTTGAAGATTCACAATTAGTATTTTCTATTTCGCCATTAAAATAATATAATCCAAATAATTTGCCATAGTAATTTTGATTATTATTTTGATGCTTTGAAGTTAAAGGTAAAAATTTTATTAATGGATTAAAACTTTTTTGAAGCATAAATTGATAAAAAGCAGTGAAAATGATTAAAATAACCATAAGAATTCCTTGAACTTTAGTTGCAAAATGATTTTGATCATCACGTGCCAAAAAAAAAAGACCAGTAAGACAGACTTCCAAAAGATATATTCCTGTCATCATTTGATATAAAGATTTAGGAAATGCTAGCCCCCCAGTATCAACAGGAAAATCGAAAACATATAAAAAATTATAAAGATATGTAGCGTAAAAAAGTATAAAAGCAATAACAACAAATATCATTATTAAAGGTGCAATAATAGAATATGTAATTGCGATAACTGACAAATTAGTAAATCTTGGGAAAGTTGTACCCCATCCTAAAATTCTAAGTGTAGTAAACCGAGACCAAAGTTTTCTTGGTGTATTATCCATTAATTTCCCAAAAATATAAAATACGATTAACGTAATTACTTGTAATAATTCTCCCGATGCAATTGATAAACCTTGAAGAAGGATATAAGAAAAAAAAAAATTACTTGCTCTTGGCAAATTTTGTGCCAAAAGCTTAGGTGTGTTTTGAGGATTATTTATAATACTTGCTATTACTGCAGCAATACCAGATGAAATAGTAACAACAAGAAAAACTTGAACAACCAGAAACGAAAAATACATATTTTGGACAGTTAATTCAACATCAGTTTGAGTAGGAAGACCTTTAAATTCAGCAGCAACTATTTGATCATTAATAATATTTTTTTAAATAAAAAGCTTACATCTCATAATTATTGGTACAGCTATCATTATAATAGCTAAAAGCACACTTGGTAATAAACCTGTTATAAGTCCACTTACTGGCTTAGAGAGATCTCCAAGAAATTCAAGCCATGAAAATTTTTTACTTAAACTTATTACATTTGATAAAGATCCTACAAAAGCTACAGGAAATGCAAAAAAAATAACAAGAGCAGCTATACTTATTACAACTGCTATTGCTCGAATAAGACGGTCCCACCATTTTAACTGTAAATTATCCCATATAATATCTTTTGGAGATATATGAAGATATTTTGGTGTCATATGAAGTGCATTGTGATGTAGAATATTCTGACAAGCTAAATGAGCAGATATTTGCTCATTAAACTGAATAAAAACACTATTCATTCGCTTAAACCTTTCTGGATGTTTTTGCTGTTCTAAAATTTCTGGATTAAGTTTTTTTAATTCTGAAATACACCAATCAATAGTATCAACCTTTTTTCCAATAAGAGGGAGAGATATAAACCATGAAAACAAAGGGAGTCTGTGCTTAGGTCGTTTTTCAAATGATACATACTTATATGCCAATCCTTTGCTAGATTCTATATAGTTTAAAGACTGACAACTTTGAGAATTCAATGTGCTGGAGTTTTTCTTTTTATTAAATAATTTCTTACTATTTTTCAGTGCAGTTCGTATTAAACATGTCTCTGCTTCTTCTAATTGTTGTGCAATAAAATCTCTTTTTTCAATTTGCTCTAATAATGAAGAAAAATCTCTGAAACATAAGGACCAAATAAAATTGAACTAAAAACTACCTGTTTATCCAGACATTCTTAACACCTCCAGGATATATACTAAAAAGATCTTTTAATTTATCTATATCGAGATACTCATCCGGTACTGTTGTTATAAGAATTGTAGTAGCAGAAGTAGTACTACGATGTTGAGGAGAACATAAATATGTCTGCCGAATTTGTATAAAATGCTTTAACTCATAATATATTAAATAGCAAGTTATAACTATAAAAATAAGTTTAAATAATTAAAAACAGGAGAAACTGACTAACAAAAAGATACGCAAGCACTAAATGAGCCCAGTATCTATTTGTATGCTTCGGACTAACATTTCCAAAACTAAATCTATCCAAGCCTCGAGATTTTCCTTGAAAAGTTTTATCAATTCCATTTATGGAATTTATGGGAAGCAGGATTGGCCAAATTATCAATATAGAAATAAGGAAAAGAATAATGCACATTCTAAGAAACCGAAGAAAAAAATAAGCATCTAAACCAGACTTTTTAATAATATATTCAGGAGAAATTTGATAAAGTTTTTGAAAAAGTTTCAGCAGAGATTTAGGTGGAGACTTGACTTTTTTGTCTTTTGGAAGAACTTTAATAACCTACTCATGTAAACTAAACAGAAAAATTAAGAAAATACTATCAACACTTCGAGGTTGATATACGCGATGTAAAAAGTTACGCAATATAAAAAAAGAAACTACTTGAATTGTAAACATAGAAATATTTACAGAGAGCGAGGCAAGAAATGCAGGTAATGACGTTCCTTCTGAGTTATGCATCTTTACGCTATCACTCATTATTTTATTATTTTTTCACCAATGGCCAAATATTACGCAATTCATGTTTCAATTCGCGAAAGACTTATCTACATTTTTAAATACCTTTTATAATTATTTATATTTCAAAATATTAATAGAATTCCTATTAATACCTATATTCCAAAGAAAAAGCAGAACATACAAAAACTTTGTACTTTATATGTTTTAAAGAACATCCCTTTTATATTTATAATATTTATAATTCATATAATTCCTTTGTAAATATATCTAAAAAATATACACTTTTTTCAAATATACTCTCAAAAATCTATTCCTTTAAAGAATTGCATATATTTTCTAATAAGAATGCAAATATCTCCTAAATTTAATTTTTTTAAAAAATTATATTTTTAAAAATATTTGTAATTTTTAAAATTAAAAATACCTTAAAATATTAATCACAGAATATATTTTTTAAAAAACTATATCAATTTTAAAAATAACATTACATTAAAACTGCTCTAAAATAAAAAATTTAATAAAAACAAAATTCAAAATTATATTATTTAAATTCCACAAAATCATTATACTATCTTTTAAAAATTGTAATATATCCCACAAAAATATTGATTCTAATACATAAAAAGTAGACCTTTTAAAAATTTAATACATTAAAAAATATATATTCACAAATTTATGTATTTTTCAATACTAAATAAATTACGTTTATTTTATATTATCTAACGATAATTTAAAGGGCTAATTATTTTGTGACTGTTATATTCAAATATTAAGTTTACGTTCAACGACTCGAATATTAAAAAACAAGATGGCACGGCGACCAGCACGGTGTTATAGATATTGTAAAAACAAACCATTTCCAAAGTCTAGATTTAATCGTGGAGTTCCTGATCCAAAAATTAAAATTTTTGATCTTGGGCGAAAAAAAGCATCAGTTAATGAATTTCCTTTATGTGTTCATTTAGTAAGCAATGAATATGAACAACTGAGTAGCGAAGCACTTGAAGCAGCACGTATTTGTGCAAACAAATATTTAGCAAAAATGGCAGGGAAAGATGCTTTTCATTTGCGTGTACGGCCTCATCCTTTTCATGTTGTTCGTATCAATAAGATGTTATCATGTGCTGGTGCAGATCGCCTACAAACAGGGATGCGTGGTGCTTGGGGGAAGCCGAATGGGACTGTTGCCCGTGTAAATATTGGGCAAATTCTTTTTTCTGTTCGATGCAAAGATTCTAATAAACATATTGCTATTGAAGCTCTTCGTCGATGTCAGTACAAATTTCCTGGAAGACAGAAAATTGTTGTTAGCAAGAACTGGGGTTTTACTTCTTTAGACCGTGAAACATATCTTGAGAAATGCAGAAATGGTGAAGTTAAACAAGATGGTTGTTATGTCAAATTTCTTTCTAAGCATGGAAATCTTGAGGCCAATATGCGAGAGTTCCCTAACTTTAGCATTACAACATAATTTTGAATAAATTTCTTAAATTATTCGGTTTATGTATTTTTTAATATATACTGCATTTTTTATTTTCCCTTACATAAAAATATATTTAAAAATATTTAATTTAAAAATATTTTTGAATAATTTTGTTCAATATATTGTCTTAATTTATTAGGATTTTAACAGAAATTTCTTATTTTAATTAAATATTATATTTTTTTAAATATAAATTAAAGATTTAAGATTTTACATATAATTCATTATTTATAATCTCAAGACAAATTTAAGCAATATATCAAAAAATTACAATAACAAAACTTTTAATTCATAATTTAACTTTTTAATATTTATATGCAACATTATAATTCTTTAAAAAAAATGACATTTTAAAATTTAATCTAAAGAACAATGTTTTAATTTTTTTCTTCAATTTAAATTTAATAAGGAAACCAAAAAATAAATTTATTATTAATGTAGTACAAAAATTAAGTCTACATTCATGTAAAATATATTATTATTATATATAAATTACCTATATTTTCTTTTAAAACAACAAAAAATAACTCTAAAACTTTATAAGTCAATCACATAACTGTTAACCAAAATCATAATACATTTAGTAACTAAAAAAATATTTTAAATAATTAAAATTTAAAAGCTTTAACATTATTAAACAATTCATTGAAATCAACATACTTGCGGACGTAAATATAAACTTTATTAGACCATTAATATTTTTTAAAAAAATTTACAAAAAACCGTAAAATATAACTTCTTTAAAAACAAATAAAACATAAAAACTATTATTTATACATAAAATACAATTAAATCCTAAACACTTGAAAATATTAAAGACATCCACAAAACACAATTTTTAATATGCAACCAAAATAAATCTCTAAATGGGTCTAAAATGCAGTCTTCAAACGAAATATGTAAATAAATGAGAATTGGTCTTTACGAAAATTGCATATCAATATCTAAAACAATTTATGGGCGAAATACGACAAAATAATGCTCCGATAACAATTATGTTTATTGACATAGGAGTCGTTTTAACAAATTGTGCAAGATTCGACAAAAAAATTCGAAAAATGGAATAAATTTGAATATAATAACATTTTGCCTTAAACCAAAATCAAAAAATCTTTAATGTCTGAAACTCTTTAATCTTAATTTTTTGAAAAACATTTTTAAGTCGAATTTTCATTTACAGAAAAAGTCATATCCTTAAATGTTGCCAAGAATTTATAATTACATGCTGACTACACCACACATTTAACGATATTCTCTTTCACGGCGGTCTTTATCATGCCCCCTATCATCATATCGCTCACGGCGGAAATCATGGGATTCACGACGATCATGGCGTGAAGAATATCTATCACTATAACCTTGACTACGTAGCCCACGACGATCATCATAACGATCACCATAACGATCACTATAACGATCACCATAACGATCACTATAACGATCACCATAACGATCACCATATCTATCCCCATAACGATCCCCATAACGATCTCCATAGCGATCTCCATAACGGTCACTACGACGATCTCTATAATAATCTCGACCATATGAATCTGAACGACGAGAGGCGTAATTATCTATGTTTTATTAAATAATTACATAAAAACTTTAAATCAAAAAAGTACCACGTCTACGAGGACCCATATAAGTTCCTGGTGTAGATGTCCCTATACCATTTAAACATTATGATATTAAAAAAAAATACATACGAGGACCACCTCTGCGAGCTTTCTCTACACTACATAGACAAATAAATAATCACAATAAAAATATTAATTGCAACTACCTAAAGACCCTTCCATAATATTCCTGTCCATTTGCTGCCTCAATGGCTTTATCTGCATCCTCAGGCGTAGCCATAGTAACAAAACCAAAACCTCTGGACTCTTTTGTATAAGGGTCTGAAACAATACTGCATTTTACAACATTTCCAAAGCGAGAAAAGATCTCTTCAAGTTCCTTTTCATCCATACGAGGTGCAATGCCGGATATGAATAGATTAGTCCCCGGATTTTCAGCCGCAACATCATCTTGTTCAGTACTTTAAAAAAAATAAGAATCAAGCAAGTACAATAAAATCATAATACCGAGGCACCCGTCCACTTGGTGAACGAGACCGAGACCTTTCTTGCTTCTCATAATTAGTTCCTCGTTCCGGACGGTCGTAATCCCCGTCAGTGCCTCGATGAGAAAGATCTTCTAATTGCCTATAAGCTGTCTGATATTATTAACTGACTGACCCTCTACCATGGCGAGAGGAATCTCTTTCATAATCAGGCCATTGATTTGTCATATTTTTTTACCCCAACTTCTTATACTTTTTACGAATTGCACGATTTTTCTTGTCGCTTTCAATTAAACCCTGAATGTAAAATTTCTTAAGATATTTCTCTAAACCTAACCCTAAAAAGATCAATGTTTTTTAGAATTAAAATACAGTCATTTATATTTAAAATAACTATGGTTAATTCTTAAAATTGTTTAAGAATTTGTTAAACATGTATTGAGTTTTAAAATATTTTGAAAAAAAAATTCTTTATAAGTTTTACAAATATTTTTGAAATAAAATCAATGTCAGAAAAATACAGAATTATTAATATTTAGAACAAAAAACAATTTAAAAATATAGTTTATTGCTAAGTATAGAAACATAATAAATAGTAAGCATATTTTTCGTAGAATATATAAAATACTATTACTTTTTACAGTTAATATTATCTAAAAGATAAACAAATTAAAAATATATATTTTATATTTATGAATATTTTAAAAAAATATAAGAACAAATATTTTGATCCAGAATATAATTGAAAATTAAACGAGTCCATATAAAAATTAAAGAGTATTTTTTATTAATATAACTATTTATATTGCAAATCATATAAAAACAATTAATATATTTTTGATTTAACTAAATAATATTTGAATCTTGAAACTTCAGGAAATTAAAAAAATAAAATGAAAAACATCTAAGAAAAAAAGGAATATATGAAACATAAATATGAACAATTTCAAGCAAATATTAAAATTATATATTTAATAGAATAAATAAACTTAGTAGAATAATACAAAAAGTCTAAACCATGAAAAATTTAAAAACAAAAGCCAATTTAAAATTTAAAACAAAATTAAAACGAAAAACACATAATTAAAAAGATTTTTATTTAAAAATTCAGAAAAAACATATAACAATTGAAAATCAATATGTAATGAAGACATAAATATAAATAAAAGTGAATATAAATAAAACAAATATCTAATAAAAGCAAAATATATTACGTTTAAACAAAAATGCACAATGGTAATATTATTATAAATAACACACATTCCGAATATTTAGTATTCTATTTTTTTAATTTTTCTTATAATTTTCATAAAAATTAACTATAAGAAATCAATTTTTTTAAAAAATAATTAAAAGCTAACACCAAAGAAGTATTAATAAATTTATTATTTTGTCATTTGTATTCCTAATATAATTTTTGAAGTATAACTTACGCAATAAAGTCCTTAAAAAAGTAGGCTTTACACCTTTCATAGATAAAAATCTCAGTATTTGCTACTCGAGCTTTAAACAATATAATGTATATTTTCTTTCAAAGTATTTGCATTCTTAATATTTTCATTCTTTTAATTTTTATTTTTTAAAACCAAGTAAAAAATTAATTTAAATTAAATAACTACAATTCATTAGTACATTCTACATTAATATACTATTAAAACGTTTAGTTTTTTTATCTGTATAATCTTATATTTATATAGATGGTATTTTCTTATGTACTCTAATCTTAAAAGATTTTATAAACATGAAAATATAAAGCATATTTACAAACCTTAGATCTTTTACCAAAATCACGATCCTATTTTTTTACTAACATATTCAAGAAAATATATAAACATAAAGATGAAATGAATAACATTTATGAATATTAATTACCAAATTCTGTGAAACTGAACTTATCTCGATTAAAAGATGAGCTTAAAAAAAGCTTAGTAATTTTTATAAACAATAAATTTTATCCAAAAAATACTAAAAGGTTAGGAACCAAATGCTACAGTAACTTTAGGACAATAAGCAACATCTTTGTGCATATTTCCAATAGCTTTACTTGTTACCCTTTAAATCAGAATTTCTAGTAACCGTTATAACTAACATTAAAAATAATAATAGAAATTCACTTTTAACTTTTAAATACAGCTATTAAAAAATAATCCTATTTACAAATCTACCTATGTCATCGTACTTCTTTTAAGGAGTTCAACGTTTAATCAATATCAGTTTTACTATGATAAAAGCTTATCTTTAAAATACATGTAACAAATTTATAAAAACTAGAGATAGGAAATATACATATCTTAATTGTTATACTAGGAAATATAATAATTTAAAAAATAAACTTTTTTCATGAAACTTGAAAAATATTTTAAAAAAAAAGTTAAAATTTCCAAAATGTGTAAATTTTAACGTAAAAAATATAAAAAGTAATATATCTTGAATACCTCATTTCCAATTTCATATGCAATCATGTTTCCAAAAACCATAGCAATTTAATATCGTACTATAATTTTACAATACCATTTATTCATATTACATTTTATACTTGAGTTTAAAATATTACAAAAATTTTAAAAATAAAGAACCTAAAAAGATATGTAAAAATTTAAAACCTTTAATATACTTATGTATCTCTATAAAACAAAACATCAGTAGAATAAAGATGCAACAAAATATTTGATTTTATAAAACTCTTGGCATTCAAATACTTAAAAGGTTAAAGTCTTATAAAAATTTAAGAATCAATAATATCAAAAATGTTTAAAATTAGCTTTGGAACTATATAAAAAAGCAAAAACAATAGCTAGATATATTCAAGAGATGTTAATATTAAATATAATAAAAATATAAACCAAAGTGAAAATATAAAGAACTACGAAATAAAAATAATATTAAGAGTATTACAAAAAAATAAAAAAAGAAAAAAATGATAAAATCTATAATATATTCAAAAGCTATAAATGTTAAAAAATTAAAGGTAAAAATATAAATTTTAAAATTAAATCACTTATCATATAAAATATTTATATACTATTAATTGTTTTCGAACTCAATCTTTGAATAATAATTAAAAATATACATTAAATTGAAAAAAAGTAGCTAGAATATACTATATATATACATTTTGAATCACAATGATAAAAATATAATAAATATAAAACATGCTAAATCCATTAAAATTATATAATACTACAAAGACGCAAATTACATATCATAAATAAATAATATATATTTCAATTCAAACACAAAATTATATCTTTGATGTTAGATCAGAACTTAATCATAAATATATTATAGTCTTCTTAATATTGTTATTCAAATTCAGGCAATTTTTCCAATTAAATATAAAATGTATAAAAAAGTAGAAATACCAGTACATAAACTAATGTAATTCAAACTTAAACTACACAAATCACAAATATATTACTAACAAGTAAATTCAAAACCCTTTGAAGTAGTTATTTTTAAAAAAAGTTAATTTTTTATAAAAACTCTATTTAATTTGAAAAGTATATTTGCTCAAAATAATAAGATAATAAACATAACTTTTATATGTTAATTACTTATCTACAACCTAAGCACTATTTTTAAGAACCAAAATTTTCACATTTTTTATATATATCTTTATATATATCAGAAAATTCAAATTATTCATTAATAATTAAAAATGAAATTTTTAGCTTTCATTCAATCTATGAAGACTCTTATACTTACTATTGTTTTCCACATAATTCCTTCTTTTTCAAAAGGTACTAGTACTCACAACCATCATAGTTTTCCTTTTTTTTTTATAATTTAACTTTTCAGAGTATTCACCAAAGATCCGAATTTTATAAAATCTTTAAAGCATGGAAAATTTTAACTTACATTAAATATTCAATATTCATAAAATTTTATATAATGGTAACTTCATTCTTTATTTATAACTCCTAAACAGAATGTGTGCATGTTTTCACGTAGTCCATTATGTTATGAACTAACTAGTAGATACAACACTAAGAAAAATAGATCTTCAATTAGATACTATTTGTACTAAAATACATGGTGATGTCAAATGTTCTGAACTTATTAAATGAGTCCTCAAAAAAACTCAGCATATTTATTCAAAAATCACCAAGTTAAGTCCTTCACTTGCAAGATGCCAATATTTCGCTGAAATGTGCGCTTTTTTTAAAATTGTTTTTCTTACTCTTTTGTTTTCAACAAGCTATTAATTACTTGCTATGATAAAAGACATCATAAAACAACTGTTATAGTTCTTTTAAAAACACTTCAAGATTATATAAAAACCTCTGAACAGTGTAGAGATAAAATGCTGACCGTATGCAAAAATTTATATAGATTTAGTCAAGAACTGTTGGGTCTTTGTGTAGCCTAGTTACATACATCTGATGTATTTGAAAAAGCTGCTGAACAAAGATGCCAGTTTTTATATAGCAATGTTTTTTTGTTCTAAAAAAAGGCGTTATATCTGAAGAAGCATCTCTCATGGTTACAGAATGCACTTACATGTGGAAAAGCTATAATGGTAAAATACGTCTTGTTTGCAAAAGACTTGAAACTTATTGTTTAAGAAGTGAGTTTATAGATAATTCGCTTTTAAAGACTGCTTCACATGTAGATGAAAGAACTATAAAGAATATTTTTGAGAAAATATATTTACAATATGGCGTTTTTATTGAAGCTCCTATATTAGATATAGAAAATTCCATGGATTCTTCTATAAGTTTTATGCTTCAAAGTGGTGAACTCAGTCCAACCACAGAGTCATGTCTTTCAGTCATGACTATTTATTTCACTTCAATGATCCATTTCTGACTGATCTTTAAATAAATATATGAATGATTCAGAAAATACTATTTGTACTGAATATAAAACTAGAGTGGAAGGCACTCACAATAGTATGTTTTTCCAAAAAAGTCTTTAAAAATTCATTCCTTATTACTAATAGTAGTTCTATACCACTAAGTACATTTTATAATAATGTTTGTTAAGGAACCTGCTTGTCTTTACTAATTCAATGTTATTTTTATGCTAAGTTTAGGAGCCAGGCTATTCTTGATAGATACAATAGACTCAATTTATCATATTATAAAAAAATGCATGTGAGTTAAGTTCTTTATTCTTTAAACACTCCAAATAAAGATGGTTCTAGATTTAGAGTTATTAATAAATATACATATGGGCCAGAATTACTTGAAAAATGTAGAAGACTAGAAGAACAAAACCCATATGTAGCCTATTTATACTTGAATCTAACCGTTACATATAATGCTTAAAATTATTAGTAACAAATATTCAGAGATTAAGTCTTGTATTAAATTTTACTATATTATATTTTTGGAAAATCATTAAGCATTTAGAGTTATTTTATTCTTTGATCATCTATATTCTACAAAAAATAGCAATATTTTTCATAATAATACTTTTCATATAAGTTAGAATCATAAGTTTAATCATTACTGTCATGTATAATCATGTTAATTTTGCCTATTATATCATATTTACTTAAAAATTAAGTTAATAAAATCTACGTTAACAAATCTTCGTTTTTATATTCAATATTCTAAGGGTGCATTATCTTTCATTAAATGGGACTAAAAATCCTTATTAATAATAATATTAAATAAATGATTTAAGACAGATTTTATATTTGAAAGATAATGTTTCTCGAAGTTTTAATAAGTGTCAAATAGCGACATAATATCGCTTAAAAATCCAGAAACTCTTCATATCTCAAGACTTAATTCGAAAATTGATACACACAGGAAAGACAAATAAAAATATATAATAATCATAAAAAATACCACTTGAGTTTAGTTTTAAAAAGAATACATAATATAAAAAAAATATAAAAAAATTTCAAAAATCTAACTCTAAAAAATCTATTAGAAACTAAAAAAACATACAAAAAACTTCAAAACCTTTATAGAAGTAAAAAGAAATAAAAAAGTGCACAAAGTTTAAAAATAAAATTTAAAATAAATGCACCGAATTGAAGAAAACTTAATGATGTAAATCAATAAACAGATTTCAAACTCAATAAAAAATGATTGCAAAAGAAATGAATAAATCTGAATATGTTTAGGGAGAAAATACTTTAAGCTTATAGAAAATAACAATAAGCCAAAGAATTTATTATTATCAAAAGATCTATGACAGTGACTAGAAGTTCTTTTAAGGGTACTAAAAGAACAGAATTTCTGCAACGAAGAAAAATCTAAAAAGAGATTGAAAGGATATTGCTTAAAGCTATACAGAGAAATAGACACGTTGATCGAAAAATGTCTTAGTATTAATTATGCATAGCTATATTTAAAGAAAAAAGTAAATGATAAATGTAAACTTTTAAAAATAAGAACAGAAGAAATACTCACAAACGTCGCCAATAAATATTTTTTCGTTCTTAAACAATATCGCTTTTACAACTAAAACTTTAAAAACACAGGAAAAAACAAACTGCAAGTTTCGAGAATGAATGTAAAAAAGACTTCATATATAAAACACTTAATTTGCATTTTAATTTTACGAAACTAAAAACTAAACTAGCAGAAAAAACAAGTCTGGAAAGCCTCTGAAAAGATAGTACCAAAAGATATCATACTAAAAAAAATACCTCCAAAAAACGAGATTACATTAGTAATATTATTGACATTAAATTTAAATGATTTGAAGAGTTAATAAAAGGAAAATTTAAATATGTGATTGAAGATAACTGCGAAAGTTCTCGAAAGTACAAAATTCTAGAAAATTTGAAAATAATAATCTAACTAAAAGAAAAAATCTAATGAATTAAATCAAAAACTTACAGAATATATTTATATTATTTGTGAAAAAATAAGGAAATATATCTGTATAAACAATCTAAGAAGAATTATCTTATAACATAATCTATTAAACATTTCTTGCTGACAGATTGCAAGACTCTAAAATCAAACTACTTTTATTTAGAAAATCAAAAGTCTTTTGAAAAGCCATAAAATAATCCAAAAACACTACATTACAGAAGAAAAGTTGAAGTGCTAGCAAATAAATTCTTGTAAAACATATTACAAGGAATATTATAAAACTCAAATAAAACATGACTTGAAAATCCTCAAAAAACTAAAGACCTATAATTACTTAAAAAAATTACAAAGTATTTTTATCATACGTCTAGATCAAAAAAAAAACTAGCCTTTATATTTTCAACAAATTTACAGATAAAAACAATCTTTTTTGAGAATACTTGAACGAAAAATGTGATCTTCTAATAAAAACAGTAAAGAACTATAAAAGCAGAAAATAATAAAATGTAATTCAAAAAAATCATGTATCTATACTATATACTAAATTAGTACTACGATTATTTAAGAAATGTAGAATAATTAGAGAAAAAATTGAAAGACGAAAGATTTACGTAATTCTAATCTCTATATAAGAAATCTGAGAAATAATCTAATAATTAAACTAGAACACGAAATGCTCAGTTTATTCTTACATATATAGCAAAAGCATTATTAGAAAAATTACTACAGAAATATTGCATCTAAATGTATTACATTAGAAGCACATGTAAAAGAAAATAGTATTTTAAAAAATTTAAAAAAGGATAACAAAAGAAAATCAATCAACATCTTTTTGGAACCATATTGTAATAAGTTCATACCAGACTCAAAAAGCCTAACAAATAATAATGCTGAAAATTCTGGAAAATTCAAATAAATACATAGCATTTAATAGAAAAGAAATTAGGAAAAAATTAGCGAATTAAAAAGCAATTTATTACACGATAATAAATCTAAAAGAATACTTAACAGATGTTACACATATAGAAAAACACAGTTAATGAATTAAATGCTTTAAACACAAAAAAAAGAAGGTAAATTTATTAAAAAAATTCTAAGGAACAAGTAAAGCAAGCAAAAAGATAATACTTATTAATTATAAAAAAACTTTACAAGTAAAAAGTTGGAAAAAAAAATATAAAAATATTAAAAAAAACAAGGGATTTAATAAAAAAGGTAAATCACATCTATCTATGCTAAAAGAAACAAATAAATTAATAAATGAGGTTATATTTAGTCTTTTACTTATATCTAGTGAAGTAAAAGGAACAATCACTTTAAATTCGTAAAAGATGTCAAAGTGCAGGTGACAGAAAAAGAATTACAAGCACTTAATTTGATAGTGCATTCATTTGCCTTATATGTAAAATTGAAAGAAATATATTATTATTCACGAATAGGAATTGGATTCAAGAAAGAAAAAGCAACAGTTAAGAATTGTCAAAATTATGAACCAATGTCTAATACGTATCAAGAAGTTTGTAACGATAATATTCACGATTTATGTTACATGTTTAAAAATCTTTCTTATCAAACACATCATGAGGAATTTAAAAATAAGTTTTTATCAATGACATTAAAAAATAATCTTAAAAACACTATTTCTAAAAACATTAATCTATATATTAATGAACTTTCCAAGCAATGCCATTATTTAACCTCATTTGAATCTGAACTTGTACACTCTTATTTTAAGATACGAGAAACATGTGATTCTTCTATAAAAAATAATGATCAAGTAACAGAAAATAATTGCAATTTGCTAAAAGGGGAATGTACTAAAAAAGATATTTCGACTATAGAATATCTAAAGAAAAATATTCTAGGTAAATGTAAATCAGTATTAGACTCACTGATTTAACTTCGACTTTTCTTAAAACAAAAGAAAACGAAACTCCACTTCCTTTGAGAAGACCATATCTTACCACTCTTCTAGGGTTTGTCATTTCCAAAATGAGGAATGATAATTTCCAGGGTAAATGCACAAAGTTTTTTACAGAAGTGTCAAAAACATAAACATTTATTTCCTAGTCTTGATGCACATTGTAGTAAAGATAAAAACTATAAAGATGAATATAATGAAATACTTCATGGAATAAGTATAATATTTCTTAACCTACAAAACACGCTTAAAAGTTTAGGTCTTATGAAAAAGGCATTCTTATTACACTATGAAGCAACACGAACATTATAACTATACCTTAATGTACAGCGTTTCTTCAACAATGTGTTTATTATGGAAATCTTTATCCTGGTATTCAAAAACTATGCAAAATACTTACAAGCGTTGTTTCATGTTTTAAGTAAAAAAAAATCTAGTTTAAATATTTTTGGAGAAAAATTCAAGAAAAAATATCTTCCAATGATTTTAGTGTTTTTAATCCTCAGGATCAAATATCTAATATTTCTACTATATATTGAACCTATTATAAAATATGTCTGAGGTAGGAGATGATAATAAAATATTATTTAGATGATGTTCTGATAACTTCAAGAATAACTTTAATCAAAAACTCCAAACTGATATTTTATCAAGATACTCTGATTTACTAAGAGACAATCCATATGTAGGAGAAAATTCTTTTTCAGAATATTTATATTATTTTTCAGAGTACAACTTTTTATCTAATATTTTTCCTATTCATAATTTGTGTCATAAATTGGAAGATTTCTATTTTACGTGTGGAATTCAAGGTTTTGAGGATTTAATTATCATTGAATCAATCTAATTTAAATATTAAACAAATTTTATGTTAGAGATTTAAATTCTACTTTTTAAATAAAATGCAATTTACTTTTACTATTCAATGAAAGATGAGGCCTTAATTTTAAAAATTATATTAAAAGAATTATTTTTCTATTTCTTCTAATAATTTAAACATTTTTCAAAAATATACTGCTAAGAAATACAAATAATATTAAAAACATGGTAGTTATAGAATAATAAAACTAAATTATGACAATTAAAAATTATATCAACCTACATGCATATTTTTATCATTAAATTTTATAGAATATTACATTTTATTATAAATATAACTTAAAAATAGTAAAAATTATTTTAATTTTATAGATTATTTTTACAAAAAAATTTTCTTTATAAAAAATGAAGATAAAAATATATTAATAAAACTGGAAATTGTGAATCTTTGATAAATGGAAAATAATACAATTATATTTTTAATATTTTTAAACTAGAAATTTAATATTAATTTAAAAAAAAATTAAAACCAACACAATAATATCTATTACTTTAATGTTTTTTTAATTCTAAAAATAATATTTGTTAAATATTAATTTTTAAATAAAAGATTTTTTAAAAAACAAATTTTATACAGAATTATAATAAAACGAAATTTTTATATTTTTCTTTACTATTTGTATAAGATATGTTATATCAAAAGAAATATATTTTAGATTTTTTTTTATATTTCTAATTTTTAAAATTAAAATTTATTTTTAGATTTAAAAAACCAAGTTTTAAATATCATAGATTTTCTAAATAATAGAACTCATTTAAACTTAAATTTTTAAAAAAAATTACAATTATATAAAAAACATTTAACAAACATTTAAATATAAACAAAGCAGGATTTAAAATGATAAATATCTATTTAATAAATAAACAAAATAATGAGAATATAAAATAAATTAAAAAAATAAATTCAGCATTAATTTAAAATACATTTTAGCTAAAAGTATATATGTTTTTTATATATTTATATAATTAACTTGTATTTTTTAATTAACAAATATCTTCATTCTTTTTATATTTTATTTTTCATTTATTTGCTTTTGAGTTTATCCCAAATTTACTACTGATCTAATCGAGTTACCCTTAAACTATTGAAGAGTAGATTAGTTAAAGAAGATTACAGAGTACACTAGTCAAATAATCATTATTAAATATTTTATTTCTCATTTTACTTACATTAAAATGTATACATTTTAATTATAAAAAACATTCTAAAACATATTTATCACTATTTATACAATTATACTTCTAAAAAAGAATGTTAGCAAAAATATTCAAAACAAAAATTTATAAAACAAAGTAATTTATTTTATAATAATATCCTAAATTTCAATTATATAAAAAACCAAAATTGTAAAATAAAATAATTTACAATAGAAGTATGAAAAAATTTAAACTAAAAATAATTAATCATCAAAACAAATGTTATCTAAAAACTATTTATAAGTCCAAAAAGCTACAAATAATATTTTTAAATAAAATTAACAAAATATCTAAACTAAATAAAACTTATTAAAAAAGCTAAAAAAACTAAATAATATAAAAATGAATTTATTTAAAAACAAAACAAAAAAAAATATCAATCCTTTAAAATACTAATTATCTAAAAAATGAGTGGAGATATTTATTTTTAAAAAAACATATCTAATACGTCATAAGGGACAAAGTATTATTAAAAAAAACAAGGTTCTTTAAAAAAATTCTAAAAATTCTGAAAAATAAATTTAAAACTAAAATTAAAAAGTCTTTTAAAGATAATCAAAACAATATATTAAAATTTATCAAGACAAAAAATATACAAAAAACTTTACAAATAAGTATAAAAAACAAAAAAAAAATTAAAAAATTAATAAAGCATAAAATTATCAACAAACCTTAAAAGAAATAATTACCATTACATAGAAATTATTTTTATAATTTTAATTGTATTAAGACGAAAGAAATCAGCAAAAAAATTAGAAAACACATGGGAATATAATATTATCTACATAACTTATACATAATTTTGAGTTTATATTAAATCAAAATTAAATACAAAAAATGAGCAAAAGATGAATAAATATATAAAAGTTTTTTATAAAAATTTAAATATCAAAAAGGTAAAAACTCAATGAAATTCAAAACATCTAAGTGTAATAGAAAATAATATGTATTTACCTATTTATTTATTGTATATTTATTATTATCATTTATCGGTATTTTTTAAATGGTCTTCTCTACATTTTTCGATATTAAATATGGAACATTTTTTATAAAAATTATTATTTGTTATCATTTTTGTTGTCATTATAGATGAAAGCATTCATATTAGCCAGTTTTCTTGGTATAGCGTATGCTTTCTCAAAAAACATTGGTATTATATATATTATATTTTATTTTTTCACGTTTTTAACTTTTTTAGAATTCATTCATAAAAGATCTGCATCAGATCCATCACAAGATCCATCATTAGATTTATCATTAGATTTATCATTGGACTCAATAGGGTACATGAACTTTTAAATAATATCAAAATATTTAGGATTAACATTTTTTATATAGTGAAGAAAAAATTATGTCTTTAATTCTAGGGAAAAAAGCAATAGACAATAAATGTAAAACAGAACTAGAAAAATACTGCGGCAGTTTGGAAAATAGCGGCCTAGTTCCAGAGAATGTACATCCAGCATTAAAAGAATTTTGTGGAAATGTAGAGCAGAAATGCATTGATCTCAAAGATAAAATTAATACTACTTCGAATAATATCTGGGATTCTCTTTATAATATTGTTACAAGTATTTCAAATAAAAATTTTCATTTAGAAAAAGCTCACTGCAACTATGCTCATGTTCAATGCATGTTTTTCCAAGAATTTTCCAGTTTTTCTTCTATATGCGATCAAATAGCTGAACAATGTCATCATCAAATAAATGAAGATTTGGCTTATGAAGCTCTTTTAAGGACTCTTCCTAAGAATGTGGAGAGTCAAGTAGCATGTGAAGAAAAAATTAAAGAATCATGCTTTAAGTTAAATAAAGAAAGTTATTATTTACTCTGGTCTTGTTTCCAAAAAGAATATACATGTGAGAATCTCCTTATAAAAAAAAATAACTGCAAATCTCTTAAAAAAGATATCGAAAATACCTTTCAAGGTATTCATAAATTAAAAAAGGTCTGTCACTCTCTACTCGAGAAATGCTATTTCCACTCGTCAAACTGTGAAAATGGAGAGATGCAGAGCTGTATGGAGCTTAAAAAGCGTTGCGAAAAAGAAAATATCAAATACCCCCCCCCCCCCCCCCCACAGTCTTTCTTTTAACCCGTTAGAGTTTCCACCTACGCTACAAGAAGAAATAGGTTTTTATCGGCTTCATGATGAGGCAGCAGCTCATGGTGTCTTAATTATCAAGCCCATATCTACAGGATTCAATCGTTTTATTCTGTTAGCATACCATATTAAAAATACAGCTAGGAACAGAACTAAAAGATGCATTAAATATCTAGAAAACTGCGCCTTTGGATATTTAACAGAAGAGCTAGAGAATTTATGCAATACAACTAACCATGATGAAGTATGTGAGAAAATAGATAGAGAGGTACAAGAGGAATGTGATTCTTTTAAATTAGCCCTTCAAAAAAAAGGACTTATGGGAAAAAACGTTAAATCCCAATTCTACACTTTAAATAAACTATCAAAAATAATTTATGAGGAAAGTTACACCACTCTTATTTCGAAGTGCGCTTACATTCAATCACATTGTGGTGTTGATTTCACAGATGCATGTGGGATTTTAAGAATAGCATATTATAGAGCTCAATTTTATAAATTAGCAAAAGAAGTATTGGAAGGAGGGTTGTTTGGATTGTTTCACAACTTAGATTCAGATGGGACTAAAAAATGTATAGACAAACTAGTAGAAAAATGCAAAGTGGTCAGAAACAACAGTATAAATCTTCTCTCAATGTGTTTAAAGCCAAAAGAGACATGTGAAGCACTTGCAGAGGATGTAGAAAGAAAGAGTTATCGTCTGCGGCATGCTTTAGATAAAACAAGAGATTATCCCCGAGAAAAGGATTGTCTCGTTCTGGAGAAACAGTGTGAAGACCTGACAAAGGATTTTGAAGAGCTTAATGGTCCTTGTGCCACGCTAAAGAGGAATTGTGCTCATTTGAGGAACACGAAAGAAGTAAAAGACAGTTTGTTGAGTAAAAATACAGATATTTTGGCAAACATCGATAATTGTACAACATATTTGAATGTGAAGTGTCCTCGGTGGTTTAGGAGAGAAATAAATCCATTCAATCTTACATGTGTAGCACACCACAAATCATGCGTTATAATGATTGAAGAGGTACAAAATCATTGTTTGGCATTTAAGGAAAATATGGAAAGTCATGATGTTATTAAAAAATCAGAAGACAATGAAAAAGATAACATTTGTTTTCTTTGGGGTGGATACTGCGATATGCTTGTGGAAAACTGTCCTGATAAACTAAAACAGGGCAATAACGGTGAAAATGG